GTACGACGAAAACCGGCTGTTCTAGACTAACGGCGACGACGATCGTATTAGGTAAGTATATATCGACTATCGTATAATTAGGATTAGTCTTGTCTCGAGCGACTATTATATAATACTTACAGAGAACGAAGCGTACTATAGAAGGTCCTACGTAGTAGGCTAATCTAGATAATATTAGTCTAGACTATACGAGGTACTATAGAGGTAAACATACGAATCTGCCCTATATAGGAAGGCCGCCAGAGCCTAGTACTAGTATAACGACCATCGCGACGGCAGGTGTAATATAAGTAGCAGGAATAGTAGTAGTCGTCGTAGGTATAGTAGGTATAGTAGGTATAGTAGGTATAGTAGGTGTAGTAGGTATAGTAGGTATAGTATAGAAGAGAGAAGAAGAAAAAGGAAGAAATAGTAAGTTAATTGTTAGTACGCGTTATACGTCGTAAACCTTACTTGTTAACAACAGCAGTTTTCGTATATATATATTCGTAGTAGTCGCCTTACTTACCCTACATACCCCTACGCGATGTAAGTTTATATCTTACCTAGACAACAATAAGGTACGTAGGGCAGGTTCGAATACGGTTATCTATAGCTAGGAACAGCTAATTTCGGTAGTAAACTAACTATAGGTATAAAGGTCTTTTACGAATGTCCTTTATAGTAACTCTTTCTGTTATTAGAAATCGCCGCTTGCGGACAAGCTTATATATATCTGCTTTAATACTACGCCTTATTAGTTCGAGAGATAGAGGAAGACAAAGGAAGATAAAAGATAGTAAGGGAGGTATAGAAAGACTAATCGAGGCCCTAGGGTATAGCGCCTATATATATAAACCCCTTATATACTACTACTACCCTATTGGCCCGGAAGGTAAAAGAAGGCAGAAAGAGATGTATTAATATACAAGAAGCTTAGGGAAGGGATTATTAGTCTATATATCGTAAGTTACGCTTTAGAGTCCGTCTAGACCTAGTAGGCCTAAGTATATTCGCTAATATCGCTCTAAGGGTAGGCCGTATCGCTCGTAGTCGATATAACGGCGAACTTCGCGGTATATCTGGCCTAGGTATACTAGTATCGTACTAGACTAGCGAACTCCGGAATCCCTAAGTCTCTAGTATAACCGTATATAGATATAGTAGCGGCGAGCTTCGAAAGCCCGGTGTTTCTAACTCAACTTCCTACGTCTCTAATAGCGGCGAGCTTCGAAAGCCCGGTATTTCTAAACCAACTTCCTACGTCTCTAACTCAACTTCCTACGTCTCTAACTCAACTTCCTACGTCTCTAACTCAACTTCCTACGTCTCCGGAACGATATCCTATGTCTCTAGTACGACATCTTGCGTCTCTAGTACAACGTCCTCTACAGCGGGTATATCTGGCCTACGACGAAGGAATTCGGCTATATCCTATATTATAGACTAAGCCCGTTATATCGATAAGCGGTTATAGGTATCGAGTAGTACTATAAACGGCGACGTAAATAGAGAAATCGGTAGTAGCTTAGGCGTACGATAACGGACCGGCGGCGCTACTACTAGACTACGACCCTATAATGCTCGCGCTTAATTAAGCCGCTACTGCTAGACCTCGAGGACAAGGTTAGTATTACGCCGGGTATCGATTAACCTACGTATTGAACGTTGCTCCTCGGGCGTTGCTAGTAGATTAATACTCTCTAGGTCGACTCTAGCTATAGCTATACCGACGGGCCTCTTTGCCTTTCTCTATACTATAAGAGTAGCTAACCGGTCGTTGATATAGTAGTAGTAAGTCTATACAAAGCAGACGATATTATAACTATAGTCTTACTAACTAGACTAATCTTAAAGTACCGGTACTATATCGACAATAGTACTAGGTATAACGTTAGATATACTACTAACGTAGTTAAAGACCGTCGATAATAGCTACCGGAATCGCCTAGGTATAAACAGGTCGTATAGAAGTGTAACCCTATAGGCTAGTCTGCCCTCGTTTACTATTTTTTCGGACCAGGTCTCTAGTGCCTCTAAGGCAAACTATACGCGAGTATTCCTACGAGGAGCTACTCTACCCTCTAGGCGAGGAGGAAGTTTAAACGTACTCTCTAGAAACCCGTCCGGATTATAACTATTATAATACCGATCCGATGTAATTACCTCCTATAGCTCCCCTAAAGGTAGCTTATCTTCCCCGAGGAACCGTAGGATTAGCTAGCGGTAGCAAGACGAGTTAATTACATCCCTCTATATCGTAGGTAACTCGCCTCGGAAGCGCTACTCCTTAGCCGTCTAGTATAGTATACTACTAGCGCTAGTACCCTATACTAGACTAGGGGTACTCTAAACGTTATATATAGAGCTGCCCTTAGTCTACGTACTAAGGGCTACTACTTGCTACTAGAGACAGAGCCTAGCCCGGTTACTTAGTAACTAATTTCGCTTCGTACGTATCTTGGTTACCCGCTAACTACTTAGTATAGTACTAGATATCCGAGTACTATCCGAGCGGGTAGTACCTATTGAATTAAACGCCTAATATAGAACAAGCAAGGTCCTAATACTCGATCGCCCCTTACCTCGGCTACCGCGGCCGAGGCGCTACTAGACATTACTAATATCTAGCCCGATAGGAAACTTCTAACAGACTACTACCTTAATATTAGGTACGTTAACGCCTATACCTAGGGAGGTTATAGCAAGGATAATACGGATCTTAGAGGAAGTTAACTTAAACTCGTTATACCGGACGGCCTTATCCTACTACGGTGTTATAGATATAAAGGTTTGAACAATATTATAAATATAGTGCCCGGTAGTATTCCGTTAAGTAGTATACTGATTGTTAGGTAGTATATCGGTAGCGGCTGTAAGGCGAACTAAGGCATTATATATAAACTCCTCTACAGAAGCAATCGATCTAATACTATTAATAAATACGATAGTCTTCGGTATACTTATCGGCGACGCGTTACCGTTGTTAGCTACGTACTTAAGAATAAACGCTAAAGCATCCTACTTCGAAGTTAGACCCTTTAGAATTAGACGGATACAGAGAGATATATCCGTACGGTTAATCGACGTACAGACTACCTCTGTCTAATACGGCCTAGGACTATAGCGGCGGAAACTAGCTCCTCGAAGTACGGCCTCCTCGGTATCTTCGTTAAGGGTAGCGGAATAGGCAAACTAGACAACTTCCTTAGGAAGGAGGTTACGGAGCTGCCCTAATATACCGAATACTAGCCGGAATTCTTCCTATTAACGTATAGTATAACACTTATTAATAGCGACCAACCTAATCCGGGCCTATAGAGCTAACTATAATAGTTTCCGGAAGCTCGATAATAATACCTGCTCTAGACTAAGTAGGATATATGTATACTTACTACGCGCGATCCGAGTATATATATCCTTCTCTATAGCCTTAGTAGTCGTAGTAACAAGGACAGGCGTAGTGTCCCCTAGAAGCCCAATCCTACGAATATTACCTAGCTGCTTATTACTAAGCTTACTTAATAGTATAATCTAGAGCGTAACAAGGCCGGTAAGGACTAAATACGTATAGAAGATAACACTCTTACCCTATCTAGTCCGGGCGATTAAGAGAGTATTACCCTTACTATAGATTAGGCGCCTAAGGATACGGATCTAGGCTATACGAGGAGGATGTCCGATAATCGTAGTAAGACACTCCTTAAGAATAGGAACTTATAGTTTAATATAGTCGACTGCCTCCTAGACGATATCTTTAAGACAGGCAATTAGAAGGGAGCGGATAGTATCTAGGCGACTAGCTAATAGTATATCTAATAGTATAGGACGAGGACGCGACGATTGAGTACTAGCCTTCGCTATAGCCTTAGCACGACGCCCGCGGCCGTCTACCTTCTTATACCGCTTAGTTCTTGCTATAATACGTCTATCGAGGAAGACTAACGAAGATAGATATCGTAGCCGCCGACCGAGAAAGATAGAGGAGGATAGAGGAAGATAGATATCGGCCGCCTGTCGCCGTCGCCGTCGACCGAGAAAGATAGAGGAAGATAGATAACGGCCGTCTATAGGTACCGACTAAGAAAGATAGAGGAAGATAGATAACGGCCGTCCGTCGCCGTCGACCGAGAAAGATAGAGGAAGATAGATAACGGCCGTCTATAGGCACCGACCGAGGAAGATAGAGGAAGATAGATATCGCGATAGTACCTAATAGCCGCTCGTAGCCGTCGACTAACAATACCTACGAGCCGCCTATACCCGTTAACTAACGAAGATAGAGGAAGATAGATATCGGGACTATATAGCTATATCTTCGACTCCCTTATAGAAAGAGGATAGTAGATTGTCCCTATATTCCCTCTTATAACGACGCGTCGACGCACTCCTTTTGCTATCTTCCCCCTCTATTTACGATACCCTCCTCTTAGATAGACTAGTAGTTTAAGGTAAAGGAAGTTAAAGGAAGATCGGAGGGTATATCGGAGGGTATTAGTCTTAGTTAGGAGGGCGTAGGATACTGAAGTAGCTAGCAAAATACTATTTTTTACGCAATACTATAGTTGTCTATCGCGCGAGGCAGTAGGGAGTATAAAAAGTAGGTATTTCGAAAGCGCTGCTTCGGCGCTATAATTTAACCTTAATATCGAGATAGAATAGGATAGTAGTAGTATATATAGTTAGTATAAAGAAGACGACGCTATATACCGTAAAGCAGCTATACTAAACCTATTACTAAAAGCCCTTAGACTCTCGTACTACTAGCTTTTGTATTAGTAGCTTGTAATTAGCTAAGGAAGATAGAGGAAGCTAGAGGAAGTTAAATTAGGGGGTTACAGGGTCGGCAGTCGGGTACGAGAGGCTGAGTCACTACTGAGATAAGCTGTTATATAGTATGTGTAGTAGATGGTAGTATATTAACAGCCTGCAGGTATGCCATAGTCTTCATCTACCCCTGTGCCTAACTCCTTAGCATATATCCAATATTACGAACGGCTTTACTCGGCTGGCTATCTAAAATGGCATCCCGAGGCAGAACGTAGGCCTTTGTTTTGGAACTCATTTCTACACCAAGTACACATATTCAAGGCTAACATTTCGCAGAGCATATGCGGAGAGTGCTACCTCTAGCTCTATCTCCATCTCAACCTCTCCCAACTCAGAGTCTCGGTCCAACAGCCCAACCCACGAACAACAACAGATCGAAGCCTTCATCATCCCGCGTCTCAAGTTCGTCCACAAGACACTCCAAGCCCTCCTCGCGATCACAGCACACCCATTTCGAGTTCCCGAGTGGGAACTTACGAAATCCCTCCTTATCTACCAAATTCAATGCCTCGAAGAACTTGTCACTGACTACGGCGACGAGTACGCAGCCGCTCTGGCCCGAGTGCATGGCGTGTTCCTCCAGCGTGGGATTGAATTGCAAGAGGACAAATCTCCCTCCTGGAGTCGGTCTGCTCGAGCGTACTATTCCGCAATGCACGACGCAGCCGAGAATCTCGTTCAATGCGCTCTCGATACTAGAGGGGAAAATGCCGCGGAGAGTGCATTGGATTTGGTAGAGAAGCTTTTTTCGCCATTGGCAGAACTTCAGGAAGAGGTAGATGCAGAACAGATGCCTCCTGTGTCGCGACCTCGAGCGGAGAGTTTATCTTCGAGAGCCTGGCCATTCTTACATGGTTGTGCTCATCCTTCCAATATTTCGGCAGCCCCGTGTCCGACTACCTACGCTTACCCATCGACATGTTTTTCACTAGCTTCTTCACGCTCATCATCCCTATCTGACAGACTCGGCCTATCAGATGCGCTCAGAACTCTTGATCTCGGCGGGCCGTTAGGTAGGAGAGGTGGTCGTACCAGCAACAGACAGGACGACTAGCGACGATGCTGCTGTCCGCGACGGTGGAGCGCAGAGCAGAGTCAGTTGTTCTGCCTAACATCGACCTTGGTGGGTACTTCGGTCCCGAAGTTTGATGCGCGAGACAAGATTTTAGGTTGTGGATCATCGGTGGCATGTTGATATATATACCTTATTGAACAACAAAAGGCTTTGTTTGGGCGTTCTACAATACCTTCTCTCCCAATCTGCCAATCTGCCAATCTGCAATTCTGTCACTTCACACTATTCCCACATCCTTCTCTACCCCCAACCATCAGATCTAATCCGCCTCCCCGTCCTCCTGCTGATAATCCGGCCCCTGGCTTACAATCCAACTCTTCACCTCCTCATAATCCTTACAAACATGCTTCGCATTCCACCCATCCGACCCCTTCACCCCATCCGGAAACGTCGTCGCGGCTCCCTCCAACGCCGTATCCCCACAACACATGATCCCCTGCCTGATATAATCAAAACAATGCCCCAAATGCCAAGAATGATCATGATGAGGATGTTTCTCCTTCCCTCTCCTCCTCGGCGGCATATGCTCCATCCCCACCCCCATCACAGTCCCATTAATCTTCCCCGCCAAATCATTATACGCCTCCATAATACTAAACAAACAATGCAACTGATGCGCCATCGACGTATCCACCAAATTATACCCTCCAGGCTCCATCGTCGGGGGCGCGAGCTCGGGGTATCGTTTCGGAGAATAATCTTTCAAATTTTGCAACCCAAATCCATCAGGTGCGAACGTCCTCCAGAACTCTTCTGTGGCAGCTTGTGCCTCCGGATGCCCGATGGAGGCGGTGGCTTGCGAGGACGGGTGGAAGAGTTGAATGCGTTGGGTGAAGCGCGGGGCGAGACCGTTGATGTCGCCGGTGTGTTGAAAGTGTTCGCCACGGGAGAGTTGGAGGGCGAGAATGGTGGTGGTGAGGAGGAGGAGGATGTTGAGGATCCAGGAGAGATTTGTGCTGCTGCTCCAGGGACGTCGCGAGAGGGGATATGGTGTTGGATGGCAGTAGGGTAAGTCTTCTCCTTCTCCTGCTGTACTGGCTTCACTTCGTGAGAGGAGGCTTTCCTGGTCTGGAGGCTGTTGGGGCGTCATTTGATTATCCGTCTTGCAAGGTGAGTACAAGTCAGAGGCTGTTCCAAATGGGCCTTACTCGATTCGTTCGCGCGCAAGCGGCACAAGTGAACAGAGATGTGAGCGTGAATTGGAAAAAAGTCCATACGTTGCCTCCATTGTTGGAAGAAGCAATTCATAGCAGTAGTGTTACATTGAGTTGGCCACTGGTTTGCTCTTGTGCCGGCGTCTTTGACTAGTCCGACATGGCATGTCAAAGAAAAGTCTGATCAATATCTCTATTGACCTACACTTTCAGCCACAACTGAGTCGTCTTGGCAGTCCTTCCCGACACACTCTCATTTTCCCTCTCTCTCCCTCTCCCTCTCTCGCTCTCTCTATCCATTATATACCCGCCTCAGTCGTCATTTTCCGTGTACTTTGAAGAGAACTTGACCAGCGAGCTGAAGTCCTCCCAGCCCATCACGCGGCCCTTCCCTTTCACCTTCTCCATTTCATCTGCGTCGAGATCCGCATCGCACCCAACGAGCCAGCTCTGTGGCCGTAGACTAAATTGTCCGTCTTCGCGAACGAGCTGAGTTCGCTCTGGTCCGGCCTTTGCGTGCTTTGTCGAAATTTTGGGTGCGTGCTGCTCCACCAACGCATCTGAGCGCCGCTCGCGATGCTCCAAGACGTCCACGTCAATCGTGTCCAAAGCGACGATGCGGTACACATAAATCGGTCTCGACTGTCCAAATCGACGTACTCGACCGACCGCTTGTGCCATGGTGGAGTCATACTTGTATTGCGTCTGCTGGAGCAGCGGGCTCAGGAAGATGACATGATTGGCGTTCTGCAGGTTAGAGCCTGCCGCTGTCTCGTCGGCGGCGTTGAGCACGATCACAGTGTCAGCAGAGGCTCGGAAGGCCTCCAACTGACTTCCAGCTTGCGCGGCATTCTCTACTACGATGCCTGAGATTTGATAGTGCTTTAATGCGAGGGCAGCCTGCTGAAGTTGCTGGGCAAATTGTACAAACAGAATGGCCTGCTCGCCCTTACTCTGCACCATTTGCAGGATCTGCATCGTCTTTTCGAGCTTCGCACCGTACGGCGACGGCTTGATGCGATTGAGGTCTCCCATTTTGGTGGTCCATAACAAATGATGTGCTTGCACAGCGCTCGAGCAACCCGCAGCCGGGCAAAGAGTGGTTGCGGCCTTTTTGTTGTGCTGATAGCACGTCTCGCATATCAGATGGCCACAAACAGCCGACAGCGCGTAGTTGGTAGGGACGGGAGTCGCACACGCCGGGTTGGTGCACCTGTTGACCTTTCTCTTGTTCTGTGAATCGTCCTGGAGCTGCCGGGCAGTCGTCAAGTAGCGCAGAGATCTCCTTTCCATCAACAGCCTGCTGCACAAGCTGTTCAGCTTGTGCACAGAACTCCCCGTGTCGTTTTTGCTCCCGCCTCTGGTAGTCTTCGATGCCTTGCGAGCCGATGCAAAGATCGAGGCGACCTCGTCGACACCTTCATTGAGCATACATGCCGACCACTCGTCGAACCTTGCTTTTTCTTTGGCTGTCACGTGCGATGCCATGTCCGCAAGCGAGGCGCGTAGATTCGCGATATGGCTGTTACAGGAGTCTATCAAGTCATCCAGAAGGACACCGCGCGAGGTCTGATCCACAAATGCAGCTGCTTTAGACAGCGCTTCTTCAGCTGTAGACGAGCTCGATACTGCTTCGTTCAGTCGTCGATTTCGATCGGTTGTTTTGGACTTTCCAGTGGCCTTAATTCGCATTTGCGTCGTATTGAGGTGTTGAGATAACTCAGTATAGAGCAGCCGGTGCTCAACGTCCAAGTGAACGGGGACGAGATAGTCCTCGTACTTCATCTCGCTGAAGTCACCCACGTTTTGACGCGCAAAGGTTCCTAGAAAGCGCTGGTGGAGCGCATGTATACTGGCATACTTCGCGTGCGAAGGCAGGTGACGCGACATCGTATCGAACAGCTCAAATGGCGACAAGTCCTTCGTCAACGCTTTACGGCTAGAGGCCTTGATCACTGCTGCGTCCATAGAACCGATCGGTAAGGTAACACCAAGAAGTTTCGCCATTTGAGCGACCTGGAAGAAATCTTCGATTGCTGGCGTACCAGAGAGTCCCCATCTTTTGTCTGCCGTCAAAGCCACTGTTGCCGCATAGTCTGTTGGATCATAATCGTGAAACTCATCTACGATAAGACGATTGAAGTAGAACATTTCAAACAGTGGCTGGTCGATCGTTGCGGTGTCGAGGGTATCAGGCGCTGCCTGCATTGTTTGTTGAGCCGACGTCAGCTTCTGGTTCTTGTTCTTGTTCTTGTTTGCGATATAGCCCTGGCCACGATGGCGTCTTGATGGCACCATTGCTTTAAACTCTTCGTTCTTCAGGTTCGCGCGATAGGTAGCTTTGACGTGCGTGATCAAGCTGCCTTTGCCCTCTCCCTCAAGTATAGCAAGATGTTCAGGGATCTGCTGCACTGCGTAATCTCTCCACCGCATAAAAGCGCGTCCCTTTAAAGCTGCCGGTCCTGGCACTGCTGCAAAAGATGCCAATCGATTAGTATACTCCGGACTTGCAAATACTGTACGACTAACGACGATAATCTTCGCCTTCGCAAAGTCCGCAATGGTGTACATGCTCAAATGCTTAGGGGTAGCAATGCGGTATACGCCGTTCTGGAGGCCCATTTTATTCTTAATTTCATCGACCCACTGCTGAACGAGTGAAGGCGGGCACACAATAAGTGTCGCCGTCGTAGCTTTGAGACCCGCTGGCTGCCGTGTTTGCAAATCTCTTATAATGTCCTCGTCTCCAGCAGACGTGGACTTCAGTGCGCTACCGATAAGAGCCAGACTCGTAATTGTTTTGCCAAATCCAGGATGATCAGCGCAGATTCCGCCTCGAACGTTCACTGTAGCACGAGCGCGCACCTCTGCCATCCACCCCGAAGCCATCCACCCTGAAGCGGCAACGGTCTCTTCTTCTGATTCTTCAAGAGTGAATCGAGCCCCTTTCTCTTGCTCAATCATCCACGCTAACGACTGCCTTTGCGCGTGAAACAATTCCACCGAAAGCCCAGTGTCAGTAGAGTGGAGGTCTGCATCGTCATTTTCATTGGAAACAAGTTTGAACTTCTTGAATACATAAGGGGTCCTGTCGGTCTTGTGCAGAATACGCCAAACGTATTCCACATCGCTGGCAGCACTTGGCAGTCTAGCCCTCGCACGATGCGCAAGCGTTGCGATATTGACCCCTAGGTCGACCTTGAGGCCGTCGGATACCTGCGTCGCCACAAGAACAACAGCTTGTGGGCGAGCTTTGATCGCCTGCTCATAAGCAGCAGCACTAGGCATATCTTCGTATGCCTTGATCTCGTTGTTGTCTTGGAGCGCCCATCGCAGTTCTGGACGGCTTGGCGCACACCGTTCGCATCGGAGACTTGCTGCCTGTGCTGCCAGGGGACGCCACTCGGAGGTCGGAAATGCGCGTCCCATGGCCTCGAGTGCCCACTTGTGATCGACAAGAACAGGCGCGTTGGTTTTCTGAATTTCTTTGCCCTTGAGAAATGCGCTAAGCAGTTGCACAGTCTGGGTGCAAGCCGCTGCCCCGACTACAGTCCCTACAGCCTTCAGCCGATCAATCTCGATCAAGGGCTCGGATGCTGCTAGATGGCAGGCGTGCTCATGCCATGTACCGCTGACGGCGAGCTGGGGCTTTGTCGCCAGCTTTCCAGGGCGAGCCCATGGACGCCACGGCGCAGCGATGCTCGCGAAAACACTCCGCACTTCATCATACTCTAAACGCTCAATATTGTCAGAGAATACGAAGCAGTCTGCCTCCGGTTCCCCTGTGCCTGTGGGATCCAAGAACAGGAACATCGGTGGTTGTGCAGGATCTGTCCGCTTGAACAAACTGTCTGAAGCTTTGCCGCAATGCGGGAGATACTCGTATCTACCGCTGAGCATAGCCAACGGGGTGTCAACTGTGATGTCAAGGAATGCTGGGACGGTGTGCGAGGCGTAGTCGAGCAGACCAAGCCGAGCCCACCAAGAGGCTACTCTATCACCAGATTCTCGAATTTGAATGGGATACCGCATACTTTCGGGATTACGAGCCTGCCACCGATCGGGAAAGAGAGAATTCCTCGCAGTTCCGACAGCGATAGGCTGTACTAGCTGAGCACGTAGCGCACTGTTCGATGGAAGGTGTTTTGGTATATCAGCGAAGAGGCGCCAGTTTGCTCGATCTGTCGCAAGACTCAGCTCAAGACGCGCGCCACTCCCGGCATAAGTGACGGTCCAGCAATGAGTACGGCGAATGGACTGCAGGCTGAACTGTGGACCAATGGCTTTTACGATGGCTTCAAGCTCCTTGCTCAACGCAAGGTCCTGCCATGAGGAGCTTGTGAAGTTCAACACGAGAGGAAGCGTAGAGCGCAGGAAGTCCTCGAAGTCGCTCGGTGTAGATCTATCACGGCTTAGCTGAGGATCATGTTTGTAGACGTGTGTTGGGTTTCCAGCACAGTCATAACAAGCAGTGTGACCACAACCAGTGCATTTCTGTATGGGCCTCGATGATATTTTTCCGGCCGTCTCGCAAACGCAACGTCGTGCAGCCTGTTCAGCTCGGCGCAGAAGCAGCGCCAGGTCCACTGTGTCCTGTAGAGCTGCTGCGGCGACTCGCTCCGTCGGTGCGGTAAAAAATCCGAGGCTGGACTTGGTCGGTGTCGCGCTTCGCCTATCGTCAGCTTGTGAGCGGCTGATGGCGCGATGTCCAGCGATCAATGCCGACAAGATGGCAGGGCCAATAACCGTTGTCGACATCGCATTACCAGCAAGGTCTTGGATCTCTCTCGGTTGCTCCGTAGTGAAAGAGATCTTGTCTAGTGGCAGCCCTTGCAGCTTCAGAAGCTCTTCGGGCACGAGCGCTCGCCCAGAATCGGTCAAGAAAGGGATCATAGTAGGAGTGATACATCCGATGATACCGAATGCAGCCTGGTCAATCTGGCGGTCGACGTTTTGTGATACATTCCAGATCTTCGTCTTGTACCAAGGATCGTAGAAACCGTGGTCTGGCAGAGCATTGCGCATGACGGCGATATCTAGCAAATCCCAGATTCGTTCAGGCATCCGATAATACCATGTGGGATCGCCGCCCTCCGGAACTAAGACCGACCCATTCTCAGACCAATGAGTAACTGGTCGCCCATTACCCAGCCTGAGATCCTGGCGCATGTCCGTATGGCGGAGTTCGCACCTTGTCCAATCAATTTCTCTGGTAGGGGCGTCATCCTTGATATGTTGCTGAGTCCTCCTCTGATCACCGGGTAGCAGGAAGCTCGACACCGGAGAACTGGCCGGCCGTTTGAAGTAGCTCATGAGCTCGGTCCATTTTTTGCCTGCTCCTTCGAGCGAGACGCTGGTAGCACGCTGATCAAAACAAACCATATACCCACGCTGCCGAGTTTGTGGAATATGAAACCTCTTGGTGTCGAGGAAGGCTCCAGTAGAAACATACCCAATCTTTTTGTAGTCCGATAACATCCTGTCCCATGGCGCACCGAGCACATTCTCTAGTAGGACAATCGAGGGCCTGAAAGCCTTGCAGTATGCCAACACAGCAGTGTAGGTATCGCCAGATTCTCCGCCATCGTCGACAGTCTTCTTGTGTTTATTCAACATTGAATAATCGACACAGCTTGTGCCAGCGATAAGCAGATCCACATCTCTCGGCACAGCTACTTTGCCGCCGTATGCGGTCGTGGCCTTGGGCTCCGCGTCGTGAACAGCGTTTGTAAGTTCACAGATATCACGGAATATGATGGGCGGGCGAAAATTCCGTTCAATGTAAGCCTGTTTGAAAGGAACGATCTCAGCAGAGAAGAGATGGTCAAGCTCAAAAGCAGAACTTCCGAGGCACTCCTGGAACAATTCGAGGGCCAACAATGGGCTTTCGGTGCCTGAGCACATTGTAGCGACTCTCAGAGGTCCAGGTAGAGAGTCCAAAGCATTCTGCAGGCCCTTTTGAAGGCCCTTTTTAGTGATTTCCTCGAAGATTTCCCGAGTGTCCGACAGGGGAGGGAGACCGAGCTCTAGCTTGGTTCCTTTGCCAGCCAAGTTCACCATGCCCGTAGCTCGGGTCTTCTTCTCTGCACTCGTCTTGACTGTGCTTTTCTTGGCCGCCGGCAGCCTTGAAGTCTGTCCTTTCTCCTCCTCTTCACTTTGATCTTCTTCTTCTTCCCCTTCTTCTGCTTCTTCCGAACTTGCTTCCTCGCTCGCCGAGGACGATCTGCTTGCGTCGTCGGTCGCGCTTCCATCACTAACCCCAAACTCCGACTCCTCGTCTTTGGGCCTGCCGCGAGGTGGTAGCTTCCTCGAGCGGTGTGAGCTTGCCAGCTCGTCCTCGGAACAGTCCGAATCCTCCAAAGCATCAAAATCTGTTGAACTGATCATCAGCTTGACAGCATCCAAAGATTTCCGGGCCGCTTGTCGGCACGGCCTGGAACCCTCCACTACGACCCCCTCATCCTTGGGAGTAGCACCGATGTCACTCTCTAACAATGGAGCCGAGTGCTGTTCGGGCGAGGAGGGCGCTCGAGGCCGACATGCCACTAGTGACTTGCGAAAGTAGTCTTTGATGTTCCCAGAGGCCTTTGCCTTGAGCGGGGCTTTGCGCGAAACGACTGCGGTGCGGCTCGGTGGCAGTGGTTTCTTCTGCCAGCCCACTCCGTCCACATATGCGATTGGACCCTTCGCTATCCGTTGCCACTCGGAGGGAGTCAGTACGCGGAAGATCTCGCGCTGTGGGTGCTGCCGCCTAACTGTCGAGTAGTCGTTCTCGACATCGCTGGTCCCGTCGAGAAGCGCAGGCTGTCCCAGTTTCCGCCGCTTTGGAGGGGCAACGATGATCGTGTCGTCGTCATCGTTGTCGTTGTCGTTGTTATGACTGCTGCTGCTGTACCGGTCGACGATCGGGGCTGCAGCTTTCCGCTTCGGTCGGGCCATTGTGTTGTGTCTTGCAGGCAAGGGAAGGCGCGTAGGCAAGAAAAGTTGTCGGGTGAGACGCGTCGGATGGAAAGAGACGCGTAGAGAGCGCGGCGTGAGAACGGGAAGTTGCGCTAGACCCAGCCTGCGGCCGAGGTTCGCACGGCGCGGACGCGTGAAGGAAAGCGCGAGCATCCGGCAAACTCTCCGCTCCACGTCGCGCCTTCCTCCCTCCTAGACGAGAAGCAATACCTAGTAAAGAAGACGAGTTGGCGTCGTGTTCGGTCGCTGAGGTGTCGAGCAAAGTTGGAATTCTAGCACGCGAAATTGCAGCCTCAGGCCTTGGCTTGGCAAGGCCCACTCCTCTCGAAATTCCATTCGCTCGCTCCTACAGCTAAGCCTAAGGTAGGTAGACTATGTAGGCTTCATGGAATCGCTATACTGATCCAGCTCATTCATCGCATCCTCACTCTCATTCAACTTGTGGAAGAGGGCCCAGAAACTGCATCCCGCCACAAAGCATGCCGCTGCCAGACCAATGTACATCCACAACAGCTGCGGGTCCACGGCAAACGGACTGATGGCGCCGCCCAGAGCAGCGCCAAAGGCATTCGTGAGCAAGTATAGACTCATGATGAAGGACTTCATCGTGGGAGGGGCTTTGGTGAAGGCATACTCCAGGCCTGTCACGCTCGCGAAAATCTCCGAGAGACCGATGAGCAGATAGGCCGGAGTCTGCACCGCGACGTGCACGTTGTTGGGCCGATGGCTTCCGTCGGGCCGGAGTGCTTCACTGCATGCGAGAGGCGCGTCGTAACACGGGCCGGACGTGTAGATGAGCTTTTGTACTCCCGCGGCATAGAGCATGGCGGTCGCGGCGAGCATGAATCCCCAGAAGATGCGGGTGATGGGCTTGAATTGGATGCCCATCTTGCGAAGGCCGGGATAGAGCACTTTGTCGCAGAACGGGATGAAGATGATGATGGTCAGGGGGTCGATGTTTTGCATAATGTCGTTGGGCACGCCGTGAAGCTGCATTTGGCCCGCCATGGAGATGAAGTTGTTGAGCATCTGTCCATAGACCAGCCAGTAGATGGGGTAGAAGAGAAAGACCTTGCACGCCACCAGTGCTCTACGCACCTCTTCCACAAACACCGAGTCCCACGGCATCGTAGTACCCACCGATCTGTTTCCCAACTGCTCGAGATATTCGGGCTTTGCAGCGTCGAGATTGCGCTTCTGTAGCCCAATCCAGCAGATCTTCAACGCCTTCGGGATGGGTGAGCCGCTAGGAGGACGCAGAACATATTTTTTCTTGCCCGCGACGAGCGTTGCAAAGCCCACCACAAACATACACAGACACAGCAGATACGCCGACCAGAATCCAATGTGGGCTTCCATCACGGTCGTCGCCAGTGGCGACAGCGAGCCGATGTTGATGCACAGGTAGAAGACCATATAAATCCGCTGTATCGTCACCGCCGGGTCCACCAGAACACGCTCTCCACTGCTGGTCGTGCGCACGAACAGCTTCGTGTTTCGATACTGTTCCGCAATGAGCGGGCTCACGTTACTCTTGATTCCTCCCGTGCCGAGCCCAATGACAATCATCGCAGTGACCAAGCCGCCCAGAGCCGCTCCATGTTCTATCAAGCTGGGCAACGACGTGAGAAACAGCACCAGCACGCCCACCACATAAATCACTGCCGACCAGAAAATTGTCCAGTACTTTCCCAGATACTGGTCCGCCACCACCGCTCCCAGCACCGGCGTGACATAGCACCAAAACTGGAAGAAATTGCTCAGTCCCGTCGCGCCCGTCTGGTCCAGCCCGATGGCACCGGGAAGCCCATTGGGGTCATGGTACGAGTTGGACATGTAGTTCTGGAATGGTCCACTGAGTCCGTAGTATGTGAATCGCTCGCAGAGCTCCACGATCGCCACCAGGAAAGCCGACCAGGGCAGATCATCTGCGACTCTGCGGAGAGTACGCCGTTCATACTCGCTCGGCTCATTTTCTTGGCTGGACTAGAAATCATCACGGGGGTCACACGTCAGTTATTGCCAGGGTACTTTCATTTCCCACAAAGATATCACCCACCGGAGTACCTCGTCCTCCTCCTCCTGCTCCTCCTCCGCTCAAAAAAGAAGACTCGGCGATGACAATTCCCGACCCTTCCCCGTCCTCCTCATCCTCAGATGCCTTGCGCAATTCTCCTTCATGCTCAACGAGTTCATACTCTCCACGTGCAAAAGGTTGCGTGTCATCATCATCACCAGTCTTCTTCTTGTTCGGCCAGCTGAACAGCCCCATGGCAAATACCGGGGTTCACCGCAGTCATGGAATTCTTGTTTATTCGCAGATTGGTGTTTTTTCTTTTCAAAATAACAACAACAACATTGTCGGCATGTGGACTTGGTAGAGAGGGGAAAGCAAGTTCATTCACTTCATAACGTTGTCGTCTGATGATGAGGTGTGTATGATACGTAAGGTAGATGTAGATAATGATAGGTACCTTACCGAATATGCCGGACCAGGCCAGGATTCGGGGTTTTTCCGAAGAACAACAACAAAGGAGGTTGTGTAGTCTCAACGTGGTCAGACGAGTCATTCGCTTCTGAAGCCAATTATGAGTGAGTTTGAGGATCAAGTTGTTCCGAATAACGACTAGCGTTCCCGGCTGGAAGGGATGAGCGCTGAGACTAGGAAGCTGACCTGGTTCATTCGATGCCTTGAGGTTGTTATTGTCACTCGAAGCCGGACGTCGGTATTTTATTTTTTTATTTTTTTATTTATTTTTTGGGGAAGGAATTATATATCAGGGATTCTAGGTAGAGACACGTGATTCCACACCAGAATTGAATTAATAACATGTACACAAAATCACACCTGGACATATGGGAGAGTACATGTACGTGTGGTACATACACCTCCCAAAAAAACCCTCCATTCCTGACTGAAACTACATCCTCCTCTCTTCAACTGTCCCTCTTCCCCCTACTACTCTTGCTATTGTGACTATTCTTCTTTTTCGTACTACCCACAACCAGCCCTCTCACAAAGCCACCAGCTTTCTCCTGCAAACTCCAGCCACCACTCGTTACTCCCACGTCAAGATCATCGAACGCTCGCTGTAAGGCCCCTCCCAGAACGATGCTGTGCTTCTGGCCACGAGCCGCAACAGCAGCATTGTTTGCGCTGGAGGATCTTTCTAACTTGGCACCGTCACCACCATCACCCAGGTCCATCTCCGGTTCCATGAAAACGGGACTGGGTGGGTTCGCTCCCAATGGACTGGGAATCTGTCCGGAACTCCTCCGCTTTCTTCTTTTGACACTTTCCAGCAAGTCGTCCATGGATACGATCGGTGTTTCGCCTTCCGTCACCGATTTTTGACGTTGACTTCGTCTTGGACTGAGTGGTTCGAGATAATCGAGCAATGGCTCTTCCAGTACAATGGGAAGGTCTGCAATATCTCCTCCGTTATTACCACCACCTCCTGTGACTGCGGAAGATGGAGAAGAAGGAGAAGAAGAAGAAGAAGAAGAAGGTGAGGGCGAGGGCGAGGAGCCTCCAGTAGCGGACCGTGAAAGGCTCAGGAGAATCTCTTCAAAAGACGTTGCGGGATCATCTCTCTCGCTGTCCTGATCTTCTTTGTCTTCCCCTGCGATTGCTGAAGATGATGAGGCTACAGTAGGTGGCGATGGCGGGATGGTAGCAGTCGGAGTGGGCGTCTTGGCGCCATATTGTTTACCCCACCGACACTCACTCGGGTAATCGCATTTCTCCCAGCAATCCTTCTGCATCGTTGCTTGAGACTTCTCCCAATACCGTTGCGCACTTCCGTTTCGAGAGTGATTGGCTGACCATGAAGGGCCATCTCTCTCCCTAAAAGCGGACTCAAAGGCCTCCTCAGCTTTCAGCAGGGCCTCAGCGGCATTGACCTGCTCTCCTACAGATCTTCGCCAGACACCCCAACCTTTCCACCCTTGATAGTCAAACTCACTGGCACAAGCAGCGTGTCTCCTCACGACTTTGCCCCCTTTGCCCCTAGACTTCTTGATCACGGTAGTTGTTCCCGCGCAGAAGAAATGTCCGTCATCCAGACAGCGACGAGTGACGCCTAATTGGTATATGCGATTGCATTTGTGGCATTGCCAGAGCCAGTGCAGAGGATCTGCAGGTGGCGGGACCAGATCGACGGTGGTTTTAAGTTGCTCTCGGCGTCGTCCTGCTGCTTGATCATACTGCTTTGTGGGGGGAAACGCCAGTGGGCTGATGGGAAGCCGTGGTGAAAATGGTGTGGGTGGAATGGCGAGGTAAGAGGACTTGAATGGTGCCGGTGTAATAGTTAGTTGGCGAGGCATGATGTTCAGTGCTGGCAGAATTCGATGGTTGTGGCTTCAAGTTCTTCAATGGTAGAGGTGATGAGCAGCCACGTCGCCTGCAGTGTACGAAGACCGGCTCCGTGTCCCTATGCTGTTGATGCTGACTGCGTATAGGTAGACTCTGCTAGGGACAGTAATAGTAATATACACTGTCCGTCAGTAGCCAAAGCTTCCGTATAGAAAGGCAGAGCGAAATCGAAAGCAGAGTACGAAATGCAAGAATTGTCCTTGCGGTGACTGTCATTTTACAATACAAAGCACGTGCGCGTGCGATAGATGATAGCTGAGTGAGGATCTTTGTCTCAGTAAATGATTTGTCTTTGTTTCGGCAAGAGTCTAGCCGCCACTGACTGATGTAGGTCTTCCACATCCCTTTGTCTCCAACATCCCGCGTGGGATTGAGATCCGGCATTCGCGAAGGCGCACTGCTGTTTGTCGCGGTCGAATACGTAGAAAATAATACGGACTGTCTCGAAGCTACGACACGGTTCTAGCACCGGCAGTGGGGACATGCCTTGTACTAGACCATGATTCTGGTGAGTGCTTCTTCCAAATTTGGATACCATCTCATTACAGCGGGCTCCTTACTATAAATGCTGCGATAGGATCGCGCATTTGACAGGCAGACCTGATCTCTTTGTGCGCAATTGCGAGGAATGCAAAGGCATCTATTCAACAAAGCCTTGTCAGTCCAGCTCCAAGCTTCAGCATGGCGTGACGCTTAGAGCTCCTCCAATGAGTCTGCGCTCTTGGCGAGAGACTCAGTCCCGGAGAAGCTTCGTGGTGTGTCCGACAGCGGACACCGCAGTCGCAGGTCCCATACACCCTCGTGTCAGTGTGTAATGATCCTCAAAGCCTGTAATGCAAGTCCAAATACAAGGCCTCGACTGACGCCCGGGAGCTGTAAGCAGTCGAAGACTTTACCCAGCGCCTCTCCACTGGCAGCGGCACCCATGACGCTAGTCAACGCCTGCGGCATTCCCCTCGTAACGAGCAACTTTCTCGCCTTGATCCGCAGTTCCTCTTTTTGCTCCGGCGTCTTCTCCGGATAGTCCCTCGCCCAGATCTCGAGCTCCTCGGGAGTTGGCAAAGTGTTTTCTCGCAGCTTGTAAATATGATGAGCAAGTCCAGCGTCGCTTAGATTGCTGTCGAGGAGCGAAATTTGTATCAAGTCGCGAATAGTGCCAATCTGTGGATTTCCAGGTCGAAGCAAGAAAGTCTTTGCGGCTGTGAGTAGTGTCTTGCGAATCTGCCATGCGCCTGAGAGTGTGTAAAGCTCTGAGATGACTGCAAACATGAGCTCAACGGCAACAGAAGTCTCCCGGTCAGTCAATGGTACGTTCCGCTGCGGCTCTTGTTTGGCACCTGTGTCTACCTTAGAGGCATTGACTGGTATCGCAGACGCTGTGACGTTGCCTGAGTCAGCAACCTGCAACATACTCAGCGAGTGTGCAGCAGAGCGAAGATCGGTGCTCTTCCTGCTTCGGCTTGGCGATACTGGCGAGGCATAATCTGACGGCATCTCTGAAGGAGGTGGTGGCAGATTGACGGTATCCAGGCTAGGCGCTTCCTCTAGAGTCGGCGGTAAGTGCGTTGCAGATGCAGCTGGTGATGCAGTCGTTGCTTGCACGGAGTCGTTCTGACTGAGGATACTGGCCGGACGACTTGAGAGAGCAGCCTGGACTGGTCTGGACTCTTCACTTCTCAAAGATGCTGAGCTCAATTTTCTCTCATGTATAGACTCTGGCATGGCACGCAAAGACTCTTGGCTTTCGCGTCCAACGTCCATAGTCCCCAAGTAGCTATCGGTCATGAAGCCTTGTCCTGCAAGCTGCATGCTCGAACGATTGCTACTGGCACCTCGACCGGTAATGTCAATACTGGTGTTTGTGGTAGATCTGCTGAGATTCGTGCTCGAGTGCCCTGCTTTCTTGCCAACGTTGCCAACAGCGCCAACGAAACCGGCAACGCCCCCAAAGACAGTCTTGCCACCTTGAGCAACTCCGCCAGCGACTTGCTTTGGAGCTTGAGTAAGGACATTCATCATGTCTCCCCCCAACTTGCCAAACGCATCCGGAGTCGGCCATCCGAAGCCTTTGCTGCCGTTTGGAGACTTGTTGAGGCCTTGGTCTTTTTCGAGAAACCGTTTCATGCCCTCGCTCTCTGCCAGTGTCTGGAAGCGGACAGCATCAGCCAGATAACGTTCAAGCTCAGTCCGGAGCACCGCTTTCGTATGTGTCTTCCACTTCGGCAGCTCATTATGCGCTTCGGTGAAACGCGTTCCGGTGATAACAGAGATGCGCCTCAACACTTCGTGCAGTGTTTCGAAATCGGCATACTTTCGTACAATCATCCAGCCAGGGAAAGCAGAGTTGGCCGGCTCAATTTGAATGAGCAGGTCATTGTTGGGCTTGGCTTTGATAGAAGCTTTTTCCCCGGGGACACTGTCATCAAAGATACTGATGTTGGCATTCAGTAGAGTCAGCACCGGCGCCCTTTTGATCGGGATCTCTGATGCTCCCAATGCCGTAGGCTGAACCTTTGGGACAATCTGATCAAAGCTTGTGAATTGCGTGCTGGGAGCACTTGTGTGATCTTGTCGGCTATGCCCAGCCACGAAGCTTCCAGCTACTGACCTGGAATCCTCTGACTGGCGATCGCGATCGCTCTCGCTCGATGTCGGCGTTGGGATTCCTTGTGTGGACGCGTCAGTGCTGTCCGCAACATTGGGTGGCGTCGCCTGGCTGGCTTGTTCTTGATGTGCTCTGCGATTGTCCTCCTCAATCATAAGCTCGGTCAATCTCTTTGCCTCACGCATTGCCTCATCCATTGCTTCCTCTGCCCTGCTCATCGTTCGTCTGCGTGCCGCTGCGCTCGTGCTCTTTTCCTCACTGGTAGCTTCTTGCTCTTGACCCATCTTCCGGGCGACCTTTCGTGTCTCGACCCTCGCCCGTCCCTCAACTCCAGCGTCCACAAGGTCCATGACTTCCTTCGTAGTTTCCGACTCTTCCAATGCATACACTATCCATTCGTTAATCCACGAGGGTTCCGAGCATTTCGTAAGGCTGTATCCAAGAATCAACTGCGCCTGTACTTGTTTGAGGAAAGCATGGACTGGCGGACAATTGTAGGATTTGGGGTCGAGGTACGCCTGGAGAATCTCCTCCGCTGCTTCTTCCAGCTTGATCTTCTGCGAGTCTTGATCGAGCATGTAAGCCAGGCTGCTTTCAGGCTTCAGTTGTAGATATGCACTGATTGCCTCTTCTGGTCTTGAACTGGGCGAAGCATTCAGCGCGAGAGCCAGCTCGTTCAGGAAGACAATCAGGATGGAGCTGGCGTTGGTGAGGAAGTCGAGGAAGCTGTCAGCAGCTCGTTTGCGCTGGAGGTGGCCTGACAGTGATAGCATAAATGCAGTGAATGTTCGTCTACAGATCGCTGGGAACGTCTCCTCGCCGGGAATGGTGGCATTGTACCAGTGATGTACATAGTCCTTGATGACTGCGGTGGTAAAGGCATCCAATGCAGCGGCCGTCTCAGGCTCAAAAGAAGAGTAGTCCAGCGCCTGGCTGGCGTATATTCTGCTGTCTTCGGCATGGGACTCAGCCCTGCTGCTGCTTCTCCACTCCAAGACTCTCTTCACCACGTCGACGCCTGCCTCTCGCCGTCGCTCCGCCTCTGCAAGCCTCGCAGCAGGATCTCCCCTCCCACTCCGGGTCCCGTCCCAAGTTGCCTGCAGCACCACGCCGCCTGCGACGCCAATGATGACCAGCCCGACTCGGCCGAGCACCATATACGTGGTTGCACAGAGCCCTACCAAGCACGCCCCCAGCGTTTCATTGCTTGCCGTGGACAAGAAATTCAACGCCTTGTCTGTGAAGGACTGCAGCGAAGATGTCACCGACTGCGGCTCGGTAGGTATCGTGGGAGCGGTGGGAGCGGTGGGAGCGGTGGGAGCGGTGGGAGCGGTGGTCTGCGGTGGCAGCTCTTCATCGGCATCGACGGCATCGTCAGCTGGCAAAGGAACCGGACCGTCCTTTGCAGCGCGCGCGGGCGTGTCTATCCTCGTGTCGTCCATGGTCGCAGCCGAGAACTTGTCGCACAATCATATCAGTAAGGTAATGTAATACAGATGGTACCTTCTAGGAGGTATTGTCAGAAGACATGCGCACGCATTATGATTGTACTGTGGTCCACAGCCTCTTGAAGAAGAATAAGGTATACACTAGGAGGTAGATTGTCATCAGCATCTGAGCGTCTGAGCGTCGCGTCCGCCCCGCCCCGGAATTGGGGATGATCCGCGACCGGGATTTTTTTGTTTGTGCGCCGCGCCCTAGGAGGTAGGAACTCGCCGGGACGACGTATGACTCCGGTCAGCGATAGGAACAATTTGAATGGAATGGCACCGAATTCTGCCAATACAACAACCTGCGGGCCGTCCAGTTTCCTCCCTCCCGACAACTGCAACTTCCTTACACGTCCTTACATGTACCCTTAGCGAGTCAGCACGACACCAGACAAGACAAGACCAGACCAGACCAGACCAGACAAGCCGACCCCTCCCCCCCCCACCAAGACATCATGGCCGCACCGCCTGCACCAGAGCCACTCACCGGCAAGGCCGCCGAGAACTTCGAGCTCATCAAGAGCAATCTGCAAGAAGTCCTGAACCCCGAAATCATCGAAGATGTGCTGCGCGAGGGAAAGCGACCGCTCAGCATCTACTGGGGAACTGCCACGACGGGGAAGCCTCATTGCGGATACTTCGTGCCCATGCTCAAGATTGCTGAGTTCCTGGCGGCGGGATGCGAGGTCAAGGTGCTGTTGGCCGATGTGCACGGCTTTCTCGACAATCTCAAGGCGCCCATCGACTTGGTCGTGCTCCGAGCAGAATACTACAAGCATTGCGTGACGGCAGCATTGAAGGCCGTCAACGTCGACGTCTCCAAGCTCAAGTTCGTTCTGGGTAGTACTTACCAAACGACTGGCGAAAGCGGCGCAAGATACTTTATGGACCTGCTCCGACTGAGCACATCTGTTTCTGGTCACGATGCCTCCAAAGCTGGCTCCGAGGTCGTCAAGCAAGTCGAGAGTCCTCCGCTGTCATCGCAAATCTACCCGCTCATGCAAGCTCTCGATGAAGAATATCTCGGCGTGGATGCACAGTTCGGTGGTGTGGATCAACGCAAGATCTTCACCCTCGCAGTGGAGGCTCTGCCACGAATTGGTTTCAAGAAGCGCGCGCATTTGATGAATCCCCTTATTCCTGGACTGCAAGAAGGTGGCAAGATGAGTTCATCCGACCCAGACTCGAAGATTGACCTGATTGATCCCCCTGAGATTGTCAAGAAGAAGCTGAAGAAGGCCTTCTGTCCGCCCAAGCAAGTGGATGGCAATGGCGTGCTCAGTTTCGTCGAATTCGTCCTCCTTCCCGCTTCTGCGCTGCGAAACAACGGTGCCCCGAAATTTGTTGTTGAGCGTCGTGATGCTGAACCACTCATCTACTCGGACATCAAAAAGATGCAGGAGGATTACCTAGCAGACATCCTGCAACCCCAAACGTTAAAGCCTGCCGTCACAGCCGCACTCCTGGAAATCTTAGCGCCCATTCAGGAGACATTCGAGAACAGCAAGGAGTGGAAAGAGGTGGAGCAAAAGGCTTATCCTCCACCCCCTGCGCCAGAGAAGAAAGCCAAGAAGGTGAAGAATCTCGGCAGCCGATTCCCTGGTGCAAAGCCTGCCAATGGTGACGTGGCTGCGAAGCCAGATGGATCCCTCGAGGGGCCTGGCGCACAGGAAGCGAGCGTCGGCAAAACGACAGAAGATGCAATGAACGCACTGAGTGTCAGTGAGGAGAAAAGATAGCAACCAGTGCTCAAATACCACAATGGACAGGGGAATCGAAGAAGTGACAGGTGCATGTGCACGACCAAGACATCATCATTCCCAGGTCTCAACATAAGTATGATTCTACTCACGCTCTTGCCCTTGATGATAGCATGTAATCTACTGACCGGTACTCAATTGTACCCTGTCAAGTCATGCAGCGCATGCGTTCTCCGGTCCATGATATCCAATGAAAAGACATAAACGGTCGCTTAAGTGCAGCCGAACATGCAGCATTGGTAGTGCTCGGAGCTGATCCCACAGAGGCCGCCCCGAGGCCCGCAGCAAACGACAAGGCATCATGATTCGAAGGCAAATGTGCAGTGTAACAACACCCAGCTGGCCACGCCATGCGAACAGCCTCGAATACCCGCTCAGCTCACACAATGACACCAAGGTTGTTCTCTATGTCATCACAACCAGGAAACCTCAGCTGCATACCACACATAAAGTTGCACTTTCACACTCTTCACTGATCGAGCTTAGGTTAACGTACATCTTCATGCACCAACTTGCCACCTCGTCAACGCTTTCACAACACCTACGAGAACCAAAGCATGAACGAAGAGGTCCTCGAACTCCACGTGTCCGATGCGGCGACAACGTCTGACTCGAACGATCGCCTTGAAGCCCTTCAACTCTCCCTTCGAGGCTGGCCGCTGTTCCACCTACAACGCCTCGGTCTCTCACCCGGCTCGTGGAGAGACCAGTTGATGGAGAAAGGTCATCAATCAGATCCAGTCTGCCTGATTTGTGGCGACTCCACCTCCGCCGATACGCAGATACTCAAACTCTCCTGCAACTGCCATCACTGCAACAAATGCCTCACCCGTCTCTTCACCGCCGCAGTGACGGACGAATCTCTATACCCACCGTCCTGCCATCGCCGGCCCATACCTCTCAACAAAGTGTCTCGTCACTTACCTTTGACGCTCGTGCGAACGTACCGTGCAAAGAGCCTAGAGCTGTCCACTCCAAACAAAGTCTATTGCTCCAATTTGAAGAACGGCTGCAACGCTTTCATCGCCCCGCATAGTATTCACAACGGCCAAGCATTTTGTCAGACTTGCGGGATGAGTACTTGTGTGAAGTGCAAGGAGGAAACTCATTTCGGACCGTGTGACGATGGGACTGGGAATGAGAGCGGGCAAAACACGACTTTGTTAGGACTCTTGAATGGGTTAGCGAAGCAGGAGAAATGGCGGGTTTGTCCTAGCTGTGGAAGGCTAGTTGAGAAGGCCGATGGGTGTAACCATATCCTGTAAGTTCTCAAATTCCCTCTCCCCCGTCATAGCGACGTTACCCTCGACCCAGGGTGGGAAGTAGTACTGATGAAGTTGCTACTTCTTAGCTGCCGCTGCGGTTGCGATTTCTGCTACTCTTGTGGTACACTCTTAGACAAGTGCGTTTGTATCGATGATGATGGATTGGAAGAGGAGGAGGAAGACGAGGAGTACGAACAGGGCCAGGCCGACTATCATCATCGACATCGACAAGAGTGGGCTGCTCGTGAGGCTGCAAATGTTCTTCGAAGGCTTAGAAGTCGGAATCGCCGGGAGTTGGAAGAGGATATCATCGAGGATACAATGGTAGCGCCCTTTGATTTGGTTGATGATGATTTCACTGATCGGTAGGGGCGAGCCTTTGTTTACATGAACCTTATGAAGAAGTTGAGGGTGCAGTGCGTGTAAAGGGAAATTGCAGACTATAACTAATTCACCTCATCTGCCTACCTACCTCCTAGGTACCTAGGTAGGTACATACATATGTGTTGTTTTCTATACCTTTATTATAGGTATGCATCTCTTCGGGATGGCCCGCAACCCAGTGCCCGCGCCCGGTGGATCTTGACTTTTCGGAGCTCCATGTCATTGTATTCCGATTTGGCACGAACATGAACTTCAGTGCCGCACGTACAGCGCCTCTGCTGTCCCCGGCTACAGCAGCAAGAAGTGTACCACGCACTCCACGAGCCTGCTTTGTCGCGCAATGGCTGCAATCGCGTCGAAACTTGAGCATCACACCTCTGAGAGCGACACCCGAGCCAGCCATCCCCCTCCGAAAACACCTGAAAGATGAAGCCAAGCGGAAGAAGGCCGAAGCGAAGTTGTCGAGCGTCAAAAAGGTCAAGGCAGATCCGCGGCTGGACAAATGGGAGCTCACAGTGGGCATCGAGATCCATGCCGAGCTGAATACGGCGTGTAAGCTCTTCTCGAGTGCTCCCGCTCTGGCTGGGGAGGAGAATGCAGCTGCAAACACCAAAGTTGCTCTGTTCGATGCAGGTCTCCCAGGTGCGCAGCCGCAATTCCAGGTGGCAACCCTGCTGCCCGCGCTCCGAGCAGCAGTAGCATTGGGCTGTGATATACAACATAAAAGTGGATGGGATCGAAAGCACTACTTCCACTGGGACCAGCCGAATGGATATCAGATAACACAGTACTACGGTATGTAGACTCTGCCATAGCTTAGCTCGTACCATTTCATACCAGCTAGTAACTCATTTCTTCCGCCAGAACCCTTCGCCAGAAACGGGCACCTTGTCCTAACGCCTGAAGATGGCGTCCCATCCTCTGACCTCGACGGCGCGGATCACCTCACGATAGGGATTAAACAGATCCAAATGGAACAGGATACGGCCAAAACCAATGCTGTCGGCCTCTCCACCTACCACATAGACCTCAACCGCGCGGGCCACCCTCTCATCGAAATCATCACCTTACCTCAGATCCATTCCCCCCAAACAGCTGCAGCTCTAGTCCGCAAGATTCAAACGATCCTGCGCAGTGTCGATGCCTGCACCACAGGAATGGAACTGGGAGGTCTGCGCGCAGATGTCAACGTCTCCATTCGTGAACGCGGAACAGCAGGGACCGGCTCCACGTATAGTGGTGTGGAAGGGTTAGGTCAAAGAACAGAGATCAAGAATTTATCTTCATTCAAGGCGGTAGAAGATGCCATTGTTGCCGAACGAGATCGTCAGATCTCGGTCTTAGAAAGTGGCGGGAAGATTGAAGGGGAGACAAGAGGTTGGACACTCGGTGCGGCGGAGACTACACGATTGAGAGGAAAAGAGGGGGAGGTGGATTATCGGTATATGCCTGATGGAGATTTACCTCCACTGATCATTGGGGAGGACGTGGTACAATATCTGAAGCAGACTTTACCAGAGTTACCCGAAAACACTGTTGAGAGGGTGGTCCACAGGGCTGGTCTGAGCCCGAAGGATGCGAAGACGATGGTCGGACTGGACGATGGCGACAGGTTGGAGTTTATGGAAGAAACCATCGAGTCTCTGAAGCAGAAATGGCAGGAGCAGACTCAGCCCGAGGATCTGCACAAGTTCGGCAAGATCGTAGGTAATTGGGTTCTGCACGAGTTGGGAGGTCTTCTTGACGCTTCGGTTTCATGGGACGATGTCTCCATCACTCCACAAGAACTTGCCGATATCATCTACAACCTGCTGCAGAAACAAATCACGGCTCGAACAGCAAAGCAGCTTCTGTCGGCCCTATTTGATACTCCTCTTGCTTCAGCTTCACGACCGAGCGTGGAGCAGCTGATCGAAACCGGCAATCTGCGACTTCGACCCCTTTCCGAGGATGCTTATACAGAGCTCGCGCAGGCTATCATGAACGAGAACCTGGACATGGTCGCTGCCGTGAGGGACAAAGGTCAAAAAGGAAAGATTATGTGGTTCGTAGGCCAGATGGTGAGACGAGGTGAAGAAGGGACTGTAGAGCCGGAGATGGCGAGGCGAGTAGTTGAGAAGATGCTTGCAGGCTGAAATTCCCGCTGTCGACGCTCAGTCGTGTCCTGCTGTCTGTTCTTAGGTGTCGATATTAGTCGGTGTCGAGCGAGGATCCCTACATGGGCCATCCAGTCTTCCCGTCGTATTAGGGGTCTCGAGCGGGTCAATAGTTGCAGTGCCGGATCCACATTGCTGGTGGCCACTCTCCACATTTCAGGGTACGTATGTTGGCGCGATCTGGAGCTGGAACCACGTTGAAGCGGTCGGACTCATTTCCAATGGCGTGTGGTCTCGGGCGTGGTTTCAGGAGCTGGCCGCGATACCACGGAGTCGCAGTAGGAGCACCGGTTCGACATTCACAATAACTTGCGTCGCCGTTCTATTGGCCCACTCATATCGATCGGTCGCCGAGCATGGCTCATACCGGACCACGTGATTCTCCTGTCCTCACGACATTCCCTTGATTCTGAACTGCGGACAATGTTAAGTCTGGACACGTGATTTTGTCGCGCGATCAATGATCGCTGACGACTTCAGGATTGGAATAGGTACGGTCATTGATTGCGTATGTAGAGCTTCATGCCTCATGCGTTCACAAGCCGATCGGCTGGTTCACCGCGCCAAGGCGCCGTCCCTTCACGGCCGAGAAGATGGATGACCGTACGAGTTCGATGCAAGGATGAATTATCATTGCCAATACAACAGGCCAGCGCAGATGTCCAAACCTGTGAACTACGTGGTCAGGAGCACATCTTCACGCTCGACACGTTTGGCTTCATGAAGCAGTCCAGCGTGAACTGCACTTCGCCACGCTGTATTAATCTGCAGCAGATTTGACTGCTGCAGCGACCTTTCACGATAGTCAGCGTGGAAGCACGAAAACTCCGAAGGCGGTCTGCATCGCCGGCATTCTGCCAAAGCTGACGACAACCATTTCTGGGCAGCCAAGATAGAGCTTGATCCGTCATGACGAGGCATAGTACAAAGGCTTATCGCAAGAGATGGTTGTGACGACTGTGCGAAGAGCTTCTTCCAGACGCTATCATCATACGGTATACCCACCCCATGTAGCAGCCCTCAGTCGATGGCTGATTCCTTGACAGAACTTCTTTCCTCAGTCTGTTCATGGCATTGAGGACTCTGCTGGAGATGAGCCAACTTCCAATGTCAACCCATAGGCGACTCAACAAGTCGTTCCCACAGTGGACATCTCGCTGGCGGAGGGATGGAAGCAAGAGTTGTGTTCGTATTGTGTGTGTGTCGAAGGGGGAAAGTGAAGGTGAAGCTCACCTGAAGCTCCACTACTTTGTACGGTCCGCACGGGACGGCAGGTGGGGTCGGTGCACGGTGCTCCTACCTCGCGAGCTTATAAGAAGCTCGTTGTTTCCTCGCCTGGAGCTCTTAATGCCAAGCACCCCCAAACAGAACTCATCCCTTCAACGCTGACGCGACAATCTGCAAACAACGAACAGCAACCGACAACAACGACAACGACAACGACGACAACGACAGCAACGACAACAACGACAACAACAACAACCCGTAACAACAACAAACCCCAACCACAACGCCTTCACCACAAAGCCCTTGCCCAAACAGCAGCTTCCACCATTCCACTTCACGCGAGCGAGAGTCATTGACGCGACCAAGCTTCGGAACACGCCTACCTACATATCGATGCATCTGGCAACCTTGAGCAGTCATGCGAACACCCTCGTAGATGAATCTTGTGCCTCTTGCGTGACTTTGTAGAGTGACTTTGAGCTTCTCTGATCTTCGTGCATGGTACTGAACTCTTGCACTGGCGCCTTGTTCCTTCCAACTGCGAAGCCTGCCTGGTTCTTCAACAACCTTCCCGTTCTATCCACATCGGAGCTCACACAACACACTGCACCATATTGTCGCGCTCCTGCGACCATACCATGTAATCGGGAACAGTCTACAGCCTGATCGATCCAATGCGGCTGTACACACCGGACACGCTTCTGTATCCGATCACGGTTACCAAGTTGCTGAAGCGACGAGGAGACACTGTCGAGGTCAATTCGCCGCTTTTCCTCTACAACTACAAGAGCATCGTCACGGAATTCGACGAAGATACGAGAGAGAATGTCCAGAGGGAGCGGACATGGCCGGCAACATTCGAGAGCGAGCTCGAGGGCACGATAGACTCGCTGGACATCAAAGCAGGCCAGGTGCTGGTACGCAAGACGGTAGTCGCAGACGTGGAAGAGGCGTGCAAGCATGAGATACAATATGGAGGCCTTTGCGCGAGCTGCGGCCTAGACATGAAAGAGCGTACTTCGTACAACGAAACCACGGCACGCTCAGCTCGCGCGACGGTGAACACAGTGCATGGACGCACAGATCTCCTCATCTCCCAAGACGAGGCAACCAAGACCGACGAGGAAGGCAAGCGTAGATTATTGGACTCTCGAAGATTGAGCCTAGTCGTGGATCTGGACCAAACCATCATACACGCTTGCGTTGACCCCTCGATTGGAGAATGGCAAAACGATCCGTCCAACCCGAACTACGACGCGCTGAGGGACGTGCAGGCCTTTCAGCTTCGTGACGACAACAAGCCTGTCGCCACATGGTATTACATTAAGCAGCGACCTGGACTCCAGAGCTTCTTGAAAGGCCTCTCCGAGCTCTACGAAATGCACATCTATACCATGGGAACGCGAACGTATGCAGAAGGTGTTGCGAAGATTATCGACCCCGACGGAAGAGTGTTTGGAGATCGTATCGTGACACGCACTGAGAGTGGCAGCGATAAAGAGAAGAGCTTGAAGAGATTGTTTCCAACAGACTCGAAGATGGTGGTGATCATCGACGATCGGGCGGATGTCTGGCGCTGGATCTCGAACCTGGTGAAGGTCAATGTGTTTGAGTTCTTTGTTGGTATTGGCGACATCAATAGCAGTTTCTTGCCCAAGCGACCCGAGCTCGAGGCAGCCAAGTCACAAGCACCGAAGATGCAGCGAACTCCATCCAACAAGGAACTTGCGGATGCTCCTGACAGTGCGAATGGCGAGACAGTGGCTGAAGCAGCAGCCGCCACTAGCCCAACACTTGCTCCTCCCTTGACTACGCCTGCCCCGACCAACGGCGATGCATCAGCTATTGATCGACTGGTGTCCATGGCTGGTTCACAAGACGCAAAGAGCATACAAGAGAAGACAGAAGAGCATGAGCAGATGCTACAGGAACAGCTTGACGACCGTCCCATGCTCAAGAAGCAGAAAGAGCTGGAAGACCTGGCAAAAGAGGAGGAGGCCAAGGCATCGCCAGCCGTCGAGGCTACGGCAGAATTGCTTGCGGGAGATGGCAGTGTTGGGGCAGAGTTCAGCACAGTAGACTCTGCACAGTCCCGGTACCGACATAATTTGTTGGTAGATGATGACAACGAGCTGCATTATCTCGAGCAGAGCCTGCGGAACATACATGCAGCCTACTACCATGAGTATGAGAAGCAAGCAATGGGCAGCAAGGGTGGTCGTGTGTCAGAACTACGTCCAGGTCTCAGCACGAAGCGGTCAGCCGATGATGAACTGCAGCATATTCCCGATGCCGCTGTCGTCATGGACGACCTGAAATGCAGAGTGTTGGCAGATTGCCATATTGTCTTTTCGGGTGTCGTTCCATTGGGGGTTGATCCCAACAATCACGACGCAGCTCTTTGGGCCAAGAGCTTTGGTGCCTCTGTGAGTCAACACATCACGAAGAAGACGACACATGTCATTGCGTCACCCGAACGCAAAACCGCCAAGGTGAGGCAGGCGGCGAAGAGGCCTCGTATCGCCGTCGTCAGCCAGCACTGGTTACACGCTTGCTTCTCACAATGGAAAAAGGTCGATGTTGGTCCATACCAGATTCACTCGGATGCTCCTGCCAACGGAACAGGCAGCCTGCCGGAGAGTTTCGATGATACAGCATACAACATCTCATCTTCAGAGGAGGAATCTGCTGTTACTGAAGATGAAACAGAGGGCAGTGATACGCCGAACAGCACGGGCCTGACTGTGGCCATTGATCCCGATGAGGAAGAGCTGCTCAAGTACGCACCGTCCATGACGCGACAAGACAGTAGTCCCATCGAGGGCGAAGCTCCCGATGACTGGGACGACATGGACGACGAGTACAAGAAGTTTATGGAAGGAGAAGATCTTGATAGCGAGAGTGACAACGATAGTGTGAAAAGTGGAAGATCTACTCCGGACAGCGCCCGGAAGCGAAAGCAGGATGACCGCGAGAGCGATGGGGAAAGTGAGAACGGCGGCAGCCGGTTGCAGAAGAGGAAGAAGCAGGCTATAGAAAGGACGACGAGCCTGACGAATCTGGTCGTGCAGAGCAATGGCTCGACACCCGCTGCAGATGGCCCCACGGAACAGGACGGCGGTGGAGCAGAGGATCCAGATGAGGATGGTGACGATGACTTGGAGGCTGCTTTGGCTGCGGAGATGGAGCGGCAGACGGAAGAAGATGAAGGGGAAGCATAGGAGCTGCATGCAGACTGGCGACCTCCGATTCAGCACATGCCAGTGGGGGGTGGTACTGGGCCACAACGGCGCCCGAGTAGGAGGTAGTTCAGCAGCACTGCAGGTTGCAACAAGGCATCCAATGGCGATTTGCATAGAGCGATGGCGCCGGTCTCGTGCACATTTAATTATTGGGAGAGGCACTTGGAGGCGTGCAATGATGGACGTGGTATGATATGTTACCTATTACCATACAGACAGGTTCCTGTTCCTGTGAGCCGTGAGCCGTGAGCCGTGAGCCGTGTGTCGTGACGGAGGACGATGTGTTGTACCTCCCGTCCTATTCATTTTCTCTTGGGATCCGTGATCTAGAAGTCTCAAGTGGGTCGGTGGTGTTACCGGTGAGCAAGGCTGATGCCTGGTGGTGTACCTATAGATATGAGGCTAACACGAACCGCATCCTCTCCATCCTCTCCACCCTATCACCATCCGCCGCAAAGCTGCTTCAAGTGACCAGATCCACAGCTCTGCGTCTGCATCTGCATTGCATGGCATTGCTCGAGAGGACAAGGCTGAGCTGAGCACTGTAATTGTGCGCCTTGACAATACCTGACTGAAGTACACAGTACAGTACCTACCTTGCCCTCTCCGCGCCGCCTCGTCTGTCGTTTCGTGCCTGGCACAGCATCACCATCCATCGCCATCAACACGGGCAGTCACCACAGCACCCGTCACGCGCGAGAGACTCACTTGTGCTGACGGCACGTCTACTCACTCCCTCACTCACCCACTCACTCGCTCGCCCGCATCAAGTATCCGTCCAGCTGGCTTCGTTCGCCATAGACTACATGCTCGAGACTGTGCTTCCACCTGCAGCAGACTTGTATTTCAAGTCTTCATTCTCACCTCGTCCTCCACGCAAACGTGGCAAGAAGTGAGGCCTACGGTGGCAGGGAAAGAGATAGCAACAGAAGAATACCTTGCACGAACAGCACTACTGGGTGCTATCACACATACACGCACGCCCGCACGCACGCACGCGAGCTCACTATGGCCACGGCCGTAGCGACTCAGACCGAGACGCTCGTCGCAAGGCCGAAAGAGAAGCACAAGACGACTCTCCACGACCTGTCCGAAGAGCTCGTCGGCCTCGTCATTGAGCGAGTATGCCGGACCACTCGAGGCCTGAACACGTGCTCACAAACAGCTGTACTGACACTGGCTAGGTGATTCGTCCCTCCGATCTGAAGAATGTATGTCGCGTATCCAAGCAGTTTCACAAACTCGCCGTGCGCTTCCTCTATCGTAATGTGTCTCTCGATCTGGGAAGTGACAATGACAATCGGCTCTCATCTTTCCTGAATCCGCGCAATATTGGTCTCAAGCACATTCGACAGCTCAGGCTATATCTCGCTGAATCGACAGACCGGTGTAATCAAGAGCGACAGGCACAATTTGCAACTCGTATGATCTTGGAGTTTCTGCCCGAGGACATTCTCGAGGAATTCAGGTGCGTATACAATATCGGCATCACCCGCGATACCCGAGATCATTCCAATACCGCGCATGGGGCCTGCTTCCCCATCTGGCGCTACACAGCCGCTGTGCTGATGCTAACAGTTATCTTCGGAACAGCTGGTGCCCTTGGAAGACATTTTCTGCCGAAACACTACTACTCCTCTACAAGCGTCAGCGCAAGATGAAATGGCTCGAAGTTATGGACCTAGATCGGGACATTTTGCCGGAGCTGAAAAAGGCTGTCAAGACAACGACTACCATGTTTGAGAGTACAAGGAAGCTGGCACTCTATCCAGAGAATCGAGCCACCCTCAACTTGAGCGGTTTCTTCCTGGAACATTGCAAAGACAAGGTGGAAGAGCTGATTGTGCATTGCAACTTCAGCGACCAGGGAAGCCCAGATGTACCCAATAATCGTGAGCTCAATGACTCTGCAACATCCCCGGGGTTGCTGAGCAGGTCGCTATTTGCCAGTATGGTGCCTTTCGAGAGGTGTGAGCCTCTGAAGAGCCTGACGAGTCTGCGCTTACACCGCATCAATCTACGGCATTGCGCCGATACGTGGTGCCGAGCCCTCAGCTTCCACCAGCTCGAACACTTGAGACTCTACCACTGTCCTGGAGCAGATACCCTGCTTGGCCAGCTTTCCAAGTCGACACATTTGCCAAAGACGCTGAAAGTGCTCGAACTACAGCATCGCGACAACTCCGACAGCGAAACTCTTCTCGCCCTTGACGGCTTTCTCTGCCTCGTCTCCGGCCTACACGATATCGTGATCGATTTGGAGAATGCAAAGGCCCTTCCTGCTGCAGCTGGTATTGTTCGGCACAGCAAGACTCTCGAGCTTCTGAGCGTGCATTGTGCTGGTTCTGCCAGCCATGCCCCCACGTCCATGAACGCGGACACGGAAAACGAGGAATTGGTCTGGGATGCTGAAGATGTGGAGAAAATATGCCAAGCATGCAAAGGCCTTGAGCAACTCTCTTGTGCGTGGCCGCCTACCAGCCTGATCCGCAGCCCAAGTAGCGAATGGAGACGGTTCGAGACTTGTATCCTAGAACTCAGGAATATGGTTACATTGCATATCACCACCTGGCCGAACAACAAACCAAGCACACAGCTCCTGCCAAGGGTGGTGTACCAAAGCTTGATTCGGGAATTGGCGCAAAGAGTCTTCGAGAAGGCAGTGAGTGGAAAGAGGAACCCTTCAGTCTCTAGCGGCGCAGACGAGGGAGACGGTACAGCAGAAGGCACGGTATATGGTCCGTCCGACACAGAACGACCTTCCAGACTCAAACTCATCGCATTCGGCAATTCGGATAAGATTTACGAACGCGAGGACTCCCAAAATCAGATCATCTACTTGAACTCGACGGCGATAGATGCCGAAGGCAGGTCCGTCCCGCATGCTGTTGCCATAGGGTGGTGTTTGCGGCAGTACGTTGAGCCGAGGAGTGAAGTGCTAGATTTTGTGCTGCACGACTACAATCCTCCAGTCAGTGACTTCCACGCAGGAACAGGAAGAGTGAGGCACCCTCCTCCGGGTTGGGACGATGAGGATGACATCTAAATTGTGAGTTTTCGATTCTGGTCCATGGGGTGCAGATATGATGATGCTCATATCTATGAGCTCACAGAAGGAGTGAACAGACTGCTACAAGTAAAACAGAACAGAACAGAATGTCAATGTTATGCAGAGGTGCTAGAGCCGAATCGGCCAAGATTCATCATTGTAGATATGAACCGCCAATAATACAGCGGGAATCAGACTTGCACAATCACCTTGATCTGACTATGTATGCAGGGGCGGTCATAAACTGACTGATATGGCTGGCCCAGATGTACATGTATGTATGTATGTATGTTTTCACAAAATAGAACAATGAAGCCTGTGTACCTATATATGTATGAATCAGAAGAAAAAGGTCAGAAAGAAAAGAAAAGAAACACAATATGGACATTGACAATATATGTCGTTATCTCCATCTCTTACTCACTCACTCACATCAAACTCTTGAAGATCAATAGTGGAGAGCGAAACAAGAGAATATCCCACCTTAGTTGTTCGTATGGGGGGCTTTTTTTTCCAAGGGTTACTCAACAGCACAGCGAAATATCTAGTTCGGGTAGTATTGACAATGTATATTATATTATATGTATATATATATAAATATTATTATATCGATCACTTTTCCTGGCCTACCTGGTTCGGAGACAAAAATTGGCAACAAGTGTTTTCTTCTTAAAAAGACAAACAAGACCTTGTGTGTGTTGCGACCGAGAGGTTGAGGAGAGAGAGAGAGAGAGAGAGAGAGAGAGAGTTTTCTTGGGAAGAACGAATCATTGGAGAGGTGATTCTGAGAACGAATAATTGCGACAAAGTCTATCTCGGGGATACTCTCGTGGACTGCCAGGTCGACGACCCAGGCGGCGGATGAGGATGACCAAGCACCATGCACCAAGATATACCGCCAGACAGGAAGAGAGGGCCATTTAGTGACCGAGGAACTCCTGCGTGAGATTCTATTTGATGGAATTGCAGCTGTTCTATTCTCACGCACGTATGTAGGGGACAGCTCGTTGCGACGGTCTGCTTGCGACTAATCGGATCGATGCCTCGAGGGTCCATGTCGGGCCCGCGAATATACCACCGGGCTTGTGTCGGTCGAACAGCAAGATTCTGGCGAGCTCCCCAATACCCCTAAGCCATTGCGAGCTCGAACAGACTATGTACCGTTCGAGGCGGCGTGGAAGAGGAAATGGAGACGGATGCCTTCTCCGACTGGGCGTGTTCGATAGCAGGGTCGGAGCGGACGTGGCAACAGTAGAACGCCTTGTGCTGTGCGGATTCTTCGTCACTGCCGCCTGGGCAGATTGACGAAGTCGCTGAGAGGAGCGAGGACGCGGTTTCATGATCGCGTGCCTTCATACCCAGTGATCCTTATGGCGCCCACTAAAAGCGCCGAGCTCGATACCTTACCTTACTTCACCTCGACCCTGGGTCCGTTACTCTCACTGCGTAAGCAGATTCATACATGATAGTCGTCTTTCTGCACACCTCAATCCGCATCACGCAATTGTATGAGCTGTGATAATCTCCGTTGGTGGACGTGGCCGTTCATGGCGGGAATGAAGCTGCTGGCTTTGGGCTTGCTGTCGGTTCGTGTGCGTGTAGTCATTGACTTTTGGGGGCTCGTGTGTGATTGGGCCATAGGTCGCATGGGCTGAGATCTGTGTCAAGTTTTGTTAGCGTCGCGAGTGACGATCATAATGGGTACATTGCCTCGAACTGGGAAGAGAGTGCCCTTGGCCAGGTAATCCTTCGCAACGCAGAATGAGGACCGAGGTGTGTTGAGACGGGATTGGGGTCGTAGGGCAGGCTTACGGTGTCATGGCTCTCGTGCTCCTGATCGACTTGATCGCTGGAAGTGAAGGTTTCAAGCTGACCACATATGTTAAGCGGTCAGTGAAGAGATGGCTCAGCTCAGCTTGAATCGCAGGTATTGCGCCAAAGATGACGCCACCAACTGGAAATAGTGCAGCCTCGAACAGACCAGCCACCTGGAAGACGTTGGGTGTGATGCCATCGCCGTCTTCAATCTCCTCTAGTAAGCCTGCCTGGCGCATCTCTTCCTGGCGCAAGCCTACGCATAGCTTGTGATACCGCTCGAAGAGGTAGAAGTAGCATAGCATGGTGCACCATCCAATCAACCGACAGACGCTGGAGAAGTCGAGTGCCATTTTGAAAGCCGTGGGGACGAGGTAGCTTGGCGTGAACATAGTATAGATGCCCGACGTGATCAGAATCACACACAAGTGAACGGGCAGGAAGTGTGCCTCGAACATGCCTTGGCAACATCAGTATACGCCTCGGTTATGGGAGCTCATGCCTTACGATGGTATAGCACACAAAGGTTGTACCAATGGATTGGTCTTGGCGGCGCATATTGGGCGCCTGCCCCTTTCGATATTGCCGTCTTGTGCAGGCCAGTGCTGCTATCAAAGACAGGCCAGTCCGAACTGTAGTTGTTAGCGGCAATCCGCCTACTCATGCGCACCGCAAACTTACCTTGGAGCACTTTCAGGCACACCGACAGGCCTTCGGGGGGCGATTTTGTGCCTCTGTAGCATACTGAAAGTTTGCCGAATGGTGTAGCCTGTATCGAGGGCACCCCACATATGGCGCAACGCCTGCTTGTATCGTGCTTGAAGCCCTGTGAAGAAGCCTAGGAGACCTCGCTCGTCACTGCTGACATTGCACTGACTTGCTGCTGCATATACGATGCGAACCTCAAGGTTGCCAGACAATGCAAAGAAGCACTTGAGGTACATATGCATATCCTCACCAATCGCACCTGGGCCAGTATCCCAACCACCAACCTGTTCAACCAGCGTCATCGGCAGTGAGTAGACGGATGTAGGAATGCAAATGGCCGAGCCAGCATACAAGCTCGAGATACCTGCTCCAGCCCACATGAGGTCTGCTGTTCGTACAGGGAGTGGTACGTTGTGAAGATTGCGGTCGAACACAAGCGGTGGCACATAAATGGTCCTCTGGTTGGTTTCTGCGAACTCCAAATGCATGCGAGCAATCTGCGAGAAGTACCGCGACGAGAGGTGTGTGTCGGCTGCGTAAGAATTAGCATGGGCACGGAGATGGGCGACGTCGTGACGTACCATCCATGACTGTCATGATCACGTTCCGCTTCACCCAGTCCTCGGTGTAATCGCGTAGAGCTTGCTGCGCAGCCCAGGACTCATTGCTACTCTTGCCCTGCGCCTCACCAGGAATGTCACAAGGATGAACAGTGTAGCTCATGCGGAAGAAAGATGCTTCGAACGTCTTGATCAAGCTTGCAGCTTTGGAGGCAGATTTCTCCTCTTTCTCCTCCATGGCCAAATACAGCTAGTATGTGTTAGCGCGGAATGGTCGAGCATGGATCGAAGTTCCCAATCAACTTCCGCCCTAACCTACATGATAGCTTGCCCGCGCTTGTGTGTGAGATGCCAAAACTTTCAATGTGTCCTCCAGTGTCGACATCTCTTCCTTATAAGCTGGCAAAATGATGAGAAATAGAGGCACCGGCTCCTCGAATGTGCCGCTATCTCTCTTCATGCTATAAGCCCGATGCCTCGTCGTATTCGGTATCTCAAGAGCAGATTTCCTAGTCCGATCGATGACATCTCGGATGGCCCAGCAGACCCTTACGGGGAAGGCTATCGACATGACATGGCAGAAGACAGTGTAACAACTCAGGATAAGCTGAGGAAGTGTCGCCTGCCCACGGTGTCTGCCAGACTCGGCTTTACCGTACGGCGAGATGATGAATGAACATAGCAGCAGGGCAACCACGCTGCAGATGCTGAATGCTGGGATGCATCTCGTCGTCCAGACGTACGTGCTGGCCATGATTGGGGGTAGTCGCGCGTGGCAGGAGGTCGTCGTTCAAGTTCGACGCATCGGAAGGGTGCGAGTCGCGGTGATGGGAGAGGAAGCTGTCCTGCAGCTAATTGCGATTCGAACAGCGTAGCGCAGCGTTGTATAGTACAGTATTGCAGTGCGTCCTGAGCCTGTCAAGTATTTGCAAACCCTGCCAAAGCCTGCTCTTCAAAGCACTCCTTCAGTCCAGCTTCTTCTCCACGTGCCAACAATTAGCCAATACCAGAGAGTCCGCGTGGTAGGATGGCGCCAAACGACTGGTCAATGCAGATCGTAGGTCGAAAGCGGTGCTGCACAGCCTGTCGCTGGAGATGATGAGCAACAAGGTGACCCGCCAGGGCTACGAATCGAGTTCTTCGCAGCAAAGTGTCGTGGGGACGTTGTATTCGCGAAAGGTCGTCTTCGTTCGGTCCATTCGAGGTCGGTCGGCCCTTTTCTTGGCTTCTCCGCCCGGGGCCTGCCTTGGATGGCGCCTCTGTCCGCTTGTGCTTGGTATGAGATATTGCCGATCACTTTGATCCGCCATTCATGCCGGCACTCCTGTATCTATTTCATGCGCTCCAGATGGGTCAGTACCTCCTAGAGGGAAATGGCACCGCATCGAATGTCAGGGATCCATGTCGCTATTGCATCACGCAGAATCGCCTGTGTTGAGCGTGGATGAACAATACACTTCCAACGGCAGCATGCACTCCTACCTACTGGCAATCCTCGGCACAGCATCTTCCGCGGAACTCAATGTTGCTCCTTTGAATAATGCTGTCCCGAGGACTGCGATAAGCGGCGTGCGCAGACAGGTCCACCGTGGGAGTGAGCTCCCGTCCTTGCAATGACCCTCAAATTTCGAACCTCGGTATGTCCCTCGTACATATGCTTCCGCTCGGTGTCGAGCGCCATCAGCGCCGCGAACAGCATCAATCTATGGCCGTCTGAGGCGTCGCGGGCGGTGGAGAAAAGGGACGGGAAAATTGGATGCGCGAGGAGCTTCTGTGTGTGTCAGACAGAGAGAGGGCGAGGGCGAGGGCGGGCGAGAGCAAGCGTGGAGCCCAGGCATGTATTGATGTGGACTGTGGACAGAGAGCTTCACGGTCCCGTCTGATCGCAAACGTTCTGGGGCAGCATGATAAAGACGATGATGAGAAAAGGAAGCAGAAGCAGAAGCAGAAGCAGAAGTAGCCGCGTGCGTTCACAGCTCTAGCAATAATAATGCGGCCAAGCAGTCTGCCAGTGAGGGAGGATTGCCCCCGGATGTAAACATACACCGTTCACCCGTTATTCGTATCCTGAGCGCCTGCGAGCTTGACTTCCGCCGGTACCAACCATCCAGTAATCGCCGACTTCGCGATCTCGCATTAACTCCATGCGATGTCATCTTCTTGGCGAGTGCATCATGTTGATTAGAAGTACAACTACAGGTAGATACTGAGAGGGCTCACAGTGGTGTTGTGTGGTCACTGTGGTGCAGAGGAGTGGTGATGCATTCGTGTGATACGGCAGATCCTCTTAGCCAAGGCACATGTATGTAGAGGTAGCGAGAGCGATGCTTGCAGGCTGACCTACCTCCTAGGTGGTATGGTTACTAAGGTATGGTACCTTTATGTACCTAGCAATGAACCAGGTGGAGGAATGGTGTTGGCCGAATCGGGATCTTCACCGTCACGACTTGCATCGCCTTCAGCGTTCCAACTTCCATGTTCGTAAGTGTAAAGGTAGGGTACATGTACCTCCGTAGGTTGTAGGTGGTAGGAGGTAGTCAGGAACAAAAGCGCCTGGTTGTCTGAGCAGTCCCACACCATTCTCGCCGCCACAGAGTCGAAAGGCAAAAGGTCTCGTGATCATAGAGGAGGAGGTATCATCGCCCAGACTACGTCAGCCGTAGCGCCACCAAACAGCGTTCGTTGCCTAGCACTAGCCGCCTGTGTGCCTGTCGCAGCTCAAGCTCGAGCTCTCCTCTCATTCACTCTCTTCCCTCCCACCAACACCCTCGTCACTCCCCATCCATCCACTCTCCATACCATCTCTGCAAACATGAAGGGAGCTCTTATGACATCGGCCCTGGTGGCCGGCGCCCAGGCCGGCGTCCACAAGATGAAGTGAGTTGCGTGTGCCAGCTCTCGGTGCCGCGCTTGATGCTGACAATGGTGTGGTAGGCTCCAGAAGATACCCTTGTCTGAGCAGCTCGTAAGATACCATCCATCACTATCGTGGCATTGCGTATGCGTAGCTAATCATGGCATCAGGAGGGTATGAACATCGAGTCCCAGGTACAGCGCCTCGGCCAGAAGTACATGGGCATCCGCGCTCAAGGTCGCCTCGACGAGATGTTCAAGGAGACGTCTGTTGCACCAGAAGCGGGCCACCCAGTCGCCGTCAGCAACTTCCTGAACGCACAATACTTCAGCGAGATTGCAGTAGGAACACCCCCACAAGAGTTCAAGGTGGTTTTGGACACTGGCAGCTCCAACTTGTGGGTGCCGAGCTCAGAGTGCGGCAGCATCGCATGCTACCTGCACTCCAAGTACAACCATGGAGACTCCAACACATACAAGCAGAATGGTTCGGAATTTGCCATCAGATACGGCTCAGGCAGTCTTGAGGGATATGTCAGCCAGGACACTGTCCAGATCGGCGACTTGAAGATCAAGGACCAGCTCTTCGCTGAAGCTACATCCGAGCCAGGCCTTGCCTTCGCCTTTGGACGCTTCGACGGTATTATGGGTCTTGGTTACGACACCATTTCCGTCAACGGCATTCCACCACCATTCTACAACATGATTGACCAAGGTTTGCTCGATGAGAAGGTCTTCGCTTTCTACCTGAGCTCAACCGACAAGGGCGACGAGTCCGAGGCCATCTTCGGTGGCGTCAACAAGGACCACTACACTGGCGACATGACCAAGATCCCTCTTCGCCGCAAGGCCTACTGGGAGGTTGACCTCGATGCCATCACCTTCGGCAAGCAGACCGCCGAGATTGATGCCACTGGTGCTATCCTCGACACCGGCACTTCGCTCATCGCTCTTCCATCCACTCTTGCCGAGCTTTTGAACAAGGAGATTGGTGCAAAGAAGTCTTACAACGGCCAATACACTGTTGACTGCAGCGCCCGTGACTCTCTTCCAGACCTCACCTTCACTCTTACTGGCCACAACTTCACCATCGACTCGTACGACTACATTCTGGAGGTGCAGGGCAGTTGTATCTCTGCCTTCATGGGCTTCGATATCCCAGAGCCCGCTGGTCCTCTTGCTATCCTCGGTGACGCGTTCCTCCGCAAGTGGTACTCTGTCTATGACCTCGAGAACAATGCGGTCGGTCTCGCAAAGGCCAAGTAAGGAGTAGTGGAAGTACATGTCATAGTTCACGATGGCAAGTAGAGCACTCAATGGCTGAAGTAGAGGAGCAAGAGAAAGTCAAGCCCCAGGACAGCGCAACGAGCATTTGAGACTAACTAGTACGGTAATACATCATTTCATAGTATCCTCTGTACGAAGATAAGCTGCTACATATTGAAGACCTCTCGTTCATGGTACTGTGTGTCTCAATTGGAGCCCAAGGGTCATAAACCCGGATTATCTGTTGACGCCTCAGCACAAACTTCGTTGCGCATGCGACCAGATGTTGCGGCGGGGAAGCAAGCGGCGAATGCTCTCTGAGTATTGTTCGACAGCTCTATAGGATGATTTGAGCGTGTCCAATGGGAGGTAGGTAAGGTACAGGTAATGTTTGACGTGGACACGATGATTAGACATTTGCGGGACCTCTTTGCGGACCACGTTATCAGTTACAGGACCATGCTCGGTCTTGCTTTGTGCTCTCGTGCAATTAGTGGCCAGATTTTTTTTCTCTCTCTCGAGCAAGCTTTTTCCCTCGCGCCGTATCGTAGGTTGTATTGCGGCTGAGGTGATGTAAAGGATGCCAGCTGACACTTGCCGTCATCTGATGATACTGCCGAAGACTACCTTGTGTTATCTTATCGGCGCGCTCGTGGTGACAGCGAAGGCCTTCGTTGAGGCGCAGCATGTTCCTCCTTTTGTAGTAGGTACTCAGACAATGAAACGAGAATGGCCGTGACGACTTGTGCATAACGCGACGCTCGGTATACCGCGCAGGGGGCATCCGGACGCGTACGGGATGGTCGGATGCCATCACGTACAGGCAGGTAATGTAGTAGTGATATAGCTCACGCTAAAGGTAGATCGATGGCGTGGAGGTGCTGTCACATGCCAGCAGCACCCGGCGTTCAACCGATAGAACTGGAGGTACGAACCCTGAATCTCGCTCTCCACCACTGACTGACTGTTCATTGTTGCTCTGTTCCTGTTCCGTGCTTCACTCCCGTCCCCGTCGAGAGATTTCTACTGGCGCGACATCATCACGCCATCACAGTCATCTTCTGCCCATCGACCTGAGAGACTTCCACTTTCCATCTTCTACCGTAAATCACTTGGACCTGAAGTTGACCGGATCGGCATCGCCAGATTCCAGGCACTATGCCCCAATCTATAGCCATGCTTCACTGGTAACGACACGGCACCTTTGACGTTGTTGAGAGCGAGCGAGCAAGCGACAAGCGGCTAGTAGGTGAAGCACAGCCCGTGTGCTCTCCGACTCATAACGCGCTCGCAGGACTACTGAAATCTGGACAGAGCTTCGAGGCAAATCAACAAGTTCAGCGGGTTCGAGGTTGTAGTCGTCGTGCATGTGATTGCCGCCGCGTGTGAGACATCACCCACTCTTGCCTGGTGATTGCAGCACGACACCGGTATTGTTCATTCACCTGCCGACCTCAGATCTGAGATTGCTGTGTCGTGCACTGGGCATGGCGTCTTCAGGCAAGCAACATGACATCGCAGCTTCGCAGCCAGCTCTGCTGCCCATCAGAAGTGGTGCCCGCGCTACATCGTCTATCAAAAACATATCGAGCCGCGTACGATCATCTCTACCGCGGCGGCGCCTCAGCATGGACCTGCCAGAGCGACTGAGGTTCGACGAGGCCGAGGAAGAGGATGTGGACGATGGCACTGGAGTCAAGGATGGCTTTCCGGCGCGGAGCATGTACGGAATGCTTGCAGCTGCGCAGAGCAGGCCAAATTTTAAGAAGCAATTTACCCAGCAGGAAAGCGCGAGTGACAGTGAGGGCGAGGACGATAAACACAAGAGGCGGAGTGTGGACCAGCGGAGGCCATCGAAGGAGATTTCGAGAGACGCTGACAAAGGCAGGAAACCCAGTGAAGAGGGCAGAACATCGCCGAGGCCAGAAGAGAGCAGCAAGAGGCACAAAGCGCGGCTATCAGTGAACAGGCTTGCCAGGTCTGTTCTCAGCAAACATGAGCTGAAGCCCACCACAAAGCAGACGGAGTCGCAGGAGCAGGATGCCATGACATCCAGCCAGATCCTGCCTCCGAGGGTCCAGGAGACGACATCAGAAGCGCGGGCAACATTCGTGCGTCCGGACGCAACAGTGCTGGACCGAAAATTGAAAGCCATGGCACAGGCAGAACTGGACGCTTCGACGAGCACACTGACCAGCAGAAAGAGCAGAGAAGAAGGCAAGGCGTTCGGCGAAGTTGAAAGTGACAAGACCAACCATTCGTTGGCTCACGTCATTGCGGACATTTTCCAGTTCGCAGAACCAGAGGAGGTCACATCGGAATTCCAATGCTGGTATCTGCAGAATGTGCTGCTACAAGGCTTCATGTACATTACTACGAAGCATGTCTGCTTTTACGCCTATCTACAGAAGAAAACCACGAAAACGGTCAAGAGTGGACACCTCGGCAAGCTGGGGAAACACAGCTATCGATATCGGAGGTACTGGTTCGTGCTGAGAGGAGATTCCTTCTCGTACTACAACAGCTCTGCCGAGCCATATTTTCCCAACAACGTAGTAGACTTGCGATACGCTATATCTGCGGAGCTCGCAGCGGTTCCTGGTAAGGAAGAGACCGCCTCAGATTTCACGATCACGACCCCTTCCAGGGTATACCAGTACCGGGCAGATATGGTTTCATCTGCAAAGGACTGGGTCAAGCAATTACAGAAAGTCATCTTTCGGACTCATAACGATGGCGACTCAGTGAAGATCTCGCTCCCAATCGACAGCATTATGGATGTGGAACGCACGGGAGTGGTTGACTTTGCTGAGACCATCAAGCTACGAGTTGTCGACAACGAAGAGACTTTCGCTATTGATGAATACTTTTTCACGTTCTTCCATCACGGGGAGGACGCGGTCAAAGCGCTTATTGCACTCGCTGCGGGCAATGGCGCGAAGAAGTTGCGTATCGAGGGAGCAATTAGTCCGTTATCGAAGCACCGGTCTCCAGCAGGCAGAAAGATGTCATCGGCTGAGCAGTCGCCCCGTCTGAGTACCATCAAGTCGACCTTGCTGCCGGCTTCTGCTGCTGAGCGCTCAGTATCTCGATCGAGCGGGGAAAGGCGAAGGCTGGAACGACGAGCAAGTAGCGATCATGGCGTTGACGTGTCCGACAGAGGCCGCACATCTGCCAGCGCGCAGGGCAGGGATAGTCGTAACGCTTCGAAGTCGCCCATGTCGCCGTCCATACATGCATCCAGTGAGAGTTTCGTTACCTCATCAGAGCCACCCGACTCGTCCGTGGACGGAGACGCAATGGACGCGGACATGTCAGCAAGCCAGATGCTAAGTGACGACCATGTTTTTCGTGGGCCGACACTCAGGACGTCACAAGCTCGCCGGACGGCGGCGGGCCAGCCAGCCGGGCGACCACGACAGGTATCAAGAGCCTCGTCGAGAGACTCAAGTGGAGAACGGGATAGTATTGCGCGTGTACAGGCTCCCTCGTGGCCAGCCACATATAGAAGTATGGGTAACCAACGACCCACTCCGCAGCGCACTGAAAGCGGTGACTCTGCTCGCACGGCTGAACCAGACGACCGCCCTCGACCCGAACCAAGTGGACCAAAGCTCATTCGTGGCATATCTACACCGCTTCAGCACGCTATGAATGTCGCTGGTGCGGTTCGTGCTGGCAGCAAGCGGGTGGGATCGTACTTGAGTAGCAGTCCGAAGACATACATCACCAACTGGACAGAAGCCATGGCTGGTGGAAAGAGGCACTACACAGATATCGAAGGTCTTGCCCATGACGAAGGCGTACGTGAGCCTGAGCGGCATCTCGACTATGCCGAGCACGAACGCCGCTTTCAGGAACACTTTGGGCTGCCACCTACAGAAAAACTCGTTTCTGTGTTTTACTGCTGGCTGCACAAGACTGTGCCTCTTTGGGGCAAAATCTACATGGGCACACGCCGACTCTGCTTTCGGAGTCTATACTACGGGACAAGCACTAAACTGATCATCCCATACAAGGACATCCTCAATGTCCAGAAGCAGCGAGGGTTCCGCTGGGGATATCCGGGAATGGTCCTTGTCATTCGTGGGTACGAAGAGCTTTTCTTTGATTTCCAGGATACTGGTCTCCGAGACGACTGTGTCGTTAGCACTCTCCGCACTGTCGAAGTCGTGGAAGCTGCGGCTGAATCCATGATACTCACCGAAGTGGAACAGCAGGATGCCAGCGAGGCCGCTGCCGAAAACGCCTTGTTACGTGCAGCAAGACAGACTGGGCACGATGATGAAGAGGGGATATCCTTGCCTGAAGAGGTCGATGCTCTCCCTGTAATATTCGATGATCCTTCAGCGTCTGTACTGGAGTTCAGGCCTAAGAAGTCTCTGAACATTACTTGTCTGACGATCGGATCGAGAGGGGATGTACAACCATACATTGCACTCTGTAAAGGACTCCTGGCCGAGGGACACAAGCCCACGATTGCGACCCATGCGGAGTTTCGAGGCTGGGTCGAAAAACATGGGATTGCATTCAAAGAGGTCGATGGAGACCCGGCGGAGCTCATGCGGATTTGTGTCGAGAATGGAATGTTCACGCCGTCCTTCTTCTTGGAGGCGAACTCCAAATTCCGCTCTTGGCTGGACGAGCTCCTTGTTTCGTCGTGGGCGGCATGCCAGGGAGCAGATTTGATCATTGAGAGCCCTTCTGCGATGAGCGGTATACATATTGCCGAAGCTCTCGAGGTACCATACTTCCGCGCCTTCACTATGCCATGGACGAGGACGAGAGCGTATCCACACGCGTTCGCGGTGCCAAGCCAGAAGCGTGGTGGTGGGTACAACTACATGACTTATATCTTCTTCGATAACATGTTCTTCGCTGCCATTGCCGGGCAGATTAATCGATGGCGTGGAAAGACTCTCAAGCTCGGACCCACTAGTCTGGACCGGCTGCAACAGAACAAGGTGCCGTTTCTCTACAACTTCTCGCCGAGTGTCGTGCCTCAGCCGCTCGACTTTAGCGACTGGATCAAGGTCACTGGATATTGGTTTCTCGACGAAGGGGAAGACTACGTTCCACCGGCAGAACTCGCGGCATTTATCAAGAAAGCGCGAGACGATGAACAGAAGTTGGTCTACATTGGCTTTGGCTCTGTCACGGTGTCGGATTCGCGTCAATTGATGCAGCAAATTGTGGACGCAGTGGTCAAGGCAGACGTTCGTTGCATCCTGTCGAAAGGCTGGTCCGATAGATTCGAAACAGCGGTCGCCGCAAGTCAGCCAGCATTGGTGTTGCCGTCTTGCATGTACGAGATTCGAGCTGCTCCACATGACTGGCTCTTCAAGCAAGTTGACGCCGTCGTCCACCACGGCGGAGCCGGCACGACGGGAGCGTCTCTGCGGTGCGGTGTTCCCACCATCATCAAGCCATTTTTTGGCGACCAATTCTTCTTTGCGACGCGCGTGGAAGACCTTGGGGTGGGACAGCATCTGAAGAAGGTGACGGGCAATCAGCTCGGTCGGGCACTGTGGTACGCGACACATGATGAGCGCATGCGGAGCAAGGCGAGATTGTTGGGCGAGGCGATTCGAAGCGAGAAGGGAGTGGACACGGCGATCAAGGCGATCTATCGGGACATGGAATATGCGAAGAGTCTGATTAAGAAGAAGAAGCAGCAACAGGCGCACGGGGCCACGACGTCGACTTCTTCTGACGGGGCGAATGCGAGTATCGATCTCTCGGAAGATACAGAAGAGAATTGGACATTTGTCGAAATGGAGGGAGAAGCGGCGGCGGCGGCGGCGGCGGCGGCAGCAGCAGCAGCTGAAACGGAAGCATTTGGTGCTCTTGCTGCAGAACTTGGTGGCGGCGGGGCAGAGTCATGTCTGCCAAGGTCGAGCTCGAAGGCGTTGCATGGGCAGCGCAGTCATTCTTCTTCTTTTCGTTCTTCTTCTTCTTCTTCTTCCTCTTCTTCTTCTGCCGCTGCTATTGCTAGTGGACAGCACAGTAGGGCGGGGGGAGTGGCGGTGCGGGGTGGTCGTTCGTAGTGTGAACGACTAGGATTCCGTAGCACGATGAGGTCTACAGTGGGAGGGAGGGAGGAGAGGGGGAAGGGGGAGTGGCAGAGGAGAAGAGATACTTTGTGAAGGTTGGTGCTGCATGAGCGACTCGGGAGTGCATGGGGAAGCATAGATGGTTTTCATTGTTTAGCGCGGCGTTGAGGGAGAGGGCGAGAGACTGGGAAGAGGATATAGATGTGAGGTTGGCTTGAGGTACCTAAGGAGGTAAGGTACCGTAAGTATGCAGACACGAGGTCATGATAGCAACGCCCAATGGAGATTTTCATCCCAGTGAACGAGTCTCTCTCTCTCTCTCTCTCTCTCTCTCTCTCTCTCTCTCGCGTGTCGATGGGAGGACTGCGGTCGGTCGGTCGGTTCTAGCATGGTATATGTACCTACCTGACTAGTGTCTCATTGCTGCCTTGTGCTAGTTCAGGTACCTCCTAGGGATGTGTGAAGTCTGTCATGTGATGAGAAAAAAGCTTTTTTTTTTCTTTTTCTTACCCTTTATCTTTTTTTTTAGCAGTCTGGGGATATATTTGTGTAGTTGTAATGCCGAATCCTCCGTTGTTCGATGAAAAAGGTACCCAGAGGTAGGTAAGGGGGCGATGCTGAGTCTGTATTACATCCCTCTGACTACCTCACCTTATATATATAGTAAAAACAGGAGGAGGCTATGCTCGTCGCACATGGGAAATGTGAGGCAGGTAGTGTGCAGTGTACATGTAAGGTACATAGGTTAGGTAGTTTTATTATTTCTCGATACCTCAAGACTAAAAGAAACATGGGAGAGGGCTGGTGGCACGACGGAAAAGACACCTTGCCATCATCATCATCATCATCAGGGATATTGGATTTGTTCCAGGCACATGACCGCATGAAAGTTGTCAGTTAGCTAAGAGGTAGGAGGTACATAGTACATTGGTAACTGGAGTACAGACAACAGGATAAATACATACCGCGGGAGGTTCCGGTGCGAGAATCTCCGGCTTCTATCTCATTATCTCATCCATCGAGGAGAGAGGATGATATGACATATGACATGTGCTCGTCGTGTCATTCTGGAAGAGGTAAGTACTTATTACATATATGTTTATTACATGTATATATTGTACCTATGTCAAGTTGGGAAGAATCAAGATGAAATGGACTGGAAATAGAACGAGGCTGCAACGGGAATAGGTCCTCACGGCATGACTAAGGCACGATTAGGGAATCCCGTCCCGTCTCTCTAGTGTGCGATAAGGAACCTAGCTACTCCCAGCCTACTAGAGGGCACATGTACATGGTCACAGAGATATCTACTCTCTTTAATCTCTGAGATACCAGATAACTCTGACTGTACATACTCAACTTTGAGATAGCAGTGCAAGAAGAAGAAGAGGAAGAAAAAGAGACTTTCCCCTTTCCCTTTCCCTTTCCCTTTTTCCCGTTTTCCCCCATCCTTTGTTTACTGTCGTTACATCCCCCCCCCTCCCTCTCTCTCTCTCTGCCACCACTATAAGAAAGTCTCTCTCATAGGCTGCCGGTTTAGTTTGAGTGCATATCCGGAGCTCGAGAATCTGGCGCAATACCAGCTAGCTTATTGTGCTATCATCATTATCATCATCATCATCATCATATTATACTTTGTTCCCGCTTCCTCCTCCCTCCTAGAGGAACTGCACTGCACTGCACCGACCGACCTACCACCTACCTACCTGAGACTAACCTACCCGAGACTGGTATTAGCTGCTGCTGCTGCTGCTGCTACTACCTCCTACCACCTCCTGCTACTACTCGTCCTTCCTCGACGGGCGCGTGACCTGCTCTGGACCCGAGAGGTCATTTTGTCTGTCTGCTGTTGCTTCGCACTCTACTCCGTCTCCGCCCATTGTGTGAGGGCGAGAGGCCTGCTTGCGACGACAGACGACAACGACAACGATAACGACAAACGACGATAACGACACCGACAACTACGACACCAACAACCACGACCACGACAACCACGACACCGACAACTACGACACCGACAATCACGACACCGACAATCACGACACCGACAACCACGGCGACAAACGACGACGACATCGCTGTGGCCTGAATCGTCCACATCGACCATACCAGCCAGTATGGCCTTCCAACAACCGCAGCAGCGCCCACGTCCCACACGACACCTGTCAATCGATCAGCCCTCGCAGCAACAGACTCCCGCTCCCACATCGCCTGCGACACGACGGACTACCGAAGAATCGCAGGAATGGATCCTGTTCTCGCCCCAGAACGACGAATATAGCGCGACAGGCACCTCACGAACACCCCGGACTGCGACACATCGGACACACTCCGACATCGCCTCGTTGGAGACACACGTCCGGTCGGAAAACAACCCCGACGACAGTGGCACATGTCTGGGTACGGAAGCCGACGAGCTGGATAGTCTCGACGACGGCCTCCACGCCTTCCACCACCACCACCACCAACACCACCCCTTCACCGATCCCTCGAACCTCGACCAGAGCGGAGGGACGGTGCTACCCACCCACGATGGCTTTGGCACCTTCCCCTCCGGCATCGACCTGCAAGAGCATCTATGGCAGTTTGAACGATATAATCCGCACCGACGGAGCACAAAGCAACATGCACGGCGCCGCAGTAGTGTCCAGCGCAGAATGGACGAAATCGAAGTCGAGCAAGATGTCACTCCCGAGGACGAGCGGACGGCTCGCATCGAGAAGTGGCGATTGGACCAGAGTAAAGCAGTGCTGGAAGAGATTGAGCGGGAAACTAGACGTCGGAGACGGCGACTCAGTCGCATGGCCACGGGCACCAGTGCTGCGGGGGATGATGTTCGAACTAGTCTACCAGATGAAGCTCTCTCACGACTACTCACGCGTCAGGACTCTGCCATCACCATCGACGCCGCCACGGATCATCAGCCTCCGAGCGAGTCGTGGTGGCGAAGAATCACTCGCAAAGTGATCAAGGACCTGATCGGTCTGGATGAAGCCACGCTTGCCGTCATCTTTGGAGAGCAACTGGTAGACGATGCCTCGCCCACCCCCACACGGCCTTCGCCACTTGCTGCGCGCGCCATGGAAGAGTCACGAGTCGCATTCCAAGACGCAGATCCCGCATGGGAAGTGAAGCTCCTCGATCGCATCGCACGCGAGCTGGGCATCTTGGTCCACACCCTCTCGGAAGCCGATGGCTCTGCCTTTCAGTCGTACAAGAACACGCAGCGGGAGGAATTCGAGTATGCAGGTCTCCCACGCAATACTCCACGCCAGCTATCTCTCCGACAACGTCGACGAGAAGAGAAAACCACGCGGCCCGGGACAGCGCCGACGGAAAATGCTTTTGTGCCCACGGTGCCACTGTCGCCTCTCTCGTCGGGCACCGGGCCGGGCGATACATCGTTATGGGGCATCGAAGAAGAGCCCGATCATGTCATTGATGATGAGGAAGCGACGAAGCTACAGCAAGAACGAGAGTACTGGGAGCGTGACCTGGACGTAAAGATGGTCTTTTCCTACCTCAAGAATCGCTTCTCGAGTGCGGAAGCAGCTGAACCAGCAGCCCCCACCACTGCTGCTGCAGACTCCATTGGTCCCCTGCCCGCATCCTGGGCGACTGTTCCCACCCAGTCCGCCATGGGCACCTCGCCACAAAGCCAGCGCCGCCAAGAGATTATTCGCCAGCAGCACCCACTCGTATCTCGAGCAGCCGAGCGTGCGGTAGAGCGTGCGCAAGCACACGCGGCACATGCGCGAAGACGAGAGACGCTGTTGAAGAAACACCAAATGGAGCAGCTTGCCCGAAAACGAACCGGACACAGCAGCTGCGCTAGCCAAAGCACCAAGAGGAGTCGACACACCAAGAGCGGCAGTTCGCGACATTACTGGGATATTGGTGGAAGCACAGGGAGCATGCACAGTGGCCAGGCCATGTCCTCTGCCCTCGGCGGATGGGGAGAAGTGTGAGTTGCTCACTCGCGTAACGATACTCGCTACGATTGACCATTCCCCACTTTAAACGAGAAAGAGAAAGAGAGAGAAAGAAAGAGAGACAGGGCAGGAGAGCCGTCTCAATTCGCCTTGTATCATTTCATCTCCATATACCACTTCGCTCAGTCGGCATTTTTCAAGCGATTACATGAACCATGATGCATCCGTGTACACGATAGATATTACCGTATGGAGAGATTTTTCCAAGACATTTCTTTCTTTTTCTTGTTCTTTTTTGCCCCTATGCTCTCATCATTTCGGATCAACGTCTGTTTCGTAGGAAGAAAAAGGACACGGAAAGAGAGAAAAAAAGGGTAAATTACAGAGGGGAAAAAGAAAAGAAGAAGAGTCGTAAAAATGGGTCGATTTCGAATATTCTTTTTTTTTCTTTTCGACTCGAGACGTTGGCTGAGTGGCTCGTGATTCTCGTTAACGTTACTACGGTACCTCCTAGTAGTGGTGATGATGTGATGATGTGATGATGTTGTATCAATCGGTTGTTCTAGGTCGGTACATACATGTATATATATACCTATATACAGCAGTACACCCCCCGAAACAAGAACAACGTACTTTCCAGAAGGGTGTCATCGATGAATGAACGAATGATGAGAGAGAGAAACATTCTCACTATAGTATGATGTAGGTATAATACATACTTACTTCCCCAAATACCTCTCAGCATAAACTTCCGCGCCTACCTCATGGAGTCTCTCATCCTTCACCCTCACCTCCTTCTCCGAGTCCCGCATATACTTCTCCACAACTTGCCGAATACCCTTATCCGCAGCTCCCAGAATTCTCGCAGCGAGTAAAGCAGCATTGACAGAGTTATTAATCGACACGGTAGCCACAGGGACTCCACGAGGCATATTGCAAATACTGAGGAGAGAGTCCATACCGTCTCCGATACTCGGTTTGACAGGGACGCCAATCACAGGGAGAGGAGTGTATGCGGCCGTCATACCGGGAAGATGAGCTGCACCTCCTGCAGCGGCGATGATGACTTTGATACTGCTCGAGGAGGCCGAAGATGCAAATTGTGCCATCCATGAGGGTGTGCGGTGCGCGGATGTGATGCGGACTGTGTATGGGATGCCGAATTTCGTGAGGATTGCGAGTCCGGGACGGAGCACGGGGAGATCGGAGTCGGATCCCATGACGATTGCTACTAGAGGTGCCTCCTGCTTCTTCTTCTTCTCCTCCTCTTCGTGACTGCGGGACGATTGCGCTGCTCGAGGCTTTCCTTGGTCGACGAGGTCGATCATGGGCTGGACGAGCTGTTCGGCTTCTCTCATGGTAGGTGCACAGACTGTGAGATGGCCCATCTTGCGGCCTTTGCGTGCTTGACCTGGGTGGGAAAAGAAATAGATTAGCAAAAAAAAGGAAACGTGAGGGTGAAGGCGAAGCGAAGTAAAAAAAAAAAAAAAAAGAAAAGAAAAGGGGGCATAACAGAACGCACCTTTCCCGTAGAGATGAATCTTGGTACGACGCTGTTGCAGAGCAGCACGCGCAATGGTGAGATGAGAGTCGGGAGCATCGCCACCCAGAATATTGAGCATGATGCTCGGCTCGCGGAGTTCGAGATCTTCTTGGTGAAGCGGGAGATCCAATATCGCACGAAGATGGGCCTCGTACTGTGATACCGGACATGCTTCAATAGTGTAGTGGCCCGAATTGTGCGGGCGAGGTGCAATCTCATTGATCAATAATTTGCCACTCGTGGTCAAGAACATTTCCACTCCGAACACGCCCTTGCCCCAAAAGCACGCCACTGCTTGTTTGGCCAGATCTTGCGCTTGTTGGTTGACCTCGGGGCTGACCCCTCGTGCGGGCGCGTAGGTCAATTTGCAGATGCTGTTCTCGTGGATCGTTTCCACTGTCGGGAATGAGAGCACGCCCGTTTCGGTCTTGACTACCATGACTGCAAGTTCCATTCGGAAGTTGCACCAGGCCTCCGCGTACAAATCACGATTCACAGCGAGAGCTTCGAGTGCGGCCGTGAAATCTGCCGTGGTCTTGACTGCGAAATTGCCCCGTCCGTCGTAGGCGTCTCTTCTCGACTTCAACATCAGCGGCAGGCCCAGCTCGCCACTGACACGCTCCAGCTCGGGCACAGTCGGCTCGGACAGAGCGAGGGATTGCATCGATGCAATACCGTACTTCTCGAGGTGCTGTTTCTGGAGGTACTTATCCTGAATCATGCGCAGTGTTTTCCACGACGGTTGTACATCAACCTTTTCCGAAATCTCTTCGAGCATCTTCGTATCCACATGCTCGATTTCCACAGTGATGATGTCGGACTGGTCCGCCAACTTCTGAATTGCTGTCCTATCCTTGAATGAACCTTCGACATGACCATTGTGACCGGACACCTGCTTGGCACTTGATCCGACGGCATCGAGGAAGTTGACTTTGATTTCCAAAAGGTTTGCTGCTTCGGCCAACATGCGTCCCAGCTGGCCTCCACCGAGCACTCCCACGGTCTTGTCGGATGCCATTGTTTGTACCTTTCCTTTTATCAAATTATCAAAGCGAGTGTTGTGGCGAAGGTGTGTGGACAGCTAGGTGGTAGTTCGTGGAATTTCGAGCGGTGACTGGACGGGAGCGCCATAAAAATTCAAAAGCTAGTTCTAGCTCGTCCCAATCAGGCCGGCTGCAGCATCAAAAGTGAAAACGAACAAACAACTAAAGAAAAACACGACTCTACTCATGCACGATTCAGCACGAACACACTGTGGACGAGACACCTCATGGCTAGTATGAGTGATGCGGGGCGTGTCTAGCAGCGAAAAAGGGGACTTTTGTAGCAATGCGACAGAAAGGCTCTGCGGGCCACCCGACCAGAGAGAAATACATATATTTACAAGGATTCACAGTGTTTGCATCGGATTCGAAAGATTTCGGCCACCGTCAGTGAGCTGCACGGTTGCAACAACGTGATTGGACATAGAGACGGAGTACTGAACGATGGGGTTCAAGATTGATCATTTTTGTCATACCATGCACTGCCTAGCGATTGGGACTTCCTTATACCCTGGCAGACACGCCGAGGAAACGCCCGATGCAGGGATCCTTTCATGCTCATCTGGAAGACGCCATATTTTGACTGCAACGCCTATACCATCCCTTGAACCCATCCAAACCAGAAGCGCAAGAGCGACTGGCTTAGACCTTGAAACCTCTCGACCGTCTGCGACCACGAGCACGCTCGAACTTGCGGCCCTTGCTCTCGACGTATGGCTTCTGTAAAGGTTGTTAGTGAAAGGTGTCAGGAACTGCAAGATATGCTGTTTCGTACCTTGTCGGTGTGAGGACCAAAGCCGAAGTGCTTGACAGCCTCACGGGCGTTCTTGGGACCACGGAGGAGCAGAACGTTGGAGCCGGTTGGCGCGCGGAGGGCGAGCTGGTCGAATGTGAGGCACTCGCCGCCGGCCTTCTCGATGCGAGCACGAGCAGTGGCAGTGAAGCGAAGGGCGCAGATGCTGAGCTTGGGGAGCTCGAGGAGACGGTTGTCATCGGTGACTGTGCCGACGACTGCGCGGATCTTGCCCTCTTGAGCCTCGGCGCTGTGCTTGTTGGCAGAGACCGCAACAATCTTGGACAGAGACATCGGTGGGGTGTTGATGCGCGACATACGCAGTCTGTTCGTGGTCAACAATCGACCCAAACAATGTATGATATCCCTCTCATGCTTTTTACGCACCTCCTCAGGACAGTGGAGTTGAACTTGCTCTCGGTACGGCGGTCGAGGAACGAGTACAACTTGTGGAGCAGGAGGCGGTATGGGTTGTTGGATTTAGGCGCCTGAACGTCGTGTTAATCGCCTGATGTATGAACAAAAGACTTGCAGACATTCTCTTGACGAGAAATGAGTGCTCAATGGCAGGTATGTACCTTTCTGTGGCCGGAGCGCACATGGTGGTTGTCGAGATCAATCTGCGCAAGCTGTCAGCGCAATGTCCTAGTAATGTCGAAGCGTGCGGAAGGAGAGTGATCGGTGTCCAGAGGCCTCGATTTCGGTTTTGACTGGCGAGTGCTGCTCAACAGCGCCTCACCGATCGCGCAGGCACCTCACTGTCCACCAAATGCTCCGGTAATGCGACTTACACCCATCTTGACTGTTGTTGGCGGTGTTGCTGGTAACTCGACCCTGTCGAAAGAAGACGTCGAAGTTCGCGACTGAAATGTGGGATGGCCATTTTGGACGCCAAGGCCCGGGATCTCCCGTCGGATAACGACTTCTTATTCGTTCTCTCTCCTCGTAGCAAAATACACCTCCGTATCCTGCTCAGCCAAGAGACCATGATCACACGCATGGCCGCCGGGTTTAACGGCGACATCTCAAGGACCTCAAAATCTGGTGACCAAGCACGTCGATCAACTTCAAGCAGCTGTGCTGAACGTACACAAATGCGATCACCACAACAAAGCTGAAAAGTCTGGATTATGAGCGACAAAATCATTGACAGGTAGTGCCGGGACACGCCAGGATTTGACATTGAACGATGATTTCGAACCTATACTACCTCCTAAGATACAGTAGGTTGTGTATACCGAAGATGCGCACATAGCTCTCCACTCTTCCTCACACTTTCACACTCCTCGGTCGACTCTCTGGCGATATCCTGATCTTGCCATCTCCTCTCCTAGGACTCTGACCCGTAGACACAGGCGCTCGTGCAGGCAACGGCCGCGAAGACGCTGAACCTGCAGCCGACGCCGGTCTTACTGGTCCATTGCTTGCAGGCGTCGCTTTGACAGGATATGGTCGACTCATCACCGAGACTTTCACCTTACCGTCTGCTGTTCGCTCACTTCGTGAAGTGGATATCGGTGGTCTCGGTAACGTGGTCCTTGCATTCGGAGGTGTACCTTTGCCAGGCGCGGGCTTGCTCGGAGGATTTGTTGCAGTGGCAGCAGCAGGTATAGATTTCTTGGCTGGCAGCACGCGCTTCGTTGTAGCAGGCGGTGGTTTTGAAGGCATACCGGCCGCCGGGAGAGCTTTGGGCATAGAAGGCAGACTCTTCTTCGCAGCCCCATTAACAGCAGAGGCTGCAGTAGCAGTCGTTTTGGAAGTCCCATTCGCAGTCTTTTTCACAGCACTGCTGGGCTGTACAGCGGTCTTCTTGGCCCCAGAACCATATCCAGTCCCACCAACAGGTCCATCCGCAGCCATCGAGTTCTTGACAGCTTCTCCATAGCCGTTGATATAATTCCCCACGCCGCCAACAGCACCTGCGATACCTGGTAGTCAGAAGATCAGTAGGAAGAACTGGCAAGTGGTGCACGAACCATTCGCACTTTGTCCCACTGAACGACCAGTATTCTCAATCAGCGAGCCCACGCCGCCGACTGCATTACCAGCTAGACTCCCACCAGCTTGTATTCCAGTGGCAGCATAGCCGGCGAGTTTATCCGTTACCCAGTCCTTGGCCCATTCCATGATTCTGTAAGTAAGTGATAGTCGTGTAGTTTCTGCGAGCTGTTATGGGAGTTGATGCAGTGTATAGACCACGAGAGCATTGACAAGGTTGTAAGCAAGCGTGAAATTCGCCACAACAGCCACCACCACATGGCACCCGTGAACTCGACCATTCTCTTCGCACCCTGATGTCGCCGATCGTGTGCAATCGTGTAACCTGGAGTCAAGTTTCGCGCCAACCTGTTCTGCATGGAAATGACGTACACTGGTGGTCGTCGCAGAGCGGCATGCATGTGGAACGCACAGCCACATCTCGATGAACATCCTTGCTCGCGGTGTGCGCCGCTCCGAGAACCATCAATTGCCTTTTTGAATCTTGGTGTGCCCCTGTGTGTGGGGTGTGGTTGTGATGTTTGGTGAACTACCTACGTTTATGTATGGCATTTCAAGGGTTTAAGTTCCTTAGTCAAAGCATATTGCGTGGAGAAAGTGAACGTCAGCGCCCGTGAGCGTGCCAAGTTTCTGTCTATTCGGGGTGGGTTGCCAGGTTGTCGTTTAATGCACACATACAGATTCAGGTATCCCGATAATTCACAGAAAACCGATACCGTTACGGACTGCTAAGGTGACGCTATCGCATTTTTACCATTCACGTACTTCAGCGTACCTATAGGCTTGTGCCTCTTTGTTGCAGCCTGTTTCTTCATAGCCGATGCGATCGCGGCACTCGACGTTAATGGCGTCTTCGTACTCGCTTCTGGGATTCCGTGCACAGACGCAGCCTTTGGGGGCTGTGGCTTCTTTGTACCAGACTTGAGTGGCCTGCCTGGTATAGATGCTGCTCTGGCGGAAGCAGGACTTTGACGATTTGCAAGTCCATTAGGCAGCTTCGTTGCTCCAGTGACAGGCCTGGACTCCGCTACATCGGGTGGTTTAGGCGCTCCGCGTGTCGTCTGACCTGGAAGAGCCACCCCTTTGTTTTTCGCTCTCTGTGTAGCCAAATGCTTCAGTTGGCCGCCAGCAGCGTGAACAGCCATCGTAGTAATTGGTCGCGTGATTGTGCTCTGTATATTTGCTAGCGGGGCCTGCTTCTTCAGCGTATCGCTCGGAAGAGGTGCTGGCGATGTAGCCAGCCCGTTCTGCGCAATTGCCTTTGCCAGCGCTGTGCGCTGTACGCTTGAGGTAGCTGTACGGGCTGCTGGAGCCTTTGCCACTTTCCTCGCGATTTCGGGGGTTCCAGACTGCTTCAGGGCCTCTGCCATCTCGGCTTGCGTTTTCGGAGGTGCTTTCAAGAGTCTATCCAGCACAGTGTTAGGAAGCGGGTTCTTTTTGTTTGCAGCTAGTAATGCCTTGCGAATGGCGTCTTGCTGTGCCGAAGCGAGGGGTGCTTTGCCAATGTTCAACAAGTTGAATTGTTGTGATTGTGCCACTTTACGCATCATCACATCGAAATTCAATGGATCGCTCATGTCTACACTCGACATGGCGCCTGCAGCAGTTGTGATGGGTCCGAAGATGCTGAGAAATTCGTCCCAGCCGCCACCTTTGACAGAAGTTGAGATCGACTTTGCTGGTTTTGGCTTGCGTTTGCCTTCTACTGCAAGCATTGCCTGGGCTGGATCTTCTGCAGGGAAGTTCCCGAATTTGTAGTAGTAGTCCAGCATGTAGTCTTTCTCCCGCCATCGATTGATGAGCCAGCGGGAGAAGGCTTCATCGTCCTCGTATGGGATATCGGCGATCTTGAACCTGCGAAAGTACATATTGACAGACTTTGGGGGCCTGCCTTCGAACAGTGACGACTTTAACGTGTAGATGTCCTGACCATACATACCATTTGGCACGCCTTCGTAGGCTATGGTGCAGTCATATAGCCAGTTCGTGGTAGCTCTCAGTTCCTTCAAGCAGAACTGTAGGCCTATCGCTCGTGGAAGAAGCTGATGCTTCATGTCCGGCACACCCGTCTTCTCTGCCCACTTTGCAGACTTTTGCCTGGTGACTTCGGACAGGTTAGTACCTTCTGGAAAGATGAGCAGCCACATGGGATCTTTCGGGTTCTTCAGATGATCGAGATGTCGCTTGAAGCTGTAGCGGTCCTGCTCCCATTTCCGGCTGAGGAAGATGAAGTTGTAGAACTGCATTCCCCAACCGATGATCGGAATATGCTTCAAGCTCTCCTTCAGAATAATGTAGATCCGGCCATGCATTTTGTTGGTGTAAGCGATCCACCAGAAATAGAGCCAGTCTGTGTAGAGCTGGTGGTTGCCCATGAGCACCAAGCGGTGCGGAAAGTTGCACTTCAACGTCCCATCGTCCATCTGAAAGAGTTGTCCTTTCATGGTCGCGTCACCACTGACTCGCACCACAGTGGGCGCCCACCACTGGGTGATTGTGGTCATGAGCACGGCGAAGGACTCTTTTGTCCAGGCCATGTAGGCTTCATAGAATTGGGCATCGATCAACTTGAGCGGTGCTCCGATGAACTGCGAGGCCGATATGGCCATGATGCCAGACATGAACGTCGACGCAGCCGAGAAGGCGCGCTCTGCTTGCCCCAGATTGCCATGTCGGATGGGATTTGGATTTGCATTGCTTGAACTCAGGCTCACTCCCGCTTGAGTGACCTCGTGGGCTTTGGTCGTCGCCGTCGCCATCACCACGAGTGACTGAGTGACTGGTGGAGAACAAGTGGTTGGTTGGTTGGCGGTCGAGTCATTGGACGCAGGTGTCGGTTACACATTGCAGTCACCATGAGGTCGCCAACAGTAGACGACCGAGTGGCGATGCCTATGCAGTGCAACAGCCAACCGACTCCAGCCACACGTACAAGGCATGAATGATCATCACCTGGAAGGCTGGAACTGGAGTCACATCCCTGTCTCATGTACAGTGTACCGGATTGTGTGTCTAAAGGAGCTCCGCTGTGACGTATAGAAGTGCTGTATTGCTGTGGGTGGTGGCGTTGAGTAGAAATCCTGGCATGCTTCCATAGTCGCCGGTTTAGAGAGCTGTACATACAGGTACTCACCTCACTGACTCAATACCTGCTGTTACATCACCTAGATACTGTGCCTGTACACCAAGTAACTTGAAAGAGACGTACACGCTCCACTGCAACAATTTTTGTGCTTTCTCCTGTCCAGCCAGCATTGCACCCAGAGCGGAAAAGCAGCAGTAGCAGCAGCAGCAGCGGCAGCAGAGATGGCGGCAGCAACTCATACCGCACCACACATGAACGGCGTGTCTCGCAAGCCCACGGCGCCTCGAGCTCCAGCTCCCGTCAAGAAACCGTCGACAGGCACCGCCGCCAGGCGAGCACCGAACGGTGTCGCGCCCAAAGCGGCATCAGTAGCAGGCGACAGTCCAGCGACGGGCGGAGGAGGCGTCACGTCTGCGTATGCCATCATGGCCAGCAGAATTGCGAATCGCGTCGCAGAAATGGCCGAGAGCATCACGTTCGTGGAGAGGTGAGTCGGATTCCCGCTGCCTACATGTACTATACCTTAACTCAGTATACTGTACCTTACCGGGAGGTCATCGGGTACCTGAGGCATCCCTCATTCTACCCGGCGGCGGGTAGAACCTCTGCCGGAGTCCCTCCTACCACCGCTCCCCGTACCGTCGTCCCCATTTAGACTTTGGCTAGTTCTAACCACCACCTCGAGCAGGCCCAAGCCAGCCGAAGCAGAGGCGCAGGTGCAGGCGCAGGGAGGTCAAGAGCAGGAGAAGAAGAGGCCTCGGAAGCTGGAAATGCGACTGAACAACAGTGCTCCCGACTCGGTGGCTTTCTCGGCGCCCTTTCTCGACAATACGCTGCAGAAGATGCTGCACTTGCAGAATCGCATGCTGAAGACGACGGCAGCGCTGTCCAAGAGCGATGGTGTGGACGAGAAGGTGGTTAAAGAGCACGCGTCACAGTCGGCAGAGCTGAGCAGGATTATTGCCTTGATATGCGCGGAGAAAGCACGTCAGGGCGCGTGAGGCGTGAGTGAATAATCACACGCGCAGGAGGGAGAAGCGTGAGCTTGGGAGGAAGTCTAATGTGTGCGAAAGGAAAGGGAAGTAAGCACGTAGAGCTAATAGTTCTACCGACATCCAACAGTAACGGACCATCCCACAGAACCACAGTTTGGCATGTAAAGGAAGTTTTTTTTTCTTTCAGATTCCGGGAGTCTACATGTCTGTACGTAAGGTGTTGCTTAGTCCCTTCCAGTGTCTCGAGCAGTCGGCCAGTCGCCATGCATGCCGATGTGGAACGATTGCTAGAATGCTGACATTCACTGGGCAGAAGGACGGATTCTGACGGCGTTCACTCGACATCCGCACGAGTCCAGATCCGATTTAGAATGTTCACAGTATCCTTTCCCGGCGAGACATGTACTATCACGATGGAGCGGAATGCTTTCGGGAGTATACCTATCGCTTCGGAGCCCCATCGATCTGCTTCGTTTAAGAAGGTCCATTGTTGGCCGGACCAAACTACAACCACCTGCAGGACCTAGGGCCGCTCCTTACGGTACATGTGGCCGATTTCTCCGAAGGGATATGCTCGCTCCCTCGTGGTGCCCTTGTTGCCCGGCGTCTTCTGAGACCTCCAAGGCGCTAGAAGGTCTCAGGAAGGCGTCCCGTTGTTCTATGAGACGCTAATTTCTAGCCTAAAGCGACTACACTGTAGTTGCGACATTTATCGATCTCTCACGATCCTATGCGACAACCAACACCATCTAACGACACCTAACGACATCTAGTTGTTGCTTGTTTACCGCCTGACCTCTTCTTCCTGGTGGAGTGGAGTCGGTAGATTGCTCACCTTCCTGGTATCCACGTTTGAGACCCTTTCATGCGGTCTGACTGGCACAATACGGCCGATGAACGCGTGTCGCCTTGTGGTCTGAGAATGCCGCCAGAGCGACGGCGACAGCGACATGGGTCGTTCATTTGCTTCGCACAATGCTGCGGTCAGCCTCATGTTCGCCTTCGCCCTAGCGAGGTGCCGAAGGAAGGATATTTACTATACTTCGCCCGCTGCCTGCCGCTTCCAATTACTTAGGCTGCCTCAACTAGCCAGATGATCCCCTCGTCAGAAACAGTGCACGAAATGGACGAAAAACATGCACCTTCTGTGCGAGTAGCTACTTCCAGCGAACACGCATCGACAGAAACAGTGCACGAAATGGACGACAAACACACACATTCTGTGCGAGTATCTAGTTCCAGCGAACATGCATCGACACTGCACTGGAGTGCAGAATCACGGACACCTTCACCGCCCTCTTCAATACTGTCTGGCGATACCCGTGTGGCCATTCCGCGCAATGTGGTCGAACTTCTCGAACAGAAGCAGCTCGATGTCGACTCCAATGGCGTCGTACACTGGCAAGAAGACAGTCGAACACATCCACGACACTGGCCCGTGTGGAGGAAGACCTTCGACTCCGGCGTCATCTGTCTGCTAGAGTTCTTCACCACCCTCATCAGCAACACTGGCTCCTCTGTCGCACGGTACGCCAGCGAAGATGTTCACATCAGCAATGAACTGTCGATTTTCTGCTTCGTTACACTCTACCTATTCGGACAAGCCCTTGGTGGACTGGTGTTCCCGCCTATCGCAGAGTCCTTTGGGGGTAGAACGATCTATCTGTTTGGAGCTGCTGGCTTCAGTATATCCTGTCTGATCGTTGGTGCTTCACCCACATTACCCGCTGTGATCGTGGGCCGCTTCATGTCAGGTCTATTCTCTGCTATGCCCACGGTCGTCGCCGTCGGCAGCATCGAGAACATGTGGGATGCCAAAGGTCGAATCTGGGTCATCCAATTGTGGGTCATGGTCGCCATCATTGCTCTTGCCCTCGGTCCTCCCATTGCGACATATGTGAGCGAGTCTAGTATAGGCTGGTGGGTACTACCATGACACTTGTTTCTGATGGATGTCCTCTGACATGTGTGCGTAGGCAATGGGTCTACTACGGTGCAGCCATTGGCAACTCCTTCATCATGCTCATGTGCTTCTACATGAGAGAATCCCGCCCTGCACTCGTACTCCGCCACCACGTTCATCTGATCGAAAAAGCCACAAGTTTCAAAGGCCTCGCTCTTGATGACGACCTTCGACTGCCGACGATACGTGAATTCACACAGCACAACCTGATCTTACCGTATGCCGTCCATTCCTTGCATGGGGCGCAGATTTTGACGTTTTGCTAATCCATATTTCTGCCAGACTTCGCCTCTGGTTCACAGAGCCCCTCGTCTTTCTCGTCGCTCTCATGGCAGCCGTCTCATTTGGCTTCATCTACCTCTTTGCTGAAGCTCTCCACGTCGTCTATCACGTGAACTTTGGCATGAACGAGAAAGAGTCCTCCTTGACCTTCCTTGCTATCGGAGTAGGAGTGTGCCTTACCTGGATCCCTCGCCTCTACGATGTCCACCTTTACAACGTCGAGAAGAAGACCGGTGTGGCCGTGGAGCCCGAGAAGAAACTACTGGGATACTACGTGGCAGCCCCGATCCTCGCCGCCGGACTCTGGTGGTTCTCGGTGACCGTCCCACCCCTTGTCTCCAACATCACCATCTGGGCCTCAATAGTGTCTCTGGTTCTGGTGGGGTATGGCGTCGTAGAGTTCGACTCTGTTCTTTGCGCATACCTCACCGATACATACACCTCCTACGCTGGATCCGCAAACGCGCCTGTAGCTTTCTTGAGAGCGGTTCTATCAGGTGTATTCCCGCTCTTCGCACCCAAGCTGTTCAAAGGCTTGGGTGCGAATAATGCCTTGTTCCTGCTCGCCGGTATTGCTACGGCCTTTTGTGGTGTCGCAATTGGATTCCGGTTCTATGCCAAGAGAATCAGGGAGAGGAGTCCTTTTGCAGGCAAACTCATGGGGAACGAGCAGGGGAAACCATTGGAGATGAAGGTGCAGAGAACCATCATCGTCTCTCGGCAGGTGTAGTCAGGTAAGATGGGGTGCATTAATGAAGGGATGATGGTGCCGGCTAGTTGCCAGCTCAAGGCAAAGTGCCTCATGAAAAGAAAAAGTCGATGTTGTTGCGATGTGTATTGAATTGATGATGAACGAACATGGTCGTGGATGCAGATTACAAGCGAGCATACCATAGGAGTACCATGTATGGAACACCAGTAACGTTTCTGATGATGCAAAAAAAAAGAAAAAAAAAGACTCGTCAGTTGTCGTCCTTGTACTATACATGCCTCCAGTCTCAATCACTTCCATGATGCGAGTATCACAACACTGTCCGGAGACATATTTTGATGATGTTGACGACAAGAATCATCAATACCTACCTTAGGTATGTTATTGATATAATCTGGCAACGTGACCATGTATTTTGCTTTGCCAGGATGCTGGGATCACGAAATTTGCGAGGTGTTGCCATGTTGGTAGCGATGCGATAGGGCAACTTTGATGCGGCGACAACAAAAACACCTCAATCATGATTCATTGTATACTCCATCAGCTCATCAACGCTTTCCAAATCCAATAAAACTAAATTCACCCAGTCCGTACAACCTCCTCCGCCACGGGGTTTTGTAGGCCAATATGGTATCTCGCAAAGTCATCCCTTTGCCAGTCACTGAACAAGCCCATGTGCCGCTCCAGACAGTCGCCGACGGTGGCACAGCAGAAGAACTACGAGATTTTATTGTCGAAGTTGCTGCCGACCTGCGAGAGCTGAAGAAGTTCTACAATGTCAGCCTCTCCATGACACGAGTGAAACGCATGGGCGAATACCTTGCGCAACGCAGAAATGAACTCGGAGTACGCTTCCGCAGCTTTGCCAATTTGGATCAGCAAGGCCGAGTAGACTACCATCTCATCGGCAAGTATCTCGAACGCAGCTTGGGTGATCTCCGAGTCGAATGGGCGCAGATGACAGAGTTGAAGCCTCTCTTCGGCACGTGGGCTTCGGGTTTGACGGACTTGTGTGAACGAAGGCAAAAAGTCACTCCGACAGACGGCAAGTTTGCCGCCCAGGTACTGTCCCATGCGAGCGCGGACGTGAAAACGCTGGCAGCACATATCGAAGATGGTACCTTCACCATGATGAAGGAGAATCGCTCGGGGGCGTTTCGGGCAGCGCAGCAGATCGAGGAACTCATCGACCTGTTGGCCGAATGGTATGGTTTCTATGCAGACTATGATCCCCTCTTTACATGGTGGACATCGAAGCCCTTCGAGACCATCTCAACTCAGCTTCGGGCCTTGGTCTCGACCATCAGAGAACACTTGGTCGGCATCAAGCCCGGCGACGAAGATGCCATCGTCGGGCAACCGATCGGCAAGGCGGGGATATACGCGGCGCTGGACATTGAAATGATCGCGTACTCACCGGAAGAGCTCATCCAGATCGCCGAGAAGGAATACGCGTGGTGTGAGAAAGAAGCCATTGCCGCATCTCGAGAGCTCGGATATGGCGATGACTGGAAACGAGCCCTGGAACACGTCAAAAACATGTATGTGGAGCCCGGAAAGCAGACAGAAATGGTGCACGAGCTCGCCGAGGAGGCCGTAGAATATGTGACCAAGCGCGATATGGTCACACTTCCGGAGATTGCCAAAGAATGCTGGCGGACGTTTATGATGACTCCAGAGAGACAGAAGGTGAATCCATTTTTCCTAGGAGGAACGTCGATTATCGTGTCGTATCCGACCAATACCATGAGCCACGAGGACAAGCTCATGGTCATGCGAGGCAACTGTCGACCTCTCTCTCGAAGCACCGTATTTCACGAGCTACTGCCAGGCCATCATCTACAATATCACTACATGGCACGCAGTAAACCCTATCGATCCATGTTCCAGACACCATTTTGGATTGAAGGCTGGGCTTTCTATTGGGAATTCATCTTGTGGGACCGAGGCTTCCCCGACACACCAGAGAATAAAATTGGAATGTTATTCTGGAGAATGCACCGCTGTGCGAGAATCGTATTCTCCTTGAAATTCCATTTGGGGCAAATGACGCCGCAGGAGTGCATCGAATACCTCGTGGATCGAGTCGGGCACGAACGAGCTACAGCAGAGGGGGAAGTTCGTAGAAGCTTCAATGGTGACTATGGGGCGTTGTACCAAGCGGGATATATGCTGGGGGCCTTGCAACTGTACGCTTTGCGAAAGGAGATTGTCGATACGGGCATGATGAAGGAGAAAGAGTTTCATGATCGGGTGTTGAAGGAGAATAATATGCCGATCGAGCTGCTGCGAGCCCTACTCATAGGCGAGGAGCTCAAGTGGGATCGCAAGGCCTCGTGGAAGTTCTATGATCTATGATTGTGAATATAGAAAGCAAAGGATTACTACCAGCTGCCGCAACGCTCAAACGATACTTCGTAAGTCTCAGCAACCATCCTCGCCTGCTGGCACCCGTGATCGTATGATGAGGAGTCCTTCACTGGGCAGTGAATCATGGATCGTGCCCCATAATTTGCATTTGACTGGTGACTGAGCTGCTGCTTCGAGTTGGATCATCCAAATTCGGCCTTTCCAGACCATCTTCTAGTCATCCAGCAGCATGATGATCAGAGATCTGTGCGAAATGGAATCATACAGCCATCAAAAATCCCCTTCTCCTACACACAACGGCTCTGCTCTGCTCTTTGCATTCGAATTCGCCTACTCAAGTTGTGTCGACAGAAGCCATTGTTCCCCCCTAGAGTAAAGAACGGTTAGACGATCAGGAAGAGACATGTCCAAACACACAGTACTGAGCATAGTTCGTGTGCCTTCGCTTCCACATGGGAATGATCTTCTTTATAGGAGTGAGGTGTATATCGTGAGTGAATGACCCTTTTCTTCCATAATTTATGCTGGGATATAATGAAGTCGTGACGGTCGCCAAGCACACTGCACCACAAAAATGGACGAACGTCATTCGCCTGGACACCTTCGCCTATCATCGATACATTGAAGCTCCAACATCTCTCTTGTCATGACAAACTCGTGAACATCATCTCCAGCAATACTTCGCCCTTGAATACAAAATTCGAGTGCCCCCTAAGTACCGCTATCATCATCTTGCCTGCCTTGCTCATCATGTCGACCTCCGACTCGGGCGTACACATTTTCAACCCCAAAGACAACCCATCGCTGGCAGCGACCTATTCCCAGATCAGTGTCGTACCCATCTCGGAAACCAAACGACTGATCTCCTTTGCGGGTCAGACTGGAACCAGTCATGGCAAGGCAGACAACGAGAAGCTGTCCTTTGCCGACCAGGTTCGATTAGCTTTGGAGAAAGTTGATAAGAACCTCGCCGCTGTTGGGGCGAGTAAGAAGGATATCGTGATGATCAGGCCGTAAGGGGTGTGCTACTTCCGTGATTAATAGAGGCAGGCTGATATCCAATTTTAGATATGTGGTGAAACTCACCGGCTTATCGGAGGAGAATGTCAAGGCCAAGGATGATATCTTCTTGCAGTGGTGGAGGAGCACAGAAGGCGACAGGCTACCGCCGCCCGATTCGTTGCTCGGAGTCGACAGTCTGTGGAGTAAAGAGACGCTGTTTGAGATCGAGGTGCAGTGCATAGCTGATATCTAAATCTATGTGGTGAGAATGGGGAATTGGGACGGCCTCCAGCGAGTCCAGCCAAGTCGCACCTGTGACTGAACCCGTCTTCGACATCGTGAGACGGAACCCTGTCTGCGGACGGTCTGCGCTCAGCTGAGACAATGTTAATCCATGGAGCATGTCGGTGTTAGCAAGAACAATTCACGTTTGCACCAAGTGTTTCACGACCTTCGCAACGAAGTGGTGTCGATATGCACGGTATTCCTGCACTTTCTGACCTTTCTCAACTCAATTCCATTCAGCATGATGTAGACTGTTCATAAAAAAAAGCACCCCCTATGCCCAGCTTCTACGCCTTCGTCACGGGAAATGCCCTCTGAAGTAGTGCCCCCCGGGGCAGCTCTTCATCCATCCTTTTTCATCATCTATGCCTCATCGAACTCCAAAGAAACACTACGCGATCTCCAAATCTAGGCCTCTTGCGAGAAAGCCTCGGGGAATCGGCGCATGTTGTAGGCGAGTGGACCGTTGGTGCTGAGGAACTGGACGTAGGCACCATCGACGCGGATCTCACCAGCCTTGCGCTTCTCGACATATTCTGCGCGGTCAAGGGGAGTGAAGCCCCACTTCTTGGAGACGATGATCTTTTGGCGACCTGGGAACTTGTACTGCGATCGGCGAAGAGCCTCGATGGCGGTGGGGCGGTCTATCCAACAGATGTCAGCGTCTTTCATAAAGGTGTTCGCGATAGAAATCAGACTTACGAGAGTCACGAGTGCGGATGGAGAGGAGAATCTGGCCAATGTTGACACGAGCGACAGTGCCGTTTGGCTTGCCGAAGGCACCACGCATTCCGGTTTGGAGTCTATCGGCTCCAGCGCACGACAACATCTTGTTGATGCGGACGACGTGGTATGGGTGGGCACGCACACGAAGGTGGAAACCTTCCTTTCCGGCAGTCTTGACCATGTACCTGTTGAGCCTCCATGTCAGCCCTCCGTTCTTTGTCCTTGCTTCTAATTCCCACATATCTCCTTCTCGGTGTTTCCCAGGCTCGACTCACTTGTTGGCGCAGATACGAGCGGCCTCGAGGGCTTCGGAGCTCAACTGCTCGTACTCGTTGGACACCAAGTGCACGCACATGGGGAAATCGTCGACATTTGCACGCTTGCGGCCGAGATCGAAGATTCTGATCTTCGGGTCTGGGACACCACGGTTGAAGCGCGACTTGGGGTACGGCTTGTTCTTGCAGTAGCGGTAGCAACGAGCTGGACGGCGAGCCATTGCGACGGTGTTGTGGGGGTTTGTCGGTGGGTGTAGAGAGGAGACGGGAGGTCGTTTGTTTGAAGTGACTACTTCCAGGTTCGCCTCTAACGCCAAGACGGATTTCAAAGCACACCAGATTCACACGTGACTGCATTACAAACCAAAATCATCAAAGAAAGTATGATACGCGCATGCGCCGTACCTTCGCAGTGTACGGACTGAATGAGGATAGAAACATGGCAGAAACAACTAGAACAGTGGGTCACAGTGGCAATGGTATATGATGAGTTGCATTTGGACTGGGTGCAATTTGCAAGCTACCTCTGGCTGGCTATTGTTCTCTAAGCTCGCTCAGGCGACTTCGCCAGTGCAGCCTCTGAATTTACTTTTAGCCGCGAGAAACGATGAATTCTTCGTTGTTCTCGACGACAGGAACAAACGCCCCATCGGCTTTGCAGTCAATCGGGATCGACCGCTTACTCTTGCTGTTTCGCACACCGCTTCGATTCCTCTACAGGCTTGGCCTTAGGGAGCACCATCTTGCGGAATTCTCGAATCATCCAATATCGTTCTCAATCTACTGAGGGGTGGTAGAGAGAATGTCGGAGTCACCAGCATCGAGGATAGCCATGGTCGAGCAGCGGAAGAGCTTTCCGCAAGCGGTACCGAGCTCAATCTAAAGTCACACAAACGATGGTTAGAATGAGTTTTCTCCCTCCAAAGCTACCCTATTGAAGTAGCTTCTTCTCAGGGCTCAAGAGAGCGCGCCCTCCAGAGCCGAGAAGGCTCCTTCGCAAGGCGTAACGATGTATCTGATTTGACCAGAGCACTTACGTTGTTTCCTGAGAAGTGGTGGACAGCAGTCTTGGCCAACATGCTGTAGTCTGTGTGGTCCGTCAGCCTCTGCTCCTCTTTCTCCTGCGCACCGCCATAGTATCACGTACACTCGAGCTCGGACTTGCGAAGAGGAGGGGTGTTGCCGGCGATGATGACGAGCTTGGCCTTGCCAGAGCGCAGCGTCTTGAGGGTCGACTTGTAGCCAAGAGTGACCTTTCCAGACTGTAGAGGTCGGTCAGTTTCTGCTTTGCGACAAACAATGTGAGAGCCATTCGGTGGGTGCGCACCTTGATCGTCAGGGCGAGCTTAGCATTGATGCTGTCGCTGGTCTTGTTGCTCTTCTTTGGTGCCATTTTGTTGGTGATGGTAGTCTCCGCTGGTTGGGCTTCGTTGACTGTGAGAAAGAGTGAGTGCTGGTGCGGTCGGGCTAGAGGAGAAATTCGACGCTCGACAGATTTGTGTGGGAGCGGACACGGCAGTAACCGCTCCCGTGCATCACAGGCCGCAGGATCTCGCATCCATCGCCGACTTAGACTCCCGTCCTCGCCTCACATAGCGGACCCTGACCTCACGTAACCTACATGTACCTCCTCCGTCCTTCGTGATGATGTACTGCGTGACCAACTCCGTGAGCACGCACGCTCGCTTCGTCCCAGTCTGAACATGTCGAGGGTCCCGCCTGTCAGAATAGTTGGCCTCAGACAAAATGACATCTTCAAGACAAGATTGGAACATCGTTTGACAATCCAGCAAGACCCCTGAACACTAGAACTACTCAATCAATCAGGACGAAACATGATCTTGTGAGCTCAGGCATTCTAGGCGACCATCATAATAATAGCCGAAACCCTCATGGTGATGTCAAGTTATCGGCCCCACTCATAAAGTGAGTGTTTGCAGCAAGGCATATGCAGTTCGGCTCCCAAAAACGTTGCCAGACGTTGCTTAGGAAGACGACGACAACGACGACGACAACGGGGTCGTCGACTCACGCGGAGTATAAGGAGCTACAAACTCATGTCCACCTCCCCAGCGGTCTTCTTCTTGAAGGCTCTCTTGTCGCTGCCCTTTGTTTCGGTCTGCATCAAACCGACCGATATCGATCAAGATGAGAAGTACAACGCTGGCTTTACAGCTCTTGCTCGGCCTAAGCGGCGGCGGCGGCATCGTCCTCGCAGGAAGCGGTCCTGGAAATACCAGTGAACACTGCTTGACGAGAGATGAGACTGCGAGCATCATCGACAGATACACCCTCTACCTCACGAAATATCCAGGCAATGCGACTGTGTTGAGGGAATTGCATGACGAGAATGTGGTGACGGCTTCAGATAGCTTGAGCTATGTCTTACAGAAACCAGTACGTACATACGATGTGACATCCCAATGGCTTATTCAATTGAACTGCCTACATGCTAAGGATCTGATAGATGAATACGTCCCTGGCTCACTCCATACAAGACTTCATCGAGCAAGAATCTACCGTGCCAGCTGTTCCCGCCATGAATACTATCTTCATGTCGCACACCTGCGATACTATCACGTGGTACTGGGAGTTCTTGACGAAGCCGTGGCCAACGAGAGGAATTGTCATCCTGTTTGTAAATCTGGATTCGAGGAAGATTTACAAGACTTATCGAGAGGTGAACGTGGGAGCACTATTGTTGAACCAGGGAAATCCCGAATGTGAGGTTCCAGCGACCAATTGGACCACTAGTGTTGGGACTGAGGGATTGAAGAAGGAGGAGAGCGGATGTCAAGCATGCGCGAGCTGAATGGTGCTGCGATGTAGCAGCGCGTGCGACATGAACTCTTTGTCGATATGGATGTGCTTGTTTGCTCGGGCTGATGTGAGTGCAAAGTGGGCTATGATTTGGGTGATAATAAATGTAAAGATAGCATATAGCGGACAGGTAAGTCAATGCAGTCGAGTGTGGCAAAGTACTTTATGAAAGTGCGTTTTCAATGACCGGACGCCGCGTTTGCAAGCAAGGCGATGCTACAGTACCTAAGTACCAAGTGCTGCAGCCAAAGCCTACCAGGGAGCTTGGAAACCAACTTCTCAGCGAGTCGATGAGATGAAATGTACCTTAAGGGTATGCATGAAGTAGTACCGTGAGCTAACATGTTGCTGAAGAACGCTTCAAATGAAGCCCTAATAGTACAAAAGGAAATTGATCGCTCATCCCTCATCTGTCATTAACATTACATCAGAAGCTCGATATCGATCGCCCTACTACATGTAGTGTACTCCTTGGGCTATCGAAGACAACCCGATTGCCGTACTATATGTAGCGTGTTCCTTGGGCTGTCGAAGCCAAGTCTCTGCACTGCCGATGAATATGAGCTATTTCCAACCCATGTCCAACTTCGTGGCTCTGGAACAGCCTATAGCATGCCCAGAACAGCCATTCCGACAGCTCCAAAGCCGCCAGCCATGAGCACTTGCGGCACAGAAGTAGCAGCCGCCAAGCCATCATATGTTGATGTGCCACTATTTTGGTTGTTGTTGTTGTTCTGATTGCTGCCGTTGTCGTTGTCGTTGCCATTGCCATTGTTGTCGGAGTTGCCTTGGTCGTTGTTATTGTCCGAGTTGCCTTGACCGTTGTCATTCTGTCCGCCCTGGCCGTTGTTGCCGCCGTCGTTATTGCCGTTGTTGTTGTTGTTGTTACCTTGACCCGTCCCAGTAGGCTGACTTGTTCCATAGGTCGTATCTGATACCACGACTCCAGTGACGCCTGCTGAGCTCAGAGCCGGCTCAAGACTAGCCAGGTTTGATGGGAGATTGGTTCCTGTGTAGAGGCTGTTTACGGCAGACTCGATTGCAGCGGCTCCTCCAGGACGGTCGTCTCGCTTCTGCACATTCGGACATCCTGCTAGTGCGCCTATGCTCAGCGATAGCAGGGTGACAGGAATGAGATGCATGATGGTAGTTATGAGCTTAGTTGGGTGTCAGTCAAGTTGTGCTGCCGGGAGTGTGCTGCTAGATGGCTAAGTTGGTTGAGGGCGGTAGGTTTGAGCAAAGAACAAATAAAGACTTAAGGCACACGAGAGGAGCGCAGTTCTTTTGAACTTGGGACCTCCAAAGTGCATCATTAAACTTACATGCACAGACTTGGGCACCAGAAGTGTGACGACATGGTCAACAGTGCGATCGAAATAATGTTCTTGAAGACAGTGTGTGTCCGCAGAGTGCACATTATGACTCGCACGATCGACATGCACGGATGCACGATCTAAGGGTAAGTATAGAGTGTCAAACAATTAAGACAGGGTCTCTGTCACTCGGTGTTTCGAAGACACAAACTCCTCTTTTGCAGATCGCAGCTGCTATCGAAGCAGACATCTATGCAGCGTACACTTCTGCAATCTGAGCTTCAGCAGAACGAAATCATCGCCAGTGGCAGATGATGAAGTTGCAGACCAGGATCCGTCGTCCACGGACTTCGGACTCGTCCATGATCTGGTGTCGTCGATTGAAGGTACTCGCTCGAACGGCGATGTACAAGCGTCGTGTGCTATTGTTATTAATATGCCTGGCCTGATTGCTAGCCAATTCGAATGCAGAATGCACGGGACTAGAACAATGCCATGGCAAGGCGCACGGAATTACATCGAATCGTCGTCCATGCGCTCATCGTCGGTACGATGGCCTTCTACTGAACTCCAGGCTGCGGTGAACGGGTCTCCTCTCCAGGCCCAGGAGACGCAATAGTGGCGGGCCAGCAGCTCCCACTCTTCGACTTCGTCAAGCCACTCAATCTTCTCGATCCTCTCCCGTTCCGTCTCACTGACCCAGTCACTGCTCTCCCAGATCTGATGAACATCTCGGGCGCCCTGCCCGCTCTCGAAGCCTGCAACTTGCAAGCGTCGTCGTTGCGCGTCTAGCGAGTAGTACCGCTTCAATGTACGCAATTCAATGCCTCGAGACGCTAGATTCGCCATCATGGTGCGTCCGAAAGGATCGAAAGGTCGGACTGGCTCGTACAGGATGATGCCTTTGCTAGCTCTGATGTTCATCATGAAGTAGTTGACTACGCTGGTGGCAAGATCTGGAGGGAAATAGCAGAGACAGCACTCGCTGAGGATCAACGTGGGTAGGTCCGGGTCGAAGTGTGGCAGGGCGGGAGGCGACTGGGTGGTCAGTAGGCGCAGATCGATTGCGTGCAGGTGGTAGGACGACGATGGCCCCCCGGCTGGCGGAGTTGCCATGCGGGCCAGCTCGGCGGAGTTGCGAATGGCATTCCGCTTGGGGCGGACATTGTCTTCGAAGTCCAATTCGTGGTAGAGCACATTGTGCTTGCCGGCACACAGGCGGAAGAAGCGCGTGTCGGAGCCCGCTCCCAGCGAGATGATCTGCTTTCTCGCGCCCTTGCCGTCGCCGTCGCCGTCGCCGTTCAAAAAGAGCGTCACCAGTCGGTCGATGGCGGTCGTCCGCACATAGGTGCCTCGGTTGATGATGGGATATCTCTTGGCGACGGGGCCGGGGAGCTGATACAGACGCTGTGCGTAAGGGTCGTCGAGGTAGGCCAGGGCGACGGCGCTCATGCGGCTGCTGCTGGCGTCGCCGTCTGTTTGCTGGATGATTCGATCTCGTGCCAAGTCCGCGTGCATGTCATTGCCCTCACGGATATCTGTACCTGTACCTGTACCTGTACTGTCCTCGATGGACGCGTCTGGGCGGCCTGGGCCTCCCCGTCGGCCTCGGAGTCGACGTCCTCCGCTTGTTCCCGCGCGCAGAGTGTTCAGGTTGGGGATCGACGAATATGAAGCCATTGTTGATTGATGCTGGAAGGTACATTAGGCTAAGGTACATGTATTGAAGTATTCCATACATGTAACGCAGTACCTCCTAACAGGCTAACATCATAACATGTGTTATTGACGCTTTCCATCCTTCTAGAGCTGCCGGACCTAGTCCTACCTAGTTCTACGTCACCGTCTCCTTCCATGGTTTTGATGCATCACATGATTCACGTCAAGACTCAACACATGAGAGCATGAATCTCCAGCTGCCTACACCACAGTAGTACATACACGTACAACGTTGTAGGTGGTGTACAAGTAATCATCACAAAAGGTAGCCAACCTCAACTACTGCACTGCACCCAGCTCTCTCCCGCACGCAGTCAGTCAGGCATGGCCACCGCAAGCGCCTCCAGAACGGAGCCTCTGCGACACTTCGTCCGCGCCAACTTTTCGCCAGCATTTCTCTACCCGCTCAAGGGCATCTGGTATTTCGCCACTCACCGCTACCTCCATACCCTCCTACAGAGTCGATTGATCCCGCTGACTCTCCTGTCCACCTGTGTCCTGGCGATCCTCTTTCTGACCGCGTATCTACCGCTCGTGGCATTCCTGGCCTTGTTTCATACGCGTGGATCTGCCTGGGTCAATGCCACCTTCTTCCTCCTCGGTGTCGGCGCTGTGATCATACAGCTGCTGTTCGAGGGCATGCTGGTGGACCACACGCAAGTTGACGTCTATGACGCTGTACTGGTCGGCGAAGGATACGAGCACCTAGTCAAGAACCGGCGGACTGTATCAGACGACATCAACGAAAGCGACCCGTACAAGCGACTGGGAACTCGCGACAAAGGCGCCGCATTCTCTCCATTCTCTGTGCGCCAGATCATAGAACTGCTCTTTCTCCTTCCACTCAACTTGGTGCCGTTTGCTGGCGTCCCCTTGTTTCTCGTTCTCACAGGCTACAGAGCAGGTCCATTACTCAACTGGAGATACTTTCAGCTCAAGCGGTTCGACAGCAAGCAGCGCAAACAATTCATCAAAACAAAGGCACGGAGATGGGAATATATGTGGTACGGCACGGTTCACATCACTTTGCAGCTCATCCCAGTCTTGGCCATGCTGTTTCTGTTGACCACTGCCGCTGGTAGCGCTTTGTGGAGCGTACAATTGGAACAAAGGTTGCAGCAGAGCCAGCTTGTGCAGCAATCAGAGGAAGATGACGAGCCGCCAGCTTACACCGATGAGCCCTAGAATAGGTAGTTATAGTGCCACAATACCATTATGGGTAAATATACCATGTCGGGTACTTGGAAAGAGCATCTGCATCTCCTTTCATACCTCAGCGACAGCGGCAGTGCCCAGCAGTGGTGGAGTCATAGGTAGGTTCCTTTGACATCGGAAGCATTGACGTGAATAGTTTCAGTAAAGCTGAGCAGACTGGAGTATGACGTGAGGTGAACTGAACGTGTCCCTGTCTTGCCTACCTGTAAGACTCAAGAGCAGATTCACTCGGTCACAAGAGGTATGAAAGAAGCAGAAATGCCATGACACAAACCTCGACTCAAGCAAGCGTAATGAGGTATTTTGATAGTGAATCTCTCTATATCCGTGTTGCTTGCGGGTAGTTGCGGACTCCGTTCTGAAGGTGCGGCAACAACAGCCGAGCGGCTCATCCGTGGCCACCACAGTCAGCTTTCCTACAGACTACAGGCACCTTGTAGCACATTATTCAACGCTGTCACCCTCACCTTTACACCACCACAACGACACTCTTCCACTTCGCCGCCGCTACTCTCCCTTTCTCTCCGCCACTTCCCCTTCCCTTTCTTTCTTTTCCACTGCCTCTCATCGCGCGACGCAACCATGTTCAAGGCTGTGACAGCCCGCGCGCCCATGCGCGCTGCTCTTCGATCATCGACGCCTCCCACGAGCTTACGAGTGACACCCCAAAGCACATCCTTGCTGCAGACGAGAATATCACAACGCAGAGGATACGCCACGCCTGCTGGTAAGTACTGTACAGACAGCCCGAGAAGGGGAGGAAGCATGCTGATGGCGCACGCGCACACGCACAGAGGAAAAGGACCTGGTCATCATTGGGGGTGGAGTTGCTGGATATGTCGCTGCCATCAAGGCCGGACAGGAAGGACTGAAGGTCGCCTGCATAGAAAAGCGTGGAGCACTTGGCGGAACATGTCTCAACGTCGGCTGCATTCCCTCGAAATCGCTTCTCAACAACTCGCAGCTCTACCACCAGATCCTGCACGACACGAAAAACCGCGGCATTGAAGTTGAAAATGTCAAACTCAATTTGGCCCAGATGATGAAGGCCAAGGAAACGTCCGTCAGTGGTCTGACCAAGGGCATTGAGTATCTATTCAAGAAGAATGGCGTCGAGTACATCAAAGGCACGGGAGCTTTTGCAGACGAGCACACGGTGGCTGTCAACCTAGTGGATGGAGGCGAGACAAGTGTGCGCGGAAAGAACATCATCATTGCCACGGGATCGGAGAGCACACCCTTCCCGGGCCTGACCATTGACGAGAAGAAGGTGATTACCTCGACTGGTGCCATTGCGTTGACAGAAGTGCCGAAGAAGATGGTCGTGATTGGAGGCGGCATCATTGGGCTGGAGATGGCTTCCGTCTGGTCGAGACTGGGCACCGAAGTCACTGTGGTAGAGTTCCTGGGCCAGATTGGAGGTCCAGGTATGGACGTGGAGATCAGCAAGAGCATTCAAAAGACACTGGCCAAGCAGGGGTTGAAGTTCAAGCTGAACACCAAGGTTACCTCTGGAGATGACAGCGGAGACATTGTCAAGATTCAAACTGAGGCTGCCAAGGGTGGCAAGGAGGAGACTGTGAGTTGATTTCATTTCCTCCCCACCTCCGCTGCACTGACAATCCTTACTGACGTGCGTGTCCGCAGCTCGACGCCGACGTGGTCCTCGTAGCCATCGGCCGTCGCCCGTACACCTCTGGCCTCAACCTCGAAGCTGTCGGCATCGAGACTGACAACCGCGGCCGCCTGGTCATCGACTCGGAGTACCGAACGAAAGTCCCTCACATTCGTGTCATCGGTGATTGCACATTCGGCCCCATGCTCGCACACAAAGCAGAAGAAGAAGCCGTGGCAGCAATCGAATTCATCACCAAGAATTACGGCCACGTCAACTACAACGCCATTCCCTCGGTCATGTACACGCACCCCGAAGTCGCATGGGTCGGACAGAATGAAGCCGAATTGAAAGAAGCCAAGGTCAACTACAAGGTTGGAACGTTCCCTTTCTCCGCCAACTCGAGAGCGAAGACGAACATGGATACCGATGGTTTGGTGAAGTTTTTGGCTGATGCGGAGACGGATCGCATCCTGGGTATCCACATCATCGGACCCAATGCCGGCGAGATGATTGCCGAGGGAACTCTTGCATTGGAATATGGTGCCAGTTCCGAGGACGTGGCGAGGACGTGTCACGCTCATCCTACCCTTGCTGAGGCTTTCAAAGAAGCTGCCATGGCTACGTGTGGAAAGGCTGTACATTACTAGATTTTTTTCTCTTGGTTTTCTCTCCCCTCTCACGAAGAAACGAGAAGAGGAGAAGGAGAAGATGAAGAGTCCGGGAAGCCATCGCAGCAATCATGGCGAAGCGAGACAAACCAAGGTTAGACCAGGCCTGATGATAGCGGGCCGTGGAGTTTGTGCTCCCGGATACTGTTACTGATATGAAGCATTGCGAATGGAATGGTGAAACTCTGCTAGTTGTCTATAGCGCAGTCATTTATCTCATGGCCGTTGCTGCCCACATCACAGGCACTGATGCCATCTCGACCAGCCGCCAGTGCGCAAGCGGTCATCTATCGTGCCAGCAGTCGCGCCCCTCTAGTAGGTTTGGGCTTCAATTGCGGCCTGCTCAGCTCTAGCGACTCGCTAAGACCGAGGGCAACCTACAACGCAACCTAGCCTTGCCAGCCACGACAGCGACTCTGATCTCAGGTCTCTGAGCCATGCCCGTTGACATTTCTGCCCACGTCTCTCCCAAAATCGAATCATGTATCATGATGATGTGCATCTGACCATGACGAGAAAGTGAGCGGCTGGTATGAGTATAGGGAAAGAGAATTGCCCCACCAACAATCTAGGGCTTGCAACGGCCCATGTAGCGTGGGTACAGACAAGTGTCGCGTACAGTGTGCTGCTTGCAGAGCCAGGCCAGAAATCGCTCCAGTCCGAGTCCATAGCCGCCGTGAGGAGAGGTGCCGTAGCGTCGTTGGTCGGTGTACCAGTAGTAGGCATCAGGAGAGATCCCTTCGCGCTGGTAGGCAGCCATGAGTTCGTCGTAGTCGTCCATGCGCATTGATCTGGCAAGTGGAACGTTAGTGTGATGCGAAACCTCAATGAGAAGACAAAAAATTCGGAAAATTCTGCTTACCCTCCAACGATTTCACCAACACCTGGCATCAGGCAGTCGACCGATTCTGTCACACGCTTGTCGGCTGGATCCTTCTGCATGTAAAAGGCTTTGATCTCGACCGGGAAGTGAGTGAGGAAGATGGGTTTGTTGATAATGTCCGTCATTCTGCGCTCGGCGGCCTCAGCAATGTCATCGCCGAACTTGTGTGGCTCTCCTTCCTCGTTGGGAATCTCGTGCTTGATCAGCCACTCGACCGCGTCGGAGTACTTCATGCGCATGAAAGGTCTCTCGGGCTTGGTGAAGTCTGGGTTGAGCTCCTTGATCATCTTGGCGTAGCGTGGGTTGTCAAGGACAATGTCAATCACCCCACAGATCATATCTTCGAGGTGTTCGAGCAGGTCATCGAACGTGATGAAGTCGAGCTCAGCTTCAACGTGAGTATACTCGGACAAGTGGCGCCGCGTCAGGCTCTTCTCGGCACGAAAAGACTTTTCGATACAGTAGACATTGCCGGCGAAGGGAATGGCGGTCTCGAGGTAGAGCTGAGACGACTGCGTGAGGTATGCCTTTTCTTGATAGTAGTCCAGGCTGAAGAGTGTGCTGCCTCCCTCGACTTGAGTCTGCACAAGGGCGGGGGGCGAGACCTTGACATAGCCAAGCTCGTGGTACTTGACGTTGAAGGCGTGCTCGACGGCGTCGCGGACGAACATCACTGCGGAAGCCTGCTCGCCACGCAGGACCAAGTGCCGTCGGTCGAGCAGTGTTTGTGCGTCACCCTTGGCCTGCACCAAGTTGGTGATGGCCTCTTCGCCGCCGGGCGCCTTGCCGATAACTCGCCAGTAGTCTGCGTGCAGCTCGCGGTTGTCGGGAGCGTGTGCGCCCGGGGGCACCTCCCACATCTCGCCCGTAATCTCCACGCTCGATTCACGCGTCAGGGTCAGGGCGTCGTAGGTCTTGACGAGATCGCCGGTGAGCACACATTGCAGGTAGCCGTGGCCATCGCGCAACGTGATGAATAGCACCGATTTCTGGTCGCGCATGCGGTGCACACGGCCCATGACACGCACACGCGTACCTCGGTTGGGGTCGCTGTAGTCAACCTCTTTCGATCGCTCTCCACTGCCCAGCTTGACCACCTCTGGGCGCGTCTCACCCAGGTGTATCTTGGTCGCCTTGGGCAGGTTCTTGTCTTCGGCCAGCACGACCTTCTTGGAGTCCTCCAGCACCTTTTGACGCTCCTCTTCCAGCTTCTTCTCTCGAATGGCCAATTCCTGCTCTTTGGCGGCCTTCTTCTTCTGCGCGTCAGCATAGTTGACGGCTTTCTTGAGCGCCGCCTTAGCCGCCGGCTTGTATAACGGCTCCTCGTCCTTTTCTGCCTTCTTCACCAGATACTCGACCGAGTCCGTGTGCAGCACGTAGGCGAACTGCAGTGACTTGTATGGCTCGGCCTCGGTGCCAGCTGACTCTGCGACATCTTGACCGGCGACCTCGTCAATGTAGATTGTCTTCTTGGTGGTGTCCGCCATGGTGGCAGTGGCAGTAAGGTGGAGTGTCTACCCCCGGGTGGTGGTGGTGGTGGCAGGGTAATGGAGTGTGGTGTGTGGTGTGGTTGTCGTTTAACCACCTCATCTACATTGGCATACAAAGTAAATCAGCAAGCGATTGAGTCACCCGCGCCCCGCCATTGGGATGGGACGGGACGGGACGAGACCTGTGGGGGATGCAGTGCACTGAGTGCTAGGTACGCGATAGTCCTACCTCCTAGGGGCCGGGCCGATAGATGCACCGTAAAAACGAGCCTGAGGCAAGCAAGACGCCTCCCTCCCGCGAGTGTCCTTACTCTCGCCGGGACTGCCTCTACGCTCCCTGATGGCGAGCATCTGGATACAGTAAGAGGGCTGTTCTGTTCTTCGCTTGGAATTGATCGGAATTCATACCACTGTACCTGATATGCTCCGCTGTTGGCTCCCACTTGCACTTCAACTTCACGCGTCCCCCTTGAGCCTCCCCCTTGTGTCGCCACCACTGCTGCCACAGCCATGGCTACGCACTGCCGTATACAACCCGAAGCAACTCGGCAAGGTATGGTACAGAAATCCCCTCTACCAGGAGAATCTTCTTACCTGTGCAGATACTACGAAGGCCTGTCTGCGGCTTCGGCTCGCATCCTTTGGCAAGTGAACCAGCTGGTTGGAGGCCTTTGACCCAAGAAGAGTGGCCAGCAACTGTCCTTGAGACGCGTCTATCTATACTCTGGAAGGTCACGCTATTGGTTGTTTTACTGGCCTGGGCTTCGTGTGTCCTGCTGCAGCGAGTTCACCACGGTGACCACGTACTCTGGGAAGGCTGGGAAGCTGTCTGCGCTGCGAATCGCATCCTAGCCTTGATAGCGAGTATGCTCATCTCCAGCCTCCAGGATGGCAGGATGCACATGGGAATTGCCCAGCATTCTCGACTAATTGGGCAGTCCTTTCACGGATTGGTTGGCGCTAGTTGTCTTGGTGACTTGGCAACTCTGACTTGGCCTTGCTTGCCGCCATGAGCATGGTAAGTAGTACTGTACCTTACTGTAGTAGTGACTGTAGTACCCAGGCATGACTTAGTAAACCAGCACCGCAGCCACCGCTCACTGCTCACATCGCGTTGTTCATGCTGACCGGATGGGAAGTCCGTCGGGGTGTCACGACGCGACGTTCTTCCGGGCGTGAACGGATTGGCCGTGGTCTGGCCATGCAAGGCTTCACATGCTCTCACAATAGAATGAGAGCCTTCAATACTAATATACAGCATGCGACTCGATTCACGGTGCTCAGATCGACACGCAGATCGACCAACCTATTCTCATCGTTGTACTCTGCTGCCAACACTACAGGCTCTCGGATTGCTGGACTCGCTCTCGGTGAGCCAACACTGCTGCTGCACACGCGTTCCGTGGAAGAATACTTGCTGCAGTCTCCCAGTCTCCCCACTCGGGTAGAAAGACATGCCCAGCTCGCAGCCAGTCTTCGTGCATACCTGAGGGGGTCTTATGGATCAATCTCAGCGCTGCCCTAGAATATGTCAAGCGCCAGAATCGGCCGGAGTGAAACCCATATGACGAGTACCCGTGCGGCAGCGCTTACGAGGACGAATTGAAGCAGGGGCATTGTTCGAAAAGGCGCAAGAAAGTAACATGAACTGCATGCAATACACGCGCAACACGCCGAAATAGCGGGCGATAGCAGGGGTCGTATGGCAATACCAACCGACCGGGAGGCAAACTCTGATTCGAATCCTCGATTTGAATTCCCTGAACATCGACGAATCTCAACTGGTCGTACTAGAGACTATCATACCGGAGCCGCTTCTCGGAGCCGTATCTGCTTCGCCAATGGTGTCGAATAAAGCCCTAGGAGCACGCCTGTCGCCGCGCTTGGAAGTGCTGCACAACCCGTTTCCGGCGCGCGGTACAGCGGTCAAGCTAGGATGGCTACGTATATGATGGCAAGCAGAGTAGACGATCTTTTGCTTGCCCTTCCTTCGCTTGTTGCGACTCCAGCATTGATTTGAACGACAACTCAAAAATCGCTCATTGGCCAGAAACGATGAAGCGAGATGGAAGTAATGGAGGTGGTCGATCGGAGAAGGTGAAGAAGACGCTGCGAGGTACGGTGTATGGATCATGGCCCTTGGCGAACCACAGTCACTGACGAAAGCAGGACGGACGGAGAAAGCGTGTGTTCGCTGTCGAGCGAAGAAGCGCACTTGTGATGGCGGAAATCCATGCATGCGTTGCCAGGAAAGCCATAACGCATGCTACTTCAGGTGAACGCCTTCCGTGGTGATCCCACGCCATCTGCGTACGTTGGTCTAATCAGCACGACTCGATAGTGACTGGCATTATACGGTTCTGTATCCTCGCGAGTATGTGGAGTATCTCGAGGAACAACAGGAGCAACTATCTGCGGGTATCATGGCAATGTATCGTCTCCTGAAGGATGCGAACCTACACACCTTCTCGACCCTGTCCGACAAACCCGAAGCACAAGCCATTCTAGCAGCTCTCAAGGAATCGAATGTTGACAGCATGGCACTTCACTGGAGCCGGCCCAGTCTGTCCAACCCCCCGGGTACTCTGTTCGACGATGGGCTTCGCATACAAATCAGCGAGGAACCAACATCACCACGAGAGGAGCATTGCCATAGACTGGCACTCAGTCCGTCGACCCACTCTGCAGTATCGCCGATTCAACCTGCTTCGACGTACATGCAACACTTCGGAACAGCCTACGCCTTAGTTCCAGCACCGGTACATCACAGCTACTCACCTGCATCGTACCAGACATTCGAGTCGACTCCGCCCATGCAGACGTTCATGCATCCGCAAATGTTGGCAGTTCAAACACAGACCTTGCCGCAGGCTGTACCGACACGTCCCGACATGCTCTTCCCATGCAGTGCATGCACTGGCATCGTTCAAATACCAGAACCTTGGCGGCCGTCGCTGTCGTCGTTCACGCCCAGCACAAGTGCATCTCTGGAGCGCGTATCAGATCAACCACCGACATTCGTAGGCCCGACTGGAACACACAGTACCGAGACCGCCCACGAAAACATGTGTATATATTACCAGACTGATCATGACTTACGGCCATGGCACTAAGGGGCTGTTCAATAGCCTTTGAGCCACATATAAAAACACAGGCGTATGGGAAATCCACAAGCGGAGATGGTTAGTGAACTGAAGTACAGACCGAACGTCTGTACTTCGGTCTGTACTTCTACCAAACTCCGACTGAGAACGTACTGTACCTCGCGAGGTGCATTGCGACAACCTGCAAATTCGAGTGCAACGTACAGACCTTTTCACTGCGATCGTCTGAACTTCAGATCCTCTGTAGTCCACAACGCCCGGAGGCTACTGAACAGCCCCTAAAGACAAGCTTGATATGAAACTCTACCCCCATTATACCCACTACTCCCACACGTTCCTTTTGGACGCAGGTCACTGCTCATCGCGATTCATGCCTTGTGCTGTAAATGGAGTCAATCGAGAGAAAGCGCGAGAACATCGGCTGACTCCATGTGTATGTGCCCTCCCCCTTTCCTGCTACATATATATATACCCCAAAAGGTTCCCATAGTCTCTGCCTGGAGAAAAATTGGATGGAGGTGTCGTGTCTGTTAGCGCTAGCGTGTGTATCAAAAAAAAAAAAGAAAAAAAGACACTCTCCGAGCGTCGGGATCTTGTTTGGCCATTTTCTCTAGAACAATACAGGTACCTACCTACCTACCTACCTACCTCTTAGGTTCGAAGCTTGTACATACTGTGATTGTAGGCTACCTAGTCCGAATGGAAAGCGGACGCTGCCTCTATTGTGTGGTGTGCAGCAAATCATGAAATCGTCAAGAAAGGCCGGTCGAAAAAAAGATTTGGTCTATCCAGAGAGAAGAAAAAAAAGGCACATTGTTTCCTTACGTACCTTGATTGCCAATTGTGGAAATTGACTGACCATTGCCACACATAGGGGTAGCGTAGGTAGGTAGGTAGGTAGGTAGGTAGGTTGACTGCGTTTTCATGCCTTTGAAGGATGAATGTCTTTGCAGTGAGAAGAAGAAGAAGAAGAAGAAGAAGAAGTGCGAGGCCCAGCATACATACAGTAGGAGAAAGAAGACTAGATACCTAGGTAGGTATGCTCAGTAGTGTTTCGTGCAGCACGCTTCAAATGATATTCGAATCTGAGCTAGCTACAGCTTGGGAAGAGACGGAGGCAGAAGGGATGCAGTTCTCATCATTTATGGTCGTCCTTTTCATATCTCATCCAAGACCAATAATGATACAAGAAGAAATGGCTTTCAATTGTTTTTTTTAGCGTGCAGAGCAGATATGTATGTGTGAGTGTGTTGCTGCAATGGGGCAGGATGCGTGCCTGGGAGATCGAACGAGCCGCGATGCTCGCCCAGGTCAGACAGACGCTTGTCGAGGCGTAAGATGATAGGCAGAACGCGTTTAATTCATGACTTCTTCACCACCACCTCCGCTCCATCGTTCGCTTCGTTCTTCACGTCCGCACCTTCCTGGTCCTCTCCCTCCATGAAGGCCATCTCTTGAGCACTCCACAACTCGGCATAGATGCCGTCACGATCCACCAGCGTCTCGTGAGTCCCCTGCTCTGCCACCTGCCCTCCTTTCATGACAATAATCATGTCACTATCATAAATGGTTCTCAGACGATGAGCGATGAATACCGAGGTGCGCTTCTTCTCGATCAAAACGTCTCGGATATTCCTCAACAATTCCGCTTCCGTATGTGTGTCCAATGCGCTGGTGGCTTCATCGAAGAACAACAAGGGAGGATCTTTGAGAATTAGTCGGGAGACGGCGAGCCGTTGTTTCTCGCCCCCAGATATCATCATTCCTCTCTCGCCCACCATAGTTTGGTACCCATCGGGTAGTGATTCAATAATCGAGTGTATTTTGGCTCGTTTGGCTGCTGCTATGACAGCGTTGGAGTCGGCATGAATGTCTCCGTAGCGAATATTGTGTTCGATGGTATCATTGAAAAGAGGTGTGTCTTGGGGCACGACACCAATGCTCTTGCGAAGGGATTCAATCTGCACTTGTCGAATGTCTTGGCCATCAATGGTGATGCGTCCGGATTGTACGTCGTAGAAACGGAAGAGCAGGCGTAGGATGGTGGACTTGCCGCAGCCTGAAGGACCCACGATGGCGACTTTCTTGCCCGCTGGAATGGTGAGGTTGCAGTTTTGGAGAATGGGTCGATCGGGACGGTAGCCAAAAGAGACGTTCTCAAACTTGATCTCGCCACCTTTGTTGAGAAGAAGGGGAGGGGCGTTCTTGGGCTCTGTGATTGCCACGTTGACCTTTTGCAAATTGAACAGTGTTTCCATATCGAGAAGAGACTGGCGAAGTTCGCGGTAGACACTTCCCAAAAAGTTCAGAGGCACAGAGAGCTGGAATACGAGCTGGTTGATCATGACCAGGTCACCAATAGAGAGGCTGCCCGATGCGACACCCTGAGCGCCCATGTACATCATGCCCGTTAGGGCGGATGAGAAGATGAGATTCTGGCCGCTGTTGAGATAGGCGAGAGAGGTGGCGACTTTGATACTGGCGTCTTGATAGTTTTTCAGGGCAGAATCGTAGCGTTTCGCTTCGTACGCTTCATTGTTGAAATACTTGACCGCTTCATAGTTGATCAGACTGTCCACTGCGACAGTGGCGCCCTTGTTGTCTGCTGCATTTGCCTGCTTCCGAAACTTGGTTCGCCAGGCTGTTGTGGCAATTGTAAACCAGGAATAAGCAGCCATGGTGCCTACTGCAAGGGCGGCAAACTTCCAGCCATAGTTGTATGTCAAGATTCCGGAGACCAAGGTGATCTCAAGCGCTGTGGGGATGATGTGAAAGACCATGCTGGTGAGCAAGAAGCTGATTCCTTTAGTTCCGCGATCGATGGCGCGGGTCAGTCCGCCCGTCTGTCTCGCCAGATGAAAGTTGAGGTCGAGTTTCAGCAAATGCTCAAAGACATGGCCGGCGACGTTGCGAATGGCCTTTTGAGAGACTGTGGCGAAGATGGCATTTCGAAATTCTTGAAACAATGCAGCGCCTATTCGGGTAGCACCGTAGGCAAAGATGGAGGCGCCTGCAACGGTCATGGCAGTACCACCCACAGCTGCGAAATCAATGTTCATCGAGTCTATGATGGATTTGAAGTAGAACGGAACTTGCACATTCAGGACCTACATATTCTATCAATTCCGCGCATGCGTGAAAGGAGGAGTGAGCAGAGGAGTGATTGTTGCCCACCTTTGCTGATATCAAGAGGGCTACGCTGAGTCCAACACGGAATCTAGTGCCAAAGTCATTTTTGGGCCACAGATATTTCGACATGTCCTTAATAATGGCCCAGTCTGCTTTGCGCTGCTCCTTGTTCGAGACGGTCTGCTCTGCAAGAAGCGGATCTTTCCTGCTGCTGCTGCTATTCTTCTTCCCCGCAGCGACGACCTTGTCCTTGCCCTTGTCAGCAAGTGACTGTCTGGACACGACATCCTTTCTGTGGCGGGGAGTGCTCGCAAAGATACGCTTTGTGTGCCATTGACCCAGGCTCGTCGTCGCCTGTATGCCGCGAAGTGTAAGAGCTGGCCTCGATGGGCTTGATGCAGCAGCAGCAGCAGATGCCCGCAGGCACAGTCTGTTCATCTTGCGATACCCGTCTCTCTTGATGTTGCTTTCTCTGTCTCACGATCTTATAGTAATCCTCGGACCATTGGCGCAATTCTACTTTCGTTCATAGATTCTATTCGATTGAGTTTCAAACAGGCTGTGGTCTGCAGCATGTGGCATAGGGTGTGGGGTCTGGATGTGGGTTGTGTTCCGTGGCCCGTGGTTTGCTAGGAGGGGGGCTGTGAATGCCGCGGTGGTGGTGGTGGTGGTGGTGGTGGTGGTGGTGGAGATAGGCGTGATGGTGGTGGGAGTACACCTATGTAGTCATTGTAGTGGTGGCGGCAATACCTAAGGTAGGTTAGAACTTAGCAGCACGTACCTTAGTGTTGTTACCGGAACTCTTAATCAAGCATTCCGATACTGAATATCTCAACCTTTCGAAATACACTAGCCGGGTTCTATTATCTCGAATCTCGATCATCTGCTGGTACCTAGGTAGCTCTGACATTTCTCCTTCCGACCTTCCACCTTCATGCTCACTCGACTACTACCGTATCTGGTTCTCAGCTATATGAGCATAGCAAACTACCTATAGGTAAGGTGCCATTTTCTATCTCTTCTGGCTACCTCCTACTGTCAGCAAGCTGAATCATCCATCGTAGTACTGATTAGTGTCGAATGCGAGTGTCATGACTCTCCAACAACAGTCACACAGTCAGGTGGTCGCAGTGCTAGGAGGTACGCAGCACTAATGCACAAATCAAATGAACTCTATACAAGCCTACCTCCTAAGGAGGTAAGAGAAAGAAACATGCAGCGCGGGGCCAGCACCTAGTAGGTGTTCCTACGGCTCGGCTGGACAGAGCAAACGAACTCTATACAACTCTATAAAGATAAGGTACATGTAGCCTCCCATACCGTCCAGCCGTACCGAAGGGAGGAATTTTCTCGAGCAGATGTGTCGAAAAGGGCGGATGGATGGATGCAACACCCGCAAGCGATGACTGCCATGAAGGAAGGATCGGGACCATGAATTTGGGAGGACAGCTTCATCTGCAAAAAGATGGGCGGGATATTGATTTCAGACTCACTCGCTTTGACTCGATCATACAGCAGCACTTGTATACTTCTCTTCCACTTGCTGCTTGGCTGGCGTTGCGCCTACTCCACCTAGCTGCACGCCAAAAGCGATTTGAGGCAGGCGCTTTAGAGGACATAGTATTGTCATCGCACGATGGAAACTCCTCCACAGCGCGTGTCGGCCGCTTGGAGTTACTGCATCGTGAAGTACAAATAATAGAAAAATATCCACAGAAAAGAATGAGAGGTACAAAGTTTCCTATTGCTCTGATCAAATTCCTTACTCCCCTGAAAAACTTCTGTCAGGCTCGACGACCATGTTCGGTCTTCCCATCTCCCTCCTCTCCCTTCTCCTTGTAACAACTTCTGCCAACCCCATCACCCTCTTGGCAGAGCGACAAACACAACAGCAGATCAACATCCAATTCTCCGTTTCAGAAGCCCAATTCCGAACCTTTGAGAACTCAAATACCCTACGAAGCTACTTCCGGTCCAGAGGCTACAATTATAATTTCAATTATGCTCAACTCTCACAAGGCGTAGCACTTGTGGATGGATATTTCGCCCAAAGAGCCTCTCAGACGTCGCCTTCTTCTTCCAACAATGGCTTCCCGACTTCTGGAGGCACACCTCAGACGTTTACAGACTCGATATCGCTGCTGGGAGGTCCGAGTTACACGAACAACAGCATGAGCGCCGAAGCAAATCTAGTGTCAGTTATCAGTTTTAGTGATGGAGATGCTGCTACGTGAGTTTTGTGTTCCTCAAGTCGTATCCCTCCCTTATGAACTACTCAGACCAACCCAGGCAACTAACGCATGTACCAGTGCCGGCGGCGCCATCCAACGAGCCAAATCATCCTCGTCAACTGCTTCTTCAGGCTCGTCGAACAGCACAGCTACAGTGAGCGGTTCTCCCGCTTCCATCGATGTCACTTCCACAGTGACAGGCGCCACAGACGAACGATACGTCGCGGGAAATCCTCAAGATGCGTTGACAGCAGGGAATTGCGCCGCTGCCGCGAATGGTGCATCCGCGCAAAGCACCCTCATCACGTCCCTCACTTTGCCCATCAATGTTTCCTCTCCGGGCCAGAGCATGAGCGAAACTGCGAGTAGCTTTTGTGAAGCGGGAGTCAGTGCCAAGCAGGCTGGAACTTCGGGGGGAAGTGGTACGAGTGTTGGGAGTACGCAGGGCACGTTGACGAATGGAGGTGTAGTAGCTGTTGTGACTTGTAATGGGCAGGTTTCGCGAGGTGTGCCGAATGTGGTGTTTCAGGTGAGTCTTCAAGGGACTTTTAGCTCTTCGCAGGGCTTTCGAGGGACGTTTGTGGGTACGAGGACTGCGAGTGTTGCTGTTAGTTGTTCATAGGAAGAGGTATTTCGATTCAATTTGTCGAGAAATTCTGAATTATAACCAGGAATGGCATGTCTGTTGTGGCAACTCATGTGGAAGCTACAGAGCAATGAGTCAATAGCTCGCAGGAGCTCTGCATACGCCCTACCGAGGTTGCAGCCCCAGTCCAGCGGTCGCAGGCATCTATTAAAGAAGCTCTATACCCATCATTCCTACTTTGACGATATCAAGGTTTTCATTGGATGGTGTGGTCGATGTGTAAAACGTAGAGTCACCTGCATATATGTCAATCATGGGAAGCACATCCATCTGGATGGTAGGCTGGGAGAACGAACCTTTGGATATGACTTGTTCACACGAGCCAGTTCACAATCGGACAGCTAGACTTTTGTTCTTTTGCCTCGGAGACACGCCTTCTTTTCCTCAAGATGTCTCGAGTGCTGCAGATAGGATCAGTCGGTCGTCGTGCCTCCCTGCCGCTAAATTTGACTCATATGATCGTTGAATGTCACGCGCAAGTCCAACGCGATGTTGACCCTGTTGCATATAGATGCTCGTATCGGTTCGAGGCCTTGAAGTGGCAGTTGAATTGCTTGTCGAAGGGTGCTTGTGCTTGTTCCAAACCAGTCGCCCTTCTAATAAGCTCCGCAAAGAGCCCGAACTATTTGCCAAAGGAGTGGTAAAGACGGGCGGAGAGCAACCTCTCCACGTCTTGATCCTGTACGCAAGGTCCCAGTGTCTCATTGTGGCTTCAGTCCAGCCCAAGGATCCTCGAGAAAGCTTTTTGAGAAGTACACCATATCGCCACGAATGTTGCGCACGCCGAATTTCAGCGCTTCGAGGCTGGGACTATCCTGTGTCTGTGGATCGTATGCCGCAAGCGATGACTTCTGCGCGTGGGAAGAGGATGCTGAGGCGACGAGCTTTGGAGCATCTTGCGACACCACTCTGGCAGGCTTCTCCTTTCTATCTTGCATGGGCATGCTGTTCGCTCCAGTGCCGTGAGCGGCCTCAGGCTTGCCCACGCTTGGGTCCACGAAGCCATCGTTTGCATTGAATTTCCTCTTCTGCGACTTTTGAGCCCCAAAGGCCCCGAAGCCCATGGCTGCGGCAATGGCTGGATCAATGTCGAAGTCCTCGTCTGCGTCCATGATGCTCTCTGTGGTGTTGCGGAGTGCAAGTGAGGTTGATGGCAGGAAGAAGAAGTAGAACGGATTGGTGGGGCGGAAAGCTTGGCATAGCGAGATTTATTCGAGGCAGATAGGAGGTACGGTAATGCGAAATTGCTATAGTCGTAGGAGCGAGGAAATTGACATAAGGTAGGTATGGACTTCGGGTAGTCTACTCTATCTACCATATTTCGAAGGTATCGTTTTCATCTGGTCTGTAGGCCTGCCATCAAGTCCAAACAGATCATAAATCCACTGCAGAATGATGAAGAAGCTTTCCGGCTCGCCCATGTGCTTCCTGTTAGGTACAAATCGAGCCTCCTTGTGAGCACCATGGTGAAGCGCCAGATAGTAGTCGTCAATGGGGAAGATCTCGTCGTTGACACCATTGACCAGCAACAGCTTCGTGCAGGCTGGCTTATTCAAGGTGCCGTCTTCAAGCAATGAGAACTTCATCGCTTCTTTCTTGAACTTCTCGAGGTCATCTCCGTAGCCGAACTTATAAGCCAGGGTGGTGGCCAAGTCGAATGGGTACTCAAGAGAATTCACGTGCGACAGCCAGACCGGATCGAACATATAGTGGCAGCCACCACCAAGAGCAACAATTCCAGTCAGCCGATGTGCGTGAGTATGGGCTACTCGAATCGCATAGAAGCCTCCAGTGCTGAATGCCCACATCGCCTTTCGTGTTTGATCAATCTCCGCCTGCTCATCAACCCAGTCGAACAGACTCGACCACTGGCGGTCGGGGGACGTGGGGTCGCCTGGGTCTGCTGGAGAATCACCAGTGCCCGGAATCTCCAATACCAGAACAGCAACACCCTTTTGTGACCAGCCTTCAATCCATACTGCCAGCTCAGTCCTGTAGCCATCGAGACCAGTAAGGATAATGACCAATGGCACGCGTTTCTCTCTACTTGTCCCAGGCGGTAAGTGGTAGTAGAATGGTATGTGTTTGTCCTCATGTGGCAGACCGTGCTTATGTGCGATTATGACTTCCTGCGTTGGCCTCTCTCGCATAGCCAACCCCTTTTTTGCAGCCCTCTTTCCCTCCTGCCAAGCATACCGTTGCTTCTCAGATCGAGGCGCGGGGAAACGTGAGATTCGGTATACAGCAGAGGCTCGCATATAGTACTCCGATGCTCTGGCTTGGTCGCCATCTTTCTCGGCCTGTTCGGCTACTGCTAAGAGCTCCTCTGCCTTGGGGAAGAATGCCTCTGCATACTTGTCCCAGTCATAGGGCTCTTTCTGGCCTTCGGCGATCAATCGTTCGGCAATCGGCTCGAAGTCTTCGTGGGCATTGAACATGAAAGGATATATTCCGAGTTTCGAAGGCTGCTGCCATTTAGTCTTCCATAGCTGCTCAAAACTTTCGTGATGAACTGCAGGTGTTTTCAGGGCGTCTTGTATGAAGAACTTCGAGCCTGGCGCTGCCATGTTGTGAGAAAGCTGCAGGAGGAGCCCAGAGAGGCATGAGAGCCCCCATATCTATAAGTTTGGCCCATGTGGGCTTCGACAGACTTCTTACACCTCGATACCGACATTGTGGTGTCGCGTAGTAGGAAGAGCGATCGGAGTCGGAGAATGGAGCCGAAATCTCAAAAGCTTCGACCCAAAGGTGATCTAAGCGTCGGTCTATTTTGACTTATGTATGCCGCAACGACGGCAGTGTAGTGAATACAGCGAATACGCACAGCCATGGCTCCCCCAACCGTTGCCGCTGCCATCTTCGAAGGCCTCAAGGGCTCGTGGCGACTCCGCAGGTCGCTGAACAGTCAGCTCTCTGGCTTCCCAAGCGGCATATTCGAGGGTGTGGCACAATTTCGACCCAGGACTCCCACTGCCCACTCCGCTGCGGGCGAGCTTGTCTACTCAGAGCAAGGAGAGCTGAAGACAGACAACGGCTTCACACTCAAAGCAAACCGCAAGTATGTCTATCGCTACAATGCCGATGAGGACAAGATCTCGGCATGGTTCGTCAAGGAAGACACCAAAGCCAAAGACGGCGAAGAAGAGGTAGACTATCTATTCCACGACCTGGAAATTGATGCCGAAGGAAAAGGCATTGCCGGTCGTGGTGAGCACTTGTGTGTGTTGGATATGTACTGGGCCTATTATGAATTTCGTCTACCCAAGCTGGCTGAGGTTGGTGCAAGTGAGAGAATGGATGTGTTCGGTGTGCGGTATAAGGTGAAAGGGCCACAGAAGGACTACACAAGCGACACTGCCTACGAGCGTACCTTTAGTGAGGATGTCGCTGTCTTGTAAGCGGCGGATTGCAGTCCACCTTCACGAAAGTGTTGAATACCTGCTTTCCGAGCAGCCTTCACGAAACTCACCTAAGGCTCATGGCATACATGAGGTGTCTTCACATCATGCTCTTCGCGATGCAGAACCTCTCTGAGAATCCACAACGCAAGCATGATTTCGATCCTGGAGCGTACGCTTCTGCACGATGACCGGATTGAGGGCAAGATACGCCACACGCTATTCGACCTCTTGCACCAGGAGGCGTCGCTTACCGGATTGCGCCTGACATCACACATATTGCATACCATTGTGGATCAGAGGAAGAGTCTAATGTTCTCAAATCTATACTTCTGTATGCCCGTGGGACGACTTGATCTGAAGTACAACATACCAGCTCTGCGTAGAATAGCACCATTTTGCACCTCGATGACTATCAAAGTGACTAATGGCGATGCGAACTCTCCGTATACCATGGGAGAAGCCGAGTCAGGGGACCAAGCCAGCGCCCAAGAAAGCGAACAACGCAAGCAGGAATCCCAAAATCGTCGCCCAGCGCGAGGTGTACGCAATGCTCACAACACGTTTCGAGACGATCCTTCATCGGAGTCAATTGCAGCACGGCCACGACGTATCGGAGTCCAGAGCTCAGGGGTTAGAAAGCTGGACCAGTTGCTTTTGCAGCAGATCTTCCAGTCTATGTATCAGCTGGCGAACCTCATCATACGAGTCAACGTTGACTCTGGTTGGCCCGGATTGACCCTGACAGAAGACAGTCTCATATCCATTAGACTCGCACTGGAATACAGTAACCTGGTATCACTACGAAGCGTGCGCCTCGATCCAGTACATGCCGCAGGCGTGTTGCATTTTCGGTGGGCAGGCTTCGGTGCTTTTCGTGAGCAACCCCTCACCAGATCGCCGGACAGTCCTTTTTCCACAACGCCGCGATGTGGTTCCGAAATATGGACCAACTTGTCAACACTCGATCTTCGGCTGCGGAATCCTGTACCTGCAAAGCGTCTTAACGAGAAACAGATGATGATGTTCTTCCAAGTACTGGACGACTACCTTCGCAGCTTTCGCCGCACTCTTCGACGCCTTTGCTTTGTATGGCTGGATGCCCCCGGCCCAAGTCCCCTGGCCTTTGCCGATCTACTGGAACGCGTTCCTATCGTGTGGCAAAGAGTTCAAGAATTCCAGTACGGCAACATCACTGCACCAGAGAAGATTCTTGACCTGGTCGGACACAGAATGCCAAATCTCAGGAGGCTCGAGTCACTGGTAGCCACCATCGGACAGGACTGCCAGGATGGAGATGTTTGGAAAGGTGTAGACATTCATTTGCCAGGATCTAATGCACCAACTTCTGAAACAGTCATGGGAAATGCAATGGCGAAGCTCAGTCAGCTATCATTGGTACCACCGCCGTTATCATTCCACCAAACTCCTACAAGGGCGGACTCCCCTGCTAGAAGTGCTCTAGACTCCAGCAGCATCTACTCACATCACGAGCTTGACTTGACTGACGATCCTGATATATTCGACGCAGATGGCAATGTTACCGTCGCAATGCCTTCTCCCTCTGCAACGCTAGAGGAGCAACGCAGAACGCTTCAAGTTCATGATGTCTCTTCCTTCGGTAGAGCTGTACGTATCGGGTCAAGTAACGATTTTGTCTCTACCCGACGAGCTACGAATGCGTCTGTATCGCGAGAGACGCCTACACGTCGCAATGCACTGGTGACTCGAGCTCCTGTCGCCAGCAGTGTCTACTCACGCGACGAGAATGGCGATTATATCCCGGTCAGACACAAATGGACCAAGAGTACAGTCCGATCGGAACTGCGTAACACCGTCTCTCGTTCTGCAATGTTGCCACAGCCGCCTGCGCCCGCCGCTACAGACGTCAAAGCTGGCCTTTCGACGACTCTGAGAATGCCCGCATCCCGTCCGGACACTGTGCTGCCCGACAATAAGCGAGTGGGACGCATGCCACCACCAGTACCTTCGAGCAATCTCATTGCGCGCAACAAACATCTCGAGATCGGGGACATGCCAGGGTTCAAGGCTGCTCGCGACGAGTACCTACGGAAAATCAGCAGTGATCAGGCAAACGCTATCGTAGGACGCAGTGCTGAGGGCGACGATCGTGCGTCAGACAATGGTACAATATCGTCACGTGATCGCGTGAGACACTGGGCCCGCGCAGTGAAAAGTGGAAGACCTCCAAGCGTGGTAACGACGAAAAGCATAGACACATTCAAGACTACTAGCAGTAGGCCACTGTCGAAATTCTTCGCCAACTTGCGAGAGACTGGCAGACCTCCGAGGCAGTGAGGGAGTACCGACTTCATCAGAACAGCGGCCAGGCGTGGCGAGACCTACGCCATATATTCATCTTCCTCAGTTATAGCTTGACGCCAAGCTTCTTCCCAACCTGTTCCTCTATCCGCCCCTACCGCTTTCAGAGATCCCAATGATTGTGTCGCGCATTCGTCTGTTCCGTGGGACGTCTCAGGCTCTTGATCTACTTCACCTTGCACTTGGCCTGGCAATGGACGACGTTCACTTTCCTTGACATATGTCGCGAGCTCACCCTTTTCCTCCTCTCGATCCTCCTCCTCCTCCTCCTCCTCCTCCTCCTCATCTTGTGCGAAAACCAGACACCTTTCAGCAACCGAATCCATCGTGGTCCCGTCATCTCGTCTCGGAGGCGTGGGTACTTGTGGTGGTACATCTCCCATCTCTTCCTCCTCCTCAGCAGAACAACAAACCCAATTGCCATTGATATTGTTGTTAGCTTCAACGCGATCCAACTCCACCACATCCAAATCCGCATCCTCGTCCACGCTCACGTCCGCTCCTCCCACACTCGTCATTGCCCCCGCCGCCGCCGAACACATCATCATCCTCTTTCGTGGCTTAGCCATGATGATTCCCTTCCCTCTCCTTGCTTTTCTCCTGCTCGCTTGGAATATCGACGTCGGTTGCACGACCATATGCACCTCTTGTCGTACAACCGCCTCCTCATCCTCATCCTCATCCTCTGCTTCCTCTTCTTCTTCTTCCTCCTCCTCTTCTGCCTCTTGTTCATGCGGTAGCCTCTCCTTCAATATCCGCTCAATCTTCCGCTGTCTTCTACGTTCGAGGTCTCGATATTGTTCCCGTCGAGCTTCAGCGCGAGCCTCGGACGTCAGGCGTTTGAACATTTCTTCTTCAGTCTCTCTTGGCATTGCGGAATCGCAGTGGAGCTTGATGGGTGCAGTCTATCTGTCAGTGATGATGGGAATGGGGGGGCTCTTGGGGGATTGGCTGGGTGGAAGCGAGATCAATTAGTAAAAGGCGGTTCTTTGGGATGGATTGCTGAGGATGATTGTGATGTGCTGTGGCGGTTTGCTGGGTTGGATGCATTTTGCAATGGAATGGAAAGAAAGAATGGATGAAGCTGTTGATGGAACAAACAGGTCTGGTCATTGCAGATTGGGCGGGAATGGAAGAAATTCTGAGAAGAATGAATTGATCAAGGGTATTGGTTCTTCTTGGATGCGAGTTGCATTGGTTCTTGTGATTACATGTTTGTAGAGATATGTATGTCAGCATCTGATGGACTACTCAGTCGGAGTCAGTCTACGAGTGTGGCGGCCCTGTAGAACGTAGAACTACCTAAGAACAACGGCCCACGTGGGATGGAAATGTTGCATAACCATTGGCCATCATCGCTCGTGCCATGTCCGTCCTTTCAGTTCGGCATTCTGGCTCACCTTTTTTTCCCAATGGAAAGGCGATTACCTAGGAAACGCAATGATACTATTCCACGGACTGTGTCGCTATTGTTTCAACATCGTCGTGGGCATGGACTACTCTAGGACCTGATCATTTCCACCACGTGACGAGGCAAGAAGGTTGGTTTCATGAGACAGTCGTCTTCTTCACCAGCTGCTGCATCCCGCCCTGCCACTTTCCTACTGCACCGGTACAGTCAGTCAACATGAGGTGAGTGTGCTTCCCCATCCATGGGTGGTGAAAGAATGAATGCCTTGCGTCGCTCAGGTGAATCTGCGGACCGTCAATCCAATGGCTGAATGGCTCGGCGGAGGAAAGAGAAACTACCCACCGTACTCGTACTAACATTCGTGTCCGAACAACAGATTCGGTCAGCAGCTGCGAAGCTCCCTCATCAAGGACTGGTACTACTATTACATTCAGTACGACGATCTTAAGAAGAGCCTTCGTACCGATTTCGAGCACACGCCGCTCGTCGCGCAGCGAAACAAGCAGCAGCAGAAGAAGCCGTGGTCCGAGGAGGATGAGCGCAGCTTCGTGAACCAGCTCGAGCAGGAGCTAGACAAGGTCTTCACCTTTCAGAAGGTCAAGAGCCAGGAGATCATTCGCCGCATCAAGTCGAGCGAGAAAGAGGTCAGCGAGGTTATTGCGAGGGCCGACGCCGCGAAGAATGGCGACGATCGCGCAAAGCAGAATGCGCCCGTCGAGGACGACTTCTTGCTGCTGGAGGAGGACCTGTCAGACATCATTGCCGACGTCCATGATCTGGCCAAGTTTACCCAGCTGAACTACACCGGCTTCCAGAAGATCATCAAGAAGCACGACAAGGCCACCCACTGGCACTTGAAGCCCGTCTTTGCTGCTCGCCTCAACGCCCGACCCTTCTTCAAGGACGACTACGATGGCACCGTGGTGAATCTGTCGCGGCTATATGATCAAGTCCGGACGCGTGGTCAGCCGGTGCAGGGCGACTCATCCGCTGGCGAGAAGCAGCAGAACTTTGTGCGTCAGACCACAAAGTACTGGGTGCACCCGGATAACATCACCGAGCTCAAGTTGATCATCCTGAAGCATCTTCCTGTGCTCGTCTTCAATCCCAGCAAAGAGTTCGACAAGAAGGACTCGGCCATCTCGTCCATCTACTATGACAATCCCGAGACCTGGGAGCTGTATGAAGGACGTCTGAAGAAGACGGAAGGTGCCGAAGCCATTCGAATGCGATGGTATGGTGGAATGGATGTCGACACCATCTTCGTGGAGCGGAAGACGCATCGAGAAGACTGGACAGGCGAAAAGTCGGTCAAGGCACGATTCTCCACGAAAGAGAAGAACATGGATGCATATTTGAGAGGCGACATGACGACGGAGCAGATCTTTGAGAAGATGCGAAGGGACGGCAAGAAGAGCGAGAAGGAGATCAATGACCTTGAGCAGCTCGCCAAGGAGATACAGTTCCGTGTCATTGATCGGAAGCTCGTCCCAGTATGTCGGTCGTTCTACAATCGTACCGCTTTCCAGCTGCCTGGAGATGCACGTGTGCGTGTGTCTCTTGACACGGAGCTTTCGATGATTCGTGAGGACAACCTGGATGGCAAGAAGCGAGCGGGCGATCACTGGCGACGTATGGACATCGGCATTGACTACCCTTTCAGCCAGCTGCCACCAGAGGACATCGAGCGTTTCCCTTATGGTGTCTTGGAAGTGAAGTTGCAAACCGCCCAAGGGCAAGAACCGCCAGACTGGATTCGAGAATTGACAGCATCGCATCTGGTCGAGGCTGTTCCAAAGTTCTCCAAGTTCATCCACGGATGCGCTACCCTCTTTCCAACAAGAATTGACCTCTTGCCATTCTGGTTCCCACAAATGGATGTTGACATTCGCAAACCGGTCAGCCACAAGTTCGGCATTGAGAGACCTGGCCAAAGCACGGATGTCAGCACTAGCGAAGCCCTGGACGACGACACAGAAGATGAGCTGGAAGAGGATGAAGCGAACAGAACTCTAGAAGAGGAAGACGAAAACCAACAACGACTTCGCGCCGCCCGAGACGCACTCGAACGCCATGAAGAAGACCGACATCTATACGCAAACGGTGATGCCGATCCCAACGTCCTAGATGAAGAAGAACGCATGGCCCACAAACCCATAGTGTCTATCGATGATGACTATCCACTCTACGACTCGGACGATGAAGAAGAAGCACTTGAAGAAGCCAAGAAGAAAGGCGGCTGGGCGTATCGATGGAAACTCACAAAGAGCTACGCCAGCCTCGCTGGCGACAAACTTCTTTTCACGTTAAAGCAAGCGACACCATTTCCTCAGCCTACACAAATCCCAGCGAGAGAGGGTCGCATGGGGATACCAGGCGGATCTGGGGTTAGCGAAAAGAGGTTCCGAGCGCCGAAGGGGAAGAAGATTCACGTTCCTGTCCGAGTGGAACCCAAAGTGTCGTTCGCCGCTGAACGCACATTCCTGGCTTGGGTGAGCATCGTACTTTCCTCTAATTATCACTATCTATGCTAATCAGTTCTTCTACAGCTCGAATTCTCCATCATCCTCGGCTCCATTGCTGCAACCCTTCTCAATTTCGGCGACAACGTCTCCTTGGCGGCCGCAATCGCTTTCACTGTCACCGCGGTCATTGCCCTGTTCTACTCGATGATCATATTCCTCTGGCGTGTCGACAGAATCAAACAGCGAAAGGCGGTGAGTTATCACGACAAATGGGGCCCTTCGGTGCTGTGCGTAGCTTTGATGGCTTGTGTTTGTGTCGCTGTGGGATTCAGATTTGCAAAAGGTGGAGAAGGGGATCTCAGGGGCCGGCATTGAGGGAGGATGATGTCTGAATGAGGGGCTTGAGGGGATGGTTGCATATACGACAGGGAGATTGCGGTAATGGCGCTTGTAGCTGCATGTATGTACTGTATAATACCGAAATGACATGCGCATGCATACATCTTGCTCGCTGGAAGTTTCCTCTCCTGTGCAGAATATAGAGCAACGCGACGTCAACGAGTGAGTGAGTCTAAAATTGCCCATATCAGGCAAGGTAAGCTATCGAGCGCTTGCCCACCTGACTTTCCATTCCCCTTTTGGTTTCCCCATCCCCCATCAAGGTGTAACACTCCTATCAATATTCGGCACCCTCTTCTGACTTTCCTCATCCATCTCAAATCCAATCTTCTCCAACTCCTCCCAGGCAGTCGAGAACTTCTCCCTTGCCCAGCTCTCTACTTCAGCCTGCTTGGCTTCCGTCGTAGCTCCATCGACCATACTTCCGAGCAGAACAGCATCAACCTCACACTCCCTCTTCTCTTCTGCTGCCTCAATGAGCTCAAAAGCACTCTCATTGTCCCCATTACCCACTAATGCACCAGCATAAGCAGCCCATAATTTCTGATCAAGTTCCACGTCCATCTTTCTCAACTTGGTCCAAATTTCCTTGGCGCGTAAATCGCCAAATGGTGCTTTCTCGCAAGCGCGTAATGCGATGTGGATACTGTTGTACGTGGGCCCTTCCTTGCTCGCGACAATGTCATTCCAGAATCCCAAAGCTAGTCGAGGGCGATCGCATGCGGTGTACGAGATCATCATGGCGTTCATGAGATATGTCGTCGTGTTGATGTTGTAATCCAACTTGAGTTGGTTGTGAATGACCTCGAGACTGTCGAGATCGCGGAGTTTGGCAGAGCCAAGGAAAGATGCGACGTAAGTGTCTACTGTGGGAATGGTGTCTGCGCGGGAATGGCGACGCATTTCGTTGAAGATGAAGACTGCCATGTCGGGTCTCTTGTGGCGGGTGTAGAAGTTTGACATGACTTGCGTTCGTGGCTCGCGCGGCATCTCGTCAAAGACAGATCCGAGGATTTTGTAGGCGTCCCAGGAGCGGGATGTAGGTGTTGATGGGTCGAGGCAGAATGCCAGAATGGTGTTGAGGATTTGGGAGCGGTCGGCGGAGGAGTAATGGTGAGCGTGGGTGTTCAGCAAGTCGATGACATCGTGCATTTCGTCTCGATTCAGGTGCAGCAGAGCTAAAGCCGTGACTGTGGCAGGGTCAAAATGTGCTCGTCGGTCGGCGAGGTCCATGGCGACATTCATCACCGTGTCAAAGTCGTGGCGTTTGCTTTGGCAGAGCGCTACGATAAGGTTGTTCACGGCTGGGACATCTTCATTCGAGGAGAGGTCCATTGCTTGTAGGCTCTTGTAGGCGATGAGAGCGCCGTCGACATCGCTGATTTTGAGTCGGTATTGAATTTGCAGTTGGTATGTGCGAGCGTCGGGCTCGATTTGTCGTGATTTGCCCAGGACAATGAAGCGTTCTGCCAGATACGGGTCCTGCTTGGAAGTGGCGAACTCTACCAGTCCGTTGATGGTCGCAATGTCGGGCACTCTCCACTCTGTCGGATCGGAAATATCATCGTTGGACTTCTCCATGACATCAAGCATGCGTCCAATCTCATCCGCACCTTTACCTGTGCCAGCTGCCCATACGAGGATGGCATCCCATACCAGTTTCGGTGGGTTGTTTGCCATGGCCCGCCGTACAACCTGGTGGCCGAAGTCGAGATGATGGTGAAGCAAGCACCAACGAAGCACCTCTTCCAAGTGAATGGAAACGTGTCGGTCCAACTGTGAAGATGTCCAGCTCAGGGCTGCATTTTCCCCTTCCCCTCCAAGGATGTCCTCATAGGTCCGCCAATACTGCTCATGCCATGTCTGAACAGCATCGATTCGGTCTGTCTGCAGGTAGTATGAGAGCATAGCGCTTGCCATAGGCGCGGTAACTCCAGTATACCACTCTTGGGTTTGAATAGTGGTCATGGTTGCGAGAAGTTCCTCCTCGTTGTTCTCTCTGGCGAAGCCTCTCAATACCGCAGCCCAGATCTTTGGAATCTGAGCTTTGCTACGTTCCATCTGCTTTTTACCGTGAGCAAGAACAGCGTTTTCAGCAGCAACGTGCGCTGTGTCCTGCTCTGCGGCATGCTCGGCAACATCGACAGTGGATTGAGTACGCGCAGAAGTGTCCGGTTCGCCCAGCTTTTCCGCCAAGTCGCGAGCATCAGATGCTCTCCCGACGCAGCTGAGAGTGGCAGCATAGGCGAAGGCAGTTTTCAGTCGAGCAGGCTTCTTCTCCGCTGTTATCTCCTGGGCTCTCGTATGTAGGAATTCAGCGAGCTCAACATGTGCAGAAGTGGTAGCAGAAGCCCCTGCAGCGACTGTGGAAACAGCGTTTATCATGGCCATACCCAATTGATAATCATAATCCTTCCCCACGCGCTTCGTCGTCCCATCACTCTTTGACGCATCCTCGTTCGCGAAACAGTACTTGAAGCTCTGCAGGGCTAATCTCGCTTGAGTGTCACTGATTTTCTTCCTTTGCTCTCTCTTTGCTGCAAAGAAGGCCTTCAGGGCGTCTGCCACATCTTTCGCGGGCGGCAGACGAGCTTTCATGCGCTGCATCTTGGCCAGATGCATCATGTCTTCAATGCCCGGATCCACATTCACCTCTTTGGCCTCTCTTTTCTTCGGCGCGAACATGTTGAAGTCGAAGAGGGACCTCTTCTGGTAGCGTGATGGTCTCCCATGTTGAGGAACACATCGCCGTGAGCCAGTCCGAATCCTGGCGAGGGAACTATATGTCTGTCGCCGCAAACAACCTCGATGGATGATGGGTTCGTTGGCCAGAATGCGGCGGAAGACGTGGCGAGTGAGGTGCGTCGGCATGGTCGTGTCAGTCCATATTCTCTTTCCCGGCGGGTATACACGATGAAGGGTGATCACAGGTGCTGTATTGCAGATGGAGAGCTGTGATCAGATACATGTACATGACTTCCATTGTTACTCTGATGACGATGGTAGGCCATCTTCCTGATATGGCTTGGCATTGCCGAAGACATCTCCGCATCGATGTAGACTTCTATACCTCCAGCACATCACCGAATAATTATCTACACCTCCCGTTTCCCTCACCCACACACACGCAATGTCACTGGAAGTTGCCTTTCGCCGGCTGGCCATTCGTCCCACGCCGCCATACCACCAATGCCGACGCTCCATTTCGACGACTCCGATCTCGCGACAGCAGCAGAACAACGCGACGGCTGTTCTTGCTGGTATGGCCGACACTGCCTCCTCCCTTCCACTTGAGCTTCACGCCTAATTATCTCTTAGAACAACTCCGGGCCAGCTCCTCGCAGTCGACATCGACATCCACATCCACATCAGCATCACGGGCCAATCCACCCCGACCCGCCGATGCCCTCTCCTCCCTCGACTCGACATCCACCTCTACCCCTACCTCATCGGCCGGCTTCTCGCTCGCTCGCGGCGCAATAGGGATCGCTACGGACCCCCGCCGTGAACAAGCCCAGCGCCAAATGCTTCTCGATGCGTCCCGCGGCTGGGATCGTGGAGACCTCGAACGTCAAGCCGTCCATCGCCGCTGGAAAGCCGGCGATGTCTACGCCCCTCATGATCTGACGGGGGCAGAAATGGCCAAATGGAAGAAAGCGCGCCGACGCCCCAAGCCAAAGGTGGATGTCGTGGATTCTTTGGGCTTGAAGCCAATCGACCATTACAAGAACTTTTCCATGATGTCAGAGTATATGACGGAGATGGGGAGGATTAAACACAGCAACGAGACGAATCTGAGACCGGTGAATCAGAGGCGTATGGCAAAGGCTGTGAGGAGGGCGATCGGTGTCGGGATCTTGATGCCGAGTACGCATCGACATCCCGAGATTTTGAGGATGGAAATGAATTGGGGGACCAACCGGACGGGTTAGGACTGGAAGTTGAGGAACAAGAGGGAGGCATCGAGATGTACAGTCTGGGTGATAGGGCGAGATATGTGAATAAGTCGAGGATTGAACGCATCAGGTGCCTTGAAGGGCTTGCGCTTGCTAGGCTGTTTCGAGGAGATCGAGGTCAACAGCAGTTGCTGCAACGCTTCTTGGTGTCGGGGAAAGTCCAGACACGCCACTCCTGCCGTGAGCCTCCATTTATCTTACGAGCAGACTTTCAACGCTTTCTCGCTGCCATTGTTTCTCAGTGCGCACCCCAAAATCTTTACAGCCTTCCAAGACATAAGAGACCGATTCTTTCTGACGTTCACATTCATCTGAACGGCCCACCACTACATACAATGGACTATATCGCAGCAACAGAAGTCACCAGTTTGGACTGTTGGCTCTTCTCCATCTTTTTCATCATGGGACTCGTCGTCGGATTCTATTTGAGCAAGCTTCGGCTGCACGTCATGGACATTCGCATACGCCAATGGGAGCTAGATGCAGCAAGGCGACGCAATGTACAGCTTCAGTTGACACCTTCCCAATCAACTGAGAAGACCGTGCTGAAAGCGCAAGCAGGAAAGTGTGCTTCCACAGTACGAAGTGCGCGGCTCAATCTGTCGAGAGAGGAATGCAACAGCAAAAGTATGTTTTTCTTTGGCGACAACGAAACAGTTTTGTGTAGTTGGTTAACAAGCCTTGTACAGTCAAGAGCTTCAGGATTCGACGGCGGACTGATTGCATGAGCCATCAGGGATTCCTTCTTTCGATCGCTTTCGCAGAGTGCACAATTCGAGAAGGGGTTCGTTCTCGAATTCTTTCGAACCAATGTTGCTAAGGGTAGCGTGAACGAGCAGAAGTGTAAGCGGCAGAGCGAAACTGATCGCAATCTGGCTGTTACCGTGAGGCTGACCTGTTCCACATGCAGTCTCTGCAACTTCTCGATCACCAGAACAGGTTACCTGCGAAGAGTATCCGTAGCTTGCTTGCTATGGCCATGGGGAGTTCTGACAATAGCGGCGTGTCCATAGCATTTGGTTCCAATCGACGAGCAGTATCTTCCTGTTGCATTCATTCTGCTCTCCTACAATCACAATGATAATTACAATGTCGCAGTTGAATTTTTATTCCCAACACCTCGTGCAATCACGACTCATCATTCTCGTTCGATACCGCTTGAGGATGAGATGAACCGAGAGTGATGTCCTCGTAGACACAGTCTCACAGACGTTGCTGAGTGGGTTCTTGACTCCTTGGTGATATACCCTCGGTTGGCCGTGGGTTGGCCGCGGACTAGTGAACTCTAATCACATTGTGTTCACCTCCCCGCTCTACATGAAATGGGACCACAAGGTCACGAATACCGTTGCACATAGTTCATCTGTATCTTCGGCGACGACTGGGCTGACTTTTGTGAATATTCGAGCACTAACTGCGAAAGTCGCCCTTGTCCAAGCTCGTACTGGAATATCGATCAAGGATATACATATAAGCAACACGCATACAAGACCCAAGACGTCGACATCACAACAACAAGACCTGCCTCGCAACCAAGTAAACCAATAAGATCACAAAGAGAAAGACCGTATCTCTATCAACCCAGCACTGCAGCCTCAAAACCATGGCTCACTACTACGACTCCCAACTCCAACGTCCCACAACCTTCAACTTCGCCACCGATGTCGTAGACTACTGGGCCCAAAATCCACCTCACACAAGTGGAAGCATCGGCGGCGGAGGAAGCGAAAAAGAAGAAGAACAAAAAGAAGAAAATTACGCCATGCACTGGCTCTCCCAAGACCGCCAGATCTCGCGCAAACTCTCCTTTGCGCACTTTAGTCGACAATCCCATCGACTGGCCGTCCTCTTTCGCCACCATCTTCACATTTTTCCCGGGGATAAAATGCTCATCATCATGCCCCGATTGCCTGAATGGTGGGAAATCGCTACGGCGGGTCTGCGGAGTGGAATTGTTGTGTGTCCCGCCACGACGTTGCTCGTGGAGCAGGATATTGCGTATCGCGTGCAGAGATCTGGGGCGAAGGTTTTTATTGGGGATGCGGTTGCTGTGAAGAAGTTTTTGAGGGTTAGAGGGAAGTGTGGGAGTGTGAAGGTTGTTTTGCAAGTGGATGGAAGAGGAGGAGGAGGAGGAGGAAGTACTACTACACGTGAAGGTCTTGAGGAGGGGAATGAAGGGGGTGTAGTGTTGTTGCATGAGGCGTTGAAGAAAGTCCCCGCTGATGCGGTGTATACTGGGCCGAAACCGGGAATTACAGATCCGAGTATGATTTATTTCACGAGTGGGACGACAGGCCCGCCGAAAATGGTGCAACATAATCAGATTTCGTATCCGTTGGCACATACCATTACAGGAAAACATTTCCATCGTCTGCGACCTGGGTTTCTCAATTGGGTGTTGACAGAACAAGGCTGGGCCAAAGCCGGTTGGGCGTGGCTCGGAACGTGGAATTGCGGCGCAGCACTCTTCATCCATGATGATCGACAACCTTTCAATCCTCAAGCCACCTTGGAGATTTTGCATAATTTCCCCATTACGACGTTTTGCGCTCCACCGACCGTCTATCGCCAACTCGTCCTCGATGAGAATCGCCGCTTGATGCGTCAGAGGAAACCCAAAGCCCTTCAGCATTGTACCGGAGCGGGCGAACCTCTGAATCCGGAAGTGATACGTCTCTGGCTGGAGATGACCGGGTTGGAAATTTGTGATGGGTTCGGACAAAGTGAGACGATCTTGCTCTGTGGGAATTTTGCGGGGAATGCAATTCGACCTGGTTCGATGGGGAAACCTTCCCCTGGGACTCCGTTGTTTGTGATTAATGACGATGGTAGAATTGCGGGAGATGGTGAGGAAGGTGATATTGCTGTCCGAGTCGATTTGTCTGGGATATCGGATTTTTTCGGGGTTTTTGATGGATATCTTGATGAGAATGGAGTTCTTGATCGGAGACTTCGTGACGTTCGACGGGACGATAATAATAATGATAAGGCAGTAGCATGGTATTCCACGGGTGATCGCGCCACACGCGACAAAGACGGATATTTCTGGTTTGTCGGTCGAAACGACGATGTGATCAATTCCGCGGGATATCGAATTGGACCCTTTGAAGTCGAATCGGTGTTAAAGCAACATCCGGCTGTGGTGGAGAGTGCGGTGGTGGCTTCCCCTGATGCGTCGAGAGGGGAGGTGGTCAAGGCGTTTGTGGTATTGACGGAAGAGTATCGTGCGAAGGATCAGGATGGTTTGGTGAGGGAATTACAGGATTATTGTAAGAGGAATGCTGCTCCGTATAAGTATCCGAGAAAGGTGCAGTTTGTGGATGCGTAAGTACCTTACTACTCACTTGTTGGTTGGCTCTTGATGATGGGTATGGGATGACCTATGCTGTGATGTGCTGACGATGATGTGTTTTTTTTTTCCAGGACGTTTCTTCCGAAGACTATCAGTGGCAAGATTCAGAGAAAAAAGTTGAAGCAAGATGAGTGGTCTCAGGATAAACCAAAGTTGTAAATTTCGACTCGTGGGATGAGTTTTGTATGCTGAGGTTTTGATGCCATTGCGAGAGGACAGTAATGCTGACTAGGTAGCAATGCTCCTCCGCCATTACATAGCGGACATATAAATCGCTAATATGCAGGCGCAGATTGCCATTACATCTTGCAATAATTCAAGTTATGCCAAGACAATGTTCTCCCAGTCGACATTTGATAACGCTTTGCGGTATACAAAGCCAATACCAGCTCTCTCATGGATCGGCACACTCTGCGACGACGATTCATCTCCTAGCACCAATTCCGCCTTTCCACTTGTTTCTCGCACTAACATCACGTTCAAGAAATCAAACTTGTCCAACGATCTGGGCCAACCTTCCAGATATTCGGTCACAGTGTCTCCGAGGTGAAACGCCTCTGTGATGGGAGATATCTGCCCAGTAGCGTGATACACGCCGAGAGCACCGAATGGGACGACGGATAGTAAGACCAGCTTGAGAGTCGAATTGGAAGAGACTTCTGGGTGATGAAGAGACAAAGATCCACAGATCTGTCCTTCTCGGTCTTGTAATGCGATCATGGACTCCTGAACGCCGGGAGATGGTTGCTGTATGGCTGGTCCTGCGATCAAGACTGTCACTGGTGCAGAAAAGCAGAGAGTCTGTGGCTCTGGGCTCTCACATGCGATAATGCGAGGCTGCTCACTTGGATATTTGGGGAACCCGACTGACTTCCTTGCCTCATTATGCTCGTCTATACGTCCAAAAGGGTTCTCTGGCGTAGACTCGGCATAGGTGGGACTCCAGTCTCGATCGTTACTAGAAGCCTGCTCATCACTGATGCTGTCGTCCGCATCTGTACCCGAGGGAGAGCCTCCTTTTATTACATCTGCATGCTCCAGTCGTGCTTTTTCGTATTCAGATACTTCTTTCACAATGCGCTGCACTCTTGCGAGTGCTGCCTCGCTCGCATCCTGTTTGTTCCACAGCATCTCGCAAACTCCATTGCTGACTATCTGCCAGTCGATCCACGTCCCCTGAAGCAACCACATCTGATCATAGTCTGTGTCATGCGTTGGACACATCATGATCTCGGCCTTCCAGCCCATCCACGACCAGCTGGGAAATCCAACGGTGCGTCGAAGTGCGCCACGGCTCTTCCACAATATAGCCCAATCAAAGCAGGAAGCTGGCATGCCAAAGGACAGCTTTCTGCTCTGCATCGATCGGGCAAGTGCAGTGGATATGCCGCAAAAGGCATTTGCAATATCAGATTGATAAGTCAGAGATCGGGATGTATACGCGTATACATGATGGACATATCGCTCAATGGCAGTTGCATAAAGATCATCAGTCTTGCCGAGGGTGTTCGCGGACGTTTCGGGAACAATACCAGAGACGTTGGTATTCATGTGTTCGGAGTACACGGCGGCATTGCAGTTGAAGTAGACGAAACCGTTCAGAAAGACTAAGCACCGAGGGGAGAGACACGTCTCCTGGTATCTGAGCACAGGGATCAGTACAATTAACTTCATGAACACCGACGAGATTCGACTGACGTCCAAGCACGAGTCGCATGTTCGCAGTGCAGCAGCTCTCGCTGGTAGTAGGGCAGTACTCCAAGACGGAGCCCTTGGCTCAATTCAACGCAGTGTTGCGTCCGGCCTGATTTCGAAGACCATCCCGATAGACCTGAGTCCGCGCCATTGCTGGTGGCAGCTACTATAGTGATCACGGCATCTGCGTAGATGGCGTCCATTGCATTGAGGAGTATCGCTTTTGTCGTGTAGTTGTCTTGCTGAATGCACAAAGCATCGATCCAGACAAATCTGAGATGGAGCGCTTTGGTGACCTCGATAGCGTCCTGTACGGTTCGAGGAAGCTCAATATTCAAGCCGTTTGGCTCGCAGAACGCTGCTCGATTGTGTTTGAGAGTTAACACCCGGTTTGTACTGCCCCAGACGTAGCTCAAGGCGACATACTCCATGTTCTCTGGCAGTTCGCAGAGACACAGCCTATCCACATCGATGACTAGGAACTCGTCCAGCGTCGCAGGAGGCAATGATCTGGTGTCTAGGCCCGAGCGGGCACATTGCCCTCCATGGCGAAGCTTACACAATTCGATCCAGCTCGCCACAGTCTTCATATCGACGAGATGATCCACCAGTCGACCACGCAGAAACCCGGAACTCTTCTTGTCGTCGACAAGCTGAATGCCGTAATCTTCACGACTACCATCACGACCAAAGCAAGGATAGAGCGCCGATTCGAACATGTCTTGCACATCTTCCGACTCGTTATCAGGTTGGTAATCGTTGGTATTCTGTGCCCATCGCAACGTCCAGATACCCTCATCATCAGCCTCTGCGAGAACAGTCGAGTTACTTCGCTCCATTGAGATCCATATCAATTCGCAAAGGCTACAAGTCGCACGGTTACGGCGTAAGTTGCCAAACGTGCCCGAGTGAGCCACAGCATTATACTTCCCTTCCGGCTCAAGGGGCGACGAAGTGAAGTCCTCACGCTGGAGGCCAAGTAGCGAACACGCCTGGCATAGCTTAGCCATATTTCTGTGCTCCTTACCAAAATTGCTGAGATATCGCGTGCTCAAGCAGGAGGATGATATGGATTATATACACAGCTGAGTACCTGAGCCATCAGGCTGCTCGATAGGCGCCAACATGGGTGTGGCTGTGCGCATGCATGATATCTTTGAGACAGCCATCGTTCGCCAAGTGTGGCTTCATCACAATTGCCCACATCTTTGTAGCCGATGTCACTCTGTTGCATTGTATTCGTTGATGAAGAACATGAAAAAAGTTCACTGTTTGTTTACATTCAGGAGTGATGACGGGATGATGTATTGGTGGTGGTAAAACTTTTCGTGGCGGCGGAAGAAAACTATTAATAACCCGGGTAAGCCGTGGCACAAGTAAAAATTGTGTCTCACGCGTCAAGTAGAACCATGGTAGAATGTAGGTAGAGGTAGAATTATTATTTCTTGATGGACACAAATGCGCTATTCTTCGAGTCGCGCAAATGACTTGGGAGGATAAAATGTCGGGGGTCGATTGTCATGCCTGGCAGCCAGATCCGTTCGTTGGTCATTCACTTGGGAACATAGGCTGACTTCAGGATGATCAGACATAGCGAGACGGTATGTCACTATTTTCAAGATCAAGGGGGAAGGACTCATCGATGACAAGCTTGCCATTGTCGTATACAGCTCACTCAAAGTGATATAGCTGTGGCGATGCAGCAGATTTATCGAGCAAGATATGCCTGCGCACCCACCATGGAAGAACCTCGTTGAGCTGGTAAGACGCATGGCGTGTAGTTGGAACTGCAAAGACAAAGTCCAGCTCCTCGAGGCTTCGTTCCTTCGTCTCAGGCAGACAGAGGAATATGAAAATCAGTGCGATGATGTTCAGACCTGCGTAGAAGCCGAAGGAGCCCGTGGCACCGAACGCCCTCAGCATACGCGGGAATGTGAGTGACAAGATGGAAGCCCAGAAGTTGTTCGTGGCCACTGCCCAAGCCATGCCAATCTCACGGTGCGATAATGGAAACGCTTCCGCAGAATACACGAACGCGCAGGGCCCTTCGCCCGAGCAATAGAAGGCTGCGAAGAGAAACGTGAAGAAAGCCACCAGCGCCAACTTTGCCTGATCAGAGGAAGCGAGGAAAGATAGTCCGGCTGCCAACAGAGTCCAGAACATGTTCGGAAAGGTCGAGATGAGCAGGGTGCGACGTCCATAGCGATCGATGGTGTATAAGGCTGGTATGGCAAAGAGGAAAGCCGTCACGCTGAAGCCCCAGGACACCCACAGCGCCGCCATCTGACTGAAACCGCCTTGGACGAATATGGTGCTAGAGTAGAAGCCTACAATGTTGACTGGTATACTGTTAGCATTGCCTCTTACGGATCTGAAGAGAGGCATGACTTACTGCCACACATTTGCTGCGCAATCATGATAATACCAGAAGCTTGCGTCGCACGTCGGATCCGGGGTACCGTGAACAGTTGCACAGCGCGGCGAAGTATTGCAGAAGCTCTGCTCTCATGTTGCACCAGAAGCTTCCTCTCTGCCTCTATCTGTACATGGATATAGTAGAGATCTCGTGCAGCCTGGAGTGGGCTGTTTCGCACACGCACCAGGGACTCATATGCTTGCCGATGTTTGCCCTTCTTGATCAGCCATCTCGCGGACTCTGGCACCAGGAAGATACCGATCAGGAGAGGGATTGCCGGAATCATCGCGGAACCGAGCTGCAATCTCCATGCAATCCCCCCAACATTGGCTACAGCCAGGTTTGCAGAGAAGCCGAGGACAATACCTGCCGCCACCCACAGTAGCCAGGACATCGTCAACGCGCCACGGATGTTGGCAGGGGCATTCTCTGCTGAGAATACAGGCACGGTGACTTCCTTTAGGCCCATACCCACGCCCAGGAGAATGCGACATATCAGAAGCTGCGGCCATGTCTGAGACACTGCCTGTCCAATGGGAGCCAGCAGACTGAATACGGATGCCACAAAGATGGTCCCGCGACGACCAAGGTAATGATTGATGGGATCGGACATCCAACATGCGAACAAGCAGATGGCGATATAAGGTGCCGCATTGATGGCGCCGACGATCCAGGCATTCCTCGAGCATGTTCCCAACGCCTCGCAGTCTCCTGAGTCCGCGATGCCAAACTCCTGAGGAAAGGTCAGGTTAGCAGCGTTGCTCCCACATTGGTCCCACCCTTGGATCGCAGCTCCGACTGAGTTCAGTGCTATCAGAATGTACAAAGTCCTCGGCTGACGCCATCGATGAGTCTTCTCCTCTTGTAGAACTTTCATCTCCTCTGCAGAGAGTTCTGGGACCTGGTCCAAGTGGTCGGGGTTCTGCGCAGCTAATGCCCCCTTTTGGAGCAAACCGACGATGTCTTGTAGCCCATACTGATCGGCGTAGGCTTCAACCTGTGCAGATAATTCCTCTTTTCCAATGCCAGCGAGCGGGTTTCGGATGGCTCCAGTGGTGTTGTGTCGAAAGATATTCTCGCTGCTCGAACTTTCGTCGAGACTGGGCTCTTCTGGGCTGGTTTGCCACGCGCTCGACTTGACATCCTTCACATCCATATCGATTTCGCGCTGGCTTTGACTGGTGGGAGTGAAGGACAATCAGAGTAGTCACTTTCCATCTTTTACATAAAGCCACGGGTATCAATTACACAATCCTCACAAAGTGACTACCGAAAACCAACATCCCAGTTTGTCGGATTTAGGCAGATAACAGATACCATCGCATCAGAAGGCCCGAAGGCCGAAGGCCTCATGATGCCCGAGGTGTGTTGGTGCAGGTAACGAAATGGTAATAAAGAAGCCCCTCGAGAAATTATAAAATTGATTGGCATGATTCCATTCTGACAAGGTCTATACCATGATCGCCAGGATGAGCTCTTTAGCCTCAACCCCACAATGATTCCAGCGAATGGAGCGAAAGATAGAAAACCCCAACTAGGCCGCCGGCCATGGGACGATAGCGATAAACTCCTCACTTGGCGTCAGACAAGACTACATGTACGAGACACGATACGGCTATTGTTGATACGACGATGACACAGTAATACATACAACATCGTCGAACAGACGAAATTCGCCCATATTTTTACAGAAAAGAAAAGAAAAAGAAATCATGTCCAAACTACAAGTTCTGCAGCCAGTTGGCGTGCCCAAAGGCACTCCAGCATTCGAAGAGAAGCGCGAGAAAGTCATCGCGGAGCTCAATGCTTCGATCCCAGAAGCCTTCCATCTCCCCGAATCATTCTTCCAAAACCCACCACTCAACGTGACCTCTGTCCCATCGACCTGTGGAATTCTGAGTCCAGCAGAGATTATCATTACCGAACACTACGATGCTTCCGGTCTGGCAGAAGCGATTGCTCAAAAGCAATTCTCAGCGGTAGCTGTCGCCACGGCATTTTGCAAGCGAGCTGCTATTGCTCATCAGCTCACGTGCTGTCTGACACAATACTTCATGGACGAAGCCATCGAACGTGCGAAGTATCTGGATGAATATCTGGAGAAAAATGGCAAGACGGTGGGTCCTCTGCATGGCGTGCCAGTTAGTGTCAAAGAGCATATGGCTGTCGCGGGACATTGGTCGAGTTTTGGATATTTCAGTACGAGGAAACTTGATGATAAAGACTCGTTGATGATTCAGACGTTGAGAGCGGCAGGAGCGGTGTTTTATGTCAAAACTAATCAGCCGCAAGGTATTATGCATTTGGAGAGCGATGGTTGGATTGGAAGGGTGAATAATCCTTACAATATTAACCTCTCGTCCGGTGGAAGTACGGGAGGTGAGAGTGCTTTGATCGCGCTCAAGGCCAGTCCACTGGGGCTTGGAACTGGTAGGTCTTCTCCTCATCATGAGCGGGTGTTGTTATGCTGGCTACTAACTTCTCCCTCTTCTAGACATCGGAGGCTCCGTTCGCGGCCCCTCGGCCTTTTGTGGTATTTTCGGCTTCAAGCCCACCTCTTACACCATCACAATGAAAGACTTCCTGCCCGACGGATTTCCCGCCGAGCTCAACGTGCTCTGCTCGACTGGTCCCATGGCCCGTTCTCTTCGCGACGTCGAACTATACATGAAAGTGATGGTAGACAGCAAACAGTACCTCCACGACCCTCGTATTATCCCCATTCCGTGGACCGGTCTCCAGACACCACGATCCAATGAACCCGTCAAGATCGGCTTGATGATGACCGACGGAGTCATCACGCCTCAACCTCCCGTGCTTCAAGCGTTAGAATGGGCCAAATCTTGCCTCCTCAAATCCTCTGACAAGTTTGTCGTGAAACCCTTTTTGCCATACGACGCTGCTCTCGCAATGAAGCACATCGGTGTCATGTACTGGCCCGATGTGGCGTTGAACACCAAAAAGGCCCTGGCCGCAACAGGCGAGCCCATCCACCCTCTGACCAAGACCGTCCTCTCCACGGTGACTAGCACCTGGGATGACCCCAATGGACCAGAGAAAGAGAAGACGGCCACCGAGATCTCACAGATGCGAGTCGCTCGCGACCAGTACCGTTGCGACTTTGTGGAGAAGTGGAATGAGCAAGACGTCGACGTCGTTCTCGCACCTTGTTATGTGGGGCCAGCGAGTAAGCACGATACCGCGTATTACTGGAATTACACTGCTTTGTGGAACTTTGTGGACTATCCTTCTATTGTTCTGCCAACGCCAGTCACTGTGCAGGAGAAGACTCCGTATGCGGGTGAGTGGAAAGCTTTGAGCGAAAAGGATGCCCATGTCAAGGAGATGTGGGATGAAGGTGGGTTTGAGGGAGCACCGATCAATTTGCAGGTGATTGGAAGGAAGTATCATGATAATCAGATGATCGGTATTGTGGGAGAGTTGCAGAAGGTCTTGGGTTTTGCTTAAAGAAGTAAACATGTGTTGTAGGGACCTGGATGTATGCAGCAAATATGACCAACCTGCTTTGCGAGATACGCGTATCGTGCGTTTGGATTTCACAGATCTGGCGTATTCTGAAGGGATTTGGTGCCATGTCCATCATGTGAAAAGTTCTGTTCGTATTGGCACTCGCCTCTTCGGGTTGCAAGCTATACAGTTCACTCTCCGAGCGTGCGTGCTGGACTATTGAGTCTGACACAGCACCATCTCGCTTCATGGCGCATCGAGGGTGCCAGAGCTGTTGTAGGTACCTAGTTAAGGTAGGCATCGAACTTCACTTTAGGGAGTCAAGCTCGATGACCCAGGAGCTCGTACATCACGAGTGACTTTTGTTATCTGAATCTCGTATTGCTAGCACTCCCATTGCTCAAGCTTCGCTTTGTACCAGGAAACCCCCCCAACAAGTGCCTAGAATGTTGTCCGTGCCATGCGATAAAAGAAGCACGTCGCCATCATGTGTCTCGTCTTGCTGTCGCTACGCAGTAGGCAGCCTCCGTGCCAGAGAAGAACCATGGACTATCTTCCTCCGAGCTCTTTTGTTTCAAGTTGTATCTGGTCGCCAGATAGCCGTCGGGGTGTGGCAGGGTGAAACGAGACCTGCGTCGTGTACAGCAGGAGACGCGGCGGTCTGGGCGGCAAGAATGAGAGTTGCGAATGCATTGCGGTATGCTCCCATTGTTGTTTCACTAGAACAGTCGTGAATGGGATGTGTTGCCAATGTGTCGTTCGTCGTTGCCTGACGTGCCTGAACCGAGCTCGGACTCCGGCCGGAAGCCGTACCCGCTTTTCGCTCCTTCCGCTTTTCGGCTTTGTCATGCTCTTTCTCCGCTATTCCTTCTTCTGCGCCCCATCTTCAGCTTGTCAACCTCTTCCGACCATCCACCACTTCTTCCATCAACATCACCGCCCACGACATCGAATCATCGTCCTCGCAACCGCTGGCGACCCTCTTCATCGGCGCTTGCTCGACGACCCTCGCCATCACAAGAACTGAGACCCGCCCGACGGCACGGCTGCTTGACGCTCGAAGCGCTGCAGAATCCACCCGACGACGGTAAGACAGGCGAGACATTGCGGCGAGTGGGCCACAGAGACAATCAGAAAGACGTTGGAATCTAGCTGAGACTAAACTGTCTGAAACGGACTCTTTTCTTGTTCTACTGTTGCATACTGTTGCGGTGCGCTCGAGGTCGCTTTGCGCCCGTGCAGCTTTCCGCCGTACTTGAAAAAAAGACAGCCAGTCACCTGGATTTCCTGTCACAGGCAGTTGCTATTCAATACAAATCCACCTTTCAGGTCGTGCATCTCTGAGCTAGTTGGCGCAGCCTTCTGTTCACCTGTACACCACTCTCCCTTCAGTCTCTGCTGAACCGTGTATATTGCGCGAGCGCAAGGATCTTCTCATCTTACACCAATTCGACAGCACAACTGTGTCTACTCTGGTCTGCATCCTCTGGTACACCAACCCTCACAAATAAATCACCAGCATGTCTTCTTCCATCTTCTTCAAGTTTCGAAACCAGAAGGACACTACGCCAATCGCTTTCGATGGCAGCAGTCTCTCTGTGTTTGAAGTGAAGCGCGAGATCATGAGGATTGCCCGACTTGGTGATGGCAAAGACTTTGATTTGGAAATTTCCACTTCAGATACCAACGAGCGTAAGTTTCCGGTCTCTCGCACACTTCTCACGTGATCAACGCTGACATGCCAAACAGGATACGATGATGACACCACCCAAATACCACGATCAACCACTGTAGAAGCAAGACGCATGCCAGCAAGCAAGCATGGTGCTGGTCGGGCAGCCCGTTACATCACGGGCTCAATGCCGCTACATGCTAAAAACTCACACCGTACCGAGTCGAACATGAGAGGGGGCGCGGGCAAGAACACATCTGCGGCAAATGGCGTGGGAGATATGAGTGCAATGACAGAGGAGGAGAAATTGGCTGCTGTAATGAATGCTAGCAATACCCAGTTCCAAGCGGACCTTCAGTCGTCTGCGAGTATGCCATCGAAGCGCAATACCTTCAAGTCGAATGTTGCTGTGCCCGACAAGCCACTGCCCCCTGGCTATGTCTGCTACCGCTGTCGCAAGAAGGGCCATTGGATCCAGGCATGCCCAACTAACAATGATCCTACTTTCGACGGCAAGAAGCCAAAGCGTACCACAGGTATCCCGCGTTCTATGCTTGAAAAGGTTGAAGAGCCAGATACGGATAAGGAGCTACCACAGGGTGTCTTTATGAACCAAGATGGTGACTACGTGCGTGTCAAGACTGATGATGCTACTTGGCAAAAGATTCAGGAGCAGCGGAAGGCTGCCGAAGAAAATGCCAAGGAAGCAGACGCCGTTGACCAAGAGCTCGTCGATCGTGGTCTTGTTTGTACTCTCGACGAGCGCCCCTTTGCTGTTCCCGTCAAGACACCATGCTGCGGTACAACGTACTGCAACGACTGTATCGAGAATGCACTGATCGACAACGATCTGCTGTGCCCGAACTGTGGTGAACAAGCATTACTCGACGACCTCAAGCCAGACGAAGAAGCTCTTGACAAGCTTGCGGCGTACGATGCTGAGAAGAAGGCCAGCAGACTTCAGAAGGAAAAAGAAGCATCCAAAAGCCCAAAAGTCCAGGATGTGTCCGAGGGAATGAAATCACCTGGTTCAACTCCCAACTCCAAGAAGCGCAAGGCAGATGATGATCTCGAGAGTAAGCGTCGCCCAAGCAATCCCGCCGAAATGAAGAGAAGCAGGTCCACGCAAGGGACGCCGGCTCCAGGCACACAGCTTGCGACATCACAGTCTCAGCCTCAGCCTCCAAAAGCACCGAAGAGCATGAGTGCCAACACCACTGTCACCGACTTCGCCGCACAGATGAATGCCATGACTTATAGCATGAGTGGTGTCCAGAACGGCATGAATGCATTCACCAATCCGATGATGAATCCAATGATGGGCATGGGCATGTCACCGATGATGCCAGTGATGCCAAACATGATGGGAAACTTCAACCCAATGATGGGTATGGGCATGAACGGCATGAATGGCATGGGTATGGGAATGGGCTATGGTAATGGTATGGGTGGCATGGGCGGAATGAATGGCATGAATGGCATGGGAAACTTCGGCAATAGCAACATGAATGGCAACAACCAGCAGCCGTGGATGAATGGCCCGAGAGTACCCACTGGACCCGCTGCTGATAATGGAGGTGCCTACATACGTCAACCGGTCAACCCCCACCGTCACCAAAACAGGTCGCGACGACAGAGAAGCGTGGATTACAAGCAAATGTAGATTCGACAGTCTGGTAACCACCACTTCGGTAGCGGTACGTGGACACGGCTTGTAACCACTGTGGCCGACAGTGAACCACGGCTAAGAATCAAGTTACTGGTGATCGGGAAAGAATTGCGAATGGGAGGCGAATTACGAAGCAGTAGCCAGCAGCAAATGCTAGCTGCAAGGAGGACTTCGTTACGACATGACATGGGTTTTTGATTGCGATTTGAGCGATGGCGTTGGGTGGAATCATTATGGAGGAGCCCAGACAGGGACAGACCAGACGATTGAGACTTTTGTCTTTTGCATAACCGATAGCATAAACATGGGATGGAGCGCGGGATGGGCCCGCGACACGGCACTTTTTTTCTACTACTGCACTGCTCAATGGGGGCATATGGCTGGCTGCCTGGAAGGAGGCTTAGGGAGAGAGGACAGCTTGGGGCTCTCCCTAACTTACCTAACTTACGTACATGTTGCTGAATAGAGAAATGGAAACACTGTAAAAAACTTGTTACCTTTTTTGATTTTCTCAGTCATGAGTTGTGGTCATGGTAAATGATAGATGATATATCACTGCTGATGTTTGTCCACATCCGACTTCAGCTGAGACTGACAATTAGGTAGATAATGTGAGTACATCGCGTCGATCGCGAGGACAGCCGTCATCGCCCTTGAACATTTAATTGCCTCCTACCTATATCCTTGTAATCTCTGCCTGGTCTTCTCTTCTCTCTCACTTGGTGTTATTTGAAGCCCTTCCTCCATGTTCGAATCTATGAAAAAGCAATCAATCTCGTATAGATGACAGAATTCAAATCCATATGGTGATGAGAAAAAGTATAATGATCAAGAATGGCTTTGTTTCATTTTCACCTTCAGAATGCTTACAGCACAACTAATGCACGATTCGTAGACCCAAATCGTCTCTCTCGAGGCTCACTTTTTGCCAGACCGTAATCACAATGTCGTACGCCTTGCTCTACCATCAAGTCTTCTTCTTGCCCGTTTCCTAGACAGTCAAGCGCAGACCGCTGCTGGGAGCCCCAATTGCTGAAACCTCACAAACTTTGCATACAGTACCCTTGTACTTCGTGTGATATTTCGTGCCATCGAATGGACAGCTCGAGCTCGCTTCACCAGCATAGATGGGCGTAAAAGAAGCGCCACAGATCTCGAATTCTGCGTAGGTATCGTACTCAATTTCGATGGCGTCTGTGGGGGACCGTTCGGCGATGGCTTTGAGTTTGCGCGCCTGTGATAAATTAGCAAATCGTTCTATACTGAGGCGTTCAGTAGGCAACACTTACATTATCCTTGAATTTGGCGTTAGTGCCTCTCTCGATCAGAGCGTTGGCAAAGTTGAGGACACTGCCGAGTTGTTTGTTCTTGTTGGCGAAATTCATCGCTGAGAACAGTGCCAAGGTTTGATGTTGAGGCTCAATGTCTGGAACTGTGAAGTATGCAGACAATTCGAGACTGCGCTTCTTGGTTTCATCGTCGAAAGCGCTGATGTCGGTTGAGCCACCGGTCAGTGTCCTGCGCTCAAGCTCGATAGACATTGCAAGGATGTATTGCGCTGCTTGTTGAACAGCTGCCAGTGCCTCTTGTGCCTGGCTCTGTGATGAGACGGCATTGACCATGAGCAATTGGAGTGCCTTTTTGAAAGCAGCTCTGCCCTCTTCTAGTTTATTGGCCTTCATGGCGTTCTTGCCACTTGCAATCTCTGTAGCTAGCACAGACTCTAAGTCGCGAGGAATAAGAGGCAGGACTTTCCTCGAGTCGGTCTCGTTGAGTGTTCGGCGAACATAGTTCACGAGAGGTGGCATACCAGCGTTAGCGGGCAGGTATGTGCGCGTGGCTTGGAAAATCTCCAGGAAGCGAGCTTCGAGTGGTTTGAAGTTGACGGCGCCGACCTGTCGGTTAAGCAGATTCATGGCTGTGTCGAAGCTGCCCGCCGCTGCATGATCAGCTGCAAGCGGAGAATTGCGCGCCCACAGATCGGCTTCGCTGCTGCCAGCACCAGCTTCGGGACCTTCCACGTTGACGAAATCCTCCTCGACTTCAGCAATGGGGTCATCACCCATATCCCAGCCTTCGGCAGCATCATCATCGTCGCCGTCCTCATCCAATGTACCATTGCCAGCAGCGGTCACGTCTTCGGGCAGGTCTTCCTCCCCGTACCCATTGGTGTCTACAATGGCGTCGCCATCTTCGCCGGCGAGAGCCTTCTCGAAAGCATTGGTGCCAGTTGGTTTCGTGTACCAGTTGTCCTTGAACGTGGGGTTCACAGCTTTTGGCAGTGATACAGGCTTTCCAAGAGTTGGCAGTGTGACCTCTTCTTCGGTCAAGCCGCTCGCTTCGAGGATAGATTGAGCTTCATCTTCCAAACCATGTGCCTTCGCAGTCACATATGCTAGCGGGTATTGGTCTGCATCCTTCAGCATATCTATCCGGCTTTGCACATCACCCAAGTAAATGGAGTTTTGGAAGCGACTCGTAACATCACCGCGATGTTCTGCGATCTTGGCCATGCGGTTGAGCTTCTCTTGGTCGCCGATGGTCAGGTATAAGAATGAAAGCTTGTCAAAGTTACGCTGTTTCTGGTAGGTCATCTCCACGACCTTGTGGTTGCCATGCGCCAAAGCCTCCGTCCCTAATCGCTGCCAAAGCTTGGGACGGTCGAGCTGTTGTGCCATCTCGACCGCAACATCAAGGTTGCCGCACTCGATGGCCAGCTCGAAGCGTGTTTGTGGATCTTGCACGAACTGCAATGCGATCTCTGGGTAGCCCTTCTTCTGCAGATAGGAGATAATACTTTGCCCAACAAGACTCGAGTTCTTGATAATGTTCAGCATCTCATCGTAGTGTCTCTTGACCAAGGCCAGCTTGAATCGGTACTCGGTGGGGTCGATAGTGAGCACCTTTGGTTTGGAGGCGCGATCGAGGCAGTAGAGGCTGCGACCCTTGACACGAACGAGATATACGACATGCTCGAGTGTCCGGACAATGCCATTGTCACCATTCATCAGTGCATACTTGACGTGGTTGAGAGTGGAGTAAAGAAGCACACCTGCGTCGTCCCAAGTAGCGCTCTTGATACGGATCGTCTCATGGAGAGTGCTGATCTGCTTGAGCGACTTGTCCACAATCGTTACATTGTGCTTGCTAAGCAATGCAGCATGAAGACCATCTGATGACCAGACGACGTACTTGACCCCAGCAACGGCGAGCTCGGCAAGCTGCTTCTTCTGCTGAATGTCGTACAGATAGACGTGTGTCGGGGCGATAAGGAGCAGACATCCAGTACCGCCGAACACCATATCAGTAGTGCCGGTGGGTGGCTTAATAGTCTTGGTCGTGGAGTTCTGGAGATCCTTGATGTCAATTTGCTGGTTTTGCGAATTGAACACGGCGAACCTGTTTCTTGCGACAAAGACTGCAGAGCTGCCGCTTCCACGATGCGTGCTGGTCGGCTCCACAGCGCCAGATGCGTCGCGCGGCAAGCTCATAAGCTCGTATATACCGCTATCCGCAGGCGTTGTGACAAGTACAGATCGCTCGGCAGGGTTGTATGACAAAGTTCGCGGAGGAACCCAGGCATTGCCGAGCTTCTTCAGAGAGAGCATGGAGGGACTCTCGATGTTCTTTGTGAAGTCATAAGAGCGAACGTGCTTCTCCTTGGTGATGTAGAACAGATTGTTCTGGTATACAGCAGAGGCCGGACGTTCTCGTTCCAGCTTGAACACCATCACGCCATTGTCGTGGCCAGCCGCAAAGAGGTTGATCTCTGGATGTGCAGCAATGACCCAGAAGCGGTCATTTTCACGTTTGAATGATTGCACAGAGGTCCTCCTGTTCAAGTCCCAGACACGGATGGTCTTATCCTCTCCCACAGACAGGATCAGATCCTGGTGAGGATGAAAGACACAAGCGGAAGCGTTCTGGAAGTGCCCTCTGCATGTGTCCACCTCCCACGCCTTGGTCTCGCTCATGCGCCAGAGCTTCACCAGCCTGTCATCGCCAGCGGAGACAATGAGTGGCAGGGTTGGGTGGAAAGCGACCCAGTTCACACCCCGATCATGCCCCTCCAGCACGAACTTCACCACAGCATCTGTGTTGCCAAACATATCCGCCTGATTCTGGTTGGATCTTGCTATTTGGTCCTCGAACGACATGGAGTTCGATGGCGCAGAGTGCTTCTTTCGCAGACCCGAGATATCCCAAACTCTTACTGACTGGTCCAGTGAGGCGGAGACTACCAAGTCCTCCTTGGGGTGGAATTGTGCGCACATAGTGTAGTGGTTGTGGCCGGTCATGGTGCAGACTAGTGAGCTCGTTAGCACCTTGCCTCGCGTACACCTACTTGATTACCAAAGACGTACTCAGCGACCTGTTCTGCCAATTCCATATGCGGATGGTCTGATCATCGGAGCTGGAAATGATCCAGGGCAGCTCGTGGTGGAAGAAGACGGTTCGGACATAATCCAGATGGCCATTCAGCGTGAAGAGGCATCGTCGGGTCTGCGTCGACCACACCTTGATTTTGTAGTCATCTCCTCCGGATACGAAGAGAGGTTGTGTCTTGTGGAAGTCGACGCCTCTGACGGGGCCATCGTGCTCTTCGAAGCGGTCAATCAGGGTTCCCATGCGGTAGTCCCATAGCTGGATGGTGGAGGAGTGGAGCGAGACGAGGATCCAGGGACGCTTGGGATGGAAGGCGATTCCCTTTGCTCGCGATGACTTGGATTCGAATTTGGTGAGCATCGAGGGGCTAGAGTTGGAAGCCATTGGGAAGTGGTGCAGAGGGAGCCTCAGCTCCAGACATGTGCTGTGAAACCAGAGTCCCTAAGAGGGATGCGGAGGTGCAGGCGCGGAGGAGGAGGCGGGGGCGGAGGAGGAGGAGGAGGTTCGTCGTGGAGCGGTGGTGGTGGTGGTGGTAGTGGTGGTGCGAATAATCTCCAGCTGTCGTCTCTCCCGTCACACCAAGCGCAGGCCAGGTCGTCCAACAGATGGGATGCCAAGAACGTTAAGGTAAGGTGTAGAACTAGCGAGCAAGTGGGCGTACACCTCCTACCGGCAAGGCGTTGTCGTGGTCCCGAGAACGATCAGGGACGGGCGTCTCCAGTGGTTTCGTTGATTCTCCTCCCCCAGGGCAGTTCGCTCGCAGCTGTCCCACTGTCCGTCCCCGTCCCCGTCCCCGTCCCACTGTCCGCCCCCGTCCCACTGCATTGTCGTCCTTCCTCTCCCTCGCTCCCGTCTGCACCGTAGGCCTCGCCCAGTGCAGGTAGAAACGGCAGCGCGAGATGCAAGCAGTGCGTGCTAGAGTCGCTGATGGACATGGACCTGAACTGCTCCCGGACGGACACATCAGCAGTGGCCGCACAGCATACTCGACTACTGCTGCTGGTGCATCGGCAGTGCCACACTTAGCAGTCGCCGAGCACACGTAAACTGCAGTACCTACTAGGAGGTAGTAGTACTGGCCCGACAGTCTCCGTGGATAGCACACACAGCGCACACAGCACACACAGCACAGCACAGCACAGTACAGCACAACAGCACAGCAAGTATGTACTTATCTGCTCCTGTCCTTCAGTCCATGGCAGAGATTGGCGAGTCCTTCCTTGGCGCAGCACCTCTCATATCAGCTAATGTACCTACCGCTCATCTGTCCCTCCATATATTATCCAGTTAGGTACATTTAGTCGGTGCGCGCCAGGTGCATCGCGACGCTTCGCCCAAGTCCGGCCCAGCTGAGGTGGCCTTCCCACTTGCTGACGTGCCGTGCCAGTGCATCTTGCATCTCTCATGCAGGGTGCTTCCACGTTGAACGAGTCACCATCCGGATCTTTCACCTCGAACATTGTCCAACCTTTGGGCAGCAACCCCAGTATAAAGCACCAAGGAGACCGCTCGCCGACACATCACGACACCACCCTTTCGCCTTACAACCTGTTCTGCCCGCCCGCCCGCCCACTCTTGCTCCCGCGCTGAAACCTGCAACTTTTCATTGTGCTCCGATAAGACACTTTCACTTGACCATTACTCTCCCCAACATGCTATCGCGTGGTTTTCGCAGACACAACTACATCGTCAAGAGGCACCACCGACCGGCCGTCACATTGCGCGACGCACGATAGGAGCGTCGCGGAAGCCCGACCACTCCCGTCCTGCTGATACCGGAGTCAACAGGTACTATGGCCGCCATGTTGGATCTACTTCAATCCGCCTCAGGTTTCACATCCGAGAATAGCCTCTCGGGGGTCCCTACCCCGCCATACACGCCCGCGCGACCCTTTCGACCTGGCAAGCGCACCAGACTGGACCGTGGCGACTCTCCAGCCTCAGTGTCCGGCTCGGTACATCCCCACGAAACTGAGAGCCCCGCCAAGAAGCCGGCGAAGAAGCGACTTGCGCTCGACAATATCAAAGTGGAGGATCTGACCGAGGATGTTGGCTACATGGGCGACGTCGATGGAATTTTGCCCTATGAGACCGAGTCAGCAGATGAAAGTAGCGAAGACGATGCCGACGAACACGATACCGCGACAGACATAAGCGGCGATGAGGCTGTGAGCCTGGCGAGGAAATTGTCGCAGATGGACTGCACAGACGATAGGGAAATATTCTTGCAAGAAAGGAAACGACGTCGACGGCGCGAACGACAGTCCGTGAATCACACCAAGCGAACTCACAGCTTGGCCAACGAGAGCATCGCAGAGCCCACCGACGTCGAAGCCCTGGGCGATCATGATTATGAAGCTGGGCAGCGGAGACTGAGGAGGCGCACTCGAGGACCAGATGAGCTGGAATACCTTGACAAAGAAGAGGCCAGCTACTCGCCTGAGGCCGGGCAGCACAGCTCGGCTCCTGCAAGCATTGCTTGCAACGTCGATACCCCCTCGGTCGAGGTGGAAGTGATGGACATTGACGATGCAGGGTAGAGCGGCGTCTAATGCTGTTCACTGTGCTTACCATCCAGGAGTCTAGGCGGACACGCATAGAATGCGCCAGTCCGCAGCGCACCAGTAGCCTTCCGAGAACAGTCTTGCACGTGTCTTCGATAATTGTCTAAACCACTGCAGATGGTCTTGGACCCGACGAAGTGATGGTGTCAGAGGTGTTGCGCTCAGCTACATGAAGATTGATCACCACGGGTCACTTCAGACGAACAGTGACATGCCACAAGGCTGCTCCCAAGGACAGCCGAGACAGTGAAAAAGGCCTCTTGCTTGGCCCTCGGCTGCTCTCCAAAGTCCCAAACGTTTTCCACGACAACGAGAAGATGGCAATCGACCACGTAAGGATGCAACACTCAAGTCCCTGGGCCCTCTAGAGCGCGCTGACCAACTATTGGAGTGTAGGTCGGACTTCAGGGCTTGTACCTGGTAGTATCTCAACGTGCAGACTCATAACCAGCGACAAGGAGAAAAAACAGGTCGAGTTGCAAGCCCCATTCAAGGAAAGCTCGGCTTGGGTGCGAGAGGAGAAGAAGCGGGCAGATGAATGGGGCATCGGCATGAAGATGAAATGCTGGGAGCGCTCTACTTGTTATTGTAGGCAGCATGGGCCATTGACTTCATTACTGAAAAGGTAGTATTCATCCTGCTGCAGCTGCACCTCTTTCTCCCACACCTGATCCGTAATCAGACCGCGGGGGATACCTGACTTATCGGCTTACGAGCAAGAATGCGGCCTTTTCACATTTGTATATGATATGGCACGCCCTCTCTGTCCACAACACATTCCCTCTTGAGGACACACTCTTCTCTTCTGCCTTGGTACTTCCGTGCTCTTGTATCATTCTCTTATTACTGCGCTGTGGTCACGTTCAGCGCGGCATGAACTCATCAAGGCGTGCGTCCATCTGGTCTCCCAGGATAGTGGCGTGCGAAGGACACGTTGTCACGTAGGTAGGTACGATGTCAGGCTGCTCACAACAGCACAATACTATACCGCGCCGCAGGCAAGCCGCGTCCATTGTCTCGTTTCCTCCAGCGCCTGCGGCCTCGTTGATTGCCTGCCTTATCAACCTTTGTGAGTCAGCAGATGCGGCTTCAGCCCCAGAATTTCAGTTGCCGAGACCTCTCCCTCGCATGGACATTCCTCTTCGAGCACTAACTTCAACACGCGACGAGGGGCACTCCTGATACACGAAGGTCGAACACACGGTGACACGAGGCTGTTGAGTGGACTGTCTGGAAACAGCAGCTAGATACTACTGCTGCTGTTCGTGGCCTCCAGATCGGAGCAATGGACACGCGCCGTGCACACATAAGCCGAGCACCACGCGGACGGTGGAAGAATAGGTAGAGGTAGGTAGGTACAGGTAGTGAGGTTGACCTGGTGCGACCCACCCGACAGGTGAGATGGTGAGCATCCCGAAGTATATATCTAAGGTATGGTACACTACCTTAGCCGGTGCTGCTTGCCCTCTTATCTTGACTACCTCTTCCTACCACCCTTCGCTGCTCTGTCTAACAACGGTGAACACCTGGCATACTTTCTCCGTCCTCATCACCCACAACGTCCTAGCCCTCAGGAGACTCTGCAACTCAATCACAGACAGGCTCGAGGGTCCTCGAAGCCCCGCGTTCAAGCATCACACCATCATCACACACATCACCCCGCAAGCACAACATGGCCACAGAGTCGGTGGCGACACAGCTCCCCGTGAGGACGAGCAATCACATCAGCGTCCATCCTTTGGCACCAATCAACGGCACCGAGATTCAGAACGCCGTTGCGTTGGTCAGGGCACAATGGCCAGCGGACACGGATCTTCACTTCAAGGCTGTTACGCTGCAAGAACCCGTCAAGGCTGAGATGTTGCCATATCTCGAGGCTGAATTCAGCGGATCTACTCTGCCTAAAATTGATCGCAGGGTCTTCCTCACATACTACCTGCGCAGAACGGTGAGTGTGCTGTATACAGTACACACCTGCTACCAGTTGCTCATGGTTTCTTCAGAACAAGTTCCACGAAGCAGTGGCCAATCTCAGTACACAAACTGTAGAATTCAATGCAAGACTGGGCGCTAACATGCACGCTCCTGGAGATGGTGAGGAAATAGAGGCTATGGAGCGTATCGCTCTGGCAGACGAGGGAGTGCAAGCCGAACTTGCCAAGCTTCAGCTCCCGAAAGGCAGCCATGTGGTTGTCGATCCCTGGATATATGGTGCTGATGGAGTGGACGACGATGAGCGCATGTGGCAATGCTTCCTCTACATGCGTGACCCCCAGAACTCTGGCGAGGTAGACTCATGCCACTACGCCTTCCCTTTGACCGTCTCGCCAGTCATTTCTTCCGTCAGCATGAAGGTCATCAGAATTGATATTATGCCCACCGGCAAGGACAATTCCGTCAAGGAGCCGAAGATTTACAAGCCAGTGGGCGCAAACGAGTATCTTCCAGAGTATCAGAAGCTCCGAACAGACCTTAAGCCTCTCCATGTCGTGCAGCCTGAGGGTGCAAGCTTTACTGTCGAAGAGCAGGGAACGAGCAATTTCATTCAGTGGCAAAAGTGGCAATTCCGTGTGGGTTTCAACCTTCGCGAGGGCATGGTGATCCACGATGTGCGCTACGAAGGACGCAACCTCTTCTATCGCCTCTCGCTCTCCGACATGAACATTCCCTATGCGGATCCGAGAAACCCATTCCACCGAAAGTCCGCATTCGATCTCGGCGATGCTGGTGCTGGGATCATGGCCAACGATCTCAAGCTGGGATGCGATTGTCTTGGTAGCATCCATTATCTTTCGTCCACGCTCAATAACGACAAGGGTGAGCCATTGGATATGTGAGTACATCTCTGTTGAAGTTTGATAACCTTTTCCCCCAATGACGGCTTTTCATCGGATCTTCAGCATTTCCCACTTACCTTTCCTACAATGCAACATCCCCCTTGGCACAATACAGCACAACATGTGTTTCAGGCATCTCCGATCTCAATCCTCCCAGCACTCTACGCCACCTTGTTGCACTGTTGCTTTCACACATTCTTCAATATGTTGCTAACTGCCGTCCAGGCCAAATGTCATCTGCATTCACGAGCAAGACGGCGGTATTGGCTGGAAGCATACCAACTACCGCACCGGTCGAGCAGCTGTCGTTCGCAACCGCGAGCTCGTGCTCCAATCGATCATCACCGTCGCCAACTACGAGTACATCATGGCATTCATGTTCAATCAAGCCGGCGAGCTCGCTTATGAGGTCCGCGCGACCGGAATTCTTTCCACACAGCCCATCGACGAAGGCCTCGAGGTTCCCTGGGGCACCGTCGTGCATCCCGGAGTCCTAGCCGCTCACCATCAGCACATTTTCTCCTTGCGCGTCGATCCCATGATTGACGGCTACCACAACCGTCTCGTCTACGACGAAGCCTTACCCATGCCACGCAGCGCCGACTTCAACCCTCACGGCACAGGCTACTTTGCCCAAGAAACCGTCGTAGAAACCAGCGGAGGCTACGACATCGACTATGCCGTCAATCGCACTTTCAAAATCCAAAACGTCCACAAACGCAACCCCGTCAATGGCAAACCCGTCGCGTACAAAATCCACGCGCCCCCGTTCCAGAAAATTTTGGCCGATGAAGACTCCTTCAATCACATGCGTGCCGAATTTAGTGATCATAACATTTACGCCGTCTCTTACCGTGACGACGAATTGTACGCCGGAGGAAAGTATACCAATCAAAGCCGCGGCGGCACAGGCGTGCGAGCGTGGGCGAATAGGAAAGATCCTATTGTCGATGAGGATTTGGTCGTATTTGTCCAGTTTGGAATCAATCATGTAAGTTCCATACCATCCTCCCCACTTCAACTTCCACGTTTTCTTTTTCTTTCAACATTCTTTCTCACGACAAACGATTGATTGTTGATGATTTTTTTTTTTTTCTTTTTGAAATAGATTCCCCGCATCGAAGATTTCCCCGTCATGCCCTGCGAAGTCATCAAAGTGGCTCTCAAACCCGTGAATTTCTTTGAGAAAAACCCTGCATTGGATGTTCCGCCGAGTACGCAGGATTTTAATCAGAGTGTGCTTTTGGGTAACGAGGAAAAAGCCGGAGTCGATGCGTGTTGCATTTCTTCTGGTAGTGGAAAGAGTACTACTGCTACTACTGCTACTACTAGTAAGCTTTGAATACTGTATGAATGAGGAGGAAGAGGGTGTCCATCTATGGAGTGAAGACGATTGGATGGATATGGAATCACAATCGAAAATATGACGGCAACAAACGACGACGACAACAAGTGGGTGGGTGGCAATTGAGGTAATACATGTATGGAAAAAAGGAGAGGTATAGAATGTATTCAACAAGACCAAAAAATGGGACAATTGTCTTCTCTTGATCTGTCATACCTACCTAGGTACCTTACCTTACGGTCTTACCTGTACCTTTCAGTTATTAGCAGGATGGAAATCCCAATTATCGAAAGTGAGATACCCATCACACGCGACACGGAACACGGCACTCCTTCCCCAAATTCCCAACCTCCATAAACTCTGCTGATGGTTGATGGCACCTGCCTCACTCCAAGTATGACGCACATGGCAAAAGTTCCCGAGCCCTACCACCACTACCACCACCGGGCACCACCACCACCACCACCACCATATACCTTACCTACCTACCTGTACCTAGGTAGGCCTTACTACACCTAGTACATGTAAGCGACTACTGTACGTCAACATACATATATGCACGAAATCGAGAGATGATGGCCCAGGAAGAAAAAAAAATACAGTTTCGATCAATCGCAGATTCCATTCGCAATCCGAGGCATAAGTTCCAGTTCGTATTGCGCAGGTACGGGGTATTTGCACTGCGATTGCATGCATGCATCATATGGTCAGCAGGTCGAAAAAAAGAAAAACAAAACCATCCGAGTGGCCAAGGAAGATTAGAAGCATCTCAGCCACTATACGTAAGTTAAGGTCATGTAGCTCTGCGGCGTCTGCGCAAAGGCTATCCTTCTTCATCTGCTTTAGTGCTCAAACTTTAAACCAGACTTAGTTTGAACTTTGCGCCTGCTGCACCGTAAACTTTCTTGTCGCCTTACCGCCCGCCATAGTGGTTGCGAACTTCACGGGAATTGGATTCCAGGACATGGCAGCGGATCAGGTTGTGAAAGATCACACGCGGAGATTGGTCGGGTGGCTTGTATGGCTTGACGTACATGCCGTTTGGAGGCGCCAACTCAATCATTACTTGAACCAGGTTATTGGGTCGTTTGATGGTTCGTAGCCTCTTCAGGCGGTGAGGTGGTTCGGACTATGTCCCAGTGTGATGTGACCAACAATGGAATCTTTCTTGTGTCGCTTACCGGAGACTCCTGGTTACAGTACGCCGTGATAGGTAGGTACCGTAATGTTTCTTGTTGGGGTACTGCTCTCGCTGTCGGTAGCGAAGGTGCCCTCTAAATCTTGATATTCGTATTGAAGCCGGCACACATGTCGAGTCATTGCTCATGCATAATCACAGAATGGGCATTTGCTCTGCTCTGCCTTGCTGTGACAGTGCGAGGTGGCAACGTGGGGTGGACTCCACGGTCCTGACTCGTGTGGGCTTTGACTTTACGGCCATGTGGCTTTCTTGCGGCGGCGCGTAGTCCGATATCGAATCTTCTCGGAGGTTATTGGACATGGTCGCAAAGTCTGTGTCTGCCTGTGCTGCAGAAGCCAGTTCCATCTGTAGGAGGTACTGTGCGGACGTGTATTGCCCATGATTGGCTCCCTACCGCAAGCCCTTGAGTCAATTCCTCTGAGCGCTCAGCAGTGAGCAGCCTACCACCATGCCAGGACTCCAGGAAGGGCACGCTCGTCGAGGCTCGGGAAAGCGAAGCAACGCGTTGATTCCGACTTCTTCCCCCGATCGCTCTTGTCGTGATCACATGCAGCAGGCGCTCGATGAATTTCCGAATGCCCTGTTTGAGCTGATCCGAGTTCCGCCGCGCTCGTACGAAGTGGTCCAATCCATGGTAAGAAGACGGTGATGATGATGATGATGATGATGATGATGATGATGGTACAATGGGACGGCGATTTCAAACCCTCTCTCCTCCATCGATAGATCTTGTTGGTCTGTAGCGCCGGTACAGGTATTTCCCTCACGTCCCGCGCTGATGCGCCCGCTAGTGGCCGAACAGGTGTGCAGTGAAGGGCAGTAGCGCACTCGGTCCCCATTCCCCATGGCTTGCAAGTCGCTCGTATAATGTAGCGTCAATGGTCCAAGCGGCGTACTGGGCTGGGCAAGACTGGAGCCTGGAGGTAGCTCCTAGTCAGGTATGTGACAGTCAGTGTGACACCGACCGGCATTTCTCAAACAATCTGGTCTGTCTGGGAGTGGGAACTTACATGTAACCACGTGTGCCCGCTCGATTCTCCGAGCCCCGTGCAGGAACTCTATTTCTCATATCGTGGTCCCCTATCGTGGCCATGGGCTGATGATCTGGATCAGCATTCCGCAGAGAGCAACATGAACATACTACTGTACATCCATATTGAGAATGATTACGTCCTCTCGAGGGGGGGGGGGGGAGGGGGGCTCCATGCCGAAGACGAAACGACAGAAACGGTCGCGAACGACGCCAATCAGCAGGGGGGTAGGGTTGGGCGTGGGTGCAGGCGACCAGGCTATGTACCAGGCTGCCAGGCTGCCAGGCTGCAGGTGGCAGCAGCAGGTGTTTTGCGCATTGAAAAGGCTGTCGAGCCTGTCGTGCCTGCCTCGGTATTCCATCCTGCATCAGCTCAGCTGCCTCAGCACTAGGAGGTCGCAGGTGGCGCTAGGAGATGTGGAGCCTGGTCTTTTACGCAGCAATAATTTGAACCATCATTCCGATGGAGGCGGACCAGGTGGTGACTGCAAAACTGCCCTGGACTTGACCTGGCCTGGCGGGCTACGCATATTCGCGTAATCATAGGAGGTAAGACGCAGGTGCTGGTGGATATTGACTTTCCGCGCGGCCCGCTGACCGCTGTGGAGACGTGGGATGTATCTAGTGTATGTACATTGTATAGTTGAGTTGTATACTAACTACTAGTCGACTAGGGGCCCACTGGTGCCGTTCGCTCTCTCGCTCTCTCCCGCCCGTCACCCTCTCCCAGACTCCCTCTCTCTCTCTCTCATATCACATACATCATCGTGCCGATGTGATGGCCGCCCAGGGTTGAACCTTCTGCGTCTCTCTGCATAAGTAGTGCATAGCTTGCCCATGGAGGAGCCATGCATGGCCTGCCCGAAGACGTCCCGATGCGGCCGAAGACTCCACTCATCTGGCATCTGGCACGGCGCGGCGGAGCGCTGTCAGAAGAGACAGATGTGATGCATCATCCATCGTCTGTCATCCATCGTCCATTCTCCATCATCCATCATCCACCGATTACACCCCCTTCGGCACTGCCAGGACGGCTGACGACGAGACTACATCTGAGGTACCAGTACTCGCCGCCTCCTCATTCTCCTCCTCCAACGTCTGTGATGAACTCATTTATACTTCTGTGATGGCTTCCCAATGTACGGCCAGGGATGCTGCAGGCCACTCCACGAATCCACGGCATCGCGGATGATACGGGGCCCGTGCTGCTACGGGAGAACCTATCACGGCCCCGATCCCGATCCAGATCCAGCGTGGTACATACGGGAGGCTGGTTGTACTGGATGTCCAGCACACTAGGCATGTCTGCGTCTATCATCTATGCGAGCTGGTCCTTGGCAAAAGTATCTTTGATAGTCGTCGTGTACAGGAGGAGATACATGCATGTAACGGTAGGAGAAGAACTGTATCTGTAGATACCGAAGGTACCTAACCCGTAGGTATATGTAGCTTGTTCTCAGTTACCATCTTTCACTCACTCGCTCACTCACTCGAGACTCACACTACACTCCTAGCCCGACTCGCACGCCACTGTTGCAAGAAGCGAGAGTGCAACTGCTCGGCCTTTCTGCGGCTTGCCGGCTACCTACCGGGTTCCTTACGACCTCACCGTTGTTGCCCTGGAGAGAAAGTGAAAGTTGAGCCGCTTCGCTTCATCCGCATTTGAAGCACCGAGGAGGCCGACTGGCGATCGGATCATCTAGGCTGGGGCATCAGCATCACACACATGACAATGATGACATGTGCCTACGGGCTACGGGGTACGGTATTATTCACACCGACGACGCCCAGCCCAGCTAAAGCTTCCATCTCGGCCTGGGCTCGTACAGTCTACAGATAGATGCAATCGTAATCATCATCATCATCATTATAATAATAATAAATAATAATGTACACTGTACATCCACTGTATACCGGCCACTGCCCCGGTCGCTGCTCTCCACCCGAAACTGAAGCACCGCACGCCCCCCCTCCCCCCTGGCCTTGGATAATGCTATCCAGTCCTGTCCAGTCCTGAGCCGTCCTGTCCTGTGAGGCTCAGAGGCTGTTACCAACCTGTTGCGCTAGTGCACTGCTCTCGCCAGTTGGACCTTCCTGAGGATACGGTACTAGGTTGCTATTGCGTGCGCACTGCTGGCCCTGCCCTGCCCTGCCCTGCCCCGTGCTGCAGTGCAGTGTGCACCCGAATGTGCAGTGCGCAGTGCGGAAAAGCTACATGTACCTGCCGACCACTTGCTGTGCCTCCGACCCGTCTTGTCCTGTCTTGTCCTGTCCTGTTTCCGTGTCTCGTCTCGTCTCGTCTCGTCTTGTTCACACTGCACAGCCGTCTAGGAGCTCAACCCGCTCGCGCGCGCACATCCTCATTAGGTTTCCTTCATCGCCCTCACCCGCCCGCCCGCCCGCCAGCCAGACAGACTCCCAGCCAGCCATACTCCCCGCCAGATCTTGATGCCTCTTCGCCTCCGTCATCTCATCATATGGCTTCCTCGAAACACGCACTGCACGGCCCACCATCTACATCTCAAAAAGCTTAATTGCCTGTTGCAGCACACACTGCCGGCCTAGGTCCACCGCGCGCCCACCAGCCAGCCGTCCGTCCGTCCACGCAGGAGAGGGTCCCGCAAGGAACTAGGATTAACACTCCCCAGTTTGAATAAACCCACAGCGACTTACTCAACTTCCTGTCGCTACCCATAACTTATATCCAGCTCCGTCTGTGTCCTCCCCCCCCCACCCGTCACCCTGCCTGCGGTCATCTATAATAAAAAGTCATGGCCATCACCACATTGACGCCCGACAGCATCACCTTCGAGCTCAACCATGAACGCAGGCAAAGCATCTCATCCTACTCACACTACTCGTCATATTCCTCGACGACGAGTTCGTCGCCCGAGCTGTCCAGTCCGGGCTGTTCGCCACATCAAGGCAGGCTCACTGCTGCAACTCCCCGGAGCGTGAGCTGTCACCACTCGCCACCTGTGGTGCCAAAGGTCGAAGAGCTTGACGAACATGTGAGTCCGTTGGCGAAGGTCCCCGAGGCAGCAGAGGACACGAAAGCCAATGCTGTGGCGCCTGGTCCTCGGAAGCGCGGGCGTCCTAGGAAACATCCGCTTGTCGAACAGAAACGTTCGGCACATGCGAGGTCCAAGACTGGATGCGGTACGTGCAGGAGAAGAAAGAAGAAATGCGATGAGACTCGACCTTCCTGTACGAACTGCGAGAAGAACAATGTCACATGCGATGGCTACGAACCCAAGAAGCCGTGGAGAAGTGGCCGGGAAAAGGCTCTGGTCAACCGGCAACCGGCGACGATACCTGTCCTACCATCCATCCTCAGTGGAGTGGAGACCACCATCGACTTCCAGTTTTTCCAGTATTTCAGCGAACAGCTCGCTGCAGTGCTCTCATTGAACGTCCACAACGATAATCCATTCATCAAAGTTATCGTGCCCATGGCCATGTATCACGAAGGCCTCATGTCCAGTCTACTCTACCTCTCGGGAAGCTGTTTGCTTGCGAACTCTTCCACCAAGGATCCGGAGATGGAGCAACGTGTCAACTACAACAGTGACAAGGCCGTGACGAGCCTCACGGAAGACCTCAAGCAAATGGTGATTGCGGGAGAGCAAAACGACCTCACCGCGGCGACCGTGGGGGACCCATCGATTGCCCAGACCCTGTTGCTATGCCTACAAACCGTGTGCGCCGGCAAGCTCAAGGGTGAATGGCGAAGCCATATGCAGAGCATGAAACTGTTGCTCTCCGCCAAGGCCAGCTCCGGCGTGAATGAGGATTTCCGACGATTCGTACTGGAATTCCTCCTCTACCATGATTACTCCAGCTCAATCACCTCGTTCGTCGACCCTTTGGATGCCTACAGTGCACAGCTCATGGAAGAATTCCAGGCCATCAAGCTGCCCACCTTGCTTGCGCCGGAGTCCGCGACATTGCTTGGTGTCATGGACGGCCTGTTCCTTTACATCTCCCAAATCCGCAGGCTGCGAGACCGGATCCGAGTGGAAAGACTGAAGGGCCGCGACTACAATGAAAAGTATACGATCGCCTGGCATATCCATCAGGAACTGCAAGCGTGGACCTGTCAATACGATGCCAAGACCCCTCGGTACTGGGCAAGTTTACTGTACCGGCAATGCGTCTTTCTCTACCTGCACCGCACCATCATGCCTTCGAAGTCTTGTGTGCAGTTCAAGCAAGGTGTCGATGATGGACTCGAGTATTTGCGACAGCTCCCGCGAGATCACGACGACCAAGGCACGCAGAGCATCTTACTTCTGCCCTTATTCATACTCGGATGCTGCGCGTTCGAACCGGAACAACGGTCGGAGATTGCCGAGGCCTTCGTTCGGCTGCAGAGATGGAGCAAGCTCGGCAACATCACCTATGCGAAAAGGGTGGTCGAGGAGGTATGGGTGATGATGGACACGGGTCGCGCCGAGGAGACATGGGACTGGGAAAGCATCATCTACAAGCACGAGTGGGACTTTCTCATTACGTGAGCGCGGCATCATCTGCACGGTTCTCGCCTGGAGCTGGAACCCGACATGTATCGGACAGGACGGACATGCGAGATCGATCCGTTGTTGCGACGCAGATGTCCATACTTTCACATGAAAGTGCCATCACCGCGTCAGGCAACCGCGATCCGCCCGGACGACAGACAGACAGAAAGACCGACCGACCTGTGGACCAAGAAGACACACAACATACTGTAGCCTGAACCAGCCAGCTGCTCTCTTTGTGCGAAACCAGCGGGCGTACTATGCTCCGGCGTGGGCCTGAAAGACAAACGTTGTATATATTTTTGGTCTTATTATTCTTATGGGTAGTCATATGGGGGGTAAGGAGGACATTTTGGCATGACCTGTCTCGGTTGCATGGAAGACTCCCGTACGACAGTTTTGTGCGAGGAACTCTCCCCCACTGGAATGCAGTGTGGGCAAACTCCCAGTTTGGAGAAAGAGTGTGCGTGTGTGTACTTGTGAGTGAGGGTATGGGTGTGTGTGTGCGGGAGAGGGTGGAAGGGAGAGGGAGAGACAAATGACGCTCCACAGAAGACGAGCAACAATTGAGAAACGAGCAAAAGTATGGGCATTTTTGGGCGACGCGCATTTTTGGTACATGATTGATTGATGGGGGCTGTGGTGGACGGTTGGGTGGTTGGGTGGTTGGGTGCATTTGGGTACGAAAAGAAGAACATATCCGGACTTCTTTTGTGTTTGGTTCTTTCTCTTCCACTCGCGTACATATATATATTCACATATCGATATCATGAGTGGTATGAAACATACCTTGTGTGGAGGCTGACGGGCAGTTGTCTAGTTGAGCATTCGCTTTTTCTGTTTGGAGATGCTGCTGCTCCGAAAAAAAGACTCGTCGAAATGAGAAGAGTCGAGTCCAGCTCAAGGAGAGAGGTGGAGGGGAGTGGAGGAATACGGTATTTACTAAGGTAGTCTCTTCGGTGTTGAGACACTAAGGTACATGCCTGGAACCTTAGGTCATGTACTATGAGAGCGAGGGAAGAGATGGTGATGATAATGATGGTAATAACGATAATGATGATGATAATGATGGCCTCCTGGTTGAACAATGTCTGCTCTTTCGGAAGAAGAGGAGGAGGAGGAAGAAGAAGAGGGAGGCTTGCTCACACCCGATATACAGGGCACCTCACACATACATGTACCTGAATTCTCTCTTCAGGTTCCTTCTCTCTCTCTCTCTCTCCTTCTCCCTCTCTCTCCTTCCCTCTCTCTCCTTCTCCCTCTCCCCCTCCCTTTTCAACACAGGTACAATCGGAAGCTAGACTACTTGCAGCACAAAGAGAACAAGTATCCATCTCCTCATTTCTCAACGTCTCTCCCGCATTACAAAACAAGCATATGCAAACAACATTGGCTACCGTAGAGGTAGTTAGCGTTGTCAGACTTCAAGACTTTCCGACCGAACACCAACCTAGCATTCTCGCTCTCGGAGCTCGCTATTACATACCCACCTACAGGTGTTATGTATGCACCTAAGGTAGGTACATGTACATGTATGGCCCTGAAGTCGACTATACATACACTAGTTTCTGCTAGCAAAATCTCATTTGGTCGTTTAAATTACCTCCCAGTCGTTGCCCTGCCCTGCCCTGCCTTGCCCTCACTGCCCTGCCCTGTCTTGTGTACCTAACATATTAAGGTACCTGTGTATCTAACTAACCTCTTAGGTAGAGGCTAGGTAGGAGGTAGGTAGGCTTACCTTATGTAATCGGGATTGATTCGGTATACCGTATTCTCTTAGTACTCGTGTTGTAAGGACTACCGCCAAGGCGACAGGTTATAAAGAGACAGACAGACAGCAATCTCTTGGCCTAGTGTATGTCATCATCAGTTATTGGGCAGCGAAAAAGGACTACAACTGAAACGGCGCTCTCTTGGTATCCTTCCCAAGGTAATACTTTTCCGACAGCAGGGTGTACGTACGGTAGGTGGTAGGAGGTAGTCTGCGCGGCTAACGATTTAATTCATAGCGTGGGAGAGTCCCAGGCGTGCGCAAAATTCAAAAAGAGAGAGAGGACGAGAGAGAGAGAGAGATCTACATAAGGTAGGCACGTACAACGGATATCCCTCCTGTCATGTCGTGCAACGTCGTCGACACTTGTATGTTGTGCAACTTTGCCAAAGCGAGTGCGGCAGGGAGGAGGCAGAGGCTCGCTTCTCAGAAGGCAGAGGTGATGTGACGGGCCATGTCAAGATCAGGCTGCTTGCATGTGCGCCCAAGGGCGTCCGGTGATCCAGGTCTAGCAAGGATGAGAGAGAGGGTCGTGCCGTGGACTGTGGTTGTACCGTGTACGACAGCCAGTCGGCATTTTGCATAATTTGTACGGAGCCGACGAGCGGAGACTGCGGAGTTATGAATGGGAATGGTATAATACCGTCATGGTGGAGGGCATTTTTCTGTAGAACTGTTCGTCGTCGTCGTCGCTGTGACGGAGCCTCTTCAGCGCAGTTGGTAGTGAGATATATTTTATAAAGTTACCTCTAGACATTCATGCTGAAGCAGAAGAGTCTGGACGCGATGACCTCAGCTTGCATATCGCACATGGCGCGGTCGGGATCTGTGGGATGGAGATGGGAGGGCAGCCTCCGAGGGCTCAGTGAGGTGTAGAGTCAGTCTCAGTAGAGCTGCCTTCTTCAGCTGACCCCCCCTCCGACGAGTCCGACAATGCACTCACTCACCACCATCACCACCACCTTGAAGTTGAAGTTGAAGTTGAAGTTGTCGTCGTCGTCGTCGTGCCGCGTCTCTACTCTGCCTGGGCTTGTGTCGGCTTCCGGTTGTGTGTGTGGAAGAAGAGGGCTCAAACGGAAAAGTGCAAGGAGCCCAAGACGAGCGGGGCTTACCTAAGCGACTACGAAGCGGGCAGTGACGACAGTAACTCGAACTCCAGTACCTACTACAGGTCGTGCCTGCCTGACTGATCTCAGCCCAACTGGACTTGCATCGCGACTGCCTCCGCAGCAACTTGGAACATTCTACTACTCGCAGGCAGATACAGAGTCAGATACACCACTCGCCCGTTCAGCTACCATACCTTACTACACGACACCGGGCATCCGTCACCACCCGCCCTCCACACCACAACCCACCACGACACACACCAATACCCTCGCTCGCTCGCGCGCAGGCGCTGCAGCTCGGGATCAGCTGAGGCGCACCATATTCTCAGAGAGGTGTGCTCGTCTGTCCGGTGTGCAATTGTCGCGCAGAGCAGAACATCCACTGCCTGATCTCACCTACCTGGACATCGAACGACGAGACTCGAAACATCCCACTACTCCCACCATTACCACCACACCTGCGAAAGAAAAATAACGACCGCTTCGGGACCGACCGACTCTGGCTGGGTCCGCCACCGCCAGTAGCCATGTCCACGCGCGGTACTCGCACCGTCTACCGCGAGACAGACATTGAGCGCGATTCCGAACCCAGGAACTCGTATACCACGATCAAGCGATACAAGGTGCCCGAGTCCATCGCTCGCTCCGTCTACGATAACGACGATGAGGCTGTGGACAAAAAGATTGTGATCAAGCGCACCGAGCGCCGCGACTCTTCTCCTTCGGCCCATTCGAACCACACTCATCGCACCCACCGGACTCATCGCCCCCATTATGGACACTATGACGATACGGAGTGGAAGATCAAGGAGACGACCCGTGAAACGAGAGCGCCCAGCGTGCATACTCACCGAGAGCACGACGATCTGGATATTCGATTCACCAAGACTACCGCTGAGCGCGGGAGAGACCCTTCGCCAAGAAGAGATGTTCGCTACAGAGTCGTGCATCGCGACTATTCTCCAGAACACGAGCGATCCAGAAGTGAGTACAGGGTTGTGGAGCGCGAGACAGAGGTCATACGAGCGCCTTCGCCGCCGTCTCCCGAGCGCACTCAAACCCGCGAATGGCGATTTGAGCGGGAAAGATCCTTCTCTCCGCCTCAGCGTGAGCGTGAAAGGCCTTATGACATTGAGCGCTACAGCAAGAGTACCGAGTATTTCCAGCCAGCTCCCGCCCCGCAGCCCATCATCATCCGCGAATCGACTCCCCAACCACCAGTCATCATTCGCGAAGAGCGCCGAGAGGCAGCGCCCATCATCATTCGCGAGGAGCGTCGTGAACCGCAAAGGATCATTATCAAGCGAGAGGAGCCCCAGTACGAGTTTGTGGAGCGCGAGGAGGTTCGTGATGAGACTACGACTCTGGTCAAGAAAGAAGAATCGCCGCCGCCGCCTCCTCCACCAGCCCCAGAGCCGGAAAAGAAGCCTGAAGATGACTACTTCTATGAAAGAAGGATCATTGAGAGGCGAAGACGGAGCGACAGCTACGACCGTAAAACGGAGGTTCGACCTCGCGACAGTGCTTCGCAAGGTTACCACAGCGACGACAGCTACGAGTACGTTCGACATGAGACGAGGTACGGATCTGACGACGACGACAAAGGCAGTCGCCGGCGTCATCTTGCTGGTGGCGCTCTTGCTGGAATCGGAGCAGCTGAGATCCTCAGACACCACAGGAAATCGCAAGGTGAGCATGTAGGCGGTCAACTTGGCACTGTGGCTGGTGGCGCTGCATTGGGTGCAGTTGGGGCCGAGGCTATCAAGCGTGTGCGTAGCATGTCTCGACGAAGGCGGCGCTCTGGCAGTCGTTCGTATAGTGGCGAGCGAGCTCATGGTGAGAGACGCCACAGAAGACAGCGCTCGAGAGAAAGGTCGGAAGATCGTGGTTTCTCGTTTGACCACCTGACTGGTGGTCAGAAGGCACTTGGAGGTCTGGCCGCAATCGCCGCTGCCGCTGCTGCTGGTTATGCCATCAAGAACCGCAACAAAGAGACGGTGATTGTAAACGATCGAGTGCACCATCGCAGCCGCTCACGGAGACGACGTCATAGCGCTGACGGTTATGGATCTGACGGTACGGAGCATCGCGACCCTGGTCATCGCAACCGTCGCATTGCACAGGCAGGTCTGGCATCTGCTGCAGCTGCTGGCATATTCGAAAAGGTCAGATCTCGTAGCAGGAGTGGCCGCGATCGTAGCAAGTCGCGCGTCCGTACAGGAGTGCCCATCGCTGCAGCGGGTCTGGGTGGAGCTGCCCTAGCAGGTCTGTACGAGAAGAATAAGGCGAACAAGGAGGCAAAGAAGGAAATGGTCATCGAGGACGAGTTGAACAGAGGAAGACATAGAAGCCGCTCCAGGAGCCGCTCTCGACGCCCTAGCATGGTCGCTTATGGCGACGAACCCATTGAGCATGGTGATCGTGGCTACTACAGCGACGAGGAACCTGGGAGATACCGCCGTCGCGGTGGCAGCCACAGCAGCAGTCCTGATACACGCCACCGCAGCAAGAGTCGTAGGAGTCGTAGCCGCCGTGGTCTTGCCAGCGCGGGTGCTTTGGGAGCTGCAGGTGTTGGCGCAGTCGCCGCCCATGAGTGGAGCAAGCGGCGCGAGCGTAGCAGATCGCGCAGCCGCTCAAGGTCGAGACATGGCGATAGACGTAAGTCCAGTGCTAGCTTACTGTGAGAATATTGCTGACCTTTGGAACACAGGCCGCGATGATGATGACTACTACGATGACAGACGCGACGACCACTACGGCGCACCACCTATGAACAGTTCTGATCCTTACAACAACAATCCTTACCAACAAGGAGGGCAGCAATACCCATCCAGCAACTATTTCCCCCCACCACCGAACGCTGACTACACTCAACCACGAGGAAACATCGAGCCCCAGCCTGAGTATGCCCATGCCCATGCTCCATACAACCCTGCCGAGTACGCCAATCAGCCAGCCACTCAGCAGCCGTACGATCCTCAATATGGCGGCTATGGCGAACCATACCCAAGCGATCCATACGCGGGCGACCAGCGATACCCTCACGATCCCCACGCAGACGATGGGCGCAGAGGGAGAGATCCTGAGAATGTGAGTGCGCCACCGCCCAGCGTCGCAGAATATCAGCAACATCAACAGAATCATCAGCAACATGTACAGCAAGAGCGCGAATCTCAGGACGGCGGAGGAGGTGCGCCCTGAGTTTGACTTTGTGCTCGAGTGATTCCCTGCTGACTTGTGCTTGACAGATGGTGTAATGACTCCCCGTCCACGCTCTTCCAGTCGAGTGCGATTCGATCTGGAATCCAATATCGCCCACTCGCCAGACTCATCTCGTCGCAAGGATGATGCAAAGCGCGATGATCCTTCCGAGCAGCGGCACAGTGACACCGAGACCAGCGACGATCGCAAACACCGCCGCCGGCACCGTAAGAAAGGCAAGGAGCGAGCGCATGACGACGATGATGGTGACCGACCCCGTGATCGCGACCGCCACAGAAGTGATGCAGACGATCGCAAGCGCGGTAGCACTGGTCTAATGCACGACAAATACGATCGTGGACGAGCCGAGGACGAAGATAGCGTCATTGACCTTCCCGATCGTTTTGACAAGCACGGCAACCCCAAGCCAGAAGATCCTCTTGCCGCCAAGATTAATGATCTGCTTAGTGGTCGTGGTGGGGGAGGAGACCTCATCAAGACTCTTGCAGAAGGGTTCCTGGGTGGCGGAGGTAGTACCAGTGACAATCATGGTGGCGCTGATGAGGAGGAAGGCCGTAGGAGGCGAAGACGCTCAGACAGGTGATTGATGAGATATCGTGGATTGATGAGATATCGTGGATTGATGAGATATCGTGGATTGGCTGATGATCATCAATTGATTAATCGATTAGAGGAGCTGGTATTCTTCTCGGCGGTCTCTTGGTAATGCTTATTGGTTCTTGGATTTCTTTCACGATGACACGACCATGATTCTTACGAAACCCAAGTGTACGTATGCGGTGATGCAGATATAGGTTGTAGCAAAAGTCCCATAATTTTGGGACTCAACAGTCTTGATAAAGGAAAAAAAAAACGCATTGTAATCCTATCCTCGCGCCTGTTCAGCATGCAATTCTTCTTTCTGTCAATCGTGAATATCTTGTTGGGGTCCCGTTGTTGTTGTTGTTGTTGTTGTTGTTGTTGCTTGTAATTCAGAGAGTAAGGTACCTATATTACCTAGGTACATACGTGTACGCACGGGAATGGATGGAGAAGGCGAGGTCCTTATATTACCAAAGGTTTTCTGTATAGGTACAGTATAAGGTACAGTATAAGGTAAGGTAAGGTAGGTAGGTACTGTTAGTAACTGGGACATGGATAAGGGTATAACCGATGTCGCTTAAGCACAAAGATACATATAAGGCACGGGTTGGTGCATCAGAATCCAGATACTGTATCAATTGATGGCTTAGGTACATACATCTACGCACGGGAATGGATAAGGTAAAGAAGGTACCTACCTTAGGAGGTAACTTGTATTACAAAAAGCTTTTTTTTTTCTGTATAAGGTACAATATAGGTACAGTATAGGTACAGTATAGGTACAGTATAAGGTGCAGTATAGCTATAGTATAAGGTAAGGTAGGTAGGTAGGTATATTTGACAATATAGATATAGATTGTTTGTTTGTTTATATAAACATTCTTTTTAGATATATTTCTATTCTTGCTCTGCTCTGTTGTCGATTTTGTCTTGGGCTTTTTCTTTTTCTTCGTCGTGGTGGTAGTGGTGGTTGTTGTTGTTGATAATGATAATGATAACGATGTTGCTACTTGTAATTCAAAGATAAGGTAGGTACATCTATGTACGCACGAGGATAGATAGATAGTGTGTCACAAAAGCTTTCTGTATATATAGGTAGGTAGTAATAGTTACATGTAATTGTTTGTTTATATATATATGTATATAAAACCTTTTATTTCCATCCTTTCCCTTTCTCCTGTGCAAAAATTTGCTCTGTTGTCGATTGTTTTTTTGAACCTTTCTCCTCTGCGTTGTTGTTCTTGTTCTTGTTCTTGTTGTATGTAGGTGGTTTCGAAAATATACATAAGGTATGGTATGTATGCATAAGGTAAGCGAGGGTTTTTGCCGAAAAAAAGAGAGAAGAGAAGCGGAATAGTAAGGTAGGTAATAATGCGAAAACAGAAAAACAAAACCATCCATCATCATGAATCAATCCATGCATCGGCATCCATTCCATCCATCTCCTCCACATGGGTTAGTTTTTCTCTCGCCAACACAAAAAGAAAGAAAGGCAGGAGGGAGAGCAGAGCGGAGTCAAAAACATCAAACAAGAAAAAGAAATCCTCAGGCGTTACAAGCAAAGCTCTTCACCAACTCCCCATCCAACCCGACACTCTCCAACCCTTCGACACTCAACTTCTCACACAACATGCTCGCAAAGCCCTCGACTCCACTCGCATTCACCAAGACCGTCGCGAAGCTTGCACTAACCCACTGCTTCATCTGATCTTTCCCCTGCTCGACGGAAATCGGCTCTTGCAGGGCACAAATCGTCTCTCGGACCCGCTCCGCATTCATCTGCAGCGCGTCATAACTGGCAACTTCCTTCTCGCCACTCGCGCTCTGGCAGAGGGTGTCGAGATCGGAAGTCGAACTGGCTTGGGCGGCGTACAGGTATGCGTAGAGCTGGCTTTGAGCGTCGGCGTAGGCGGCGATGGCAGAGGAGTTTTTCTGTTCGGATTCGGGCACGCTGAAGGCGGCAGGGTTGGGGATTCTGCCGCCGGGTGCGGCGAGTTGGCAGGTGGCGTTGATGATGGTGTTTTCGTCGAGGAGGAAGCCGGCGACGCGCTTGTAGGAGAGGTTGTCGCACAGGTAGCCGAAGGTGTCGTAGTCGTCTGCGGCGAAGGCGCGGGTGAGGGTGGCTGCGGTCGTTTCGGTATTGGCGACGACGACTTTCGGGAGAACGTCTGAAGCGGAAGTCATCCTAGTACCGCAAGCGGATTTCTCAACCTGGGTGAGATCAAGGCCGATATTAAGCCATTTTAGGAGTTGCTTGTCTTGCAAGTCGGTGCAAGTTTGGCTTAGGCTGGAAGCGCTGGAGACGGTCCCGGCAAGTTGCCAACCGAATGCGGAAGAAAGGTTTTCTGTGACGGTGGTGGACGGGCAAGGTGGTGAAGGGTACGTTGAGCCTGTGAGAAGAAGAACGACCCTGTTAGCTGGAAGTGAGGTGAAGTCTGTTGGTGCATGTGTAATATGTTACCTGGTAGTGGAATCGCTACAGCAAAGGCCGTCGAGGCTGTGATGAGCAGACTGAAGGAGTGCATTGTCGACGTGGCTGTGGCGACTGAGGTATGTTCTTTTTTTTTCTTTCGTGTTATGTTTCTGTCGTGTCGAGGTCGTCCGGAAGAGACTCAGTTGGTTTCTGAAGCAAGCGAGTGGCAATGGTTAAACGAGTGACAAAGTGCGAAAGACCTATCAAAGGTAAGTAATCCAGTCGCTCAGCAACCAGAGAAGTTCAGCAGCTGTAAAAGTCTTTGAGGTTGATGTGAGTGAAGATAAGGTAGCCAAAGCCTTCGAAAGGAGTAGTGAATGAGGATTGACACTGGGTAGGCACTTAGCTTCTTGGTACGAGACGTATAGCACAGTAGGATAGTTGTCCGAGCGCGACAATTGAGTTCTAGGATGAAAGAGGCGACTTGGGACTAGTAGTTTCAGAAGCCAAATTTCGCATCGAGGTCCTTCCCGGGATTAGGGCAGTTTTAAAACTCCAGAACTGGCGAATGGCATCTCTCAGAGTCGTGCTCAGCAGTAGGCACGGCGCACTGTGAGACGGTTCAAGGCATGCGATACTAGTAATGACACGCAGAGGAGAGATCGCAGGATGTGCAGAAGTGTGCAGACCTCAGACCTGAAATCTGCGGATGGTGATCCGGTTGGCGCTCACGTGGCTGACTGCAACTGCTGGTTGCTGCTCGTGGTCATGCAATGAATGCACTCCGGACCATGATGCAGTGTCTGCGATGATGCTTCTTCATTGTCATCGTTGTATTTAGATCTACATCGCTCTTAGAGGGCTCCATCTTTCCTCATTATCGTCTCGATGGCCGGTGGTTCTTCCAGTAGGCTCGTGCGGCCGGCCGAGTTCTCGCATGATGTGCGTGAGCTCAACGGTCCTGGAGCTGGAATGTTCACGCCTTGCGCGGTGTAGCCCACACCGCCTTGCTTGAGCTTGTAGCCAGTGGTATTGCCCGACACTTTGTCCTTGCCCGCATCACCGGCGAGTCCTGGTGCCCAGCCACTTGCGCCCGTCTTCTCAGCTGCCTCTTTCAGCGCCCTGATCAGATCCTTGGTCTTCTCAGGCGTAAGGTCCTCGTAGTAGTCGTCATTGATCTGTACCATGGGCGCGTTGGCGCACGCACCCAAGCACTCCACTTCTGTGAATGTGAAGAGATTGTCTGCGGTCGTCTCACCGTGGTGGATTCCGAGCTCCTCCTCAATGGCCTTCATGATCACGTCACTGCCAGCGCCACCTAGTTGGCATGGTGTCTGCCCATAATCAGTATGCCATTATACACTACTCCCTCTGACTCTTACTCACAGTTGTGCAGCATTGGATATGGAATTTGCCCACGGGATTCCTGTTGTACATGGTGTAGAAAGTGGCCACCTCATATACACGCATGGGGGGCATCTCGAGCAGTCGCGCCACCTCGTTCATGACACTGATGCTGGTGAAGCCATGTTGTCGCTGGCCGAGGTCGAGAAGAGGCATGACGGCGGCCTTTTTGTATTGCGACGGGTATCGCGAAAGCACCTCCTTGATGAGCTCTTCATTGACCTTGTTGAACTTGAAGGGGATATCGGGGTTGTTCTCTGGAGTATTTCGGTGCTGCATCATCCTCGTCAGACGTCTCTTGTGCCTCCCGTCGTCCTCGTGGACAGCCGTGCAGGTTGCCTGGGGGCATGCATACCACATTGAGAGATGCGCTCTGTGCTATCCGCGTCGTCTGGAATGTCCGCTTCTGCTGTTCCCTGACGGCACTCTGGAAGGCTCGCCGCCCTCCCCGGAGAAACATGGGCGCCAGTTTGGATGCCATGGTGTGGATGTGACGTGCGGTGTTCTGTGCTGGGAGTCCGAATGTTCCTCGATCGCGGTCGCCACATAAGCGACATGCTGGTGAGTTTATTGGCTGGGACCTGCCGCTTCTCCGCTCTAGTTCTCTTACGGGTCCATTCAATGACAACACCACCAGGCTTCGTCTCCTTCAATTATATATGTACCTCTATCTAACATCAATACTACGGTGCAACACGTATATGGACATCGATACGACTCGACCAGTATATAGCAGTATTAATTATATTGAGTCCTGAGCTAAGCTGTCGTATAGAGAATGCGCCTTTAGAGAGAGTATTTACATCGGAGATTCGGAGATGCGCAGATCTGTTATTCGAAATTCGAAGAACACCACCTCTGATCCTTATACATCCGGCCTCCGCATGACCCCATTACCAGCATTATGATCAGTAGAAACAGTGCCACGTTGGTCCGATGCTGGGAGCCAGGTTCTACTTATACCCTGGAGCGTCCAGAGTGATTGGACTATCTAAGGGCGAACTCGGAGCTACATATACCTAAGGCAGGTCTACATTGTATACAGACGAACAGAACAGAGTTCTATACCGGGATGAGTCTGGTAGTTCAGCAGCGAGGACGACGTGGTAAGCATCCTCTCACTGCTGGGGGTCGGCACATATATATATCTGCCATTGCCCACATATACAGACAGGTCTTGACATCCACCTCCACCTCCACCACCTCCACGCAAACAAATCCCAGCGGCTCTACACATAATTCATCAGTACACACCGAACTCACAATGCTCACATCCTCTACCTTTACTATCCTCCTTGCCCTGATGAGCAGCGTGCATCATGCGCTTGCCTGTCAAACCATAGCGGGTATTGGTGTCGGCTGCACTGGATTTCAGAATGAGTTTTGCGATGAAGCTGCTCTCAAATGCCCAGTGGGACAATGCATGACAAAGAAGACGAGAAAGAGCATTACATGTCAATATCCCGTTCTATACCCGAAGTGCATCTACGACGTCTGTTGCCCTTCTTTTGCCTTACGATATTGGTTTGTTAGCAGAACGGGTAGCTGACATCGTATGCGTACCAGATCGAATGTTGCCCGAGATGCTAATAAGAGCGCATCGTTTGTGTCAGAGTTTGAGATGGTGATTGTCTGTCTGTTTGAATCTTCAGGAATTTGGAGGAGAGGGAAGTTTTTCGAATTCTGTTTGGGAAAGGTATATGTTGGTGCTGGGAATGCTATTGGCGTGAGATACTTCGTACCTGGCTGGCATTGGTTGTCATGTGGGGCGGGTCAATGAGGTACCATGAATCATGATAAGGGACGAAACTAAAAGGCCAAGGCAGTGATAGCCTGCAATTCGTAGGCATACAACAATGATATCTGCACCCACCACTGTTCTGCCCACCTGACGATGTAGTTAACCATTTACCGCGTGGACGAGGCGCAGCATTAGCATCGAGAGAACCTGTTGCGATCCGCGGAACGCGTAAATCGCTCGAAATTTGATTCGACTTCCTCGGGGCTATGCACCCATGTGTAACTCACTGCCGTCCTCCCCTTCGTCAACAGGGCTTCCTTATGCCATCAACAGCGCCAGCAGCATACATCCACCCATCCCCTGGCGGTTCTCACACGCTCTTCACACATCAGATACCTTACTTGCGCAAAGTTTGACGCGTTCAAGCACATATTTATTCCACACAGCAACACCATCGACCATCACATAACTCGCGAACACCATGTCCAAATACGTATGTGGCGCCCCCACCAGTAGAACTCGAGCACCAACACCATAGTAGTATACTGACAATAACGACTTCGCCTGACAGGACAACGCGCCCCCCGCCTATCCTCAGCAACCTCCACAAGCCCACTACGATGCGGGCCCCGTAGGCGGCGCAAACACCGATTATTACGGATCTGCTCCGCCGCAGCAGTATAACCCAAACTACAACCAAGGGTATCCTCCTCAAGGCTACCCGCCACAAGGTGGAATGCAGTACCAGCAAGGTCCTCCCCCGCCGGGAATGTACCAGCAGGGCATGTATCCACCCCAAGATCCAAGAGGAGGAGGAGGCTCGGGAGCTGGGGGCTGTTGTGCGGGTATCATGGCTGCGCTGGCATGTTGCTGTTGTCTCGATGTGCTGTTCTAAAAGGGAAGAGGCGGACGAGAGGAGGACGAGGAAGATGACAAGTGCAGGGCGTGATCGTGGGGATACGACAGTGGTAGAAGATGTGTGCGCGGAAAGGATTGGAGCCCGCTCCTTACAGTACTGCGAGATAAAGGCAGGGAATCAGTTCCTACTCTGTTTTGTTCTGTTCTCGCGCGCGCGCAAGGGTTTGTTGATAGGAGCGAGATCAGGTAGTACGTACTGTCGGGTAATGTTTTTTTTTCCTTCTTGAATGCGCCTTTTCTCCGCGCGCAGGTCCTGACTAGTGATATATGCCGGCAGATATCGTGAAGGAGGGCGGCTATCGAAGGCCATCTCTGCTTCGTCGACATGATAATTTGATCTGCACCTGGACCATTCTCGACTGGCCTTCCATACTCTGCGATGCCTGGATTCCTACAGGAGGTGAAATCTTCGATGATGGAATCAAGAATCTGCGAAGTGTGCTACACCACATTCTCGAAAACAGCGCCATGGAATCCACGCAGCTCGCGAGGCAGAGAAGTGTAAACCACTACAGGAGGTTGCATTCGTTCGACTGCCGGACGACTGCGCATGGGTTCCTTTCATAGGTGGCTGGTGGTGCAGAACGAGACAAGGTAAAGCCAACAATTGCGGAATCGGCAGGATGGCAGGTCGACAGTGTGTTGAAGGAGCACAAAGGAACTATAAGAGATAAACTACTTTAGGTAGCTATATGACATTTAAGTGCTGACTTCTTGAGCAGGGTTAGCTATCTGTATATACTCATCCTCCCAGGATCACTTTGCGGATTCTTTTAGGTCTTTACACGGTATAACCAAGGCAGGAATCCAAACAGCGAATGGGAACATACAGTATACAATATATGTCTGTTTGACAGGGCTTGCGATCCGAAGAGATCCTAGAACACCGAGTTCAACCCTTGTGATTCGAGAACTGGTTTATACATACCTGAGGTACGTAGAATCTTCCATATCGTGGAGGGCTTCAAAAACAGACAAGACTTGCGGCACAACGTGGAAGACCCTAGCCTAGCTGTACTGGCACAAGGTGGCTTGACGAACTGCCCTGGGGACTCAAAAGGGGTCCTGCACAATTGCCACTCATGTCATGCTCGCAGGAGTTCCTTTGAAGACCCTTTTTTTCTTTTTTGGAAGAGTAGGTACATGTATATTTGACTTTTGAGGCCATGCCTTACCTGATGTCTCATACGTCGTCGTCTACACCCTGCCACTATCTCCTTGAAGGTCCTCTAAAATAGAAGTGCTTCAGCTGGACCATTTTGGCAAAGTTTCGCGCATAGCTGCTGGTACCATACATAGTCGATAGCCATTCGATACTGAGACGAGTGCGCCTAGGTACTGACGTGACCGCCTGGGTGGCAAATACATAATCTCGAACGTTGTACATATGGGCTAGAAGATCAGGGTCCAGTATCACGAGTCGCGTATGGTGTGACAGAATAGGCTCGTCACAATCGTAAGCAAAGAGTCAGCACACAAGCAGTTCTTGTTCGGGTGTTGTTGATGCATGTGGCTGACACGCGGTTTCGGGCCTCGATCTGTCCAGGCCAGGATTTCTAGATCTGCCCGAGGGTAATTTTCTTGGTGATGTGGTGAGGAAGAAAACAACGCGAGTAGTTCTTGAGCTTTTTGTTGAACGCGCCTCCATAGAGCATGCGACGTGGTGATGCTGGCTGGCCGGAATAATACCTAAGGTACCTGACCTTACCTCCTACCTCCTACCTCCAAGGTAAGGTATGGTAAGGTATGGTGACAAAACCAGAGGCGGTGATTGCTCGTGCCATGTGTGCTTTCGAACCTGGTCGAAATGTCAGCAGCTCGAGACCATCCTTCCTGGTATCTCGAGTAGTAGGAGGTAGGGAGAACTGTATTCAAATGTTTTCCAGAGTGGTACAATCGTCGATGAATGTCTGTTCCATCGTCAGAGAGAATCTGTGGGCACCGCCGGCAAGCGAGTGGAGCTCATTCTGAAGATGACCCATGTCTCCATATACGGGCATGTATCGATTGTGACAGTGATGCGTGCACTGTGCAGAGTCTGCAGACTACCTCCTAGGAGGTGGAGGTACCACCTGGGCGGTGGAAGCCCAACAGTCAGTGTCTACCGGGCGAGCTCCGGCCGGCTACAGGTATGGCACGATAGGTACATGTATCTCGCATGCTCTAGACCTATGGATGAGCTAGCCGCTCGCTTACAGTACCATCTCTATTGCTCTGCTGATGGGACGTTCTCACCATCGGCGTGGGCCGTTACCTAACTCACCTGATCTACGTGTACTGGAGACTGGGCGACTCTGACATGATGGCTCACAATAAATGTACATGTAGGAGGTACTTCCCGTCGCAAGAAAGGTACCTTAGGTAGACATGTACTCACCGAGCTGTCGAAGACTACCAAACTACAATACCACACACCCGAACTGCCACTAGAGACGCCGCGGCCGTGTGGAAGCCAGCAATATCAGCGACAGCTTCGGATGTCCACATGGAATCTGCGATCACTCCATGGGCACATCTTTAGCGACGCATCCCCGTCAAGCGCAAAAACGATTATTCATTATTTCACGACACGAGCTACATGTAGGAGCCTAGGAGGTACTTTGACGCGGCCGCGCTAGCCCCAGAAGCCGGAGTATGCTCCGAGATCTGGCATAGGATGATATCAGGTCACCAGGATAGCGACGAATTATCAGGATACTCAATCGCCCACGCATCGGCAAGCGTGTAGCATTACTCTGGAAACACCCTGGAGAATTCCAGGTTACCTCTTAGGTCCATAGCCTTTCCATGGGCTCATCGTGCAACTGCTGGATCCGGAATACCTGTATGACGGCGCAGAAGGGCACTTGAGCGGGTGTGTGATCCTCTCCAGCTGACTCTAGCCAAAGACACCACAAAGTGTTGCGTGAAGGGTCAAGGTGCGAAGGGCGACATCCAGCCAGGTGCACAGGTGGTGTTCGAATTATCACAGGATCGGCGCTATGTGCCTCAGGTACTGCCTACCAGGCCCTACCTACATGTACCTACACAGACGGGCCAGTTGGAAGGTGGCAGAGCCTCAAGATCGTCGATGGTTCACGCAGTGACGGCACTCGTGCATTCTCTTTCAACAAGGAATAGCCGTTTACATCTCCATGTAATGGTCGAATCGAGGATTGCCAAATACGATCCAGACATGGCACGACGGCACTCGGACGCACCGCGGTGGTCGCTCGATGCTGCTGGCCATCACATGCTGCGTCGCACTATTGCCAGTGCTATTACCTATGACTGGAGGGCAGATCGGCATTCGCAGTGGGAGGTAGGAGGTAGTAGGAGGTAGCAGGAGGTAGCAGTAGTAGTATTAGTAGTTCGAATGAAAATTACATGTACCCTTTCCCAGAGAGATAGCAGCTGGTGGGATACCTAGCATGTGTTCTGTGAGGTGGTGAACATGGGCATGGACAGGTCGCATCGCTGTTCTAGTCTGCCCTGCTCGTTGCCGGCGTGGATATCGACGATCTGGCTGCATGTGCGGTTAATAAGCAGAGTGGTCTAGCTCCCGAATCTCGTCTGTCAGACATCTTCGACCACTTCTCGATCTCTATCCCAGGCTTGGCGTGCTAGAAGGGCTTCCAGATCGACTGCGTACCAAATTCATCGCCGCAAAATGCGCCTCGCTGCGATCACCTCGATGTCGCGCGCCGACATCAGACTTTTGGGCTCAGAACGGCGATGTCCACAAGAATCGACTGCGCTTAGCTTTGGCTGACAGCCCATGGCAACGTCCCACGACTGCTGTCCGATGTCCTACCAGCCTGAGATCATCTGTATGACGGAGCGCGATGGATGGCAGACTCTCTGACCCTTCTTCGCCTTGACCGTACTCCATCGCGATCCACAATACGAAAGGATACCACACTACACGTTGTTCGGAACTAAGGTATCCCACTGTAGCTGGCTGTCTTCCCACTTCCTGCACACACACACACACACACACACACACCACACACACACACACACATACACACACACCACACACACCGCCGACATACACTCTCCGTCTACGTCTGCATCTCCTGCTGCGCTGTGAGATCGGCGCACCATCGGCAACGGATAAATCCCATATTCGACCACGACGAGTTCGCCACGCCACGCCACATACCGACGAGTGTTCGGGCGTCCATGCCATCTCAATGGACTTCAACATAACTTGAGTCACCCAAATTTACCACAGATGGCTTCCAGACTTCCGCCGCCGACAATAGTCATGACTCCGCCCGCACAACCCAACATGGCATCATCTTCGGGACATCCCCGCCGACCGCCAGCGCATCGATCGGTGTCCCTGAAACAGTCGTCGCACAGTCGAAAGAGTCCCAAAGAGAGCGACACCTCGAGCGACAATAGTGCCTCGAGGGCGACGAATGGGAAGGACACAGGCAGCAATGGGTCGAAGAATAGCAGTGGATCGCCCTCGAGTCTGCAACCGCTGGGAAGGAACAGCTCTGGAGAAAGCAGCAACGCCGAGCAGTGGTTCCAGACATCGAACAACGACGTGCATGATACCAGCGCAAGCTTCAACGACAACGACCCGCCGTTTTTCAACCGCCATTCCTCGTCTTCCACCACCCCTCCGGATGCTCACGGGCAATACATGAGGAATCATATAGGGCCGCATAGCGGCCCAAACTCATTACCACTGCGTACCGAATTGCTTGCGCTGGGAGGCACAGATGGCAGTAGCACTGAGGACTTTCGGGGAGTGATTGATGACTTGACAATTGAAAATAAAGCTCTGAAGAGGAGGCTCAAGAAGTACGAGAGATTACACGATTCGCATTTGAAGGATGAAAAGCTCTTCGAGGTTCGGATACACGGTCTGCCACCTCACAAGAAACGCGAGCTGGAAGAGACACTTCGGCAGTTTGCATCGAGTCTGGGTGAGGGAGGCTTCCCTACCTTTGGATACGGATCCATCCTCCCCTCCCTGAATACCCAGAAGACAGCTTCGTCACAGACGCAAGTCTCAGATTCAGCTTATGCGTCAATGTCTGGCCAAGGATCTTCCGCTCAGTCTGGCGCCGAAGGCCGATCGAAACATAAGGCTTCGACGAACGCTCTGAGAAAGCAGAACATTCACACATATCTCCACCACATCTCCGAAGGACTGCTCCCACAGGCCAACCCAGCGAACATGTCCGAGCGTGCCAAGAAAAAGCTCGTGGCAAGAAGGCTAGAGCAGATATTCGCTGGCAAAGGCGCTGCAGCCGGTATCCACCAACATCCAATGCAGCAGCAGGAGGTCTCTCAATTAGCCGCGCGTGCAGACAGAGCTGCCGGCGAGGCTCAAGGGCTACATTCGCGACGGGAAGGGAAACGAGAAGCACGTATCATGGAGCGTGAGCGGAAGGACAATAGCAACGACGCCACCGATTCAGCTCCAGATGATGGTCCTGTTACCAAGATGGAAGAACGGAAACGCGCGCCACCCGCTCTCGTGAGCAAGACATCCACCGGTGACTCCGAGCAGCGGCCTACCCGTCCGCTTGATCTCGATCCTCACCGTGCGCAAGTACCTGCCGACAACATCGAATATATGCGCCATCTGGGATTCTCGCCACCTGACCCTGGAACCGAAGTAGCGGAAGAGGGTCATGGGTGGGTATATCTGAACCTCCTCATCAATCTTGCCCAACTCCACACATTTAGCGTCACCTCGGACTTCGTAAGGAAGGCGCTGGATGAATTCAGTTCGAAGTTTGAGATTTCCAATGATGGCAGGAAGGTCCGCTGGAAGGGAGGGTCTTCAGTGACGCATTCGAGCAGCAATGGAGATGGGTCGTCTGCAGGTGTCGACACTCCTGACGGCCAGAGTCCACGGAAACGACCAAAGCTGATCCACCGCAGCAGCGATCGGTCGGTCTCGTCCAGTTTGCAGCAGGCCAGCGCCATGTCTCGGAGAACACCTGACAATAGACTTGGGTACACGCCCTTGTTCTTCCAGAAGGACAGCCCCGATGATGGAGTGAGTTCATCGGAGGAAGAGGACGACGACGGATCATCGACTTGTCCTATGATGATGGCTGGAACCTCTACCGAAAAGACGAGCTCGGGACGACAAACTGTTGCACCCCGGAAGCACAAGACACTGAATGACGGGCCTATCATCTTCTACAACAATGCTAGGTTCTGTACAGATTTGAGTGGTGACCGCAAGACCAACGGTAATGCCAACGCACCGCCTTATACGCCTGTCATCAGCGAGCCAGTGGGCCGGTCTTGTGGTTCAACGCAGGTCAAGACTGCTGAGAAACGAGGCCCTTTGGCCAGTGCTTCTCAGCTACCAGAGCCTATGGACCTCAGTGACAATCCTATACCGGAGGCACTCGAACTCAACTTCCCCCCGACTTTCCCGTTGTCTGACGCCAACAATCCCAGCTTCGAGCCAATGGATTTACCGGTAACTGGAATTGGTGGCGTATGGCCTGCGGACAATTTCGCCATCGCTGTTGAAAGCCGACAGGTTCAGGTGCACGAGACCCGGTCTCCTCCCACCTTACTTGAGAAGCAGCGCAAATCTTTACCGGCAAGGATCACGCATATACTCGACAAGGCGAGTGTCAAGCCCCAGTCGTCCAAATTTGTCCAGAAGAGTGTCACCGCGACACAGTTACGAAATCTGATGCCATCCGAGCTACCAGCAGCGCTTTGCTACATGCCTTCTAGCGAAGACTCTACTGGGGACGACGCTTCTGATGTGGAGGACGACGTGTCCATTACACACGGTTCTCCCGGTGCACCACCCCCTGCGGCAGCACCTCAGCCTGTTGAGCTTCATTATGCGTCTTCGGAACAGGAAGAGGAGGATGACGACGATGACAGTGATGCAGAGTCGGACAGTTCTCTCGACTTACTTGCTGCTGCGCGCCAGATTGACCCTGAAGCAATCAGACAACAGGAGCGGGAGTATGACGCGCAATACGCTGACCGCCTTGCTGAAGAGATACCGGCGGGGAGCAGTGCAGCGACGGCGGGCGGCGGTAGCGGCTTCGCCAGTCCAAATGAGTCGATGACTCGCGAAGAATATGAGAAGGCCGTGAGAGCGGTACGAAAGCGACGGCAAGCCGCTGCTGCGCTGCAGCCCCGAGAGACTTCTGGAAGTATGGTGGCCCTCAATCCTTCTGCTTCCGAGGCACCATCTTCGGACGACGAGGACGATGCCATGGAGGATGATACGAATTAGCATTGCCTTTACTGTAAAGTCTTCAATTAGTCGTCCATTTTAGCGTAGATACTCCCGATAGCTCAATTGAGATTTTTGTGAACATGTGGAACATCCAGATGTCAAACGGACAGAGACAGCCTTGGCGCGGCACGCCGCGAACCCTGAATCTCTATTTTTGTAGGCCACCAATGTTTGCACAAAGTGAGCCAGGTTGACTTGCCTTCCATGACATCCATCGCAACCGCGCACTTTGCACCTCTCCTCTGGACACTGCCGAAGCGCACCTGATGCCCGCGTTGACTGAACTCTCGACGTCGCTTGTGTGCCTTTGCCTGTGACTTTTATTTCTCCCGAAGACGCCGCTGGCTGCCGGCGCTGCACTTCCGGGCGCGGCGACGACCATCTCGCGCGAGACTCGGTGTGAGGCGTTCGTTATACCGGTACCACACATCAATACTGTATAATGGACCCGCAACTGGCAGGCCTGGAGAGCTACAACAACAACAACAATAACACCAACAGCCCCAACAACCCCAACAATACCAACAACAACATTAACCACAATGACCCCGGGGCCGTGGCCGTGGCCGTGCCTGTACCGGCGCCGCCACAGCAAGAAGTCGACGAGTTTCTTAGGAAGAAGAGAAAGGCGCGCGAGCACAAAGCGTGTTACCCTTGTGTACGTCCGTTGTTGCACTTGCGACACCATTCCTTACTCCCTCAACTGCGCTCCCGGAAAGTACCCGCCGACTGACAGATGATGATATGACAGCGCCAGCGTAAAGTGAAGTAAGTTGGCGTATTGACCATGCGTTCTCGCTCGAATTTTGGCGCTGACCGGCCGAAGATGCGATCTCTCGCGCCCCTGCCAGACATGCCGAGACAGAGACCATCCCGAACTGTGTTCATATCACCCTCCCAACAAGAGACAGAACGTTGACGGGCATCCACCTGCTGCCATGATGGGCGATGCGCCCGCTGGACCGCTGCTCACTGCGCCTCCTGGACCCGGCTATGTCGCTGTAGGTACAGGCCAGCTTGATATGTTGTTTCGCCAGCTTCACAGCCTCGAGAACGCCATCACGGAATTGAGACGTGAGGTGCGCCGAAATACTGGTGATCACAGTGGCATGCACGAAAGCGATGCCACCGAGAGCAGCAATGGTCTTCGCTCGCAAAACCACACAGATCTCCACGGCCTACACACTCGGAATGAATCTGGCGAGATAGTGCATCTTGGCGGTGGCTCTGTGCCCGCCATGCTTTATGCATTGAGCCAAGGACAAACACCGGGCGCGCAAGAGCAACAGCAATTACAGGAATTCCTCGGCAAGTCTGTGCTACCCATGTTCGGCCTCGACAATGAGTCTGCGACATACCCGTTCGTTGATCTTTGGGGTCTGCCACACGGATCTCTGCAACGTGCTCGTGAGCTTGCCAGAGCACTCCCCAATGACAATCAGATCATGACACTCTTTGGAAGCTATCGCGACCTGGGCTACATCATATATCCAGGCATTGCCGACATGAAGCAGCTAGAGAACGAGCTCACCGGGTTCTTGATTACTCGGTCTTCATACCAGAACCTTGACGATGGGGTCAGTGAGAACACGATATACGGCAATAGCTTTTATTGGCTCGGAATGCTCTTTGCTGTACTTGCAAGCGGCGCCCAGTGTAGTGCATTGACGCGCAAGGAACGGGAACTTACCTCGCAGGTGTACGGTAAGGGTACCTCCACGTCCTGTGGTCAGTCAGACACATGCTAACTTGCCTAGTATGTTGCGGGTTCGAATGCTTGCGATTCACGAATTTCTTATCTCAGCCACACGCCGAGAGCATACAAGCGCTTCTCATCATCGGCAATGTGATGACCAACAATATGGTATGCCCTGCCCCAGTTGCGGCGTGTCAGCAGGCGCAAACTCCTAACCTCGCGCAGAATGCGGGAACTGCATGGTCGCTATTGGGATTGACCATCAGGCTCGCCCAAGGCCTTGGCTTGCATCAAGCATGCCCACCTCACAACACTCACGATGTTGTCCTCCCACGATCACGAATATGGTGGGCTGTAGTGTGGCAAGACAGCCTCTTGTCCATCACCTACGATCGCAATGCTTCTTTGGACGTGAATACCATGGCCATGCCACAAAACTTCGGGCCCGTCAGCTCTTATCATGCATCAATGTATCGCATGTGTAAGGTGGGTCTAGATATTGTGCGCGATCGAGCAAAAGCAGCGAGTTCTCGCGATGCCGTCGCACGCATTCATCAGCACCGCGAGGAAATCGCAAGTATTATGAGAGACTCGGCCGAGCACCTTCGCGATTCCAGACAGTGCACATCGAGCCAGGAGACACTGGAACATTGGGCACTATACCTGCACACTAGCTACGCGATGTCTGAGCTCTGTCGGCCTGCGATCAGTCCCAGAACTTCGAGCGAGCTGGTCAAGGCCTTTAAGCAAGTATGTGTCGAGAATCTGATCAACACGGTGGAAGCATTTCTCGGCTTGAACAACATTACCTTCTTCGCACGGCAGTCGTGGGCCGCAGTGCATCGGGCTTTGAGTTCAGCTCTTCTGATCGGCATTATCGGCGAGCACAGGACGAACGATCGTGCTCGCAGGCTGATTGCCCGCTTCATCGCGCTCATGAGCGATATCACTTCGACCGTGGACCCCAGTGAGATTTCCGCGCCAGTAAAACGCGGCGTCGCTGCTCTTCGCAAGCTGAACATTGAGGAGGTACGAAGTGGAAGCTTTGGAGATGCTGCATCTCTTGCCTCGCCGGTAGATGGTGGTGGTGGTGGTGGTGGTGGTGGTGTTGGCGGCGCTGTGGGTGGTAGTGACGCCAAATTTGACCGCAGTCAAATCTTCACGCCAGCCAACTCTGAGAGCGCCGGCACTGTGGATGAAGAGAACTCTCCATACTCGGTCCTGAACAGCATCCTGTGGGGTAATAACAATGGCGCACTGTCGGGAGTCAACCCGCCTGTGTGAACGTTGAACAGAGACATAATAGTTTACCTGATGATGATCACTTTGTCAACCTCCACATCCGCAATCCCGTGAAGAGTCATGGCTGTGATCTGAAGCACCAGTCGTGTGTTAGAGTGCTCCAAATGGAAGGCGGTTGATTCTACGGATCTCGACAGAGTTCAACGGCTGTTTTGCGGGTGCATATCCCCGGCGTCGAAGGCTACCGCACCGTCAGCTGAATACGACATTGTCTTGCGTAGAAATTTGGTCGCGTCCAGGGCCTCGATGACAGTCTAGCTAACGCTGCACCTGGGCAGCAACTGAGAGAGCGAGAGAGGGAGAGAAGAACGAGAGAGAGCGAGAGAGGGATTGGATGCAGCAGTAGGAGGTAGTATATCTGATACTAGGAGGTATGATCAACTCGTCCCTCCCAAATCACATCAAAAAGCAATGTGGCGACTTGTGTTCACCGTAAATAGTGTGGCGCTGTCTGCGTCAATATAGGAGGCAGTCATCGTACAGATGCGCATTGGTTGCAGGCTGGCGGTTCTCGAGTAGACAGTACGTTGTAAAGCCCCGAACATTTCCAAATTGGCTCTGGCTAGCTTAAGGAGATAGGGAGAGAAGTAGGAGGTAGTGCTTAGTGGACCTTGGATCTCGTGTTCTTTTTTTTGTTTGGGAAGCCTTCGCCGAAACCTTGGCGGCAAACGACGGCGCCACATGACAAGCCAATCACGTGCACTGTATCAAATACGAACCGCAGCCATGGACCAAAATCATTCTAAGCCCAGTTGACATTAACGGCACAATTTCGAGATACGGAGACCAAAACGGTTCCTGCAGTAGCGGCATCGAATGCTTACCACGAATAGACCCGTCGCCACCGTCTGCGCTGTCATTTTTGGCGCTGCAATTCGCTTGGGGGCTCTCGTGGTGTAGAACAATCGTGTTCCGCGATCGTATCCCTGGGCTCGTGTTATGGGAGACATCATTCCATCTTGGGAGATAGCTCCACGGCTCCTGAGATTGGTTTGAGAAGCCGTGTAATGGGAATGAGGATGTGACAGTACAAGTATCTACACCTCCCCCCGTCCATTCAGTACAGCATCACACTCTCGTTCACCGCGCATCAATAGGACAGCAGACATTCTCCCTTAATTAATCACCCGACCAATCACCACTCTTTCACCAAGGAAAAATGTACTCCGCTGCCGTCGTCGCCGCCATTGTTGGCTCCGCTGCCGCTCAGGCCTCATACGGCGCTCCAGCATCAGCATGCCCTGCTGCCGGAGACAAGGCCGCTGATGGTCGCTACAGCTGCAAGTGAGTTGGATTGATATTTGACCTCATCTCTCTGAAGTGTTCACATGCTAATCGCTACATCAGCCCAGCACACTCTTACCCTGATGGCCAGACCTGCCAGGCCAGCGATGGCTGCTACTATCTCGTCAACCAGGGCCCAGGTGTGACTGCCAGCGCCTCGAGCTCCGCCTCGGTCTACGTCGATGTGCCAGAGTACCGCACTGCATCCGCGTCTGCATCGGCCTCTAACTACGTCGACGTCCCAGAGTACCGCACTGCGACCTCGTCTGCCCCATCGGCTGCTGCATCATGCCCTGCTACAGGCTCTGCTGGACCTGATGGACGCTACTCGTGCAACCCAGCACACAGCTACCCTGATGGCCAGACCTGCCAGGCAGACAACGGCTGCTACTACCTCGTCAACCAGGGCCCAGGTGTGTACGCCAGCGCCTCGAGCTCCGCTTCGGTCTACGTCGATGTCCCAGAGTACCGCACTGCGACCTCGTCTGCCCCAGCGGCTGCTGCATCATGCCCAGCCACAGGATCTGCTGGACCTGATGGACGCTACTCGTGCAACCCAGCCCACAGCTACCCTGGCGGCCAGACCTGCCAGGCAGACAACGGCTGCTACTACCTCGTCAACCAGGGCCCAGGTGTGTACGCCAGCGCCTCGACTTCCGCCTCGGTCTACGTCGACGTCCCAGTGTACCGCACCGCCACCGTCTCTGCCATCACGACCTACTGCCCACAGCCAACCACCTTCGTGCACAGCGCATCGACCTACGTCGTCACTGCGGCTACTACCCTTACCATGGCCTGCCCAGGTGGCTGCGTCGTCACTGAGTCTGCCACTGCCCCAGCTGGTTACATGCCAACTGGCGGTCTCATCCCAGGTGCGCCAAAGAACGGTACTGGAAACTCCCCAGTTGCCTACACTGGTGGTGCCGCTTTCGCCACTGGTGGCCCATTGGCTGTCTTGGCCGCTCTCGGTGCTCTCTTCTTGTAGATGATGAAGGAGGGATAGTGTGGATAAGATTATTGTTGTTGGCGAGGAGAACTCACTCTTATGTCTGCTGCCTTGGTGGCTAACTTGAGGGGTGTTTGTGTTGGAGGTGGTGGATGGGTAAGAATGTAAATGGGATACAGATACGATCAACATGTTGTTGCATATACAGAAATCGGGTACAACAGATAGACTTCTCGTATGGTTACAACGGAACGGCGAAAAGAATTGTGTGCCATTGTCATTTTCTTTTTTTCTGTCTTTTTTTTTACCATGATGAATCCAGGACAGCATACATAGAGTGCAACGCTCCGGCATGACCTGAAGAAAGCGTTTCATCCAGACCTTGATCATATGTCTTCCATCTTCCATTGGAAAAGACGGATGTGGATCTACCGTTGCCAATTTCCTCACATCAGATCATGCCCGAGGAACTGGCTGGCTTGCATGCAGGTACAGGTACAGGTACCTCCGGTAGATTGAGAGCGGTTTTTTTTTTGATTAGGTATTGCCTACAAGTATCTAGAAGGTAAGGTACAGTATCCATATCTGTGTATGTGTATGTATATCTCCTTTTGTCTCTAACTACCTGAGGTCTATGTAGGTGGTAGAACATCGACTATGATTCTACCTCCCTGCTGCGCTGCTGCGGTCTGTCTGACCCGGTAAAGCCCGGCCGGTCTGGGCGTTTTTTTCATGGGTTGTCTGTACAGAGGTGCTAGCCGAAGTGGCCCTGGTCTGTGCAAGCGCTAGGAGCGGTCCGGCCGGGCTAGCTGATATCGGTAGTACGGGGCTGGCAAGTACGAGGAAAAATCTTCCCACTTACAGGTTTTCTCGTTGAAGAAACAGGTTGATTTGTCCATTCTCGATTAGCCCGTCGCGGACCGCCCCTAGCGTAAGCTTCGACCAGGGCCACTTCGGCAAGCACCTCTGTACTCCGAGGTCGGAAGAGAGTCCTTGGGGGATAAAAGCTTTGCCGTGAGGTTGGCTACCTTGGGTACATGAATTTTTTTGAAAAGGAGAAGGGAAAAGAAAGGGAATAAATATCTATTTCAACGTCCTTTTTAGGTAAACGTGAGGAGGAATAATCACCTACCTTAAGTGGTAGGAGGAGGTAATAATAGTCCGGAGAAGTGGAGAAAGTAGTGGAGAAAGAGTGCTGTGAGTGAGGATGTTCCGATCACGGAATTCGACCGCCCTATATACCTCGTCTTCTCTCCAGCCTCCCGGTCTACATGTGCATGTACCTTGTTTGTATTTTTCTTCCTGGATACGTACATGTATGCTGTAGCAATGATAGTATGTACATGGGATGGGGTCGTTCTCAAAGTGCGGAAGTACTACCTACGCATATACATCATAAGATCGGGAGGTAGATGAGAGCGGAAGATGTGGGCGCGCCATTGGTTCGAGCAGGGGAGGTGTGGGGTCCTGGGGTCTTGGTCTGGAGTCGGAGCGGAGGCTACGGAGGTAGAAGGCAGAACTAGATCCGACTTCTGGGTCGAGACTCGGATAACAAGCACACACGTACCGTGTCCAATGCCGACCATGTCGACACTACTACCACTACTACTATTACTACCTAGTGACCTGCTTCAACATGTCTTTTCTGACTTCGACTCTCCCTCTCTCTCTCTCTCTCTTCCTCCCTCCCTCCCTCCTCTCCCTCTCTCCCTCTCCTCTGCTTTCATACATACCATCTCCCTACCACGGGGGATTGATCGCTGAAGTTGGGCTACATCTACCTCCTACTACTTCCACGTTTCTGCTCCAAAGCACATAATCCACCACCATGGTATCCTCCATCACCTTGGGCGTGCGAACCGCCATCAACCTCAGCAGGACGACACCTTCAGTATGCCCAGGACACTCACTCCAGTCACAGAGGACCAGGAGGGGCACACTGCTGACAGGATGCTAGTCTCGACTCTTAGCACGTACATTCGCCTCCTCGTCTCGCAACCATGCCATCAACAAAGTCGTCTCCTCGCCCGAAGAGGCTCTCAAGGATATGAAGCCCAACTCGACCCTTCTCTGTGGTGGATTTGGTCTCTGTGGAGTGCCCGATACTCTCATCAACAGTGTGGAGAAGATGCCGCACATCACCGGCTTGACCGCAGTGTCGAACAATGCAGGCGTGCCCGGTAGCGGTCTGGGCAAGCTGCTGGCGAGCAAGCAAGTGAAAAAGATGATTGCATCCTATGTGGGCGAGAACAAGGTGTTTGAGAAAATGTACTTGACTGGCGAGATTGAGCTGGAACTCACACCCCAGGGGACGCTTGCGGAGCGCTGTTCGGCGGGCGGGAGAGGTGTGCCGGCCTTCTACACGCCTGCTGCTGTGGGCACTGTGGTGGCTTCGGGAGAGCTTCCTCTCAAGCACAATGCCGAGGGCGATGTGGTGCAGTTCAGCTCGCCCAAGGATATCAAGGTGTTTGACGGCAAGCCATACGTGTTGGAAGAGGCGATCAAGGGTGACGTGGCGTTCATCAAGGCGTGGAAGGCAGATCGTCTGGGTAATGTCATGTTCCGATTCGCAGCGGCCAACTTCAACGGCGCCATGGCGAGGAATGCGAAAGAGACCATCGTCGAGGCCGAGCACATTGTCGAACCCGGAGAGATCGATCCCGCAGCGGTCCACGTGCCAGGTATCTACGTCAACAAAGTGATCCAATCCACCACATCCAAGGAAATTGAAAAGGTGGTCAACGCAAAGAGCCCCGAGGAGCTCAAAGCCGGTGCTCTGGGGTCAGGAGAAACAGCAAACAAGCGCGAGAGGATTGTGAGAAGAGCTGCAAAAGAGTTCCAGAACGGACAATACGCCAATCTCGGCATTGGCATGCCTATGCTGGCACCATCATTCGTGGACGACAGTATCGAGGTGCAGCTCCAGTCGGAGAATGGCATTCTCGGCCTCGGACCATACCCCCAAAAGGGCACAGAAGACCCCGATCTCATCAACGCCGGAAAAGAGACAGTCACACTCCGACCGGGCGCCGCAGTCTTCGGCAGTGACGAATCCTTCGGCATGATCCGAGCCGGACGCATCAACCTGACCATCCTCGGTGCCATGCAAGTCTCTGCCAAAGGTGATCTCGCCAACTGGATGTTGCCAGGCAAGATCAAGGGCTTCGGAGGAGCCATGGATCTCGTGTCCAACCCCGAAAAGACCAAGGTCGTCGTCACCATGGAACACACGGACAAGAAGGGTCGTCCGAAGATTCTCAACACTTGCACTTTCCCTCTCACGGGACCCAAGTGCGTCAGCCTCATCATTACCGAGTTGGCCGTCTTTGAAGTTGATTTCACACATGGCTTGACTTTGATTGAGCATGCCGAGGGTGTCACGGTAGAGGAGATTCAAAGCAAGACGGAAGCTCCGTTCAAGGTTTCTGAGAGCTTGAAGGTTATGCAGCAATAAAGAAGTCAAAAAGAATGGGGCTTCTTCTTGCATTCTAGCATGGCGTTGGAGGGTCGGGAATGGGAATGGATATGATTGTCAAGGTAGATAAGAAATGTGATTTTTGGGAGCAAAAAGTAGTCAGTTAGTATACAAGTGTATCCAAAGCTGTTCAACACCAGAGCCGAAAGGTCCATCACTCGCTCTGTTCCTGAATGCTTGAGATCTTGACCTATAGACAAGTATATACATACGGTATCGTCATTCAACAATCATCTGCCCTCCGGTCGTAGAAGACTGTCGTTGGGTGCTGATGCTGGTACTGTCGATAATGGTGATGTTAATGGTGATGAAGATTTTCCCGAGTTGTTGAAAGGGTTTGAATGGCATGGCATGGCATACATGTAGTCGAGAAGGAAGAAGAGGTCGTTTTCTACTAAAATGTCTTTCTGTTCCGGTATCGCGCCGCTTTCCGCGGGAAGGGAAAGGGGTGGAATTTGGACACTTCCTCCTCTTTCTTGTGGCGACACTCATCTGAAATGTCACAACGACTCAACAACAACAACAACAACAACAACAACAACAACAACAACAACACCGCCGGGACAAGACGGGGCCTATACGAATGATGAACACGTACGCACGCCGGCCTCTGTCTACCAGACCATGACCAAAGCAAGAAGGCTACTCCTGTTCGAATACGGCGCCAGTTGCTCCCTACATGAGTAGTCACCGGGTTGAGCTTGTTTTGTCTCCTATACTTTGGCTGGTACACGAAGTCTTCTCTCTATCATCTATCCAGCTCTAGACATAGGACGGCACATCCAATTTTCCAGCTGGCGTTCGCTGTTCGGTGAGCTTCTGCGGCCCGCTGAGGATGTCGTCCTGTCTTGCTGTGAGAAAGTCGGAGTAGAACTGCCCTAGAACCCGGGGCGATTTGCGTTGCCGTTCGGCTGTGGCGGCCGTTACAGGTGTCCACTGTGTGTCCAAAGTCTATCTGTATTAGGTGGTTGGTACTCTTCACGCTGACTCGTCTGTAGTATTAACTAGTGCGTCATTCCGGCAACTCACAGCTATGAGTTACAGTTACAGCCTACGAAGGTACACGAAAGTTGAAAGTGAAAGCGAACTGTAACCATGCCAACAAGTTAATCTTGAGCGTCTTGGTGGAATCGCTGCCGGACTGCAAGACCTGTCACGATTCCGGACTCATCCTGGCCATCCTGTACTCTGCAATGAGATTGTTCTCCTCAACGCTCGGGATGCAAACTATGTTCCTGAGTAGTGCTGTAACTGGACCTCATCTTCAAGGTCCTTCGAGGGATGGCCACCACATGATGCAGCCAGTGCCACTGTTGCAACAACACTATGGCTGAAGCTGTCATGTCCTTCTTCTTTTGCGGGTGACGAGCGAGTGCAAGATTCCATCCCCGGCTGGGCTACCTGTCAACCCATATCGATCAAGCTTTTCTCGAAGCTTAAACCGTCGAAATGTGCCGTGAAATTGGCGGCAGAGCCAAGCGCCGGCAACTGTGACCTGAAACAGCTCTCAAGGCTTACACATGTAGGTATCTATAGCACGAAACCAGTAACGTTCAATGACCGGCACATCGGCATGGGAAACACCGGCTGGGTATTGCTATGTTGCGTCAGGTACGCTGCAATGACTTTGACAATGGACACGGTAATCACAGGAGCGATACAATATTCTCCGATGCCAACCTAAATGCAGTGAGAAGTCTGAAACCGCACAATTCGAGCCAAAATTGAAGCTGGCTTGCGATTAGAGAACGATCAGCTTCAGCTCCTGGCGATTGACGCTGAAGTCAATCAAGACAGGCGTATGAGAGGTATCCCAGCCTTCTCCAAGTCCGTCTTGGCGTTCGACGCTCTTCACACCAAACGAGTCAGAAGCCGTTGGAGACAGTTGACAGGCTACAGGGAGAAGCATCTTCGTCCTGGCGATGCTTCCGTCTCAGTCCGCTGGACAATGTCGCACAATACGATCCAACTGGCGTCGAATGGATAACGTTACATTGGCGTTCCAGCGTACGGATCGAGACACCGCCAGCACACCTTCCTGTTGGAAGGTGGTTGGAAATGACTTCTGGAGACAGGACATGACGAAGACACTGCTGTCCAAATGCCTATAAGAGACGGCTCCCTCGACCACTGAAGGAAAATCATCCCATCAGCAACGCACAGCAGCAACAACAACAGCTTCCACAACACCAACAGTCTCTCATTCACAAAGACCAACTTCACTTCACTCGTTTTCATCTACCAACAAAACTACAAAAACACCCACTACCACCGCAAAAATGCAGTTCACCATCGCCACCATTGTCACCTTCGCCGCCGCCCTCGCGGCCGCCGCTCCGGTCTCTGACCCATCCACCAAGCCAGCAGCCCTCCAGGCTCGCGGTGGCTACGGCGGTGAATCTTACGGTGCCGGTGGCTCTTACGGTGCCGGCGGCTCTTTCGGCGGCGAGTCTTCTGGCGGCGCTTCCTTCGGCGGCGGCGAGTCTGCTGGCGGCCAGGGCGGCTTTGGCGGCGGCGAGTCTGGTGGCCACGAGGGCGGCGCTATGTCGTGCCCCAAGGGTCAGACTGAGGGTTGCTTCCAGGGTCCTCGTGAGTTTTCTTCTTCCTCTTCCCATTACCATTGCCATTGCTGACTATTACATCTCTAGCTGGCCCACCATCCGGCGGACACGGTGAGGAGGAGGAGCACGACACTTACTCCAACTGCTCTCAGAACAACCAGCTTGGCGGCTTGATTCCAGTAAGCAGCTTCCCCAGAGTAGTACAACTATCTAGACACACATGCTGATCATACCACCCATCAGGTCTTCCTCTGCGACAACTTGAACGGCAACAAGATCCAGGTCCCAGTCACCGTCCTCGGCAAGTCTACTACTGTCGCCTAGATTTCTTCTTTCGCAACAGCAATGCAACCCAGCAAGCTTCTTTGCACAAGCAGGACGAACACAATAGACACATGGAAACAAACAGAGACAAGATGAGGAGTGGGATGTACTATTACTAGCTATCTGATATTCATAATCCACAATAAAACTGAGCAAGCAAGCAATACTTGCTGGCTTTCAAAAACTTAAATCGTCTCTTTTCGTTTTTTCTTGGTGAACACCACAAGAAAGGTCCGGAGGACTATAATCACTATCAATCAATGCATTGACTGAGCGATTATTTCGTTTCGTTTATCTTTCCTTTTCTAGGTATTTCTTTCTCACCTTACTTACTAACAACTCCCCAGTTAGGCTGACGTGTATCTTGAACGGTTCAGTGTTGTATTAGAGAGGAGGCACATGTAGGTAAGTAGGTAGGTAGGTAGTGCTAAGAGAAAGGCCATTTTCTGTATACTAAGATGATGTTTATGATAGTTTGATGGATAGGTGAGGTCGACAAGAAGAAGGACGCTGGATCCGGGGGGAGCAGACCGATATCGGAGTTTACCTTCATCGCCGCTCCTCCTCCTTTTCCTTCTCCTTCTCCTCCTCCTCCTCCTCCTTTTCCTCCTATATAATAAATCAATACTCAATAAATTCTCCGGTCTGGCGGTTGATGAGGTATTGAAAAAGAATGACAGTAGAAAAGTGTCGGCATCATTCGGTAGAAGAAACTCACGACGACCGAGCGAACTCCTCTTTCCAAATACCCCAATTTCTTCAACCCCAGCTTTCTGAAGCTTGGTTCGCGTGCGGAGATGATCCCATTCAAGCATCTTCGATGTCAGATCCAGATGCTTCGCGCAGCTTGACCAATATAACTTTAGTACCTTGCAGCAGCAACGTTGGAGTCACAATGACCACTTGCTAGGTGCTATAGCCTGAATGCCACTGCGTCCCCTCCAAGAGGAGGCTTGGTTGTGTTGACTTGTCGTGGTGTTTACCTAGGTATATAAAATATAACAATAAAAACAGCCAGCGACAACCACGGGCGAAGGTTTTCCAACATTTGGCCATTTTCTTTTCTTCTTCGATATGACCTTCTCCACCACGAGGTGGCTTTGCGCCTTGCTCTGCACCACCTTGGTGAATGCACAGAGCAGTAGTACGGACTACTTTGCACCCAACTCCACAGGATTTCTGATTCGGCATGGATTCGAAACGGTCCTGGTCCAGCCGTTTGGCTACGATGGTTTCCGCGTGAGGGCATGGCCCTTTAATCCTCCCGATGGCAAGGAGGTCAGCTTCCTGTACGATCCTCCATTGGAAGGTCCCGAAAATGGAGTTTCTCTCGGCATGAAGTACGACCAGAAGGTCAATGGAACGGAAATCGCCATCATCCGTAATGGCAACACACTGGCAAAGACATATAGCCCCAATCGGAACAACCACACGAGGACGAAGCTCGCGTTCTACAGAATCGCAGACGATGGCACGGAAACACTGTTGACGAATGAATTCTCGCCGCTCAAGTCACTCGCTTCGCGGTACTACGAATGGAATGGACCAGGCTCTGACTTCTCCGCTGCATTCTCCTTCAGCACCACGCCAGATGAGCAAATCTTTGGTACTGGTACCCAGCAGGATCATTTGCTGAACAAGAAGGGCAATGTCATTGATCTGATCAACTTCAACACGCATATTCCGACTCCCGTCTTCATGAGCAGCAAAGGTTATGGTTTCATCTGGAATTCCGCTTCACAAGGCGAGATGGAGTTTGGCCAGCTCCGCAATCGATTCACGTCCAAGTCGACGACGCTGGTCGACTATGCCATTGTCTCTGCACCCGTAGGCGACTATGATACCTTGCAGCGCCGACTCTCCGCTCTGACCGGGCGAGCGCCCACTCCCCCTGACTTCTCACTGGGCTATTTACACAGCAAGCTTCGGTACGAGAATCAATCCGAATTCATACAGCTGGCGCAAAACTTCCACGACTACGATATTCCCGTGTCGATGCTGGTGATTGACTACCTCAGCTGGGCCTATCAGGGCGACTTTTCCCTCCAACAGAACCTGTGGCCAAACATTAGCTACATGGCCGAGAAGGTCAAAGAGCTCACGGGAGCCGAGATCATGGCATCGCTCTGGCCCAGTGTCGAAGATGCCAGCGAAAACTACGAAACGATGCAGGTCGAAGGCTTTCTCTCCGCGACCCGATCCGGTCCTGGCATCACCGACAGTTTCAACGGCTCCTACATTCGCAACTACGACGCCACCAACCCCAAAGCGCGCGAATACGTGTGGAGTCTGCTCAAGCGCAACTACTTTGACCAAGGCATCAAAAACTTCTGGATCGACCAAGCCGACGGAGGAAATCTCGGAGAAGCTTACAACAACAACGGCCAGAGTGAATTCGTCCAAGGTCTTCCCTATCCCATCTCCGACGTCCTCTATTACGCCGGTACGCAAACTAGCGTCGGCAAACTCTATCCCTGGGCACATCAACAAGGCATCGAAGATGGCCTTCGCAACGTCACGGGAACGAGCGAGGGCGATGCCTGCCCTTATATTTCTCTCAGTCGTTCCGGCTATATTGGCAGTCAGAGATTCTGCAGCATGATTTGGTCCGGGGATACGACTGCGGTGTGGGAGACTATGGCTGCGCAAATTTCTTCGGGCCTCTCTGCTGCTGCGACGGGTTGGTCGTGGTGGACGCTCGATATTGGGGGGTTTCAGGGTGATCCGACGGTCAAATGGAGTAATAATGTCGATGAAGACGCTTATCGAGAATTATATGTTCGATGGCTTCAATGGGGAACTTTTCTCCCTTTTATGCGAAATGTAAGTACACTTTTCTCTCTCTCTCTCTCTTTCTGTCTCTTCCCCATAAATCCCTACCCTACCCAACTTTTTTTTTCTTTTCTTTTTCTTTCACCTTTGTCTAAAAAAGAAAAAAACAGCACGGAGCCCGCGCCTGCCACCACAAAACCGCCTACACCTGCAACAACGAACCCTGGGTCTACGGCAGCAGCAATCTCCCCATCATAAAATCCTACATTTCCCTCCGCTACCAACTCTCCAACTACATCCGCTCCCTCTTCCAGCAATTCCACCTTTCAGGGCGCATGATCCTCCGACCCTTATACATGGATTTCTCACTCACAGACACCTCCATCGCGGGCCTCATTCAATCGAATTCAAACGCCACAACGCAGCAGTATATGTTTGGTCCGAGATTGTTGATTATACCGGTGACGACGCCGGGAGTGCAGGAGTGGGAGGTGTATTTACCGAAGACTTCTGAGGGAGAGGGAGAGGGGGAGAAGGTTTGGACGTATTGGTGGACGAATGAGACGTTTGCGGGGGGGCAGATGGTGGTTGTTCCGGCGCCGTTGGAGTGGATTCCGGTGTTTTATTTGGGTGAGAGAGAGGAGATTTGGAGTGGGGAGGTGTTTTGACGGCGCGGGAAGGAGAGGAGGGGGGAGGGAGAGGAGAGGCAGGATGAAGAGGAGGAGGAGGAGATGATGGTGAGGATGGGGGGAGGAAAGGGGGTTGGGATGCAGAAAAAGTTGGGAGGATGAGGGGTTTTGGGTTGATTTATCGATCGCTCTATTTTTTTTATTTTTATTTTAGTGTCAGTCATGGAGAGTGCTGCTGTTTCTTCGGTTATTAATTATATATACTACCTTTCTTACACTCGTGGCAATTTTCCGAAATCGTATGTGTATGAGAGGGAGAGAGAGAGAGAGAGAGAGAGAGAGAGAAGGAGAGAGGGAGGGAGGGAAGGAGAGAGGGAGAGAGAGAAAGAACATGAGATGTAAACATCATCAACTTCACTACATATCATCATTGCCACAAACACAACTTCCCACTCGCCGTCCCCGCCGCAATCCAATCCTCCGTAGGATGAAACTGCGCAACAGCAGGCACAGCCGTAATCCCATCTCCTCCCAACTGCGCCAGCTGTTTCCCATCTCCCGTATACACATCCACAAAACGATTCATATTCCCAATCACAAATCGCTGAATCCCATCCTGCGGTTGCAACTGCCACTGGGCTCGCAGAATCGTCACCCACCGACCCGTCTGATTATTGTGCGGAACAATCGTGGTCGGAAGCATTTCATGATCGCCCACCATTTCATATCCAGGTTTCCAATCGCCCGAAGCAGAAAAGTCGTAGATTTTGACCGTGTCGTCGTAGGATGCGGTGGCGACTTGTCCTGCGGAATTGAAGGCTGCGTGGGAGACGGAGAGTTTGCTCACGTGTTCGCCGATGAGATGGGGTAGACGGTTTTCGCCTTTGCCGGAAATCTTTCGCAGGTCCCAGAGTTTGAGCATGCGATCCAAGGATGCTGTGGCCAGGAGATGGGGGTGGGCGGGATGGAGAGAGAATCCTCCGATTTTCTTCTCCGAGAGCTGGAGGAGGTCGACGACTTCGTGGGCGGGTGTTCGAATGTCTTTCATTCCGAAGCGGCCGTCGAGCGTGGTGAAATGGAGCATGTTGGGGTCGGAGTGCGCGATTTGCACACCTGAGAGGGGAAGGTCCTCGCTGCGGTCTGCCGGGGCATAAACCTCAATGGCGGAAGCTTTGCCAAGATCGAGTTTTCGTATTGAGGAGTCGTAGGAAGCGGAATAGATGGCGTTTTGGTCGTGTGGCGAACACTGGAAAGCGCTGATGGTGCGGGTGTGGATTTTGAACGTCGTGATGGCGGGTTCCATCTCATCGTCGACTTCATCGCCGTCTTCGTCGGCATCATCGGCTTCCTGTTTGATCTTTTCGGGCGAAGTCTGCGAGGCATCGAACAGACCCAGACTGCCGAGTTTGTCGCCGGCAAACACGAGAGCCTTGTCCGCGGTGGGATGGAAGCCCAGGGCATAGATTCGTTCGGGAGTGATTTTGATCCTGCTGGGTTCCGCGCCTTCCCATAGCTGTAGACTACTCATCCGTTCGCGCAGAGCCTTCAGTTCCACATCACTCGTGTCCTTGATATCCTGCGCATCGAACGTCCTCTCCCCCGGGTTGGCCGGTCCCACCAACGACAACCAATTTCCGGCTCGGTCCCAATTTTTGCCATTGACAATCGCCTCCCTCAGATCGATATCGTCACTGACACGCTGTCTCTTTGCGATCTGCTGCTGCTGGAACGCTTCGGCCTCGGCTTCTGCTTTTTGATGGGCCACTTCCGAGTCTGCCACTATTCCCCTCAAACGCGACGACGTTCGCCGCGGTCCCTCTTCCTTGATCTCCTTCTTTACCTCCCTCTTCCGCTTGGTGCCGGCGCTCGCGGTGGGCTTTGCTTTGGCTCGCTTGGGGCCGAGGCCTGCTTGCTGTGCGTCGAGCTGCAGTTGCTGGAGGAGAGCTTGGTTCTTGGCTATCTTTTCTTGTCGCGCTTGCTCGTACTCGCTGATTTGCGTCGTAGTAGTTCGTGCCATGTTTGCTGTATATTTATATATACATGTGCGTGAGGTGTGGTGTATACATGTGCCTAGGTAGTAACAAAGGGGAGGAGAAAGTCGATGACGGAGACGCGATCTGACGCGATTCCTTGACGCGTTCCATGTCCGAGATATCCCCGCACTACAGACTACATACCTTCCATTCACAATACCAACATCAACATCAACACGACTACAATTCGAGCATACAGTCAGTCCATTGCGAACACGAGAGTCCTGAAATAGGGTCTTGCTTGACATTATGCACATACATATCATACCTACCTTAGTCTAGAGCCCTATACCAAATCGAATAAGATCATACCCGACACATCATTACTTCGACTACTGGTTCGAATCTCACTCAACAGACTTCTTACTCGTGATACTGGCCATCATCGTAGCCAGTCTCACCATCCTCATACTTGCCCTCCGACCACTTCCCGTCGTAATAGCCTGTACCAGAGCCCTCGTACTTTCCAGCATGCCAACTACCATCATCGTCGCGCTTTAATGGATACTTCTCAGGCGTCCACTTTCCATCATCGTATCCTGTTCCGGATCCCTCATATTTTCCAGAATACCAACTACCATCATCATTGCGCTTGGAGGAAGGATGATATTTTCCATCATCGTAGCCGGTGCCAGGTCCTTCGTACTTTCCAGGGTACCAACTGCCATCATCATTGCGCTTGGAGGAAGGATGATATTTTCCATCATCGTAGCCGGTGCCAGATCCTTCGTACTTTCCAGGGTACCAACTGCCATCATCATTGCGCTTGGAGGAAGGATGATATTTTCCATCATCGTAACCAATGCTGCCGCCCTCGTACTTGCTGGGATACCAGGAACCGTCGTCTGTTGGCTTTGTGGCCGGGAGAGCCAAGGCTGTAGTTGCCAGGAGGGCGAGGTATGGGAGCACGTGATGCATGATGTGTGCTTTTTCGGGTGCTGAGGTATGGTGGCCGGGTTGTTGTATTGACTGATATTCTTGAAAGAGATGCTGGAGTAGTGATGCTGTGTGAATGATGTTGTGGTGAGTCGTCGGCGACTTTCATTCATACCTATATACTGATCTATCGTCGACTGTAGTGCAATATGTTGCAGTCGATAGTTGACGACACTGCGCCCACGATCCTCGAGGAACAGCTGTTGATGCTGTTCCGACCTACTGGCGACAACAACATATCGCGCACAGCATGCGACTCATGAGTGCTCAAGATAGCAATGCTCCAATCCGCAACGACCGAGGACGGCTATTGGACTGACAGTGAGAAGTGGCATTGTGCCAGGAGTTCGTGATCGATGGACAGCCGCATATCTACCCCCCAAAAAAAGGTCGGCTCGGTTTCACTGCCTTTCGTATAGTCACAGGTAGAGCTGTGTCCCGATTTGGCGCGGTGGTTCTACATGTGGGATCAACTTGTGAGGCAAATACAATAAGTGGTATATACCAATTCCGAATGGTTGGTGGAGGCGAAGGGCCTTGAGGATTCAAGCCTGCGCCTCTCCACATGTCAGCCTTATGTGCGAGGCCAGCTAACAATAGCTGTTCGAGAGAAGTCTGTGTGACTAAATCACCTAGAGTAGTACCTAATGATGAAAGTGGAAGCGAAGTGATCGGGAAGGGCCTGTCGTGATTGATCCTCGAGGGATGGGGATGGAGAGAAAAGAGGTGCAGACTGCGGAGTCGACAATCGAAGCTTTCGCGGGTCTAGCCGCTCGGGAGACCATCTCGTCTCGCGCTTGCTTGGAGAGGTCATCGAAACATTCCCTCGTCGGCCACACAGCTGTATAGGTACCTGACCTTACCAACGAACGATCCCATCATCTCGCCCGAACGAATCCCATTCAGGAGGAGGCAGCAGCAGTAGCAGCAGCAACTGCAACAATCACAATGGCGAACGATCCGCGACAGATGTGGGAGGCGCTGCAGAAGAACATGGCCAAGGTGCAGCAGCAAGGCAAAAAGTATGTCAAGAGGCGAACCACCAAAGCATACACCCGATGAGTGTGCCTATAGGGATAAATATGCTGACACCAGCATAGGTTTGGTGGAGGTGGACGCGCGCCACCACCACAGGCAGCTCTGACGGGACTTGGAGGTCTGGTACTGCTGGCAGGTGGCGCCTGGTTCTTCAACAATGCTCTCTTCAACGGTACGCATACCCCAGATCTTGATGATGGAGGACATATGATCTGACGATGAGGGACATAGTCGAGGGAGGTCACCGCGCCATCAAGTACACGCGAATAGGAGGTGTGGGCAAGGAAATTTACGCCGAAGGAACACACATCAAGATTCCCTGGTTCGAAACGCCTGTCGACTACGATGTGCGCGCCAAACCTCGAAACGTCGCATCTCTCACCGGAACCAAGGACTTGCAAATGGTTAACATTACATGTCGTGTCCTCTCGCGACCGCGGATAGATGCACTGCCTCAGATCTACCGAACATTGGGAACAGACTACGATGAACGAGTTCTGCCCAGCATCGTGAACGAGGTCCTCAAGAGCGTCGTGGCACAGTTTAATGCCTCACAGCTCATCACACAGCGTGAGAATGTCAGCAGACTGGTACGGGACAACTTGGTGCGGAGAGCAGCCCGCTTCAACATCATGCTGGATGATGTCTCACTCACAGTAAGCCTTCCCCGTACCGCCCACTCTCCACGTTCCCCCTTAACGGTCTCTTGTAGCATCTCGCCTTCTCCCCCGAGTTCACCGCCGCCGTCGAAGCCAAACAAGTCGCTCAACAGGAAGCGCAGCGTGCTGCTTTCGTGGTCGACAAAGCCCGCCAAGAAAAGCAAGCCACTGTCGTTCGCGCTCAGGGTGAGGCTAGATCTGCTGAGTTGATCGGTGACGCCATCAAGAAGAGCCGATCATATGTCGACCTGAGAGAATTTGAAAATGCACGAAATGTTGCAGCTATCCTAGAGAAGTCACAAAACAAGGTGTATCTGGATGGGAACGGATTGGGTCTCAACATCACGCAGACGAACGCGGAGAAGGACGCCAACTGGAGACGATGAGCCCATTACTGACGTGGAAAGGATATGTACGAAGTGAGGTCGAGGTGTACTCCAAAAGCGCAGCTCCTACAATGGCCGAGAGCCTCACCTATGTATAGTTACAATACTCAACTTTTTCAACCTTAGCCGCCCTTCCAGTCACGGCCAATTTTGGTAAGATGCATTCGGAGAGCTCACGCATCATAGTATACGATTATGCTGTTCTTTGCATGACTGAGACGCGATATCTTGGACTCATGGAATCGCAGGCATGCAACTGCTCTGTTAGGTACTCACCAACGGCTGCAGACCTTAACTTTGATTTCGTTCTGGGCTTTTTAATTATACCAGAGAGGGAAGCATGTGGACCAGGGTATTCAAGTTTAATTTCCGCATTTACTCTTCACAAGGGCCGCCCGTAGATGAAGTCTACATGTACCTGTACATAGGGCTGCCCATAGCCCCGCCGGGCGAGTCGCACGTTTTCCAATACCTAGGGAAGATCACATACGCCACGCTATCGCTCGTGTATGAGAGCTGCATTGCGGCAGACCATATATCTTCAATATCTTGATCCCCTTCGCGAAGCTTGAGATAGACTTGGCTCACCTTACTTGAACCGTCCCTGATCATGCGGACCACAACACGGACCTGGCTCGCAGCCTTACTTGCTGCAGTGATGGCCCTGCCAACTGCACAGACGACAGATTCACATGTCTTGCACGAAAAACGGACGAATACTCCACGAGAGTGGCGTCGAGGCGATCGTGTGAACGAAGATGCTCTTCTTCCCATCCGGATTGGTTTGGTGCAGTCGAACCTGGATGATGCTTATGAACATCTTATGGACGTGAGCCATCCTGCGTCGCCGAACTATGGAAAACACTGGAAGGCTGAGGATGTGCATGCAATGTATTCGCCAAGTGAGGAAGCGGTTGCTGCCGTGAGAGCATGGTTGGAGAGTGAGGGAGTTGGTGATGTTGTGCATTCTGATAATAAGGTGCGTTCGTGTGTCTCCAAACTTCCCACTGCGACGACAGGTCTCGTCGTAAAATGTCCAGACATACAATGATCTGACAACTTCCAGGGCTGGCTGGCGTTCGACATTCCTGCTTCTCAGGCAGAAGCTCTGTTCTCCACAGAGTACTACGAATTCGAACACAAGATGTCAACAGACAAGATCAAGGTTGGATGTGATGGCTACCACGTTCCTGCGGATTTGGCCCACCATATCGACTATATCACACCTGGAGTGGCACTTTCTCCTGCTCTCGTGAAAAGGAGCGTCGATGTCCTTGACAAGCGCGCACATCCTGCAGATAAATGGCTTAGCGGCAGACCAGGACGTCGTCTATCGCACAGAGCCGCGGCGCCACCTGCAATCTCTCACTTGCAAACACGTCAATCTAATATCTCTTCCAATCTTTCGCGCTGTGCGACCAGGATTACTCCCGCTTGTGTGAAGGCTCTGTATGGCATTCCCGACGCGCCAACTGAGGTGGACGACGTCAATGCTCTTGGTAGGTATTGCCCATGCGATGAGATGTCATGATCTATGAAGATGCCGTGACTAACCCCCCTCTGCTTCTGGTAGGTGTCTTCGAAGCTAGCGACGCATACGCTCAAGCCGACTTGGACCTGTTTTTCCAACTGTACGCACCCCATATACCACAAGGAACTCATCCAACGCTCAACTCGATCGATGGAGGCCAAGACCCCTCCAGCCCAGATGCTCCAGTGTACGGGGAATCCGATTTCGACCTGGAAGTTGCTTATTCCTTGATCTACCCACAAAAAATCATTCTCTACCAAGTAGACGACTCCACCTACGTCAATTTGGACTCAAAAGTATACTTCAATTCCTTCCTCGACGCCTTAGATGGATCCTACTGCACATACTCTGCGTATGGCGTGACGGGCAATGACCCCGCGATCGATTCCATGTATCCCAACCCCGCCGAAGGAGGCTACAAAGGCGATTTGATGTGCGGAACGTACAAGCCCACGCGGGTCATTTCTATCAGTTATGGAGTCAGTGAATTCGACGCACCCTTGAATTACACCAAACGGCAGTGTAACGAGCTTTTGAAGCTCGGTCTACAAGGTGTGACGTTCGTCTGGGCTTCGGGAGACGATGGTGTTGCGGCTTTTCATGGCGACGATAGTGCTTCGGGATGTCTGGGGAAAGATGAAAAACTGTTTAATCCTCTCTTTCCGACATGTCCGTATGTGACCAGTGTGGGCGGTACGCAGCTGTGGGCTGGACAGACGTTGTCGGATCCGGAATCTGCTTTGGCAGGTCCTTTGGAACACGGAGGCACGGCTTACAGTGGGGGTGGATTCGCAAATTATTTTCCAGTCCCGGTGAGTTTTTGTGTCGGTGGCATCTTCTCTTCTCCTTGTTTGCTTGCTTGCTGTTTCCTCTCCCCTTCATTTCGTCCTTGCTGACTTTTTTCCTCTGCACTATAGGATTACCAACAGTCAGCTGTTTCGACATACTTCCAAAACCACGTGAGTCATCCATCGCCTGCCACTATCACATAGACGCCCTCCTGCCCCTTTCTCCCCCTCAATCCCAAGTCCACCATCCACTAACCTTCATCTCCCATACCCTCCTCACCAGGACCCCGATCTCCCCTACTACACCGCCCGCAACGACTCCGTTGGGATCACCAACATGGGCGAAAACCACGGCCTCTACAACCGTGCCGGACGCGGTACCCCCGACGTCTCAGCCACCGCCGGTCCATTCCAATTGATTTACAATAAGCAACATGTCGCCTTGTATGGGACTTCGTTTTCGGCGCCAGTTTGGGCCGGTATCATCACGATGATTAATCAGGAACGGACGAATGTTGGAAAGGGGCCTGTGGGGTTTATTAATCCGGTGTTGTATGCGAATCCTGGGGTGTTGAATGATGTGGTGAATGGGTCGAATCCTGGGTGTGGGAGTGAGGGTTTTAAGGCTGCGGAGGGTTGGGTGAGTTTTCTTTTCTTTTCTTTTGTCTTCCCCCCCCCCCCCCTTTTTTTTGCCGAAGGGGGAATGTGATATCAGGAGGAAGTTCCAAAATGTGTGAACGGGAGAGGCTTTTTTGGTGCTAATTGATTGATTTCTTAGGATCCTGTTACTGGACTGGGAACGCCGAATTATCCCAAGTTGTTGGAGTTGTTTATGGGTCTGCCTTGAGAAGAAGGGGAGGAGGAAGGGGAGGAATAGAAAGTTAGACTGTAGAGCGTCCCGACGAGATTTCAACAGCCGTTGGAGTTTCCTAGTCTGCATCGCAGCTACGATCTTCTAGAAAGTCGTCAACCTCTGCCGAATCGAGACCTTATACATTTTTCTTCTCAGCGAACAACTTTGAATACATGCCGCTATTGATGATAATGCTCATAGAAATTGCATATCTAGAAATTTGCTTGAGTAGTAACTTGTATTCTCCTTGGAGCTTTTTTCTAAGTTTTTTTGAAGAAGCACTGTCTATATATGCGTATACTTTGCTTTCCTGCGCTTAGATTGTTACAGTCTTTCTGATAGAAGCCATGTTGTGAGATATCTCTATTGGAGGTGGTAAATATCGTTACTATGACAGTTACCCATGTCTACTGAGAGATGCAGACTGAATACCCGTCGTGCTTGCACAAAAAAAAAGATTAAAAATTAGAATTAGAATTAAAATAAATAAAAGAGGCGACGAATGATCGCGAACAGTCATTTTCTAACAGGTCACAATATCCTCCCACAGAGGCAAATGCGTAACCTCACTCTTCCCAAACTTCTCCAACCGACTCTTCCCACACCCGTCACACTCTCCCTCATGCACCGTCTCACAATAACTCGCACTATACTCCTTCACCACCTCCAACAACACCGCCCCATCCCTTGTCGCCTCCCTCTCTACCCCTTCCTTCAATCGACACAGACATCTCGGTTTCCCATTCCGCTCAAACTTCAACACCCCTTCCCCTACCACGCGCATTTCATATGTGGCATCCTCGGAAATCCCCCCGTCGTCACTCCACGCATAACATCTTCCATCGATACCCAAGCTTAATTTCGCCAAGCATCTGGTGTTGGTGGGCCCGAGCAAGGTGCGCCAGCGGCTGAGCCGGAGATGGAAATCGTATAATTTGATGTCGTTGGGGATGGCGTGGTAGCCGATTTTCCCCAGGAACCATGTGTTTTCGGAATAGTAGATGCCGAGTGCTTCGGAGCGGACTTGTTTGTTGACGAATGCTAGGGCGGGTTGTTGCAGACGAGAGCTGATGTTGGTTTGGCAGAAGGGGGCTACGCTGAGGGGGACTGGGGAGAGGACGAGGGATCGCCAGATTTGGTTGCGGATTTCGCCGGGGAGGGAGAGGATGGGTGAGGATGGAGAAGTCTGTGATGAGGACATTATTGGTGATGGGTTATTTTTGAAGGTGGTGGTGTTGGTGATGGAACTATGTAGGTAGATGCCTCCTACATGTACCGGAGTCTATATGTCGGTGTTGTGTCCGAAGGTACAACCTGAATCCGATTCTCTTCAAGTGAACCAACAACTACTTGGTGAGTACTATATAGTACCTACCTAGTCAGCTCATTATTGCTGCTCATCTGAGTGGTGGTGTGAGAACAGAGTGAGATATGGAGCAGTAGGAGGTAAATCATGGTAATATCACACGGGACACCCATGACCTTCGGGCCAAGCCTTATTCCCATTATTGAGGTATGGTATCTCTGCTTACCTGGTACATGCATTATGCTAAATCTTGTCTCAACCCTCGGCCCCCTCTTGTTGTTACTACTACTGTACTACTTACCTACCTACTTTGGTACTGTACCTAGATCTAGAAAAAAGACCTCGTCGCCGCCCGCCGTCCTCCTCACCACTTTGGCCGAAGCCTTCTTGACTCTGCTGAGAGCGGGAGTCTGCTCCGAGTCTTCTTGGCTTTGCCGCCTCCCAAGCCTTCTCCGTCGCTCAATCGAGAAGGTGGCATCGTCTATAGCGAGCCAAGAGCAGCACGAAGGAGTATGCAGATATGAACACCGCGAGCTGGTTGGTTACACCGAGCATGAGCGTGAACGAGCATGATCGTCCGTTGCACCAGCTTCATTGAGCTAGACCTCCATGAATAAGGTATCTCCACCTCAGCTCTGTTCTTATATGATGGTATCTTAGGTATGGCGACTGGTGCATCATCCATCGTGCTCCCACTTCACCACAGCAGCAGCGCACAATGGCGCTAAGAAGGCTGCGAACCCGTCCGACCTGGTGCGCCGCGTTCCTACTAGCACTGTCATCCTGCGGTGTACATGCCATCGATCCTCCTCGCCAACCACGACAACCGCTGGGCAATGGCACCAGACGTTTGACCTACAACGAAACCACCCCGACCGCCCAAAATCGTGCCACCTCGCAGACGGTGAGCTGGATCTCTTCCGAACAGGATGGCACCTTCATCACCACCGCCAATGGCTCCTTGGTGCTCGAAAACATCGTGACGGGCGACTCGAGCGTGTTTGTGGCAGCCGACAAGGTGCCCGCTGATTATCATGAATACTGGATCAGTCCAGACCAAGAGCGAGTCCTGTGGGCGGTGAACTACACCAAGCAATACCGATATACTTACTTCGCCGACTACCTCATTCAAGATGTCGCGACGGGAGAGACGACACCACTGGTGCCAGATCAGCTGGGAGACATCCAATATGCCGAGTTCGCACCCACAGGAGATGCCATTGCCTTTGTGCGTGATAACGATCTGTACATCCACCACAATGATAGCCAAATTACCCGCATTACGGACAATGGAGGGCCAGACATGTTCAATGCCGTGCCGGACTGGGTCTATGAAGAAGAGATCTTTGGCATCACCAAGACCTTGTGGTTTTCGCCTGATAGCATGTACATTGCGTTCTTGAGCTTCAACGAGACTGGAGTAGGCACCTTTAGAATCCCGTACTACATGGATGACCAGGATATCGCCCCGCCGTACCCTCGCGAGCTGGAGCTGAGGTACCCCAAAGTCGGTACAACCAATCCTACCGTGCAATTCAACCTCTTGGATATGACGACCAAGCAATACTCGAACATCCCCGTCACGGCATTTCCACCTGATGATACGGTCATTGGCGAAGTGGCTTGGGTCACAGAAGACCACTCTGCAGTCATCTACAGGGCCTTCAATCGTGTACAAGATCAAGACAAACACGTTTTGGTCGATCCTGTTGCAAAGACTTCGGAGGTTGTGCGGGAGAGAGATGGCACAGATGGCTGGCTGGACAACACCGGAGCCATCACCTACGTTGGCCCTATCGAGTTCAATACAAACGTAAGTCATAGCAACTGATGGCCACAACTATTGCTCGGCCTTGGCCGATCATCAAAGACACTTGCTAACCTTCCATGCGTAACTATATTAGGGAACTGCAACGTACAGCAACACGAGCGCTCCCGCGTACTACGTCGACGAGTCGGACGAGAGTGGTTGGATGCATATCTACTTGCATCCAGTCACCGGCGGAGAGTCTATTCCTCTGACTTCGGGTGAATGGGAGGTTGTGTCCATACTCAAGGTCGACACCTCTCGAAACCTGATCTACTATACATCAACGGAACATCACAGCACAGAACGCCATATTTACTCTGTAAACTATGCCACTGGCGAGAAGAAAGCCATTGTGGACGATACTGTTGACGCGTGAGTAGCTTGCCTGTGGAAACATTTCTGAATCTTGCTGATCGTGCATGTAGCTACTGGTCGGCCTCCTTCTCCAGCGCGGGGGACTACTATATTCTCTCCTACCAAGGTCCAGACGTACCGTATCAAGAAGTCTACTCGGTCAATTCGACCGAAGCTCTGTCGGTTCTGGTGTCAAACGAAGCGTTGGTCCAGAACATCTCGGCACTTCATCTCCCCAACATCACGTACTTCGAGCTCGAGCACCCAGAAGGCTTCAGGTTGAATGTCATGCAACGCCTGCCGCCGAATTTCGACCCTTCCAAGAGATATCCCGTACTGTTCACGCCCTACGGAGGACCTGGAGCTCAAGAAGTCTCGAAACGGTTCCAAACTCTCGCTTGGAGAGCTTACATCTCCTCGGACCCCGAACTGGAGTATATCACATACACAGTCGATAACCGAGGCACTGGATACCAAGGTCGCGCTTTCCGAAGTGCAGTCACCAGACATCTCGGTCGTCTAGAACCCCAAGACCAAATCTGGGCTGCGCAACAACTCATCGCTCAAAACAGCTTCATTGACACCGAACGAGTGGGAATGTGGGGCTGGTCCTTTGGTGGGTACCTCACCGCCAAAGTCCTCGAAGCGGACTCGGACGTGTTCTCATTCGGACTCATCACCGCGCCGGTCAGTGATTGGCGTTTTTACGATAGCATGTACACGGAACGGTATATGAAGACTTATGAGCAGAACCCCGAGGGATACAACGAGACTGCCGTGAGGAACGCCGACGGCTTTAAGCATGCGAGGGGCGGATTCGGCATTATGCATGGAACGGGAGATGATAATGTGCATTATCAGAATGCGGCTGCTTTGATCGATTTGTTGGTCAGGGAAGGTGTGAGTCCCGAGAAGATGGAAATGGTGGCTTTTACCGATTCGGATCATGGAATCACGTTTCATGGGGCTAGTGCGTGGATTTACAAGTATTTGACGAAGAGACTGTGGGAGGAGAAGGAGAGAAAGGTTGGGCTGGTGGACCAGACACACCAGTGGTTGAGAAAGAGGGCGGCCGTTGTCGAGGGAGGAGGTGTAGTAAGGTAGATATGCAGCAGTAGTTGTGTGTACTGTGTAGAGTGAAGGTCAGCGGGCAATGGTATTACAGGACCCCCAAGGGAGCAGTTCAACAGATGACTAGCATGAATCGTACCTGGTCTCTTTGCCGTGACATGTTTCTATTCTGATCGAAAGGAGAAGAAGAAGAAAAAGAAGAAAAAGAAGACAAGCCAATCATATGTGGTATGTACCTTGGCGGTGGTGGCAGAAGTACCTAAAGTTTCGGGTGGTGCCATCCATGATCGAGCATCATCAGGGTTTCGGATCTGCAGGGGATATGGCCACGGTAGACGACTTACACCGTGTAGGCCAACATACAGCAGTACTTAAGTCCTGTAGTAAGAGTACACAGGTAACCATTGATTCATGGATGCCTCTTTAGCAGCACAACACTCTGGAGCAATCAATCACCACCACACCTTCTCCTTCTCCTCCTCGACTGTTGATGCGCTCCGAGAGGTCAAGCTGATCGTTTCACTGGTCGTCGTGGGCTGGATCGCAACCACAGCTCTGAGAGGCTTCGGGAATAGGAACAGTGTGAGGGAATAGGGAGGAGGACGATCCTGAGGGGATACATCGACATATGAGTAGGGAGAATGATGGCGCTGCTACGGATACCACAGTCGCTCGCATGGCTGGCGCTGGCGCTGGTGAGAGTCGCCTCCGCTGAGACGCTGCCCATCGACTCCCTCTCCTTCGGCCACCACGGCGAGCTCACACCACACCACGCCATACCAGGATGGCGCCAGAATGGTTACAACCATGCGGTGCAGGTCATGCGGAATGGAATCATCCTCACACCCCCCGTACCGGGCAACGCAAAGGGAGCATTATGGTCAGAAGCGCCCGTGGGAGAGGTCACAGACTGGACAGCACAGCTCGAGTTTCGAGCATCCGGACAAGAGATGGGCAGTGGAAACCTACAATTCTGGTATACGCAGAATCCCGACACCGTCGGAGTGAATAGCGTCTACAATGTGGAAAAGTTCGATGGCTTGGTCATTGTGATCGATCAGTACGGCGGCTCAGGAGGCAAGATCAGAGGCTTCCTGAACGATGGTTCTGTAAACTTTCTCACTTCCGCCTTTCTTGAATCGCTAGCCTTTGGACACTGTGATTACAGTTATCGTAATCTGGGAAGACCTAGTAAACTCAAGATTACCAATCAGGGGGGCCTTACCGTAACCATTGATGATAAGACATGCTTCTCTTCGAACCAGATTGCGTTGCCAGCTGGCAACAATTATCACTTTGGTCTGACTGCCACCACCGGCGAGAATCCAGATTCCTTCGAGGTACAAGCATTCGCTGTGACTGCTGGAGGTGATCTTGCTACTGGAACCAAGGCAACGACTTCGCATCCCAAACAAGGCGAAGAGGCAGCATATCAAAAAATGTCCAAGATGGACACCATGCCTGGAGCACCCGAGATGCTCCCCGACCGCGACGCCGACTCGATCAAATCCCAAGCCGACCAATTCGCCGACCTGCACAATCGTCTGCAAGGCCTGTCACATCACATGGGCACGCTCTACTACGAAATCAAGACCATTTCTGACAAATTGGACACGACGCGTACAGAAGTGGTGCAAAAGGTGGGAACCATTAGTGGTGGTAGTGGAGGCGGCAGCAGGGACACTGGCATCCCACCGGAGACAGTGGGCAAAATCAATGCTCTGCACGATCGTGTCTCGAGCATCGAATCGGTCGTCAATATCATCCGGAACGACCTCGAGGGCAAAGATTACAAGCAGAGTATGGATGAACTTCACACGGCCATGTCGTTTTTGCATCACAACTTCCACACGGGCATGGATGGGAAATTGGAGAGTGGTAAGTTCATACAAACCTACAGCTTCGGCTGAAACTTGGGGTCGAGTTTGTAAACAAAAACAAAAAGCTAACTCTTGTGTGTGTGTGAAATCCAGCGATCCGAACACATGGACCCAGTACAACGCAAATGATCTTCACCATCATCGGTTTCCAGATGTTGATGGTGTTGGGTTATGCGTGGTACAAGAGACAGAGACACAGTCAGCCTAAAAAATACTTGTAGATGTTTTTTTGTGGGGAACATCTTTTCGCTGATGATTGATTTTGTGTACAGCGTATTATCGTCGTTGACAAAAAGAAGAAGAAGAAGAAGAGGTGTTTTTCGGGTTTGCATTGGACGTGTGCATGGCTGGGTCGGGTCGGGTCTCTGTGAGGGGGCGAATTGGGATGGATCTGTTGGACAGCTGTTTGCTGCGGGGGGTGTGTGTCTGAGAGAGTGTGTTTGAGAGAGAGAGGGAGAGAGATGAGAAGGGAAGAGAAGGGAAGAGAAGGGAAGAGAAGAAGAAAACAAGCGTTGAGTGGCCCACCATGAGGATGGGAAAGGACAACAAGAACAACAAGAACAACAGCTTTCCCGAAGAAAGAGAGAGAGAGTGTGTGTGTGAGTGAGTGAGTGAGAGATGTAGATGAAATGTACTTTATAAAGTGAACAAAACAACTGTTAGTAATTCGAGCTGCGTTGATGCTGGGGAGAGTTGGACGATGCAGGCTGGCTGGCAGGCAACTAAGAGGTATGTATCTGTATGTATAAAAAGGGAACATCTGGTCTGGATGGATATCGTGTTTGTTCGTTTTTTGTTGTTGTGTGCGCGTGTGAGAATACCTACCTACCTCCTGGGCAAGGTACCTTACTACCTGAGTATAAGGTATACAGCTTAGAGAGTAGAGCAGAGAGCGGGCTTTAGACTCAACTCGGGTTAGGTATACAACGTCTACGTACATGTAGGTCCCTTATCGTAGGTCCATGTAGGCAAGGTCATGATATCTATAATCTATAATCTTACTTCTTCATCTTTCCTCTCCTGCTTCTCACCTTCCCTCCTCCATCATTCCCATCCATCCCTCGCTCCCCACACCACATACCACCTACCTAACCCGTCGTATCTACTCCCTACTTATTCGTCGTCAATCAAAAATAAATTTACACAACGAGCAAGGGGAACTTTTTATGCCGTCGTTCTCCGAGTCCCCGCGGGAGTGGGGGTTGGGACAGCCCCCCCCGTTGTCGGCTCCAACTGTACTTAAGGTACAAAATCTTCCACCAGCCGCCTAGTGGAGCTGGAGCTATTGTTGCTATTTGTCCTCTAAGCACAGGATCAGGCGAAACGCGAGGAAATATTGCATTTTCTCTTACCTATTGCCTTTTGCAAGGCAGGTGACCTTACTGGAAGGCCGCTTTTGTTGAGGAGGGAAACCTGTGGAAAGAAAAATGAGTAATGGCATACGATTGATGAAGGGCGAGTGTGATAGGGTTTTCTCTCTGTCTCTCTCTCTCTTTATAAATATGATGGGTTTCGCTGTTTCTTTTTTCTTTTTTCTTTTTTTCCTTTTTGTCTTTTTTTGGTTTTGCTGATTTATTGATGCTTTTTTTTTCTTTGAAGATTCCGTTTGATATATCACTATTGATTGGATCTGATAGCCGGAAGTGTCGTCGTCGTCTCGAGAGGGGATCCTTTTTTTGTTGAGAGGTGACAAAGAATTTACGAAACTTACCTAGGTACCTGGCCTACATACCTACCTGAGGATAGTCACGTCGATCACGTCGACTTGGGATCAGATACCGGCAGGACAGCAGCAGGATTTCAATATGTATGTGGTGTCAAGTGTCTGTGGAATGTACTCTCACATCTGCAAGATGACGTTCAAGATTGCTGACCACGTACATGTATTCATTAATCTGATGACAGAACAATCACCACCATGGACGCTCCTACCATCACGCCCAAGTTCCTCTCCAAGGGCAACGAGCTGGGTCTGGTCGCAGTGGGCTTTAGTGGAGGCCAGGTACATCAATCACCCTCCTTCCTGCACAACAAGTAAACATAGCAAGCTCACCAGCATCATGTGCTTTCTTCTTCTGTATAGTGCAAACCAGGCACAGATGCCGCTCCCATGGCCCTCATCGAGTCCGGCCTCATCAACGACCTCCGCGACGAACTGAAATACGACGTCAAATATGATGACACCGTCCACGCCTACACCGAGCTTCTCCCCGCCGACGACCCGGACCACCGCAACATGAAAAACCCACGAGCCGTCTCCGCCGTCACGCAGAAACTCTCCTCCCAAGTCTACGAACACGCTCGCGAGGGACGTTTCGTGCTGACCCTCGGAGGCGATCACTCGATTGCCATTGGAACCGTCTCGGGCACGGCCAAGGCGATTCGCGAGAGATTGGGACGAGACATGGCTGTGATTTGGGTCGACGCACACGCAGATATCAATACACCCGAGACATCGGATTCGGGGAACATTCATGGCATGCCCGTCGCTTTCCTCACGGGATTGGCGACGGACGAGGCGGACAAGCCGTTTGGATGGATTGCAGACGATCAGAAAATCTCAACTGCGAAACTTGTCTACATTGGACTGAGAGATGTGGATCGTGGGGAGAAGAAGATCCTGCGGGATCACAATATCAAAGCGTTCAGTATGCATGATATCGATCGACATGGGATTGGAAAGGTGATGGATATGGCGCTGGGGTGGATTGGAAGGGATACGCCGATTCATTTGAGTTTTGATGTCGATGCGCTGGATCCCATGTGGGCGCCTTCAACGGGCACGCCGGTACGAGGCGGGTTGACGTTGCGGGAGGGAGATTTCATTGCGGAGAGTGTGCATGAGACGGGGAATCTGGTGGCGCTGGATTTGGTCGAGGTAAATCCTTCGCTGGAGAAGGAGGGAGTGAGTGAGACTGTGCGAGCTGGAGTGAGTATTGTGAGGTGTGCCTTGGGAGATACTCTTCTGTGAGGATACCAACACTCTCTCCCCTCTCTTCTGGGGGAGGAGGAGTGAAGACATAGACCATAGAAGAGATATGACTCTCCAGTACACCTCTGTACCCTTCTTCACATGCACAATTGCACATGCACGCTTAGCCTAATGGGGAAGATGCCACTCCAACGACGACAACAACATGGCACTGACACCGAGACATGGAGGATGAGGACTGCTGCGGTCGAGCTTTTGAATTTCTGCTCAATGTATACCAAATCTTCTGGCAAAATCACAGTCCGTGAGCACCAATCGTCGCAGTTCTATCACAAACGTGTTGGACGATACAACATGACACGACACGACACGTAGCTTCTAGGTAGTGTGGGACCCCTCGAAGCTCTCACCTACCCCAGAAAGTGGTGGTGCATAGAATAATACCGAATAGCATAAATCCTTTGTACGCTCTCTCCACAGTTCACATACCTCCTACTTCACTTCCACTCACCAATGTGTTCATGATCCGCAGCAGCAGAAGAAGAGGAAGAACAAAAAGCAGCCACAATGGCTAAACAGCGCCCCTGGATAGCAGCAGCAGCTCTGGTCAGCCTGCTCGCCCCCACCAATGCCGTCCCCTCGGTCAATGTCGCTGTGCGTTCAGCCTTTGGAGCACCGCCATTTCTCCTTGAACTCCTGTAGGGCATCCTTTCCTGTTCTTTTCTCCGAGAGATGGAAAGTCCACAGCTAAAGTACAGGATAGAGAAACGGCAGCGGAAGAGAACAGCACATCTTACTTCCCCCTCCTCGACCGCATCGCAGACGGCTACTTTGACGCTTCCACTACCGATCAACAGCTCTACACGACCTTCCGCGCTCTTCTTGCCTCTGAAGGCCATTTGGGTCCAGAGGATCTCTCTTCGTTTGATTATGCTCTTGCAATCCACTCGGCGGCTCCACGCATCGAAGCGCATTATCAATATTACAATACTTCGGTCGTGCCTACTTTATCGAAAGAGCGAGATGGCTACGCAGGCTGTGAGACATGGGTCTACGTCCCGTTTAGCGGGCAAAAGTACTGTTCGCCGGACTTGGACGAGAAGAGTGCGGAGCGTTTGGGTCAGCCGGGGAGTGCGAGCGTGAAGCATTTACCTTTTGACCGGGTGCTGGGGGATGTGACGAGTGATAAGGCCAGTGTGTTGTATGCGGACGTGGGAAGTGAGAGTTTTCGAAAGTTTCACGGGACGTTGAGTAAGACTGCGAGGGAGGGCAAGACGAGCTATCGAGTGCGATATCGAGCTTTTGAAGGCGTCGAGAGTCGGCCGTTGACTGTGAGTGGCTATGGAGTGGAATTGGCGTTGAAGAGGACGGATTATATCGTTATCGATGATCGGCAGGGTGATGGCGAGGAGGGCAAGGAGAAAGATGATGGGAAGAATGCTGTGGAAACTACATTGAGTGAAGAGGAAGTCTCGGACTTGAGGCCTTTGTCGCAGTCTGAGTTGAGGAGATTGGGAGTGCGAGCGGCGAGTTTCGTCATGGCAAGTGAAGACCCCTTCAAGACGCTGTTGAAGCTCAGCCAGGACTTTCCCAAGCATTCGACGAGCATTGCCGCCACGGACGTCTCCAAGGACTTTGTGGATGAGCACACGGCGAATCGGAATATCTTACTGCCATCGGGGTATAATGTCATGTGGATCAATGGAGTGCAGATCATGTCGCGGGATGTGGAAGCATATGCACTTTTGGAGCATTTGAGGAGGGAACGCAGGATGATCAGGAGCGTGCAGGAGATTGGACTCAGTGCAGTCGAGGCTGTCGAATTGCTCTCACACGAAGCCATCACCGAAGCACAAGTGCATCAGGAATCACCGCGGTATGACTGGCGCGATGATGCAGAGGGAGGAAATGTGATCATCTGGATGAATGACATCGAAAAGGACAAGCGATATATGGACTGGCCGGAAAGTGTAACTTCGCTTCTACAACGCGCTTTTCCGGGGCAGCTGCCTTCTGTCAAGAAGGATATCCACAATCTGGTTGTGCCTGTCGACTTTGCAGAATACAATGATGTCTACCTTGTGGTCGAGCAGCTGCGAAGCTTTGTCCAGCGCAAGGTGCCAATTCGCTTTGGTCTGGCACCATGGGTGCGGAGCGAGGCCAGTGGAGAGCAGGCGGCGATAGTAATCTATCTCACTGAGAATTATGGCCTGGGCGCTGCTCTGAGCTACCTGGAAGAGTCCATTGCCGCTGCTGGTCGCAAGTTTGGCAAGCCTAGCGAGAAGATCTTCGAATCTGTCAAGGCTGCAGGCAAGTTGCGACCGAACAAGAAGGATCTTGGGTTTAGTGAAATTCCAAACGAATCGACTCTCGTCGCAAGACTATCCAGAGCCAAGGACTATATCAGCAGACTCGCAAGCACAGATCCCGTACCTCCAGTGCTGATAAATGGCGTGCCAATTGCAAGAACCGAAGATTGGATGCAGACTATGAGCCAGCAGATCACCATAGATTTGCGATCATTGCAACAGGCCGTCTATGAAGGTACGCTCGGCGACGAGGACTATCTACCGACCATGTTCCTCGACAAGGCCAGCCTCAGACGCAATCCACTTGTCGTTCCCGAAGACGAGAAGAGCTTACGGTACATTAATCTTGGCGAGCATCCTGAGCTCGCAGCCTTACCTGGCATACCAGCGGATGCTCAAACTATCGAGCGTGAGCTGGTGCATCTGACTGTTGTTGCCGACTTGGACAGCAAACGGGGCCTGGAGCAACTCATGGAAGTTCTCCTGTATCAACGAGACCACGACAATGTAGAGGTGGCTATCCTGCATATCCCTCACGAAGGCGAAACGCACAAGATCGTGGCCTCGGACTTGACAAAAGCCGGCGGCGATGCATCCCTGAAAGCGTTGCTGCAGCAGTACGATGACATTCGTGGCGAGACATCAATCCCCGAAGGTTCATCAGATCTGGAGACCAGACGCAATGTATTGTACGATATTTTGTACCAGAAAGTCTCGCGAGAAACATCACCCGAGATTGATGAACAAGTGCGGAGCGCCTGGGCACCTTTTAGGGATCTCACCACTGCCGTCGGCGTCACTTCTGGCAAGAAGGCGCTCATAGTGAATGGCAGAATTGTCGGCCCAGTCGAGGATGATGTAAGTCTCGGAATCTCCGACATTGAGACGCTGCTTGCGTTTGAGCGAAAGAGACGCTTCTTGCCCGCTGCACTCGCGATTGAAGCTCTTGGTATCCAAGAAAAGGCATCGACTCCACTCGCATTTGCACGCATCACGAACCTGATCGCTCTATCTCTCGTGTCAGATGTGCCTGAAGGTATCTTTGAGGCTGCGCCAACGGTTCGTTCCGACGTGTTCAAAAACTTCAATGCTAGCCATACTGCGATTCACATCGGGGATCCGAAAACTGCGACGATACAGATCAATGCGGCTGTTGACCCTGCCTCCGAAGCTGCGCAGAAGTGGATTCCAATCATCAAAGTCTTGTCCGAGTTTGACGGCGTGTATGTCAGACTCTTCCTGAACCCGCGGGATCGTCTGGAGGAGATCCCTATCAAGCGGTTTTACCGACATGTGCTGAGCTCAAAGCCCGCCTTCGAGACTGATGGCTCTCTGGCACCCACTGGTGCACAATTTCGTGGGCTACCTGCGGATGCGCTGCTGAATATGGGTATGGATTTGCCTCCTGCCTGGCTTGTGGCGCCCGAGGTCACGGTACACGATCTGGACAATATCAAGCTGAGTGCTGTCAAGAGTGATGTCAGTGCCGTCTATGAACTGGAACATATCCTCATCGAGGGCCATACCACGGATGTCACTGTGGGACCGCCTCCGAGGGGTGCTCAGTTGGTCTTGAGCACAGATGCGGATCCTCACTTTGCAGACACTATCATTATGGCTAACCTGGGATACTTTCAGTTCAAGGCAAACCCGGGTATCTACAATCTGGGTATGCAGAAGGGTCGGAGTGAAGACATCTTTCACATCGATAGTACGGGAGCCACTGGACTCAATGAGCAAGCCACTGACAATACCACTGAGATCGCGCTGATGAGCTTCAAGGGTGTCACGCTCTTCCCGCGGATATCTCGCAACAAAGGCATGGAAGAGGAAGATGTCCTCGAGCCGTCCAAGTCTGCATTGGAGTCCCTCGCAGATGGCGCTGGTGACCTACTGGCACAAGTCGGTCTGGGAAATGGCGCGCAAAAGTTTCTTGGTAAAGCGGCCAGTCTCCTCTCCAAATCCAACTCGGTGAACGCCGCCGCTGAGTCCAAGAAGCAACATGCAGAAATCAACATCTTCTCCGTCGCTTCCGGTCATTTGTATGAACGCATGCTCAATATCATGATGGTATCTGTCATGAAACACACCACGCACACCGTCAAATTCTGGTTCATCGAGCAATTCCTCTCACCTTCTTTCAAAGACTTCCTCCCAGTCATGGCAGAGACATATGGCTTCGAGTACGAGATGGTCACCTACAAATGGCCACACTGGCTTCGCGGCCAAAAGGAGAAGCAACGGGAGATCTGGGGCTACAAGATTCTTTTCCTCGATGTGCTTTTCCCTCTGGATCTGGATAAAGTCATCTTCGTCGACGCCGACCAGATTGTCAGAACAGACATGTACGAGCTTGTCACACTTGACCTCCAAGGTGCTCCTTATGGATTCACGCCCATGTGCGACAGCCGCACGGAAATGGAAGGTTTCCGGTTCTGGAAACAAGGGTATTGGAAGAAATTCCTCAATGGCCTACCATATCACATTTCGGCATTATACGTCGTTGATCTGAAACGTTTCCGACAGATGGCTGCTGGCGATCGACTCCGACAAAACTATCATCAACTGAGCGCGGATCCCAATTCCTTGTCGAATCTGGATCAGGATCTCCCCAATCATATGCAGAGTCTGTTGCCTATACATAGCTTGCCACAAGAATGGTTGTGGTGTGAGACGTGGTGTTCGGATGCGAGTCTGAAGGACGCCAAGACGATTGACTTGTGCAATAATCCGCAGACCAAGGAGCCCAAGCTAGAGCGAGCGAGACGACAGGTGCCCGAGTGGGTGGAATACGACGAGGAGATTGCACAGGTGGCGAGCAAGTATCGTGCTGCGAAGAAGGTGGGTGAATCGCTGCAGCATGATGGCGTCTTGGGCGAGGAGAGTATGCAGGAGAGATTGCAGAGGGAAGATGCGGAACGGGAGGAGGCGAAGAGGAAGAAGGAGGAGGAGGAAAAGCGTGGAAGAGATGAGTTGTAGTAAGTCGGGAGGTAGGGAGGTAGGTAGGTGAGGTAAGTAATACATACAGCTAGATATTTGAACGTAAATGGGACCAAAAAAGGTCGTGTGCTTACCTCCTAGGTCGGTGCACCCCTAAACTGAGTTCAGGTGAGGTAGGTGCACGATCCATTTCGCCAAGCTACCCTCGGTGTACCATACATTTGACTTTAAAGCAACTTACCTGAACTCAATTTAGGGGTGCACCGACCTGTGAATATACACCTGAACTCAATTTAGTGGTGCACCGACCTAAGCACACTCTCTGGAGGTACCTGAACTCAGTTTAGGGGTGCACCGACCTGTGAACACCTGTGGTGGGAGGGGGTTTCTTTTTCAACGTTTTGGTGTTGCCTTGCCTTGTTTTGCCTTGCCTTGTTTTGCCTTGCCTTGGCTGCTACTTTTTTTTATGGACGTGCTGGTGGGAAACTGAGTGCTTTGTGTGGGATGTATGGGACGTATGTATGTATGTATGTATGTATGTAGGCGGGGAATGCGATATAAACAGGTTAGTTGTTAGTTCTTGTGAGTGAGGATATATTTTGATGAGAGGGAGGGAGAACAGTGATGCGGAATGGGGAGGGGAAGGGGGAGGTGGTTTCTTGAGGCTTGCTTTTTTTTTCCTTCTCTCTCCGAAAGAGTGCCTGGAGCGCTTGAAATGGTATTGGGAGGGAGTAGAGGCTTGCTGTGTCGTCTAGTGATGGATATTCTTAAGCACTTGGAACTAACTACCTAACAGAGTCGGCCTTTTTGGGTCGTACCTCAATTGGCACCAGGAACGCGAATGCGTCACCTAGAGTACCCCCAGGCTCTGCCATGACTTAGTCTACCGTCTTCTGCTACCCCTCTCAGAGATCAACAACACACAAAGCTGTCGAGTGAGAGTCTTGTGAAGAATCTGAGGGCACCAAACAACCCCTTCAAGATTTTCCAGGCGGAACTTGCGGAACAGGCTTTTGCCTCTCAAAAATCTTCTCGAGAACCTCCATCCATCTCCTCGGTCGATCGCCTAGATCTCTTCCAGGATTCTTGTACAGCTTTGCCATGACCTCTTTAATCTTGCTTCTCAATACCTTGAGCACAATCATGGTTCTCCAGTCTCTGACTTTGAAGCGCAATCGGTTGCCGTCGATGATGACCACACCGGCGTACGTCTCAAATCTCGCATCTCCCGCCATCAGAATGAGTGGAATCTCTGAGACGGCAGTGGTCTCGTTCGCATTTGTGAAGCGCGAGGAAGATTGCATGATACTGTAGAACGACAAGTAGTTGACGTTGGGCTGCAAGGAGTTCTTGTTTACAGATTTCGGGTTGAGGCCAAGGGACTGGTTATTGGCAATGTTGCGCCAACCTTTCCCGTCTTGTTTGACAATTTTGGGGTAGAAGCTCCAAGCCACGACCGAGGCCACAACTGCATCATTATCATCTGCGCGAGTGTACAGGTTTGGCAATGTGACAAAGTTGCGCTTTCGGGGGTTGTGGCGCAGTCGCGCAAGAGCTTGCTTGTCTTCTGGACCAAGATGCACGACACCAGCATCCGCGAGCGAGCCCAGTAGCTGTGCTTTGAGATCTTCAATACCGGCAAGGTTCTGGGGACTGAGGAAGTTTTTGTTGCAGAACTGATATTCCGGGATGCCAGCAGTGGTGCACACTTTGCGCCACGTGCTATACGCATTGTATACCGTGAGCAGATCCGAGTCACCACGCTTGAAGCCCAATCGTACAGTATCGGCCTGGTTCCTTGCATGCATGGGCGACAAGAAGGGTGACTTTGATGAGAGCGAGGCTGCCGCTGTCAAGGCAAAGTCAAGACATCCGAATGCGCTTCCGAGCAGAACGAGCTTTCCGAGTTGTGCATCTAGTGGCAGTTTTGCAAGCTGGGTACCTAGGGAAGTCAGTTCCTCACCAGAAGTGAGGGCACCAACCTCGATCAAAGCATCAATAGCTCTTCTGACGTTTTTGCCTGACGGAGGATCGAGTGCTTGCGCAAGAGCATGCTCGATGCTGCCGAGCTTACAGATCTTGACGCGCATGACAAGATCTTGTAGCGAAAGCCGCAGCATTTCTGGTGTTTGCTGGTCCACCATCATGTGCTCGAAACGGTGTTTGGTGAAGAGATGGAAGCAGAGACCTTCCTGAACCCGACCAGCTCGGCCCCGACGTTGTTTGGCGTTAGCTCTCGCGATGAAGGTCTGGATGAGTCGCGACATCTGCCTGCGTTCATCGAATCGCATCTCCTTGTGCTTGCCAGTATCGATGACACAGGTCACATCTGGGATGGTGATGCCGGTCTCCGCAATGTTGGTGGCCAGAACGATTTTGCGGACGCCTGGAGGCGGTACCTCGAAAGCTGCTTGCTGATCCTCACTCGAGAAGGTTGAATGTAGCGGAAAGATTTGCCAGCCTTTCAAGAACTTGGGATGCCCGCTCAGCATATCGTTGAGTTGGCGTATCTCAGCAAGACCTGGCAGGAACACCAAGATTGCTTTACTGAAAGGTTGATACTGGTCCAAGTAGGCGATCTTGTCAATTAGTTTCACCATCAGGCTGTAGTCAATGCGATATTCGTCGTAGCTCGCCAGAGTCTGCCGCGCCTTCTTACTATAGCCCTCCAGCTTCTGCTGCTCCACGGTCTTCTGCTCACTGTCGTCTTGTTCGTCTTCATCAACGGCATTTGCTGATGCGTCTTCGTTCGTATGTCCAGTCAACTCAATAGCATCCTCCAGAAATTGTGCTTGCACCGGGAACGTCCGGCCAGGGACTTCAATGATCGGCGCTCCATGCAAGTACCTGGAAAACTTCTGGGCGTCGACTGTGGCACTCATGAGTATCACCTTGAGGTCTGGTCGTTTCATCATGAGTGAGAGGAGGATGATTAACAAGAAGTCCGTGTCGATGCTTCGCTCGTGCACTTCATCAATGACCAAGTGAGTGACCTCGCTGATGCCATCGGCGTTCTCCAGCATGCGTAACACAATTCCGACAGTCGCATATACCAATCGTGTGTTTGCGTTGGTCTGCGATTCGAGGCGGATAGCATAGCCGACCAGTGATCGAGGTGTACCGACGTCACCCTTGCTCTCTCCCATTTCCTCGCTGACTCTTTGGGCAAGAGAAATTGCCGATATTCGGCGTGGCTCCGTACAGTAGATCTTGCATGGTCGACCATTCGACAGCTCGTTCTCTAGGATAAACGCTGGCAGCTGCGTCGATTTTCCACATCCCGTCTCTCCACAGAGAATAGTGACCTGATGTCTTTGTATCGCGTCCAACGCCGCTTGTCGAAAGCGAAACATGGGCAAGTTCATGCGAAAACGCAACATCTGCTGGTATCTGGGCATACTCGTTTTGCGTAGCCACATTTGCTGCAGTTCTTCTGAGAATTCCGGTGTAGCTGGCCGTCGTGCATCGTGGCGCGATATTGGGGTATTGGCGCCACTAGCGATATCCAGTCTACGTCGATTGTTCACGTTGAAAACGACTTCGTCATCGCTTTCGTCGTCCGTGCTACGATGCTGCTCAATCAATGCTCGGACTTCTTTGACCACGCAGCCGTCTTCCGCAAGAAGGTGTTCCTGCTTGGCCTTGGCAAATTCGTCCCAAAGGTTCCGGAATGCCGGAGGAAGTCGCATGTGCGCCTTCTCTTCCTTGGGCGAGCCGGAGAAGATGATGAACAGAGCCGCAGTCGCAGCGTAAGCCTCGCTTTGAGCAATGTCAGGGGTAGCAACCTCGGTCATGGTGATGGTCATGCTGGCTGATTTAGTGACCAGAGACGTGGCAGCAAGGTACGAGGCTTCCAGCGGCTCCTGTTCCTTGGACCACTGGATCGCCACTGCGTGTCGACTTGCATACGTGGTGGGCGAGACGAGTCGATACGTGATCTTACACCGGCCATCTCGCGCCTTGCAGGCCTCTTCCAGTACCCGTTTTGGGTTCATGCCAACAAGTCTGCCAAAATCGCGGATAGTGACGTTGGCTGCATGGCCATCTGACGACACTGTGCCATTGTCCTGATCAACTCCTGGCAAGGCATCGAACATTCCATTTAGGAGATCATCATCCTCGGCCTCTTCTGTTTCCTTCAACAGATCTTGTCCAAGCTTTTCAGCTTCGTCGTTCACACCTCCAGACCCGACAACTGCGGTGACAGACCTTGCAGGCGCAACTATCTCGCTGTGTAGCTGCAGCTTCCTTCGATCTGCTGCCTCTCTAGCGAGCTCAATCTTCTGACCTGCCCAGTGAGCGTCGGCTTCGCGCTGATCGAACAGAACATCTGACTCGATCTTCAACAGCTTCTGCTCGAGCTTCCGCTCTGCGCCACCTCTATAGGCTTGGCGAGGTCCATTGGCGGCCTTGCGCTTTCCACGTCCTTTTGAAGTGTCAGAATGGGGGTTGAGCATGTATAGCTTGCCTTTCGTTCTAAGGTAGACGGAGAGCAGCTCGTCTGGCTCCAGGTCGCTTTCGAGGTCGCTGACATCCACATTTTCGGCAGTGGAGTCGTCCTCGGCCTGTTCGTTGACTGCAATCGGAGAGTCGAGTTTCTCGGAAGCTGCGCTTTCGACCTTTGTCGTTTCGTCCGAGTCACTTTCATTATTGTCACGCATTGCGGCGGTAGACCTTGGTTTCTGATAGTCGTATTCGTCCAACTCTCCTTCCTTGCCGTTGAGAGACATCCATTCCAAACATTCCTCCAGTCCCCATACCGTACCTGATGAAGGATCTGTAGGTGGGTTCGATACAACCCACCCTAGCACCTCGCTGATTCGGGCAGAAGGAAGATCGAGACCCAAGAGACATTGGCGCAACTGCCATACCTTTGCTACTAAGTCGTCACCTTGAGGAAGAGTCGGCATCTTGTGCAGACTCGGATCATGCCTAAGGTCCGACGCGGTAAGATCCAAAATTTGCAGCATGATTTCTTCTGGTAGCCAGTCCTTGACCGACAGATAGTCGGCCTGACCACGAAGAACACGCTTATCTGTCTGGAGGCGAGCGACCTGACGGGCTGCCTCCTTCTTGACTTTGGCTGCATGTTTCTCTACGAATTGCTGCAGTTCGGACGCTTCGAGCTGGGCTTCGAGTTCCTCAGGACTGAGCTCGTGCAATTCTCGGTCGGCAGTCGAGCTGGGCTGAGCGGTCTCAACAGCAGCATTGCCCTGGCCTGTCGTAGAAGCACCGCTGTGCTTACCAGATGTTGGAGTAGCTACACCAGACGGGACGGCAGCGTTGGCCTCAGACACAGTGTCCGCCTTGGGCTTGGAAGCGACAGACGTTGTGGCGAAACCCCTGGCCGGATTCGCAGCTGGCTTCTTCTTCTTTTTGTTTCCTGCCGCCATACTGTTCTCCGCCGATATTGATGCGCCAGCTTGGTATACCAGTGATGGCGACAGCGAGGGTGAGAGGCAAGGAGAAGTGGAAATATTTCGGTGTGTCGGTGAGCGGGCAGCATCTCCTGCTGTTCAGTGACGGTTCATAGAAAGCAAAGTCGAGCGGACGGGACGGAAGAATTTGATGCCGGCCTCCTCTTGGCGCATCATGACACCGCAGCAAACATCCCGTCTCAGGCAACTCGCGATCCATAGAACTTTTGCTGCGCCGGTTCGCATTGGGAGGAGTTGAGAGTGGTTGATGCACGACGATCACGGCTGGACACAAAAGTACCTGACCTTCACTTGAGACATACCATACACACATACACGCGCACACGACGACTCCATCGAACAGCAGAAACGCCGCGAGAAAGACTTCGACCTCCACATCACATGCTATACCATTGAAGAGCTACGAACATGGCGGACGGAGAGGCGGCGCCCGCTGTGGTCAATGGCGACCACGCTGCTGCGCTGGACATGTGGGAAGTGCGGCAGACAGTGCTGTCTAACTCCACCAAGAGACGAAGCACCGAACTGCACAGTATCCACGAGAAGCTCGTAAATGGAAGTAGGTCATGCACAGAGTTAATGCACACATACACGCACACACACACATTCAGACATGTAAGGAGGACCATCTCTGACTTTTGATGCAGCCTTCCCTGTATCCCAAGTTCCTGCTCTTCTGCACACTCTGCTCGATACATATCCTTTGTATGTTGATGGCCGCTCACGCCAGGCCGTCGAAAGTTGTCTGGCTGCCATTGCTGCCATTCCCCAGTCCGCCAACGTGCTCCCTGGATTTGTAAAGGCCCTTGAAACCGAGTCAGTCAAAGCTGGCAATGCGCCAAGCAATGCATTTGTGTTGTCGAGATGGGCATCACTATTCATGCAACAGGCTGCGCAGGACAAGGCGAAGTGGGACTCATGGGGTCCGAGAGCAGTAGCGGCACTCAACAATGCTTTAAACATCCTTCTGGCCTCGTGTCCTAAGGACAGCACTCGGGAAACGGCGCTTCGAGTGAGCAGGCGTGCATTTCGAATATTGGCTAAAGCGCCTTTCGGACCAGAAGCCCTCACCTCCTGCATCACCACTCTTTCTGCCAAGGCTGCTTCTCCGGTCTCGACTCATGCAGTGCCCTTGGGCATCATTGCGGGCGTCTGCAGCCGGTTACCAGATCGAAAAGGTGTGGTCGAAGCTAAGAAAGCCGATTATTTTGCATTCTACTTGCGCGAGTTCCTTGGATCAAAGCTGCAATTGCCACCATATGTTGCAAATGCGCTACATGACTTCTTTGAAGCTTACGTGACACAAGAAGATCTCACGAAGGAATTGATCCCAGCAATTGAGAAGTCTCTGCTGCGAGCGCCAGAGGTTGTCCTCAATGACCTTGTGTCTCCTGTTGTATTAGCATTGCCCAGAGAGCTGGACCTTTCGGAGATTCTTGCCAAGAACCTTACCAAGCCTCTCCTTGCAAACGTCAAATCCACGAAACCAGAGATTCGTGAAGGTGCGCTGCGCACATTCAAAGCAGTGGCGTCTCGCTCACACAGTGACACATTTGTCGAAAAGTCTGCCGACGAGATTCTGAATCCATTAAAGGCTGGAAAGGTCACGGCTGCCGACCAGCGCGTACTGCATGCTGAGATGCTTTCTTCTTTGCCACCGACGAGTGCACTTGCGACCAGAGTTCCGGCCGGGCTCGTGGCCGTGGCGAGCAAAGAAGCGAACGAGTCAGCTGCGCTGGCCGAAATAGGCTGCATTGCCAACTACGCACGCTTTAGTCTTGAGAATAAAGTCAAACTAGATGCTATGATCGTTGATGCTTTCACCAAAGGCCTAGCAGAGAAGCGTTTGCCAATGCGTCGAGTATGGGCACTGCAGCTGGCAGACCTCGTGTGGTCAACCTCTCCAGAAGCATCCAACAGCGAGAGTGCTGTCGCGTTACTGGATGCATCGATTGGGAAGCTGATTGATGTCTTGAACGAGGTCCATGCTAACCCCATACCGGCTCTGCAGTCTGGCCAGGTATCTGTGGCAGCGGTGGCGACCGCGCTCGGTCTTGCACGTGCAACTGCATTACCATCGCTCAAAAATGCCGGCATCGTCCAAAAGGCCGCTATTGGCGACAAGGTCCTCACGCTCGAGCCAAAGCCATCGTTCCTACTCAGTCCTCGGATATACACCAAGCTGACTGCAGAAGAAGACCTGCGGTGGTTTCTCCACGCCTTGGTGGCCGCTTTCCCAAGCCTGACAGGCAAGGACAGCCTGGCCGTGCAGAATGCCTGGGCTCAGGCAATGATCTATCTCATTACCTCATCTAACGTGCCAGCAAAGGTCAAGAGTGAGGCAGTTCGGTCACTTCAAGGGCTTTACATCGCCAATGCAGAAGCCGTCATGAGCATTGTCGTCGGTGGCCTATGGCAGTGGTGCGAGGACCTCGAGACCGGCGCCAAGGACAGTGCTGCCATTGCCGCTAAGACTGGTCGGGAAGAGCTGCAAAAAGTCATCAGGGCGATTTGCTTAGACCCAGAGACAGCTGCAAAGCTCGGCACACCTGTAATGAAAGAGATCATCGAGAATCAGCTACAGAGACTACTTGTTCTCTGCCGTCCACAACTCATACCAAAAGCTTCGTGGATTCAGACTTGCTTACGGACCGGTACGGATCCAGGTCAACTAGTCGAGAGATCCACATCAAACCTCCTGGAACAGATCCTGACGGTGACAGAACATTCCGTATGGAAATCACTGCCTGCATTCCAGCTGGCGGCGACTTACGCCGCTGCAGATCTTGCATTCGTTGCTCCCAAGGTGTTCACGCCCATCATTGTTCAACAGATCAGCTCCGACCTCAATCCAACGCAACTCAGCGACGTAGGTCCTACGGAGGCTGCCATCTACCGTACACCCGAGGGCACCGCTTTTGTCGATGTCCTTTCCAGCAAGTCGCAGGCGCCAGAGATCAGCAAGAATCAGAAGGATTATGATACACTGAAGTGGGAACAAGAGCTTCGGAACCAGCTGGCGGCCAAGAAAGGCCAGACTAAGAAGCTGACCGCAGACGAGCAAGCCAAGGTCAAGGCACAGCTGCAGAAAGAGTCCGAGATCAGACAGAAGGTGGCATTGGTGGATGCAAAGCTGCGACGTGGCATCGGCTTCATCAATGCACTCACGACCGGCCCTCCCACCGAAGCTGAGGAGTGGTTTGGAACTTCGGTGAAGCTGCTTTTCGATATCATTCAGGCTGGTGCAGGTCTGATATTGGGCGACGCTGCCTCACTCGCCTACCTCCAGTGTTCCGACAAGATCTCAACACGTCTGGGTCCGCTGAGGCCTTTTGTCGGAGTCTCCACGCTTCGCTCTGCTGGCATCACATTACTGCCCGAGAATCTTTTGGCAGAACCTCTTGGTGATCTTGTCACCCGGATCCTCTATCGCCTGAGATCCCTAGGAGAGCAGCGGCCGTTCGATTCTGTTTCTCTCAGCTACATACTGGCACTGGTGTTCCTCGTGCTGGAGAATGGTGGCATCGATCGTGCTACGCCGGAAGATGCGGACGAGCAAATCATGCTTGCCATCGAATTCATCTCGTTCCACACTGAGACTTGTGCAGACCCCAGTCTCCCTCGCCAAGGACTACTCGATACACTGATCAGGTCGCTGCAGAGGTTCCCTCAGCACTTCAAGGAAATCAAAGACTGCTTCACTGATCTATCTCGGCATCTTTCTGCTAACTTGAACGAAGCCGAGACGGATACAGTAGTGAGAGGTACAATTGTACCCGAGACATCTGTGCGGAATGCTGTGCTTCAGGCCATCAGTGCCGAACTGGAGCTGACGGATCGCGAGTTCTATGAAGAGATCTGGCTTGCCAACCATGATGACGACGAAGACAATGCTGGCACCGCACACGAGATCTGGGAGGAGAATGAGCTCAAGGTCGTCCCTGATGGTGCCGTGAAGTGTTTGCCATATCTTGAATCCAAAGATTCGCAGCTCAGGCGAGCAGCCGCTCGTGCAGTTGCCGATGCAACGCAACAGCATATCAGCACTTTCCAAGACATCCTGAGCAGATTACGGGGTTCGTATATCGAGGCTGCGAAGCCGAAGAAGCCGGAGCTTGATCGTTATGGAATGCCCTTGAAAAAGGATATGAGCGATCCCTGGGAGCATCGACACGGTATCGCGCTGACTTTCCGCGAGCTCGGCGCTATTTTCCCAGAAGATGAGATTGCGCCATTCCTTGCTTTTCTCATCGAAAGCGGACCGCTCAGCGACAAGAACGGGACCGTCCGAGACAGCATGGTAGATGCGGCGACAACTGTGGTGTCCACACGCGGAAAAGGCTTGGTGGAGCCGCTCATGAAGCTCTGTGAGAGCACTCTGGGAGGCAGCAGCAAGACACCGGAGCAAGATCTGGTCAACGAGGCGGTTGTGATTCTCTACGGAGCTCTGGCCCGCCATCTGCCACCAGGAGACGACCGCGTCCCGAAGGTCGTGAACCGACTTCTGTCGACTCTCAGCACTCCCTCCGAGTCTGTACAGTATGCGGTAGCACAGTGTTTGCCGCCGCTTGTCCGAGCTTCTGCGGACCAAGCCAGCACGTACCTCACACAGTTGATCGACGAGACTCTCCACTCCAAGAAATATGCTGCTCGCCGTGGTGCTGCTTACGGACTTGCTGGAGTCATCAAAGGTCGTGGAATATCTCTGATGAAGGAGACGCGCCTGCTCTCAACACTACGCAGCGCAGCAGAGAACAAGAAGGACATCAATGAGCGGCAAGGAGCCTACCTGGCTTATGAGCTCTTGTCTCTTCTTCTGGGACGTATCTTTGAGCCATACGTGATTCAGATTGTGCCACAACTGCTTGGTGGTTTCGGTGACGCGACTGCAGACGTGAGAGACGCCTGTCTGGACGCATCCAAAACCTGCTTCGCCAGTCTGAGCTCCTTTGGTGTCAAGCAAGTTCTGCCACAACTGCTCGAAGGACTCGACGAACAAGCGTGGCGGAGCAAGAAGGGGGCCTGCGACTCACTCGGCGCTATGGCGTACCTGGACGCGAACCAACTGGCAGTCAGCTTGCCAGAGATCATTCCTCCGCTGACAGAAGTACTCAACGACAGCCACAAAGAAGTGCGTCTTGCTGCCAACCGCAGCTTGCAGCGTTTCGGCGAAGTCATCGAAAACCCCGAGATCAAGGGCCAAGTTAGCATTCTGCTCAAGGCACTCAGTGACCCTACCAAGTACACTGATGACGCCCTCGACGCGTTGATCAAAATCAACTTCCTGCATTTCATCGATGCACCCTCCCTTGCGCTTGTCGTTCGCATTCTGGAACGTGGACTGGGCGACAGATCGGGAACCAAGCGTAAGGCGGCACAAATCATTGGCAGTCTGGCACATCTCACAGAACGCAAAGATCTTCTCGTGCATTTACCGATCCTGGTTGCCGGCTTGCGCAGTGCTGTCGTAGATCCCGTGCCAACCACTCGTGCGACAGCTTCGAAGGCTCTGGGTTCAACGATCGAGAAGCTCGGAGAAGATGCTCTGCCCGATCTCATCCCCAGCTTGATGACCACCCTCAAGTCCGACACGGGCGCAGGCGACCGTCTTGGTTCTGCGCAAGCGCTCAGTGAAGTGCTCGCTGGGCTTGGTACCAGTCGCCTGGAGGAGACCTTACCCACGATCCTGCAGAATGTCGCGAGCACCAAGCCTTCTGTACGTGAGGGCTTCATGTCGCTTTTCATCTTCTTGCCTGCATGTTTCGGGCAGAGTTTTGCGAACTACCTCGCGCGTATTATCCCATCGATATTGGCTGGACTTGCCGATGATGTGGAGTCGATTCGAGAGACCGCTCTTCGTGCCGGACGTCTGCTCGTCAAGAACTTTGCAAGCAAGTCTGTCGATCTCCTGTTGCCCGAGCTCGAGCGCGGTCTTGCCGATGACAGCTACCGCATTCGTCTCAGCTCTGTGGAACTCATCGGCGACCTGTTGTTCAATCTCACTGGCATCAGCGGCAAGACTGAAGCGGAAGATCTGGACGAGGGGGCGAACGAGGCGGGCGCGAACTTGCTGGAGGTGCTGGGCGAAGAGAAGCGCAACAGAGTCCTTGCGGCGCTGTACATCTGTCGCATGGATACTTCAGGTCTGGTCCGCACATCCGCAATGAACGTGTGGAAGGCACTGGTCTCCTCCCCGCGAGTCCTCAAGGATCTCATTCCGATCCTCACCCAGCTTCTCGTCAAGCGTCTGGCCAGCTCCAACCACGAGCAGAAGATCATCGGCGGTAATGCGCTGGGAGAACTCATCCGAAAGGCTGGCGATGGTGTCTTATCGGCACTGTTGCCCACTCTGGAAGAGCACTTGCAAACCTCGTCCAGCACAGATTCTCGCACGGGTATCTGTATAGCATTGCGCGAACTCATCACAGCATCGACAGAAGAATCGCTCGAGGACCACCAACAGAGGCTGATATCTGTCATGCGTACAGCCTTGGTCGACACCGATGAAGACGTTCGAGATGCTGCAGCAGAGGCCTTTGACTCCTTGCAAAAGTTGATGGGCAAGCGTGCCATCGACCAAGTGCTACCATATTTGTTGCAACTGCTGCGCACCGAAGGAGAAGCCGCCAACGCTCTGTCGGGTCTTCTGACGCTGCTCACGGACTCGACCAGATCGAACATCATTCTGCCCAACCTACTGCCAACATTGATCGCATCGCCCATCTCGTCGTTCAACGCACGTGCGCTGGCGTCTCTGGCTGAGGTGGCCAGCTCTGCCATGACGCGGAAGCTGCCGAACATCCTGAATGCGCTCATGGACAATATCATCGTCTGCAAGGATGAAGAGCTCAAGTCAGAGCTCGATGCCGCGTTTGACACTCTCATTCTTTCTGTTGACGAGTTCGATGGTCTCAATACGATGATGAGCGTCATGCTCGCACTGTCGAAGAACGACGATCACCGCCGGCGTTGTGTTGCGGACTTGCACTTTGCAGCATTCTTCGGAAAGGCGGATGTGGACTTTTCACGCTACTATCCAGACGTCATCCGCGCTATGCTCATCTCCTTTGACGATAGTGACACTGAAGTCGTGAAGGCGGCCTGGACCGCTTTAAGCCAGCTCATGCAGCGCCTCAAGAAGGAAGAGATGGAGTCGCTTGTCAGCTCGACACGACAGACACTCAATCAAGTTGGTGTTGCCGGTCATCCTTTGCCAGGGTTCTCCTTGCCCAAAGGCATCAATGCCATTCTACCAGTCTTTCTGCAAGGTCTCATGAATGGGTCCGCGGAGCAGCGTATACAGGCAGCACTGGGGCTGTCAGATCTCATCGATCGCACCAGTCCCGATGGTCTCAAGCCGTTCGTCACACAGATCACTGGTCCGCTGATTCGAGTGGTCTCCGAGCGTTCGGTTGAGCTCAAAGCGGCCATCTTGCTCACCCTGAACAATCTGCTAGAGAAGATTCCGACGTTCCTGAAGCCTTTCTTGCCGCAGCTGCAGAGAACCTTTGCAAAATCCCTAGCAGATCCTGGCAGTGAGGTGTTGAGATCAAGGGCCGCGCGTGCTCTGGGTACTCTCATCACTATGACACCACGAATCGATCCTTTGATTGCCGAGCTCGTGACAGGGTCCAAGACGACCGACTTGGGTGTCAAGAATGCCATGCTCAAAGCATTGTACGAAGTTGTCAGCAAAGCCGGTGCCAAGATGAGCGAAGTCTCGCAAAACGCCATCTTGGGCCTCATAGACTCCGACGCGGGCGACGCGGATGATTCCCTGAACATCGCCTACGCCAAACTTCTCGGCGCTCTCATCGCAGTCATTCCCGCAGAAAACACTGTCAGTCTGATGAAAGTCCGAGTCCTGAACTTCAACTTTACGCATTCCACCATCCTCGCGCTCAACGCTGTCCTGGTGGACGCACCTGAGCGCCTGACCAATGGTTTGGATGAAATCACTCGAGAGGTCCTGGTCCGAGGCATCAACCACACGCAGCCTTTCATCGCAGATAAAGCCATCCTCGCAGCAGGCAAATACTTGCTGACCGAGACGGGCAACAAGAGCTTCGAAGGCGTGAAGCCCATCATGCAGGCCCTCGCAGATGCTTTACCACTGGGAAAACCAGTCGACACTCGTCGCCTGGCCCTCGTGGTGATCCGCACTGTTGCCAGACAACGCTCTGAGCTCGTCCGTCCTCACCTCAACATCCTGGTCACGCCTGTTTTCCGCAGTGTGAGGGATCCTGTCATTCCCGTCAAGCTATCGGCCGAAGCAGCTTTCCTGCAAATCTTTGAGGTGGTGGAGGAGGAGAGTGCAGTATTTGATAAATATCTGGCCTCGAAGGATGGGCAAGCGCTCGCAGCGCAGGACAAGAGGAGTATGCAAGAGTACTTTAAGCGAATTGCGTTGAGGCTGAGTGGGCAGGCGAGGGAGAGGAAAGAGGCCGAGGGTGGCAGTGGCGGACTCGGGCTGACGAGTGATGAAAAGGAAGATGAGAGGGAGGTTTGGAGTGTGGGCAAAGTCGATTTGGGAGAAGGTGTTAGTGATGAGTAGACGAAACGCGAAAAAGCGAAAACCAATTGTGCACACACATGTCTCGCAGAGGAGAAATAGTTGTGCTGCTGCTGCTGATGATGATACAGTAGAACCAAGTCCATGAATGAGAGAAAAAGTGCAGCTTCAAAATCAACCCTTCTCCAACCCACATGAATGACAATCCTCCTCCAACCCAACCATGAATTTCATGAAAACTTCCATTTTGAATCCCAATCGATAACTACCTAGGAGGTAGGTAGGTAATTACAACATAAGTAACAGACTCTGCCTATGAACATTGCAATAACATTTCCTACAATACAGCGTGCAAACCACGAACGACGCCACAAGGTCAATTCCTACCCCGATTTTTTTTTTCTTTTTTGAGTCTGTAAACAGGTATGTATCTAGATTTCCCACACTATATATATATATATATACCATGTAGAGGTACATTAAACCCTCACACGCCGCTCAAACCATACCACATACCAATATCTCACTTAATAATATAAATGGAAAAAAAAAGACATCTATATAGATAGATAGCTCTTTTAGCTCGAGCTTGCTTTACCTATATGTACCTACCTTCTAGATACTAAGGGAAGCGTAAGGGAAGCGTAAGGTCAGGTAGGTAGTCCGATAATATAAAAAAAAAGAGCTTTTGAAGTTTGTATATACTTACTTGTATACAGGTAGTAGGGTCTGGAGGTAAGACACGTAGGGTAAGGTAAGGTAAGGTAAGGTAGGTTTAGAGGTATATAGACGCGATATATATATTTATTTTATTCCTAGCGGTCGGCTCTATAGTTGTAGGTTCTACTTGTGTTTTTTTGGTATTGATATGTATGTATATATATATACACTTATTCTATCCTTCTTTTCCTTGCTTTTTTCCCCTTCTTTTTCTTTTTACTTTTCCTTTTGCTTTTCCTTTTGCCTTTTCTTTTACTTTTTTTTTTACTTTTTCTTTTCCTTTCGCTTTTTCTTTATATATATATATATATAAATAATTATTTTCTTTATAATTGAATTCTTGTACAGTAACCTAACACTTCCTACGAATCTCCGTTTGTTTTTTGTTTTCGGCTCTCCTCTCCTCCTCTTCTCTCCTCTCCTCTCCTCTCCTCTCCTCTCCCCCTTACCTCTCCCCCTCTTCCCTCCTCTCCCTCTTACCTCCTCCGTACTCGCAGACCCGCAAAGTACCTTATTCGCAAAAAACAAGAAAAACTTCGTAATACAAAACACCTACTACTTACTTACTCGTACCTTGAAAGGTATATATACATACTATACATACAGTATGTAACCTAGTAATACGCAATACGCAACACCCAACCTAGTAATACGCAATCTAGCAATCTCGCAATCTAGCAATACGTAATACGCAATACTAGGTTCTAGTAATACGCAATACTAGTAGGGTAGGTCTAGTAATATATACGTAATCTAGCAATCCAGCAATACTAGGTCCTACCTTCTATACCTTCTATACCTCCTATACCTCCTATACTACCTCCTATACTACCTCCTAGTAGTAGGATAGGATAGGGATAGGGATAGGGACAGGTCCGATAGGATAGGACAGGGATTTCCCCCCCCCC